CATCTAATACCTTTGCCTTGTGCCAGAATAGGCCAGCATCTGCCATGTCCGGATTTGTGTATTCGACCTGGCTCCAGACCACCGGAACGTTGCCTGCTCGAGCAGCTGCTAGAAGTCGACGCATCGAATCTGGCGCACTCTCCGCGTCGGGGTTACCAAGGAGCGATAATGGTGACGATGGTGACCAATAAGCGGTACAAACATCGATGATTAAGAGTGCCGGGCGCTGTCCCCAACCCATACGGTTGGCGAAGCCTGATTTGAGATACGAATCGGAGGAACCGTGTTCAACAGCCATTGCAAACTAATCAAATGGTGGATTGGAGTTAGAATTGATGTGTTGACTGGATATTCCTCTCTGACAAAACGTGGCACCAACGTAGATTTCGATAGTGAACCGATATATTGATTTAGAATCCGATCTGATATGACATAAGACAAGCTGAAACGTAATCTGAGGTCAAATATGTCGATAATCTAGATCTGAATCTAAATCTAGAGCTTTATCAGCGCCATACACTCATCTGTGCCGGCGGGTTTAAGATGGTCTCCACTCCTCGGCTTTTCATGTCCGATAGCGCACCCAGCGGCATCCACAAACCGGCAGGCAGATGTTGCAGCTGGTCATAATTATTTGTGACTTGATTGATGGATTTCCTGCCCCTCTGCTAGCCGGCCGGTCGTGCACGACTCGAGAAGTGTAGCGGGTCAGCACTTGCTTGCAGTGCGACTGTTGCCGCAAAGAGGCTGTCAGATTTATTTGTGTTTCAAATGCGGAAAGACGAAAATAGGGTGATGAGTCTTACCACTCTTGCAGATTTATGATATTGCTTTTGAAAATGTCTTCAAGTGACCGTCAGGTTCGCCAGCCAATCCATCCCGATGTTCGGCCTCTACTAGACCCCGAATATGTCTCCTTCCATGATCAGTATTTCCAATATCTAACTCCAGATGATCAAAAGACATGGGATGGCTCAGCACGACTTCGTCACGGCTCGGTACCTCCCACCGAAAGCAAGCCAGTGAGTGTGGGGAGCACTCGAGATTTGGACCTGGGGGGTTACAAGGTGCGAATCTTCATGCCAGACGCACAAAAGCCAGAAAGCGGTTGGCCGGTTTTCATTTGGTTCCACGGTGGCGGCTGGGCTGTTGGAGATATCTCGAGCGGCAACGACCTGTGCGCGCTTGTCTGTCAACGTGCACGATGCGTCGTTGTTACAATAGGTTATCGATTGGCACCAGAGCATCCGTTTCCTGCGGCATATGAGGATGCGGTCCATGCGTTGAAATGGATACATGGAGACGAAGGTGTCAAGGAATTGGGTATTGATCGCTCGTCCATTGCGGTGGGCGGAACATCTGCAGGTGGCCAGTTGGCTGCGTCGCTGGCAATAGAAGCTGCCACAATGCATCCTCCGATCAAACTTGCTTTCCAACTACTCGTAGTCCCAGTGATAGACAACACGGCAACGGATTCCACGATATGGGCAGCCAATAAGAATGCCCCTTGGCTTACACCTGCCCGAATGACATGGTATCGCCGAATGTATTTCGTCGACGAGAAGAGCACGCAACTGTGGACTGCTTCGCCGAATCTAGCTCCCAAGGACCTCTTGTCGAAGAGTCCCAAGACATGGATAGCTGTAGCCGAGCAGGACCTGCTTGCACCTGAAGCAGAGCTATTCGCGAAGCAATTACAAGAAGCGTGGGATGAGTCAGGTGTCGAAAACGTGGATGTCGCAGTCAAGAAGTATTCAGGGTCAACTCATTCAATCCTTGCTATGAGTGGTATGTGTATAAACTCCCAATCCTATCGTCTGATGGAAGGGCTCTAATCGATTATGAACAGGGGTACTCTCCAAGGGGCGAGAGCTTTTACAAGATGTTGCGGATCAAGCTGCTCAATGGTTTCTAAGTTGAGAACGCATTTATGGATAGAATAGAGCTCAAGAATGTAAGACCGAGGATCCCAGGTATCCACCGTTTGCATTACAGTTGCACACCTCGTTAGGAACGCCTTCAAGATTGATTTTCAACATATCCACGTATGTGATGATGAGAAATAGATGATTAAACATGTAATTATACATGCCGAGGTTGCTTAGAAGGTGACACATGCTGGTACCAAGTACAAAGATCTTGCACGGCTTTGCGCCTCTCAAACACTATTAGATGTTTCATGGATTTCAACGATTTGTGAAGTTTTTACCATTATTTATCTTCTATAGGACTGGCCCATTCTCTATGATTGCTCCAGAAGCTCCTTTGTGCGATCAGAACGTGGCCTGATCATGCAGCCAAAACTTTCGGGAACGCTACTAAGTCCGTTGGAGAAGGCAACCCGCGGTGTAATCTCACTGCCCTGCTCATCCACTGGGCACTTTAGATCCATTGTGGCTAGAAGCGTTGCCATGATGATATACACCCCTGACAGCGCAAGGTACTGGCCAGGGCATACCCTCCTGCCAAATCCGAATGGGCCATCTGGTAGGGGCTCACCACGACCTCCTTCAGAAACAGGAATATATCGCTCAGGCGAGAATTCCTCGGGAGAGCGATAATACCGCTCGTCTCGTGACATAGCCCAGGCATTGGCATAAACAACTGAACCTGCTGGAATTCTGTACCCTTTGTAGGTATCTTCTGCCACTGATGCATGAGGGACGCCAAGTGGTGATAGTGGCATCCACCTGGTAGTCTCTTGTATGACATATTCAAGCCACCTGAGCTGAGGCCTGTCATCAAAAGTCGGCAGGCGAAGGATGTCTCCATTCTCATCGACTCCAATAGTAGCGAGAATCTCAGCTCTGGCTTTCTCCTGGACCTCGGGATGGAGAATCAAATTCAGGATGCAAACAATGATGGTTGACCACGTAGTATTGCCGCCAGCAATAGAGATTGCCCCAGCTGCACCTTTGATATCTTGAATGGTGGCCTCATTGGGCTTACCATTTGCCTCGTTGGCAAGATAACGGCCAAAGTGAGTGTGCATGAATGACGGCTGCATGTCTCGTTCCGCGCGTATGCTCGGCTCCACTGCATCCCAAGGAGCATCGTGAAGTTGTTGGATAGATGGCTTCGTCCGGCGTGCATGTGCAAGCGGGCTCAGAAGGCTGCTGATATGAGAGAATGGGTTTGGTACGTAACGGAACAAGGGGAAGAAGTCTACCAGAGTTGCCCCTGGAACGCCGCTCTCGCCCGTCGCCTCTTCAACATCGATAGCCATCTTAACGTAAGGGTCATTTTTCTCCTGAATCTTGATTCCAAACCCGATCCGAAGCACCACGGCAGTGGAGAATTGGCGCAGAAGTACCTCCCAGTTTTGCGGCTCATCGATGATGGCCTTAGCCGCGCGACGCGCCTCCTCCAATTGAATAGGTCTGTATGCTTTGCAGGCAGATTGTGTGAATGACTGTTGAAGCATCTTTCTGTGCACCTTGAAACGTGGCGACCACCGCAGGAAAGTCAATGTAATTCCCCATCCCATGACTTCAAACAGTACGAATCGTGGCCGGTCAGCAAAGTTGGCGCCTCGCTTGTCGAGTAGATCACGGGCCGCCTCGATGGTATTCAAAACAACGATAGATCTGCCAAGCATCGAGAAATGGAGAATGTCAGAATTGTATTCCTTTCCCCATCGCGTATACTCATATTCCGGATGCTCCGTCGGAACAACGCGCAGATGACCGATCAACGGTTCAGCCGGAGGACCAGGAGGTAATGGAAGCCCCTTTTGTCGTCGAAAGTGGTTATACAATAGAGGTATGAGCAGTATTATTGCGGCAGCAATGACCACATGGGTCCTTGGCAAATCAAGAAACATCTTGACGACGTCAGTCTCTGATGAAAGATCCGATTCTGGGTTGTCAGGAAAATCCAAAGTAGTCCATGTGTGTGTGATCTAGAGTATATAAGTTGAAGAACTTGGAGGAGAGGGTAGAGTATATGTCATAAGAGATCAAAAATCCAATCAGATAGTCTGCGTTGCTGGTGACCAGCCGGGACGAGCCCGGATGCCTCCGTACACGTCTTTCCCAGACGTTATCAGCGCCCCATTCCTTAGATCACATCAGGTCAAAAAATTGTCGAAATACCTAAGTTGGCCGGCGCCGGGTCTGGCACTAACGAGACTCGCTCCGCATTGAGTTTGCCAGCCGGCCGGCAAGATAAGTGACCCACCCGGATGGCAAGATAAATCCATCGGCTGGCGGACTGTTGTCGTCTTTCCACGATAAAGAATCGCCACTTACCAAATTCATCTCATCCAGCCAATCAGGTGTTTCTTTCTGCCCTTTTCAGGAGTTGTCCCGGCGGGACCAGACCACGACACTGCTTCATTTCTCATGAAAGGAAGCTTGCAGCATCAGATAATTACGACTTAGAAGTGCTAGGTGTCATGCTATATCTCCACGACTTGCAACCTTAGTTGTATCTGTGACTTAAACCAGCTGTCCTATTCATTTTCCAGTTCGCATCACCTATCCTTCTTTCGTCCTCCAATGGGTTCTGCAGTGTTTCCTCCACCGGCAGGTGCCACTGCCACGGGATCATATGCAACAACGCCAACCGCTGCTGACCCGTATACCTATCAAGTGGGTTTTGGCAATCGATTCGCAACCGAAGCTATTCCGGATGTCTTGCCACGGGGATGTAATACTCCTCAGCGATGCAAGTACGATCTGATTTCTGAACAACTCAATGGAACGCCATTCGTGTCGCCTCGAGCATCGCTACTTCACGCTTGGTTCTACCGAATTCAGCCTTCCGTGGTCCACAAGCCTTTAAAGAGACTCCCTCAAAATCCAGACCTTGAAGCAGTATTTTCTCCCTTGAACCCCAATGCGGTGTTCACACCCCAGGATTTAGGGTGGGACAAGTTTGCTCTACCAAGCAACCAAGAAGAACTCGACTTTGTGTCCGGATTAAGAACAATTGCTGGGCACGGAGATCCAACATCAAAGGAGGGGTTGGCGATCCACGTCTATACCGCAAACACAGATATGAGGAATACAGCGTTCTGTAACAATGACGGGGATATGTTAATCTTGCCCCAAGAAGGCCGACTTGATATCCAAACCGAATTCGGACATTTGATGGTTCGACCCGGCGAGCTAGCCGTCATCCAAGCAGGCATGAGATTTACTGTCAGGCTACCTGATGGTGTTGGGAGAGGTTATATTCAGGAGGTCTTTGGCAGTCACTATGAACTTCCTGAGCTAGGACCGGTGGGTTCTAATGGAATGGCGCTGGCCCGAGACTTTGAGATTCCGGTCGCCAGTTTCGATGTGGATCAGTCGAAATGGACGATTGTGGTGAAGCTTGTCGGACAGCTCTTTGCCTACGAACAAAACCATACTCCGTTCGATGTTGTCGCCTGGCATGGAACCTACGCGCCGTACAAGTATGCTATGGAGAAGTTTATCAACTCGGCAACAGTAGATCGTGATCAGAGCGATCCATCAATCTACTGTGTGCTGACTGCGAAATCCAAGATCCCTGGTGTGTCCTTATCCGACTTCCTCATCTTTACCCCGAAATGGAGCGTCACACGCAACACATTCCGACCACCATACTATCACCGAAATGTTGCTACTGAACTCATGGGTATGATATACGGAACTTGGGCCGGATCAGCAACGCTGCTTGAGCCGGGCGGTCTTACATACGAGCCAAGCTATATGCCTCATGGAGAGTCATATGAGCGATGGAAAGAAGCGACGAGCGTTGACCTTCAACCGCAACGCATGGGAGAGCAGAGCATGGCGTTCATGATGCATATCTCGGGCCATGTGTCGCTGACCAAATATGCGTTGGAACGTAGCGCTAGTCTACAGGCTCTGCAAGAGGATTTATGGGATGACTTCAAACCAGGATTTCTAAAGCATCTAGAAGGACAAGCAGACTTGGTCCTAGACACGCAGCCCAAGTTGAACGGCACCAAGCATACCACGAACGGCATTTAGTTAAATCCTCATCTACCATTGAGTATGCCGCTTTTGAACATGCGGAAACGATATTATCTGTATTGATTTCTTGTATCATCGCAAAAAAAGGACTTAGCATGGAGCGTTTAATTACTACCACCACTTATTATTGTCTCATTACGATGCAAATGCTGTCAAATCAAAGTCCACGTAAATGCAGACCAAAATCAATTCTTTCTGGTGGCTGTTCTGGCTGTTATTGTTGTTCTTATACATGGCTATTTGCGGTTTTGGTAGTATGTTGATCAATCGTGCTAGCCAATGACGTTTTTTGTTCCTTTCTATTATACAAAAAAAGAGTCCTACCTCGCGCTACAATGACTGCGATCTACGAAATGCTCCTTATACATGAATAATAAGGGACCGACATGTGATAGCACCAGAACACATCAATTGCATACTGATCTCTCTGTTCACGTTATCGTGGACGAATTCCGCATGTGTCATTATGCTTGTCATGACTCGCTGAGGACAAAAAGTTATTTGTAAATGTGGGGCACTTGGCGCGGCTCCGGCGAGATAACACTAAGTCATGTACCGGCCTGCCGGAATTCTGGACCCTTAGGTATCCACCTTTCACCTATCTTGCCGGCTTAGTTGTTGTTATCTCCAGCACATGTCCACCTACCGGCAGTACTTTTTCGACAGGCGTAGATTGCCTTGCCATGGCATGGACGAGGCTCCAGACAATATCTCTGCAAGATAGCGAGCCTTGGCGCACTCTTAGTTCTTGCGACTGTAGGATGTAAACCTGGCAGTATATCATTGCGTCCCTGGACTCAACACTCTCCATCCCTCGACCATCTTCAGTGCAAATTTCTCATTACCTAAATACAGCCAAATCATAAATCTAAAATGGGGTTTGAAGAAAAGGGCTCACCCAGCCCGGCTGGTACAGCTGTCGACGTTGACGTTGATGTTGCTGAGTCTCAAACTTACAGCCGCCCGAAACGATGGCTGTCGAAGATCTCGGCAATGGGCGTCGAAGTGCGCGGTATAACTCCCATACCGCTTGAGGAGCGTACCGACAAGCGCTTCATCAACGTTTTCTTTGTGTGGTTCACCATGAGCACCAACCTCCTACCGTAAGCTCTAATGTCCAAGTTGAAGAATGCTTTGACTGATTCGTCAACTAGTATCATCACTGGCATGGTTGGGACTTTATCGTTTGGCATTAGTCTTCGCGACTGCTCGCTATTGATTCTTTTTTTCAGTCTGGCTTGCACCGTTCCCGCCGCATACTTCAGCACTTTTGGTTCAAGAACCGGATTGCGACAAATGCTTCATGCACGATATACATTTGGGTTAGTGTGTTTTCTGGCGCGACAGTGGCTCAACAAAGGTGATCTGACAGGATTCTAGTTATTACTTGATCTCTATCATAGTGGCTCTCAATCTTTGCACCATTGCTGGTTTCGGAGTCATCGATTGTGTCCTCGGCGGCTCTACCCTATCCGCTGTCTCGAGTGGAAAAATTGATGACACCGTGGGCATCGTCATCATTGCTATTATTGCAATGGTCGTATGCTTCGGTGGATATCGTGCCCTGCACCAATATGAGCGATATTCATGGATATTTGCTCTGTTAGCGATCATCATTGCAACCGGTGTAGGTGGCAAGAACCTGAGCAAGCAGGTAGAGACTGAGCCTGCTTCAGCTGCAACGATCATCGGCTATGGTGGCGTGATTGCGGGATTCTTGATCCCATGGGCAGTATGTATTACCTCTGGTTCACTTTTCAATCATGTGCTGACCATACTAGGCCATGGCTGCCGACTTCAGTGTCTATTGCGACCCGTCCGTTACTACCTGGCGAATCTTTGCCTACACATACGCTGGCCTCTTCTTCCCGACAGTTCCCCTCATGGTTCTTGGAGCCGCAATTGGAGGCGCCACGCCGAACATTCCATCATGGTCTCAAGGTTATGATGACTTCAGCGTGGGCGGTGTCCTCCAGGCCATGCTGCTTCCTGCTGGCGGTTTCGGCAGATTCGTCGCTGTTCTCCTTTCCCTGTCAGTCATCGGTAACTTGGCAGCCGCCATGTACTCGATCTCGCTCAACTTCCAGCTTCTCCTGCCTTTCTTCGTCCGCGTTCCACGCTTCGTGTTCTCCATCGTCTACACTATCGTGTGTATTCCTGTTGCGATCACGGCTGCCAAGTCATTCTTTGACAGTCTTGAAAACTTCATCTACCTAATTGCCTACTGGTCAGCAGCTTTTGTGTCCGTGGTCGCCATAGAGCACTTCGTTTTCCGCAAGGCAGACTGCAGCTCGTATGTTGTCGCTCACTGGGATCAACCCAGCAAGCTGCCTACTGGTATTGCTGCAATTGGAGCAATGGGTCTTTCGTTTGGTCTAGTTGTGCCATGCATGTCCCAAATCTGGTATACAGGGCCGTTGGCTGTTACTACGGGTGATATTGGATTCGAAGTTGCTTTGGTTCTCGCAGGTCTGCTCTACCTACCTCTTAGGTGGATCGAATTGAAGTTTCGCGCGGCTTAGGAAGATGGTCCTTCGATCTAGTCGACACATTCTTGTACCTTCGATGTAAGATCTCTAGCCCTTGGAGCACATTTATAGACATTATTAGAACCACCTTCTCAATTTATCAAGGATTATTCCGAAATAGCATATTGTTACCATGACCAAGCCTAGTAACGTGTCTTGCATAATTATATGTCAAAAACTCGGTTGTAGACCCGCCTTGGGCTGCTCATGATTAGATCACTCGACTATCTCGATATTGACGTGCAGAAGCTAAGATGCAGAAGAATAACCTTTTCCTCTGTATAATTGCCTATCACAGTATCTTGAGGCACTAGCGTGCACGATTTCTCAGCCCTGTGGCTTGCCTTTGCAGTTGCAAAAGCCACTTCCCCAATGTCACGCATGACGCTCTCGATGAATTCCAACTGCCCAAACCGCCCTTTAATATGAGTAGGCCATGGTCGTCGCGACCATGGATCATCTGGCCGAGCATCACAAGTCATTCGACTTCGAGTGCGGTTGGCGCCGGTACTAGTAGCAGCGACAAGTCAATTACACGCTAGCCGAAGGTGAATGGGACAACTTCTGTAAACGCTGCTTCATCTCCGTGGCAAATTATGATTGACGGCGGCACAGACAACTTTGATGATGATTGTACCGGGGATCAGTGTTGATGTAAGCAATGTCTTGAGTACAAGCGGTTGGCCGACAGCTTCAAGAACAACTACTAACCCAATTTGTGAACAATTTGGGGAAATATCATTATTCAACCACCATTTTCGGCCAAAGTGAAGTGTCTTCAGAACTATTACATAGGTGCACCTGAGAGGCCATCTTTATAGTCATCTCCCAAGCCAATGGTCCAAGTCTGCGGGCCGAAGTGCGACATTCTCGCGTGTTTATTGTTGAGGTATGACGATTATCAATTGTTCTTCAATGTAAGCAGCGTGATGCACATCCATGAGATGTTACAGTCAGCCATGCTTTGTAGGTTTAGGGAAGTCTTATATATGCCAATGAGGGCTAGCGTAGGCACTAGCTCATCCCACGGCATTCTGAAAACGGCCGCTGATTCGTTCAAGCGCGGTCGGTGTTGAGGGCGGATCTATGCTGTTCATTTACCTTGTTCACGTCGCCAAAACTTCTCCCAACGTCATTTGATTGACTTGATCATTACAATATATGAGTCGCCGCGCTATAGGCCATCATGAGCTATAATTAAGCACAGAAGTAAGCCATTCTTCCTGGCTCTCCGCTAGGTAGGTCCGACGGAAGCGTCGCTTGAACCTCACGGGTAGCTGGATAGTCCGAAACTAACTACGCCTCTTATGACAGGCTTCTGATCCAATGCTCGCTCAAAATATCCCGTAGAGCATTTGTTTGTCCAAGAATTTGTTTTTCAAGCGATAGCATCCTCTAGTCCGCTTTACGGTCACAATTGGGTACCCGGAGCTAGCAGTACCATGAGCGACCCCCAAGATCAAAATGACAGTGCTCATACTAAAGACATGACCGAAAGAAAGCGCAAGTATCATCGGAAATCGCGGCGCGGTTGTGGGAACTGCAAGCTGCGCCGTGTTAAGGTATGCATAACTCCCAGCCGCTACCTGCACCCGCCCCTACGTATAGTCCATCTGATACATGATGTGCACTGACAGAAGACCCCAGTGTGACGAGACCAAGCCAAGCTGTACCAAATGCCTCAAATTTGGCGTTGCTTGCAATTACGGGCTTTTTTCCAATACAAGTACCGGCGAGTTGACAATAGCGTTTCGCGGAGTTAGCAACATTGAGCCGATCCAAAGAGCACCAGTCTCCATGAGGGAAAGTATGAGGGGCATGATCAATCACTCACTGACAACTCACTCTAACCGATCTCACTCATGGATGCCCATCTATCAATTAAAACCTCAAGATATGGACATACTTGATAGGTTCTGGGCGAGGACCGTTCTCACCGTCGGGGCTGACACGACGCGGGCCTTGTATCAGAAAGAGTCCTACAGACTTGGCACTATGGTAAGTTCATGTGCGCCAGAGACTCCATTTGTATGTAATTTACCCTCTGATGTCTGGAAGCATTCGTTTCTGGCGCATCTAATGATGGCTGTCACTCTACAGCATGACCGTGCTACCTCGCCAGATCCCAGTGCACCGCCGTCTGCGGCAGAGCTTTTCCACACAGCACAAGGGACAGCTCTCTATAACAGTCGTCTAGCAAATCCAGACTCATGCTCGAGTTCTGAGCTCGATGCACTCTGGATTGGCTCTGCGTTTCTCGGGGTTGCTTCTTTTGCGTACGTCGAGGCACGCACACCAGCGGAGGCCTGGCCCCTCCAACCACGTCCCGCATCCGAACCTCACTGGATGACCATAGGTGATGGCAAGAAGGAGGTATGGCGTATATCGGATCTTACAAGGCGAGACAGTTCCTTGACTAAGCTCGTCCAACCCGTAGTGGATGTCTTCGTCACTGTGTCAGCTACGCCGACTCGAGGCGAGCTCTGCAATATACCTCCGGAAATTGTTCAGTTCTTGGAACTAGACAATTCAGAAACTCAGCAAAGCAATCCCCGCTTCGGTCCGGCAATCGCTCTGTCTCGGCTCATGCCGTTAGAGTACAACTCAACGACAATCCTGAAGTTTGTCCTTTTCCACATGCAAATGGAGCCCGAATTCCGCGACTTGCTTGATATGAAGGATCCCGGGGCGATGTTGTTACTAGCCTACTGGTACGCAAAAGTTAGCAAGTACCAGCAGTGGTGGACATGGCGTCGCGCGATCTTAGAATGCCAGGCTATCTGCATCTATCTCAGGAGATATCACCCAGATCTGCCGCACCTTGGGGTGGCGCTCCGATATCCTGAATCTGTCTGTGGAGGGTTCGGCGGTATCACAGTACATGGGCGTCAGCTGCAGTGATAAAGGGGCATCATCACTTTTAATTTTTGAGGCACGACTTAGAGATGAGAAAAGCATCTATCCCATCCGGACACGACTAGCCACTGCACCTCATGCGCATGCGTTTTCAACTTTATATACAAAATTCATGTTATGAAGACCAGCCAGAATTCCACACAAGATAGACTGGAAATTTCAAGGCCCGAACAGCTTCTCAAGTCGTACACTCCCAAGTTGCATTTGGTTAACCCGTTGAAACTGTAGTGTACAACTCACCTTTGGCTAGATCTTCGTCCACACTAATCATGGGATACTACAGCATTTGAAATTCTTGCCGCCTGGACAGCGATCTAAGGTCTGTCAGTGGAAAGATGATGCCACATAATGATGGAGAGAATTCACTATTTAGCCAATTTCCAGCAACGCAGGAGCTCGAAGTCCATTGGCACGAGGAATAAGGCCCCAGATAAGTGTCAGGAATTACGTCGCATGCATCAACGACACAGCATTTGACATCGTCGGGGTCGTATGGACAAGCCCCTGAAGTTGTCTTTCCCTTATATTTTGCGCAAGTGGATGTCTTGACGCAAATTCCATGGTCTTTCCATTCTCCCGTCGCTTTGCTTCCAGTGCAGTGTCCGTTGAGGGCGGCTAAGGAGCCCAAGGGCAACAGTAAGATAATTGTATGGACAAGGCGCATCGTGTCGCAAGCTTTCAAATGTAGACAGATATCAATTGTGATCTTGGGGTTTCAATTGTTGTTCAAGAACAAGAATGGCATGAATAGGGCATGCTCGGATCAACGCCCTCATGGGAACAACCGCCATGTTATGGACTGACTGCCACCGAGTGCCTGATAATAAGACGGAAGAATACAAAACCGTTGCCAGAATACCATCACAGCCAGGAGGCATGCAAATTAGTTGTAGCATTGTGTTGAACGGCTCATCCCAAGCCTGCTAATTTTGGGTACCTGAGGTCAATTTCCGTGTGGCTAAGTCCAGCTGCTGGTAGTTATTTTTGGGTATAACACACTGCTTGGTAGATCTCGTCCCCCTCGGTTGGTCTCAGGGGTGTTGGTGGCGCCCAATTGGAAGGGGCAGAAGCAGGCCTGGAAATTGCTGTTGCGCGAGCCTGACTTAAGCTGTGGCCAAGGAGAGCACAACTCTGATTCACTGGGCACTCCATTTCAAGTCTGAGGACGTCATAGCTACAGCAGACTGCTCAAGCACTTTGCATCGTCGCATATAAATTCATGTAGTAACCTTGACCATTTCGCCGACGTTTTGGCGCTTCTTGGCCATGAGATGGGTCAGCAATCGAGCTCTGCCCATCCAACCAGACGGCCGCCGCTACTCTCCGGCTCGCATCAGTAGGTTCGGCCTTGAGAAAGCACGTTTTCGAGCACCGAGGTCACATGGCAGGGATCATTGTCTTGGAAAGTTGTTACCCTTCAGAATCGCGGGTCCTCGTGTCCTTTGTCAAAGGACATGAATGCCGCATCCGTCAGTCGGCGTTCAGAACGCGAATGCGAAAGTGCAAGAACAAAGAAAGCCACGATCATTAGCTTGATCGGCGTAGCCCGATCCAATGTCAATTTTGAGATGGCAAGTTCCCATCATGAGAGAAGCTCTGTTGCCCTTGACGCATGAAAGGCATTTGGCCATTTCCCATTCCCATCGTAAAAACAAGCTGCATACCTAAGGATTCTATGGTCTTCCTCAGTCATTTCGCAGAACGTGTTGCGGTTCAGGGAGGTGGTACTTTATGAGTTCGACTTTCTGGCCATGAGCCAATCGCAGTAGACAGTTTGAAACGCCGTAAAATTTCACCTGGGTAGCATTCTATTCCACTGATCGCTGTAGAGGACCGCTGAAAGCCAGGCAGGCCCTTTGGCGCGCTTAGGAGTACTCTCCAACCGTCATCACTCAACATCACCTCCACCTTTCACTTGTCCCAAGTTTGTTTTACGACATCTCAATATTATCACATCTGTATCGTCATTCACTGGAAAATCCGGGAATTTGGATCGTGTTATGAACAGAGTCTAAGACAAGGCAGTTTGAAGCTCGGTCATGCAGCTCATCGTGCTACAAAAGTGGTAGAGATCTGCACAATGCCGAGCATGTACATGTACTCCTCCGGGGGTTGAGGGATTTCTGCGACAAAGGGGAGGAATCGAGGACTAGACTGTTTCCGCTTGACTTTTTGATTTTGGGGATCCAATTGTTCATTTGCGGCATGGCTACAATTGTCCAGCTCTTTCATCCTTATGGGCGACGCCAGGTTGAACAAAGAGCAGCCATGTTGGAGCTTCCGCCAGCCGCGCCCCCAACCAGCCCAATTGAACTCCACGAGCCAGCGGACTGCCATTCTGTGATGCACTTGCTTCCGGAATGGCGATGGTGAGCATCACCTCCCGGCCGGTCACGTCTCTGGGCTCTTTGTCTGGGCCCTCTTCAAATGAGCAATGGTGCCAGGTCCATGGCCCAGGACGCCTTTCCCACCAGTCCCGTTCTTCCTGTTCACGTTTCCATTGCATGTAATTGTATTTGCCCCTTAAAGGTCAATAAAATCGAGGATGATATCGAGTCTCTTCTCCGGCAAACGCAGTCAGAAAGCCACCGAACGGAAGAATCCTCTTGGGAAACTCCTCGGCAGTGACACAGTCAAGAGCATCGTCATCAATGAGAAGGATCGGAAGAGGCGCTCCAGACAACGTTGGGACTTGAGAATCAGCGCTTCTGATCCCGAGTTTCTGAAAGTCGAATCTGATTTCGAGCGTGCCCTGGCCGTGGTCAATCCAGACCAGAGCATTCAGGGTGTCCTCGATAGACACTTTACGGCATTCGAAAAGAAGCTGCTCACGCCAGTCGATAAGAGACGCCACCCGCAGCTGTACAAGATCCAAAGGCTGAATCGCAAGCGCTTTCTCCGGCTACTCAAATCACCGCGTTTCGAGAGCAGGAAGTCTACCGCGTCTCTAGCATTCAAGCTCACTCTATTATACTTCGGCCTCCCAGTTGCGCCAATGGGTTTCGGCATCGGCATCAATGACAGTATCGAGAACGAGGAACAGCTTGAATTAGACGTCTCAGACGATCACGACGACGCACCCATGGACCTTGTGGCAGAGGAGCTCCGGCCATTACGCTTTCTGAATGCGTACCAGAACCGGATGTGGGGGGCTGATTCATTGCGTGGTATGTTAGAATGTGCATTCTGTTCATATAGACCTAACGTGTGAAATAGACGGAGCAGAAGACTTGGAGGTTTACTATAGTGGACCGCGGTTCAAGCCGTCTAATCTCACCAGAAAGTTTGGTACAACGAAATCCATGCGAGAAGCATTGAACCTGCGTGGCGGTGGCCTAGTCGAGGAAGATGCGGACATGGCTGCCATTGAAGACGAAGCGCCGCCTGATGAAAACCAGCTCACGCTTCGTGGAGGAGCTGGTAACGAAACGACAGCGCCCATGATCCTTTATGGTCTGCAAGGCCAGACTCAGTTTGATATGACGATACCGCGTGATTTCTTCGCCGCAGTCAACCGTCTCCTGGGACTCACCGACCGCAACGTCACCGTTTCTTTTGCTTTGTGGGATAAGAAAGAGAGAATCTGGTCTTCTGAGCTATCAAGCTTACAGCTTGGCGACAAGCAGAGCGAGTTAGCTTATTACGGCAACTTGTACGACTTCATCAGTAGCGATGAATATGACAACGAAAATAATGCCCTGTTTGTCTGGACTTGGGGTTCGGATGTGCAGAAATACCTCGATTCTGTGGAACCCGATCCCAAGAGGCATCGTGTCGCCCGCTTCACGCTGAAAGACTCACACTTTCACGATGTCGCTTACCTCTCTATACCAGAAAGTCACGAGGTACACGCCGGAGCGAACTACTATGAAGACTGGTTCAAGGCAATTCTTCGCATCCTATGCCGCATTGGGGATGGAGAAATCGGTGATAAGAGTGTCAGCCCATATCTCTCCAATTTCGTCCGCCTGGTTCACCAGAATAATCCTAACACGTCATACGGTACGACAAGTTGGCCTAGATTTGTGTGGGAGAACGTCCATGGTATGTGGGTGGAAGTAAGCATCACAGACTTCCAGATTGAGATACTACCCGGGGTCTTGAGCGAGGGTGAAATGTCCTTTCAGGTCTATGGATACAATAAGTCTTGTTTAGGACCTGGCAGGCCGCTTCAGGGACGCGATCCAAGGGCGTTTGTGGAACTTGTGGAAGAGTCCTTGCCAGTGAGCGAGTGGAACATTGCCAATGTCGTGGAAATTCATGGGTATAAGGAAGGACAGAGACATAAGACAGGGTTCCACACTCTCCATCTCAGAAATGGAGAGGATGCTAAGAGCTTCGACGAGCTCAAGAAGACAATGCAAGGAAGTTCGCTATTGACTGGTCGGGCGCTGTGGGATGACTACGAGGCAGTCGCTCCCAAACCCCCAAACCACTTCTTCCAGTTCCGACTCGACGATACATGGCAAAGTTTCGAAGACAGGGTTGACTCGCAGATTGTCAAGAAAAACCCCAAGCTTGCACATCTTCAGCGTGGAGACTATGGCATCCAACTCGACGAAAGAGATGCGTATGATGAAATGGGTTCAATCAACCGCATTGCTTACGACTTCTTCACTGAGAAACAAGGCACCAACACTGGGGAAAACGACCTTTTATGGAGCCGATTCACGAAGCGTATCTCTCGGTCCAAGGTCTACGTTGAGATCTTCGAGGTTGCCAAACATCCCGCCAGACTAAGAGAGGCCAACCCAAGCCAATGCATCTTCGGTTATCAGGACCCATATCGAGAACGCCCGCGCTTTAGTGTCCTGTCCACTGTTGAAGTAGAACCTACACCTGATCCACCCAAGGACACGGACAAAGGGGACGACAGCGATGATGAGCCTCCCCCGCTACCCTCTATTGAGGAGGCATTGGCACTAAATAAGCCTGTTGGTGGTACAAGTTCATCAAATACCACTGTTCCCGTCCCGAGTGTTCCTGTTACAACCACTCCTATTACGGGTGAGAAGCAGCCATTGTCTCAGCATACTCCATTACCAGAGAGCGAAGAGGACAAGGCCAGTCGTATCAAAGCCTTTGAAGCACCGGCTCAGCGCAAGCCATATGACGAGAACCCGCCGCCTCGACTCGCGGCAATGAGCGAGTTCGAGCGTGGCAGGCTGGCTCGCGAATGGTCTTACGGCCGACCGTTGTCTGTGAACGCCGAGGGCTTGCCGCCTACCTTCCCCATCAATGCCCCTCCCGTAGAACACATCATCAGGACCAATAGCTCAAGTATGCCAGCCGTTGCAGCTCAGCTGCTCACCGCTTCTGAACAGCGCAGGCTGCAGGGCAATCTCTTTGAGATGCGGCAGATCGCGCTGCAGAGGACACAGAAGTGCCCTTACGACTCCTGCGAGATATACTTCCCCCTTGCGGAAAATTGGCGACTCCAGGGACATCTCAAAAAGCATCACACCGGCAAGGAGTGCCCTTTCTGTCCAGAAATTCTCTACGAGCACTGGAGTCCGGCACAGCAACGCAAGCATTTTGAGGAGAAGCACGCCGACCACTTCTCTCAGAAGGGTGATCTGGCGAGAGACTCTTCTATCCAAGTCAAGGATCTCGAGCGAGTCCACCCTCGCGAGCAGCAATACAACTTCTGCCCTCGCTGTGGACGCAACCATCACACTCTCGACAGCAAGGCCGATCGCACGCAGCATGACAATCATTGTTTCCCCGGTATGAGCATCACCTTCAAGCCCCACACATGGTGCGTTGACTGTGGCGAGGCCATTGACAAGAACCCCCATTCTGCGGGTCTGTCCGGCAACGCGCCAGATGCCCACATGTGCACTATGGACAAGAGCCAGGCTGCCGGAAAGGCAGAGCACCCTTACTGCGAGCAGTGCGGATTGGCATGTGGTCTGTTCTCTAGGCGCTATGCATCGAAGCACTTGCATCACTGCAAGGGCCACGGAGCAGAGCTGGCCAAGTTCTGCCCATGGTGCGGTGTCGATATGGGTCTCGACAGCAATGTGCGCCTTGCCCATCTCGCCGGGTGCAGCAAGTGTCCCATCGGTGCTGAGGGTCCCATCGACATCTCGACTGGCGACCCGACGCCGAGCCCGCTGCTGAACGAGGAGATCTTGCGGAAGAGATTCTTCGCTAGCAAACCTGGCACCGTCGAGATTCCCAAGAAGTGCCCCTTCAATGACTGCCAGACCGACATGTCATTCCTGAACGCGAACGGCATTTTCCGCCACTTCCTCGACAAGCACGGCGATGTCCTCGGGAACGTGGACACTTGCCCCTATTGCGAGCTTGACTTTGATAAGCGAGGTTGGAAGACCAGAGTGGACAAGGTCGCCCACTTTGACGACCATCTGAGCAAGTACCGCAGCCGGATCGCGGCGGATCGGACCATCAGCACACTGTCTGAGTTGGATCCTCTGGTCATTGCAGCTCGCAGGAACCGCGACGCCGATATCGTGGACCCGTTTGCGGAGCAGACTGGCTTGGAGGGGAACTACGCCGCGTCTCGAGTCGAGCTGCATGCTGCGCTTAATGACTTGAATCAAGTTACAGAAGAGCTGAATGCGCTCAAGAAAAAGCTGAGCAGTGGAGCCAACAAGTCATCGAAGGAGAAGGAGAAGGAGAAGGAGAAGGAGAAGCAAGAACAAGAAAAGAAGAAGAAGCAAGAACAAGAGAAGAAAACGAAGGAACAGGAGGAGAAAAAGAAAGAGAGCCAGAAGCAGAAGCAGGAACAGGAAAGAAAGGACAAGGAAAAGAAGGAACAGGAGAAGAAGGATGAGTCCAACAGCAGTACTACAGGTGAGTCTCTGAGATCTGAAGGGAAACATGATGAGATGACTGACTTCACTGTCTTCAAAGGTAAAGATCCGGCCGGCCCCAAGACCCCTCCACCAAAGCCACCAGGCTCGGTGAATAGAACACCAAAGGAGACCCCGAGCACCCCCAAGCCTAAGCCCAAGCCGGGTAAGAAGCCACCGGCCAAGCCCTCAAGAAAGCGCAAGTTCGACGACGATGGAACGTTCAAGCCGGGCGAGAATGAGGCTGAGTCTGAGGATGAGCTTGCTGGGCCCCCGTCGCAGAAGCCGAAGGATGGCTCGAATGGCAAGAAGCCCGCCCCTAAGCCGCCAGCTGCTGGCGAGAAGGATCCCACGTTTAAACCGGCACGGCGGCTGTCTGATGGCGACGACGACTACACAGAAGGTCTAGTTCCGGAGCCAAAGCCGGATATCGAACTGGAGCGTCCGGAGGCGCCCCCGTCTCAGAAGAGACCACGCGTGGAGCCGAAGCCACCGGCTAAACCGGCCAAACCAGCCCAAAAGAAGCCTGCAAAGCCGGCGACAAAACCTCCAGCAGCTACTTCCGGTCGGGTTACTAGGTTGGCCGCGAAGAAGCAGCGGGAGGATGCCGAGAAGGCAAAGAAGGCTCCTTGAGGTCTGTTCTGTGAAGGGAGGGAGACGGCGGAAGGGAAGTCGGGGTGTTGCCCGATATGGTGAAGAAGCTTGAGGAGGGTCAGGTGAAGACGGGATGGGATGCCTTGGATATTCTTTCATTATTACTCGTCTAGTTGTGCATTTTTCCCTGCCTGCCTGTCTTTCTTTCGTCCTGTCAACGTTACTGGTAGTTTGAATATACATTCATATTGAATTAACCATCGAGCCTTTTCGGTGGAAACAATCGATTCCATTTGTATCGGCAACGTCTCATAGTACAAGCGTCTCAATGGCGGTTTCGTTGCTAAAAAGCCTTGAGCTGATGTAATTCACCACGGGAGTCGGACAGTCCCGACCCATTGCCCTGCTCACGGGTGTCTTGACTAACTCTGCTCCGTGAACAGCAGACAGCCCCATCTCCTTAAGCAATAATTGACCCCCTGGCTCACGGGTGCTTGCTGCTTATACTTACAATACGGTGAGCATGGCGGTGAGGCACGGTAAGAAGATGGTACGGGCATGGTCAGGGTTGCCCATGGTCCGTCCAGTACTCGTATCCGCAGACTTATAGCATCTACTCCAATAGGCATTTCAGGTTGCACCTTGCACCACCGCCATCGGTAAACGCCGCCGTGACGGTCAAACAGACCTCTAGCATCAGGAGTCTCGGTGCCTCTCATGGTTGTTTGTTGAATGTCGGGGAACTGCCGACCCGACACTGCTCTCATACGCGTGTACATGGCTTCGTGAGAGACCAAGTACCTGATGTAATTCATGCCGGATTGCTTTGGCGCCTTGCCCCCGCTAATCGGAAGATTGGCCAGCGTGGCATACGCTAATGGGGACGCCACGGCAGAGATGCAGGCGCCTCCACCCGTATTGTTAACGAGGTTAGGGAAGGGAAGGTGAGTGGTCTTCAGGGATGTGTTTCTGGAAGGTCAACCGCTAAAGTACCTAAGATACCTACCTACACCTTACCGGGGCCAATCCGACAGGTTGCCGACCCGCCCGCCCCGACAAGCGCATCGTCGTCGTCGTCAACCGTCAACTCAAGACGGGAGACGGGAGACGGGAGACGGTCCAAACTTAAACGGTCACACTCCTGCCCCCGTTCACTCCCTCACTCCCTCACGGTGCACAAGATGGCCCTCTCTCCCTCGGCCTCTTCCCTGGGGGATTGTGATTGTATATTGTTATTCTTCTTCTTCTTATTATTATAATCTGTCTGCGCCTGTCATCCTTCTTCTATACCTCATCCTCATCATCATCATCATCAAATCCACTTACTTACATCTCTTATCACGGCACAGCGCCAGCTTCCTGCAGGTTCGGTGATCCTCTTATCAGACACCTAAGCATCTTACGTGTCTTAGTATATTATGCACCCTACCGCCCTCACAATCCGGTCTCGGCTGAGCCTCTGATGGTCCCTCAGAGACTCGACTGTGTCCATTGGCGATATACTGCTGTTTGCCACCGAAATCAGCGACTTATACTTGACTAGTCGCGACGCGCGCCGCCCGTGGGGAATAACGTCATGCACGAAGCTGCCACCAGGTAAGCTCCCCTTCACACACACAACTTGACCCTCAGCCACAGCAATAGCCTTCTGTGAATGGAACAATCACCTAACGAATATGGAAGGCTTCATCACAGGATCTGAAAATGTCGGTCAAAGCTCGCCAACGGCTCATACCTGAGCTTCTACATCTAGCAACAAGACCCCAACCTCGCATACGGGAATGCCTCTTCTGCAGCTGGCGCCGATCGATACACTCCCCCCCAACAGCTCGCCGACGTCCCGAATATAGCAATTCCTCCTCGTCCAAGCTCCCGCCGCCGAAACGTGCCAGCATTGGAAAGCCAGCGGCGGCCCTGCTAGCGGGAGGCGGTCTCTTCTCCTTCCTCTACGCCATTTCCAACCCCGACTCAGAAGACGACCACCACAAAGCCCAGGCTGAAGACAAGGCGGCATCTCCACCAGCAGCAGCTGACGAGCGCGATCCCTCCCTGCCACGGTTCCGTCTCACCGACGTCCGCAAGCACAATGCCTCTTCCGGCTCGCCCTGGGTCACCCACGACGACAAGGTCTACGACATCACAGACTGGGTGGCCGCCCACCCCGGCGGCGACGTCATCCTGCGCGCGGCAGGTGGCTCGATCGACCCCTACTGGAACATCTTCACCATCCACAAGGCCGCCCACGTGTACGAGATCCTGGCCCAGTACCTGATCGGGTACATCGACGCCGCCGACCTGGTCGACGGCCGGCCGCCCCGCGACGCCGTCGAGGACCCCTTCGAGAGCGACCCCGTCCGCGACGCCCGCATGACGGTGCACACCGCCAAGCCGTGCAACGCCGAGCCGCCCAACGACCAGCTCGAGGCCGAGTTCCTGACCCCCAACGAGCTGTTCTACGTCCGCAACCACATGTGGGTGCCCGTCGTGGACGACCAGAGCGTGGACAAGCACACCCTGACCGTGGAGCTGCCCGACGGCGAGGAGCGCACGTACACGATGGGCGAGCTGCGGAGGAAGTTCCAGACGCACCGGATCACGGCCGCGCTGCAGTGTTCGGGGAACCGACGCAACGACATGACCCGCCACGCCCACAAGACGAACGGCCTCCAGTGGGGCGTGGGCGCCATCAGCAACGCGGAGTGGGAGGGCGTCCGGCTGATGGACGTGCTCAAGGACGCCGGGCTGAAAGTGGCAGACTTGCACGACCTCACGGCGGTCCGGCCTCAGAGCGATGACGAGGGTGCCTCATTGCCAGACCCGAACACGCACCACGTGCAATTCTCGGGGCTCGAGGCCTACGGCGCTTCCATACCTCTAGCCACGGCCCTCGATCCTCGGAACGACGTCCTGCTCGCCTTCAGCATGAATGGCAAGCCCCTCCCGCGTGATCACGGCTTCCCTCTGCGCGCCGTCGTGCCCGGCCACGTTGCCGCCAGATCAGTCAAGTGGCTCAGCAAGATCGTCGTCTCGGACGAGGAGAGCTCGACGCAGTGGCAGAGGCGCGACTACAAGGGCTTTGGTCCAAACGAGGGGCCCAAGCCCGACTGGGACCGGGCCGCGGCTATTCAGGAGTTGCCCGTCACCAGCGCTGTCACGGGCGTGTGGGTCGGGGAGTCTGTCAGAGACGGAGGCATCCCGTGCTCGCAATCGTCGCAAAACGACATCTCAGAAGAGAGCCCGCCGATCGCCCTGCAAGGCTACGCCATGTCCGGTGGCGGGCGTGAGATCCGGCGAGTAGATGTAAGTCTGGACGGCGGCAAGACGTGGGACCAGGCCGAGCTGCTGGACGACTGCCCGCCGTCCGCACCTTGCAAAGGGAACAAGGCCTGGGCGTGGAAACGCTGGCGATACACCAGCAGCCTCCCACAGATCACGGCCCCGACCGACAGCCAGAAACGGCAGTGTACGACGATAGTCGTCAAGGCCACCGACGACTCGTACAATACGCAGCCAGACACCCACGCTGGGGTGTACAATGTGCGCGGCAATCTTGCCAACGCCTGGCATCGAGTCCGCGTTTGTCCCAGCTGTACCGTGACCGAGGCCGGCGACAAGAAAGTCATCTGGCGAACCGGCAAGACATTTGGTTGCGGCTTCCAGCAGGAAAAGGAAGACGAGAAGTTGGAAGAAGGGCCCTCACCATGAAATGCCTCTTAGCATGTAATCATCTTTTGTCAACACAAGAGATTGTAATTTTATCCCTACTTTAATTATGGCAAGCGAGGCGCTATCCGGGAGAATTGTCGAGGATGGACTTCTCGCAGGAGGCGAATAACCGATATTGTAGCTAAATCACGGCTAGTAACTTGTGATTAATATGAGAAAGACAATCAGATATTCTAAGTGTATCTCTATGATGATACAGCTACAAGTATTGTACATCTCTTACATCCACCTCGCTATATGAAGCCTTCAAGCCTCACTCGTTGTGGAGGGACGACTGCTCGTTATGCGAGAGCATTTCTCCATTACAGCTCCTCATCGTCATCGCCTTCTGTGAAGTACTCGAAGTCGTCGGGAACAGCGGCCTCCTCAGCACCCTCCTCATCCTCATCGACAGCGGTGAGCACACCTGCTGCTGCTGCTGCACCACTCTCATCAGCATCACGCCCACCAGCACCTCCAAACAAGTCGAGGGCACGGAGACCATCAGTCTGGCCACTGCGACGAAGGAGCTCGTTGATTGCGTTAACACCAGGACCACCTTCGCGTAGGGCTCGATCAACTGCTTGGCGATAGCCCGAGGAAGTGCGGTCCAACCCAGGGGTAGCGCCGAGACGAGAGCTGGAGGCACCACCGCCAGGGGTCTGGCCCGCAACCGGAGCCCTCTCGGTCGTAACCTTCTTCAACTTCTCCTCAAGAAGCTCCTTGGGCTCATCCGGCTGAGTATCCTGAAGGAGGAGGGGTCCACCGGTTGGCTAGAAGCGAGAGTTAGCACACCATTTCAGTAGCCGAGAATCCGTGAATGAAAACTAACCTTCTTGACCGGCCTGTATCGCCCGGCGGGGAAGCTGATGTACTTCAGCTGGCCTGGGAGGACGCGTGACATGTTCTCAACCTCATAGCCGACCTTCTCTTTCTCGGTCTTCTTCTTACCATCTGGCGTCGCAGAAGCCTCCTTCTCACCTTCACCCTCCTTCTTGTCCTTTGATTCCTCACCTGGCTTGGCCTTCTTGTCATCATCCACCTCCATCTTATCCCCAGCAGGCGGTGCCGAAGTCTTGGCCACGGTTGGAGTGGAGTCAATATCCATGCTCTCACGTCTAGCGGCACGTTCCTTCTGTTGAGCTCGTCTCTTGGCTTGTGCTGTGGTAGATAAGACAGCAGTTGTGACCAAGGTAGGGCCCTCTTCAGTCTTGACCTCCTGTTCGGGCGGGTAGTCAAATAGACTGGGTCGCGTAGCGCAGTGGAACTTGAAACTGGGGATCTCGAGGTCGTGATCGAGACCGATTACAGACGTAGGCACGAAGGACAGGGACAGGAAGTGGGTGGATGGGAACCAGTACCAATACTGGGTGAATACAGCCATACCCACAATGCCTGCCATGTTCAGGTTGCCGGTCTGTGTCTGCAAGCCAATAGTGCAGTTGCGACCGCCGGCATCAATGATACCAAGAGCCAAGGATGCACCAAACTTTGTCATGGCATCCTCGTGACGATCGCCAACGACCTTCTTCAGCGTCTTCCTGATGGAAGCGACCTTGGGATTCATGACTTCGTTCTGTTGAACCATGATCATAGCTAGGGCAATCAGAGCGCCTTGGCGGACGAAGTCAGTAGGGTCCTTCATCATAGGCTCAAGCAAGTCGATTGCCTCGTCGAGGCCAGTACCCGCGCAAGAGATACCCAGTGCCATGGCAGAACCATAACGGACGTGAGGGTTGTAGGACTCGGAGAGAAGCTCCACCATGCGAGGAACGCTTCCAGGTTTCCGGAAGAGGATGAAACCAAGAGACATAACGGCGATTCGGCGGACATCGTCATTCACATCGCTGACGGCAGTGTGCAGCAACTTGCGAATAGCCTTGTTGCTTCCGGTGCCGCAATACGCCATGGCAACAGTGAGAATACCTCCGTATCTCAGAGTCGGATCAGGGTCGTTCAGCAGACCCTCAATCATCACATCGGCACCTTCCTGGCGGCCAAACATGATGAGGGCCATACCGATGGCGCAACCACGTACGATCTTCTCATGAGTCGTCTCATGAGCATAAGTGAACATGATCTGTAGGGCATTGGCATTGCCAGTGCCCAGCATAATCAAACCCATCGCAAGACCAACAGCCTCGCCATTCAGCGCAGAGTCGGCATATAGAACATCTTTGAGATTATCAAAGATATTTTCAGAACCTGTAGCCATGCCTGCAATACCAAGTCCTAGAGCACCACCGTGCTGGATCACCTCTTCTTCGGCTGACAGGAACTGGTTGCGGAGATAGTCTAGAGCATCTGCACCATGGTTGGCATGAATGAGGCCATAGGCATAGAGCGCACCGCCCTGGCTGAAGATTGAGCCGCTGTTGATACCGCCTTGTCGCGGCAGGTAGGGCTCGAGCAGTTTGCGTGATTGGCTCAGATTACCACGGTGGATAACGCCCAAAGCGGCTGTTGCAGTGAACTTGGACCAGTTAACTGCCTTTCCAAGCCATTCCAGATTGTCACGGAAGAATTTATCATGCGTGGTACCGGCGTTCATGAAGGCGTTGCAGAATGTGACGGCAGTATGGAAGATCGAATTGCGACTCTCCAAACTATCCCGAACCTTGTTCAGAATGCTCAGATCGGTGTGGTTGTTGCGGTACAAGAACTCCAAGTTCAGCTTGATAGCTTTACTGCCATCCAGGATAGAGCGGATATTCTTGTAGGCCTTGCTCAGCTCATCCGAGACCTCTTCTTCAGCGGGCTCTTCTTGGTCCTTCAAGAGTGGCTCGCTTTCCGCTGCCTCTTCGCCTTCCTTCTCGGCCTCTGGCTTCTTTGGTGGCTCGCCAGATGGAAGAGACTCGATCACCTTGGCAAGGAACTCTTGAGTTCCATTGTCATAAAGATCAAAGGCAATCTGGTATGCGTTTGCAATGGAGTCCCGGTCACCATTGGTGACAAGCTTGCGTAGCATTGTTGATGCCTCTTCATCAGAGTCAAGATAGACAACACATTTTGCGATGGCAAAATAGTCTGGGTTGGGTATGTCGTTTAGTAGATCGAGAATAAGTCGTAGAATCTCGGTCCGTAAGCTGCGTTCCTGCACAATATCCATACAAATGCTCAGCGCATACTCCATGAGCTCCTCGGCAGGGCCGTGTGTTGCATCCTGAGACTTGCTCTTGGAGCGCTTTTCGTCTTCGCTAGCACGTCGAATAACCCTGCGGAGAACAGCAAGATTCTTGGCTTCCACGGCAATGCCAACGACTTGCCTGTAACGTCCCTCCTTTAGACAAGCCTCGAAAAGACGCTCAATGACCCTTTGCAGAGCAAGTTCCCGATCCTTGTCAGGGAGTTGCGCAATGGAGTTGGATCGTCCTTCCTTGGACGGAGGTTGGAAAGTCGGATCGAGCATTGTGTTGTCGGTCGATGCGCGGGAAAGGAGGGATTTGGAAGGCAGCGCGGATTGGGAGAAGGGCGTGGTGGGGGAGATCAAGGCAGATCCGTCAGCGGAGCCTGCGGCGAACGTGGTCTCGAGAGCGGGAAGAGAGTCGTTCCTGGACTGCTTGGATGGGGTGTGATGGGCGGACGAGATGGCGATGTACTGGTCAACACACTTGGAGATGATAGTCTCCTCGAACTCGCCTGGGGCATCAAGCTTGAAGAGATCGCCAGCGGCCAACGCAAAGGTCATGCTCTCATTGTATGCCTGCAGATGATAATAGACCTTGGCGAGGACAAGGGCAGCCAGCTGACGCTCAGGGAAGCTTTCGTCTTCGTAGAGTCCCTCGCTGTTTTGGATGAATGGTTAGTTCATTATCTTGGGTGGTGACAGACAAGATCTTGAGGGGGCATCATCGTACATTTGGCTGAGAGCACCAGCAACCTCCGTCCAAACGGTGTCGATATCATCGTTGAGCGTCTGCAGGGCAAACACCTTAAGTTCGGGTTCCTCATCGGCAAGGAAGCCGAGCACGCCCGTTGCTGTGACAAGCCCGGGCATGTTGGGGGAGTGCGCGACGACAACGAAGACTGCGAGGTTTACCGCCGATCTACGAGTGTTATTATCAACTACCAGCAGTGGTAGAAGTCCAGATACAAATCGAAGAAAGCGGCCGAGATGGGGAAGAAAGAGGGGAATGGAGTGAGGTTGTTTGTGGTTGAATGTTTGATGGGAAACGAGGCGAAGATGCTAGGTCGAGTTGCTGGGAGCCGGAAGGAGGCACGAGCCGCGATTATTGATCCACGTCAGGCACAGCTCTGCCTTGCGACACCTTGCAGCTTCCCCTTCGTCTTGAGTTTCTACGCTAACCTGTTCTGGGCAAGCTAGAAAGCTCTCCCTGCAGGGTCGCAGGACAGATGAGACCAGCTGGCTGCCAGCCGGCGCTCCATCAAGTGGGGTCTAGGCCATTGCTCTTTGTTTCAGGCGTGCTTACTTCATTATCTTCAGGCACTAGTACGACACTCACGTGATGAAAGCTAGCTCAAAACGGTCGTACTAAATCCCAGCGAACGCGTCACAGGCAGTTCCAAGAGGAGACAGCTACTGGAATGGATGGGCCGGGGCCCTTTTTGCGTGGGTGCTGTGTTACAGTGACGCTGGCTGGCACTCAAAATTAATTTCTTGGGGGGCAGCTTTCCAATCCCAAGGTTTCGGTTCACTCGAGTCGAATGGTTAAGCTACCTACCAGCTTTGATTATGTAGGTACACTGCAAATGCATAGTAAGGGCAGCAGGTTTTTGTTAGTTTACAGACTGCGCTGGCTGTTATCGGCTGAGATAGAGTACACGCACTACACTTCAATAGTCTTGGTATTTATTGCAGGCTGAAAGAGAGAGCATGGCTTCTTGTATTGGCCGCAAACGTAAAATGTCCTCTACTGGCAAACAAAGCTCTTCAGTTCTGTTAGGGAGACATGGACTTAGTTGGCAGGACACTAGCAGTTTCACATACTCTCTACGCGGAACTCTGTTAAGACAGTACAACTGATTTTTTACCATTACTAACAGCCTGGGTAAGACTCTGAGGGAAGGCTCAAGCACAGCTTGGCGCCTCCGTAAGGTTGCTACTCCAATTCATTGCTTGTCTAAAATCGCACAACTTTTCCCACGGCCGGGACTCTGTCCAACACCAACTCCGAACCCCCATCCCGCGTTGCGCCGGGCTTGATGGCATCTACGCCATTGAGAATAGACGCGCTGCCATCCAATCCTCAATTTTGACCCTCCCAACAGCCCGTCGCGGCGCTGTTTAGGTGCGGCTACTGCCCTCATCCGTTTGACTTAGGCCGCCATCCGCCCTCAGTCAGCCAGTCACGGTGTCTCCGTCCCTTGTAACCTTTGCTTCATCCTGATCAACGAGACGATGTGGTAGTAGCCGTTTGCGCTGTGCTGCCCAAACGAGATCGAATCTGCGAGCGCCATTCGAAGACGTCGCCGCGCTCCGTGAACCATCGGCGCTCTTCACAACGTCCTCTGTTCGCTTTTGGGAGCATCGCCAGAGAACTGGTCGCATTCATGAGTTCGTGACCTCGTGTGCACTGGGAAGAGGGGGTTTCAAAGTCAAGAATTGCGCTCTTGGTGACCGATCAAGAGTTGGGATAAAGCAGCGCGCCTCTTTGGGATAGACCGCGCCCAAGAGCCATCCATCATGGATCTTCGGTCGATGCTGAACGAGGGCACGGCGCCTGCTGCCGCTCCCCCTACTCCAAGCAAGGCGCCGCCGCCTCCCCACCAGCATCAGCAGCAAGCTCCTCCGTTGACGCCTGTTCAGACCGCGCCGCCGCAGTCATTTCGCGATTACAGCCAGTCGACACAAGCATCGCCCGGTCGAGTCGCGTCACACGACTATCCATCCCAGCAAACGCCTTTTGGGTCTCCGCCCCCTTATCCTGCTGCCGGCACACCATACGCCTCCCGACCAGCACCTCCTCCATTGCAGCCGCTCTCAAACAACGATGTGCGATCCCCGAGCGTATCCTCGATTTCTGGGCCTTCCCCCTCATATCGTCATACTCCCACGAGTTCCGTAAGCGGTGTCGCAGGCTATCCGTTTCCCCCGACACAAGCCGGTCCTGCGAGCCCTGCGCAACAGCATAGATACCCGCCCTCGACGGCATATCCGCCGAGGGATGGTTTCTCTCAGCCTCCTGGTCCTGGCGGCGTCGCCGGTCCGCCCGGCGCTCCCTCATATATGCCAGGACAGGCTATGCCACAGACACCCCCTATTGGTACACCCGGCAGTGCTCATCCGTATCTCCATCAACGATCGCAATCGACCCATTCGACGTCGACGCCGACTTCAGCTCAGAGCCAACAGCAGTATGGCCCGCCATATGGCAGCCCCGTTGTGAGCACGCACCCATTACCACCCTCGGAGTATGCCCGGCAGCCATCTCAACCTCCTACTCCGCTTGGCCCGCCGTTATCAGCTGGCCCGCGACCGTCTCCTGGCGGCGGCAGCTTTGCGCAACCACCAAGTCCATATCAGCAGCGAATGTCGGCTACAAACCCATATCCCTATCAATCCCAACAACAAATGTCTCCAGCCCCTCCTCCACCGCCTTCACTTCAAAGGACGTCTACAAACCAAAGCCTGTACGACGCGCCACATCCAGTGGATACGCACCGCCGCTCTATCTCTCAGAGTGACCGCGAACGCAGCGTCAGCGTGAGTCCAAAAACTCGCGTGCCAAGCCTTCCTAGCAGTACCGGGCACCAATCCATCTCTGGCGCGCCGCCCGACTCAGAAGCTCGTCACCTCTCACAGGGCCATATGCCAATCATTGATCCCATGGATCGTGAACGGGCAATTACGCCAGCGAAGCGGAAAATGGAGGATAGAGATCTACGGCCTGATGAGATTGAGCGGCAAGAACGTCGGCCTCCGCCGTTCGAAGCCAACGGCTCCTACATGCCACATGTCGCGTCTAGGGCATCTGCCTCGCCGCTCTTACAGCGCAAGAAGCGACTCCGACATACAGCGCCACCTATTTGGGCGCAGGCCTATGACGGCAGGCAGCCGTTGAATAAAGGGAACTTCATCGTGCGGAAACCCACGCCACTATCTCACACCCATGTCAATGGGAAAAGTGACACCACCACGCAGGCAAAGCATGAGCGTGTGTCTAGTAGACATGTCTCTCCAGACGCTGCGAGGTCCAGTGTACCTGCACCTCAAGCTTCCCAGTCACAGCCTGCTCCTGTACAACCTCCGCCTTCAGGTCCGAATCCATTGCTCGGACCTTGGGAGCCCGCTATTACTGGCAAAAAGCCACTAGATGAACTAGCAAGACAAGTCGCGGACTTCTTGTTTATGAACGTCATCCACAACCAGGACATTGGTGATATACAGGGCTACGTGCAGAGAGGGGAGCTCCAATGGGAAGTCGAAGCCAAACTAGGTACTCTTGTTAGTAAAGAGCACCAGGCCAGGGTTTACTTTCCCATTACAACAGAGAGTATCCTCTCTGATTCATCGCGGATCATGTTCGTCAGCAGCATGACAGAGGTAAGCATTACAGCCGTCGACTTTTATCCTGTACCACTCTGATCACCTTACTAATTGGAAACCTACAATAGACGCAGCATAAGTCGTACAATGACTGGCTCAATCTGCAAGTTCTCGAGACTGATGCCCGTAATCCTAAATGCCTCCAGAATCCGCGCGTGCCTATCAAATACAGGCATCGTCGCGAAATGGATCGCTTTTATGAGCTGCCTCCTGCTATGAGGAATCGGTTGCCCCCACCGGTACAGAATCTTCTTAACACGAAGCATCGTGTCAAAGTGCGAGTAACCACCGACAAACAGTCGCAGCAAGTCCTTGCAAAGATTGTGAAAGTGAGGGTCGCCGATCTCGACATTCATTTTCCAGACACCACTCTGGACTGCCGCATAAGTGTCAATCTAGAAATAGACTGGCACGATTCAATACAAGAATTGGAGCAGCTCGCTGGGAACGCACAGATTGATCGGCAATCTGACCGCAACAAGGATCGGTTGAGCTACTCTCAGAGTCATTACCAGATCGATCTCACACAAGTCACTCAGAAGATGCCCGGTCCCAGTGTAAGTCCTACCCAAGCTGCACCCAATGATGATGTTCCCGAGTCCAGTATCGCTAATTCCGTTCTAGGGCACTGAGCGAGTGCAAAAGGAGCATGAACTCGAGATTGAGGTAGATGGACCTGCACTCGTTGATCATGGTACTCGTGCGTTGCACGGCGAGCTATCCGCCTATGCGGAACTCGTTGAGGGCTTTGTGGACAATATTCGTCTATTGGCGAGGAAAGCCAAGGAGTTCGGCGGCAACTGAAGCTTCGGCTGATGGTCATGTTACCTAGGGCATGGTTCCCGGCTTTCGAAGGTCGGATCGCCGAACCATTTCTCTGTATTCTTATTTGATTCCCTCTGTCAGCTGGTGTGAAGGGTGATCCGCAATATGGCGCAGGTCATCTCGGAAAGGTAGTCTTAGATACCAGGAGTCGATAACGGGTTTACATTTTGAGCCGGCGGAGCAAAGTATGGTTGATTTCGGCACAGCAAGAGCGCAAGCGCGTCCCTTCTAATGGAAGCACAAAGATTCCTGAGTAGCAAGATTGCAGCATATTCTGAGGCATGTGGCTCGATTTGTGCTAGTGTTTAGAGGCGACCTCATGATCTACGCCTTAAATAAACAACTTTGAGGTACAATATTTTCCAAGTGATTAGGTTTCACCTGTCCCCGTGTTGATGTGGCGTACGAACATTGTCTGGCTGAACAATCAAGTAAGCTTCAAGGGCGCACAGCATCTTGTGATCATTAGCCTTACATCAGTGCCATAAGGTGTAAAGCATGTACTCAGGTAAATACACCTCAATAAGTGATTTCTTTGATCTAACTGAAAATCTCAAAGCAATTCTCCTCATGTTTCGAGCTACATATTTGTCGTCGTTACTATAGTTGACAAAGTTCTGCCGAACGTGAGTCTGAAATTGCAGGTTATTTGTTTCAAGGGCCTCCATTTCCGAGTTCATAAGCGTTTTAGAGACTTGTGGAGTTAGCAAGCCCGATACTACATTAGATTTGCATCACCGTGATTTGTCAACTGCTCCTGCCTCTCAGCCTTTTTTACCTCCAGTCCCGCTACCCTTTCCCGACATCTACACATCTCCAAAACGGCATCAACATGGCCCAATCCGGAGGCTTAGCAGACCAGCCGCCTTCATATCAGGAGTCGGCGGAGTCGGAGGCTGTGATAAGCGCAACTAACACCCTTCAACCGGCCGTGCTGCGCTTAGCCGAACGCTTTGTCTACTCGTCTGAGAGCAGCACCTCACCACCGTTGTATGAGCTGTCGCACAGTATTGACTACCTGCGCGAAACACACCACGCGGTGACCTTTGAGAGACTAGACCACAGTATAAAAGGGAAGACAACTACAACCCCGCAAGTGACAACCCGGAAGAAACTGATCTACACGCTGCGACACCCACCGGAGATCACCTTCCCTGAGTTTCCTTATTACGCCGAGGCCAGCTCCCGACAGGCTTTTGGAAACTTGGTGATTAAGAAAGTGCGTTCTCTCGGAAGGAAGAAGACATTGATCGTATCCAGAATCAAGCCTTCGTCAAAGAAAGACGTGGACTTCGAGGAGGCTGAGAAGCTGTTCGAACTCAGGCAACTGGAACGAAAATCTACGGTTTACGAGTGGGCTTTGGCATCCAGCCCTCAACTGCAGGTCCTTGCTGTGGAAGATGACGAAGACGGCCTGTATCGACTGACCATCAAAGTACCGGCTGACCGCATGACCATTGACGCGCTTGTTGCGGCTTGGTGTCTAAGGTTATGGCAAGATGTTGCCGTACATAATCATCAACCTGGAGGGTGGAAGAACTGTGCGTATTGAGAGAATTTGATGCTAATCCTTCTTTTCTGCTAATACCATACTAGTCAAGAGAGTCCTGCAAACACCAAACGAAATACCTAAGATGATGTGAAGCAAGCGTGAGCGACTTTTTTTCACAATGCAATAGCAAGATAATCAACAATTGTTTGCATAGATTCAGATGAGATGACATAGACATTCACGTAGACATTCATAAGGGGTAAAGTTCGGACTAAGATATAGTCAACGAGTGCTTATCACGTATAGGATTGACTTTCTTGTATCAACTTAGATAGCCCCCTCATCGGCAAGCCACTTTCTCAGTGTTGCCCTCAGATCCTCCTGTGGAAGCTCCAACAATTCATTTGCACTGTCTTCCGGCTTCAATGCGTGCCCGCTTCCATCTCTATGAAGATACGTGAGAAGCAGCTCCCGGAAGGCACTGAAGTCTCCTTTCTCTAGTTTCTCTTCGCCGACTCTCTGCAAGTCAGCGGTAGCCTCGTGCTTGACTGTCCACTTTGTACCAGTCTCTTCTTCCAGGATTTTCAAAATCTCGTTGCGGGATGGACTAAAAGAAGTAACGGACAAGTACTTGTTCGCAGTCACCTCCGGGTGTTTCAAGATGGAGGCAACGGCCTGAGCAATCAAGCCGCCATTAGATGTTTGGAAATGCTCATTTCCTGAATCATATATAGTAGCTGTTTTGGTCTTTGGGTCATAACCGTAAATGCCTTTTGCAAGATTCTTGTGCAGCTGTCAGTTATCCTGCTTAATTCAAGGGTGGATGAGACGCACGATATCAAAGAACAAGCCGTTAGAAAGGCCAGTCCAAGTGAACGAATTGTTCTCTTTTGCCTTTTCCTGCAGGTAATCAACAGTCTTGATCTTGCCCGCTAGGATCTTCGCAATTTTGGCGTCGCCGAGCGTTCTCGTATTGATGCCGAACTCGGACGGGATGAATCGCTTGACACCACTGGCAAGGGCAGCATCAACAAGAGTCAACTGAGTTCCGATTGCTGGTGTTGCTATTGCCGAAACCACGGCATCGTGTCCAGCCAGAGCTTCTTTGAGTGACTCGAGTGAAGAGTAATCGACCTTCTTCACGGTGACGCCGGCTGGGAAGCTCGACTTGGAGTCATCTCGGGTCAGGACAGTCACATAAAAGCCTGTCGCGAGAAGCTCCTTCACGATATATACACCAATCGTGCCGGACCCCTATGTTTAGATGAATCAGCCTAGCCTCGTTATCGAGGGACTTGGCATTTCTACTCACTCCGACGACAGCAACGTTCTTAATGTTTGTCGACGACATTTTGTTCTCAATTCAATTGGTAGCTAATATCTAAATTGCAAGTTCTTGAAGATGCGTGGATTTTGTAGAGCACCGTGATGGAGTATCACGACATTTTGATATCATGACCAAGGTGGAGGAAAGGCGGACTTGGCCAATGACGCCAATTGGCAGGGCGGGGAAGCGTCGTCGGCAAATTAGACAGGCCCGAGTCGGTAGGCATAACCTCATATTCCGCCTTTCTGGCATCATTGAGGGCGTTAATGCATGGGGGCCGCGAATACGTTCTAGCACTTCAATGTTATCCACTTTGTTTCCGCCGCCGGCAAGTGGGGGATGAAAGTCGGCTTCATTTATGTGCCCCGCGGTGACCACTACCGGGTTGGCTGTTCGATGTTACGACTGCGTTCAGTCGGCCCCGAATCTAGATACCCAAGAAGGGCTACAGAAAATGATGCGTTGCGGGCCAAAAGGATGACTAGGACTAGTGTTCAGCAGTAGGCCTAGGAGCTGGATTCAGCCATAACTTGAAGAAGCTCTCCTGGAGTAGAGACCTTTGCTATCTGAGCCTCGGATGAAGATTGAAGAGAGTTCTCTTATTGAGAGAATATTGTGTGCGTGGCCATATGGACACAAACCCTTTGGACGCATGTTCCAGGCAGATATCCAAGGATCCCGTGCCAAATTGTTGGATAATTCGTTCGTTGACTCTCATACTTACCGGCCTGGCATAATGTGTGAAGCTTTGTGATACAAGTCGCTGACCCCAACAGCCTTTTACATCTCAGTCCACCTGCCTCATCAGGAGAACGACCGTGGCGGCTGGACTGCGGCTGTGAAAGCTGGAAAGATCCATGCCTTGGCAGCGTCCGCATGGACAACTGGATGTGGCGGAGTCTGCATGCTGCTGCCGGCGATGGGCACCCTTATCACCTCCCCCACGAAGCGAGCGCGTCAAACCGCGCCAATACATCAGGTTTGCCAGGAGCTTCATTTTCAGATGTGGCCACCAATGGCCCCCGGGATCGTGCAATCCGTTTCCAAACAGGTGCTTACGCTAGAAGCCTGCCTGGAAGAGTCGGAAATCGGGCTGCGGGCTGTAGTCGGTTCCAGATGTGCATCGTGGGCGGCACTCGAATTCTAGTCCAGTGTACCACGGTAGTTCAGTACCGGCTGTCAGCTTACCGCACAGCTGGATCCTCTGCACACCGAACAAGCACACTTCAACGACATCCTCAAGGATGGGCGAAAACTCCTCGTAGACCAATGATCTCCTCTCTTGCCTATCTTCGCAATGGATGATGATCTGTCACAATGTCCGTCCAAGGCTCCAGAAGGTGGAATCATGAAAGCCAAGACTACCACACGGAGGTCCGGACGCACTACCACATGCAGAGATCCAACATCAGCATCGAGACGCTTCCTTCTCATAGCTATAGTACATCTTGGACACGACCAGCTTTCACTTGATTGACAAATCGAAAGATACCAACATATACAACCTTTTGCGACACATTTGAGTTATTGTGTTACAGAACGACCAAAGGGTGAGTAGCTGTAACTAACAAGTAATGAAAGAGCGATGACCGGATGATCCCGAGAGTTCTATTGTATGAGTTCGGGCAATGGGCCTAGCATCCCACCCTGCAAGCCCTATAGATCTATGTTTAGCAAGCTGCAGGGGGGCTTGGACAGCCTGATGCCGCAGTCAGCCAACTCTTTCAAGGTGGGAACCTCCTTCAGCCGAATGAGCCAATAATATGAAGAGACTCCCAGGGAACCAGATAGGCAATTGTTATCATCAACACCAGGTATCTATCATATCGACATCCAGCTTCCTGAGATGATCGACGCACTGGACAAATGAGGATGTCTGCTCCGATCTGTGCCTTACCCCAACCCAGACGGTCCGCTGAGAATGAGTGCCATCCTTGAAGGCACTCTGATAACCCAGGCCAGTGGTTGCGCACCACCTACTCAAAAAGGTGGTGGACTATGCAGTTAACTCGCATGCAGGCGGCTCCGCCAAGACTGGAAGGCTCTCTGATACTGTCAGTAGGTTGGAAATATTCACAAGCAAGGCCTTGGTCTCCCCATTTCCCACAGCCGAGCGTGGTCTTCAAATATGCCATGGATCCCTCGTTAAACAAGATGCTATCCTGGTGAGCTTTGCCTAGTTTTTCCATAATCAATGATTATCATGGCGAGTCACCACCAACCTGTGCGGCATACTCGCTTCCCAAGCGATAACTCTGATAGTACCATGGTCAATTACGTAGGATTTGATTTCACAGATGCCTTTCTGACATCCGATACGTCTTACCCTGGTAAAGCCGCCGGCACAGACGGTGTTCAAATCCAAGAATTTGCTTCTCCAGCACGAACTCAGTCCTCAAACTGGAGCAACGGGTCTAAAGCAACAGATGAAAAAACCCGCAAAAGTCGACTACCTGCAGTCAGTTTTCCAAGGACTGGATCGTGGACTTTTGAAGTAGCCAGTCTCTCCCTTGCGGTTGGCGCGGTTGTTTCAATTATAGCCATACTTGCCCACTTTGATGGCAAACCACTTCCATCATTTCCCTCCACAATCACTCTAAATGCAGTCATCGCCGTCTTGACGACTGTCGCCAATGCTAGCCTGGCAGTTCCTCTGTCCAGTGGGCTAGGTCAATTAAAATGGGAACGCGTCAAGGCAGGATATGCTCCACTGAGAGACATGGAGTATATCGATGAAGCCAGCCGAGGAGCACTGGGGGCCTTGAACTTACTTCGACGGCTGCGAGGAGGGTAGGACAGTCCAACTTGTGTCTAGCTGCTGATACTGATGTTTGTATAGCACCATGGGCTCGGTCGGTGCCCTGGCTGTCGTGGTTGGACTTGTGCTATCGCCGTTTGCGCAACAAATTGCAACTTACAAGACACGCATGACCCCTACGTCTGTCAATGCCACAAATTGGCGTGCCTTATCTTATTCGTTCGCATTACCCGGCCTGGATGCTAGTGCCGCCTTCGTGCCCGTGCTGCCGCTGAAAGCTGCCGTATACAATGGTCTGTTTGCTGAGAATGGAAAGCCGTGGCTCAGTCTCCCTTTCAACTGTCCAACGGGTAATTGCATCTGGGAGCCCTTCGATTCGTTGGCGGTTTGTAACTCATGTATCGATATGAGTGCCTATATGACGAGATATTGTGCCAATGGCACCCCTAAGGATGGGGACACGGCCGAGTGCGGTTGGTCGCTGCCGTCCGGCGCTGTGCTCAATAGCAGCGATATTGCCTTCAGCATGACTTCTGAAGTGAGTGTCCCGTGAACTTAGGATCTTGCCGTTGCTGACTATCCTTCAGTTTCCCTCGGAAACTGGAGAAGGATCATATTCAACTATTATGAAACTCATCTTCATGGGCACCGAGTCTCAAGCTGGACAGGAAGGCCAACTACAACCGTGGGCACGCCAGTGCACCCTTCAGGCTTGCGTCCAGACTATCGACTCTATCGTTACGAACGGCGAGCTGCAGGAAAATGTGACGAATATCATCACAAACACAAGCGTGGTATCAACGGATCCCGGCAGTACAGACATGGAACCTGTCGTAATTCGTACAAACGCATCCAGCCATGATGTTGATTCTCACTCTGCTTCAAACGTTTCGTCGTACATCCTCAGCAAGGAGGCGATGATCAGTATGCAGTCATGGTTTGCTGAGCTGTTCACCAACGGGTCAGCATCGCGCAATAAAGACTACATCTCCAAGACGATCACATCAGCCAATAATGCAGCCATCAGAGTCAATCTCACAGTAGGTATCAGCTCTGGAGAAACATTCTTCGACACGGATATCGTGCAGGCCTTTTATTGGAACTACTACGAGTATCCGTCTGGACTTGACATGTTGATGAACGACCTTGCGACTTCACTGACAGTAGCTTTCCGGAGCCTTTGGGGACAGGAGGCTGTTAATGGTACAACACTGAGCTCAGAGAGCTTCGTCCATGTACGCTGGGGATTTCTGACAGCTCCGCTTTTGGCTGTACTCTTAACTACAGCTTTTCTAACAGGTATTGTATACATGAGTTGGAGTCATGATGCAAAGCTTTGGAAGACGAGTGTGCTGGCGCTGCTCTTCTATGGCCTCGATGATGATGCACGGGAAAAGGTTGAAGATATGGACAACTTCGAAGCTATGAGACGAGGAGCGGTAAACTTGAAGGTGAAGCTGGAGGACCGAGCTGGCGCCAATGTGCTTCTCAGACCTGAGCAACCCTTCTGACAGTGTTGTGTCCATCTGATAGCGAGGGTGCACATGGTAATTTTGTACTTCACGTGCTGGCTATGCATCACATATGTTGTGAACAGTCAGAAATTGAGCTTGTCTAGTTAGATTACATATAATTTCTCAGAATTCCTATCCCCCAAATTGCTACACAGTGTAACTATGTAAGCGAAATATGAGCGAATTAGCGTGCATTCGATGGGTCACAAATGATAAATAATAACACTTGCATACCTCTTGCCTCGCATCATTTTCTTCCCCACATCTACGGATCCTGTGGATGTGTTTTGGTCCACGACTTCCCTATGATGCTTTTCCTTGAACATCAAGTAATGCAGCACGATGAGCTGTCATTCTCTTCAGTCCATGATATTAGGGTTTGGCTGGAGGTTGCAAATGGTAACGCCCCCATAATCGATCCTTCTCCTCATTTGTTGTTGCATCTGCACATTTCCTTGTTTATTGTTCATTTTACTTGCTTTGCCACGCCTTCGGCGCTCATTTCGATACCACATGGATTCCTCTCAACAAAACAGCTTCCGGTAATCCAGCCAGAAATGCCCAGCTGAAATTGCTCTAAGCCAGTGGCTTTTTTGTTTCTCTTTAAATTGGAACATTGCTCAACACTATTACCTGCAGGCGGCCAAAGATCTGCGGCCATCCCCGACATCACGCCTATCTGGATATCGACTACTACCTACTAAATCAGGATTCGCAAAGGACGCTATAAAGTACTGTTTGTCCAGGATTGCCAATCCATTCTGGCTGGCTATCGGAACAATTCTACCCGAGAATAAAAGAGCTATTTAAGGCGAGGCCATTATTGATTGCGTGATATATCATGGTGTTCTGGAAATTCTCTCCGGTAAAACGATTCGGATCAATGCCAGTATCATTATCACATTTTTTCATGCTTCAAAGTATGATTTCACCTTATCTATTGACTCCCTTGAGACGTGCCCGAGTGCCTGCCCCTTACTAGTATGCGATTACCAAATCTGGGGAACAGCCATTCAAGATCTTGACAATTTGGAGACATTATTCGGCGCATCGTATGATTTCGCGTAAATCCAAATTTGGTGGCGATGAGTGCGAAAAATGGTAATGTTTGCTTGTATAGAAAGAGCGTCTAGTCAGCTGCTAATAGATATCAATATACGCTTAGCCGCCGCGCAGATATGTGTTCATCTGGACATGTGTGAGATTCGCATCAATTCCTTGCTTGCAAACATCGACTAATTATTATATCAAGTGTGGTTGCGGGCATACAGATATGCCCGTCAGTTCAGTTACAATTTGCCTGAATTGCAACGCGCCCAGATGCCCATTTTGCAGGGTAGATAAGATTCGATCCCGTGCAATTGCAACCTTCTTCTCGGATCTCTCACGATTGTGAAATCGATACCCTTGATTAGCCTAGAGTCAGGCCATAGGGCTATGCTTTTGTGTTACCACCCCCCTCATCAGCAACAATGACGCGAGCATATTAGGGCTGGAGAGTACCAGAGGCTAGTTTCTGTCTTTCCTTCTGCCACCAGCATGTTGTGCAGATGAGACACGCGCTAGCCAAACCCACAGCATTGCATCGATTTAGGCCGATCGATGCTATCTTCAGAGACAGGCTGAAGTAAAAAGTGATGCTCATGGACCAACATCACTATGGATCCGTCGAACATAGAGGCAAGCACGTTTTCTACTTTATGCTTCTTTATGGATGTTGGGTACCAATTGGGCCAACTCACTATCTCTACAAGGCTCAATGAGGTCGCACGGTTGAGACGGTCGACAAATTGACCGCAGATTTAATTCGTCCACAATCGCAGATCCGCGCTCGCCCTGTTCTCCCTGGCACGCTATACACCGCAAACCTCCGTGTCCTTGACATTGGATAATTGTGGGAACATGAGTTTCAAGAAACGAATACCACATGGTGATATTATCGTGGGCAGACCGGTGACCGGATGAGTCAAGCCGAGCCGTTCCTCGAAAGGAATCTTCGATCTTTAGAGGCGTGGTCTAAGATCGCCTGGTGCAAGATCATTGATGGAATTGGACAGACGTTTCGACACCAGTGAATGTTGTGCTTCACACCATATACAGTCTATTCCACAGGGGCCTCTTATAATATGCCCCGTGGACAACTCGACTGGAACTTGGGCTAAAGCTCGTTTCTCACTCATTGATTCACCCGACGATGCTGAGTACCTCGGGTTATGATAGGTAGCCTTGCATGTTCAACCTGTTCCGGGCATCGCTGCATTATCTACTTAGCCCGGGCTCTGGCGTGAAATCTACAAAATGGTCATTAATCACCCTTGGGATATCCCGATTTTGGTATTCATTTTATCACTCTCCTGTCTGGCACAAGGATCCTATCTCGATGGCTCCTTTATCATTCAACTGGGAGAGGCGAGAGCGGAAACGGAGTCGAGAAGCAGAAAACAAGCCTTTCGTGCAATACAGAAACAGTCGTATTCATCAGAGAAGAGCTACGACTCTAGAAGTTTTTCTCAAGTACGATAAGGATGAAGACCCCGAACGTCGCTTTGAGGTTGACGAGTTGAGCACAATTTTTACGGAGCATTTCATTGAAATATTAAAGGATGAAAGCAAATGGAACAAAGTGCCCTCAGACGAGATGGCTTGGCTGGACGAAAGAGATATCGAGGGTAACCAGAGGAGACCTAGCGGCTCCATGGGCATACTAGCTTTGTACAATGCCCTGCGAAGAGAGGTATTATAAACATGAATGCCTTCGACGGGAGATAGTGCTGTGGATTGACTTTCCATAGCGTTTCGCTCATAACGGTCATGGAAATCGTGATTGGATTCCTGATGCAGATCAGCGCCTTCTGTGAGTCATGTCTTTATACTTATGAACTCTATAGACGCTCAACATCTGGACAGATACATTAAGCAATTAGAACACTGGGCCATGACAGTGCTTATCCTCACAGTGCCGACTTCTCAAGCTACAGAAGTAGGACGGTTTCTTTTCAGGCATCTGACATCATATACTTCGATTGGAGTTACCATTGCTGTAGGCTTGCTCATTAAAACACCCCACAGTCACTCCCAACTGCTAAATACTTAATGCTAGCGTGACCGTAGAACTGTTGCTCTTGAGTTGCACCTTCATTTTTTCGCTTACAGGCGTAACCACCTTGAAATGCGCATAGATTCTCGCAAGGGGGTGGATGCGAAATCCCCCCGAAGAAAATCGCAAGACTTGTCTTTTCTTGTCTCTGATGATTCAGACCAGAATGATTATCTCTATGAGTCACAAATCTCTGTTCTCGTGTCTGCTTTGGAAAAGGAGACTTATGTCGCATATTGCTGCATTGATGACTATTACAATGCAAACGGCGATCGAGCGGACATTGGAGAGATGGAAGACGGTGATTTAGGCAATGAGGACAATAATGTTTTTGGTACTCTTGATCCATATGATCCGCTGACCCGTTTTGAGCAAGTGACTGGCTCAGGTCTTGTTGATGCAAGAAAGTACTTTCTTCTCATCACGAGTATACAAGTGAAGTTCGTATGTAATGAGTGGGAAAATAGTCTCGTCTTCTTGCAACGTCAGATCAAGGGACATGTAAGTCAATTTTTTCTTTTTAATGAGCTTTATGTGTTGTCGAGGTTGCTTCGAAACATCCTAGCCCTGGCAAGAGGGCAAAACCTATTGAAGAACACACCTACACATTAATTCACAAAATACATAACAAGATGCAAAATGAAGAGAATGCTAATATTTTGTAGTTAAAGAAAAATGACGCATTTTTGACAGCTTCTCAAGGCTCATCCCTTGGCACAATGAGAACTCGATCCAAAGCAATTGGAGATGCGTATAGATGGAGGAGCCGAGTGACATCCCTTCTCACCGGTCTTCGACATGGCCTGGAGGAGAATGTCACTGTACTGCAGAGATTCTTAGACGGAGAGGGATATCATTTCGAAATCTCTGACGGGTCGAACGACAGTGCTATATTGTTTCACGAGATAGAGACGTCTCTCATGAAATTACGTAAACTTGTGAGGGATTTTAAGGACTTTTGGGACACATATGGAAAGCTCCAAGAGGAGGTGAGTAGGTTTTTTCCTCCTAGGACTCTTGCGCACCTCATTTTCTATTAGCCGAGATGACGACTAAACTTTCTGTTATCCAAGTTCGAGCTATATTTAAATGTTGAAAGCAACCATTCAATAAATCACCAGCAGTGGGGCCTGCTTTCTGTGAGTCTGTTCGGATCCAAATGCTTTGAAGATTGTCCGGTTGCATTGTCTGACTAATTCCAGCTTCAAATCTATACTCCTCCGACGGTCGCAGCTGGCATGCTACAAGCCAATGTTATCACTTTTCAGATTCCAAAATTTGTGACTTTCCTTCTGCTCACGTTGATTTTTGGTTGTTTGACACTTGCCATTCAACCTTTCCTAACATGGCGTTCTGAGCGAGTAGCACACAGGTCTCGTAAGCTAATTAGTATGCAGCAAGACTTATTGCAGCTACAGGAAACTAATCAGGGACCGCATAACATCCCGGCCGTACCAGAAGTCTCAACTCAGGCTTTTAGAAGGCCATGGAGGAACAGCGTGACTGGGCAGGCCAACATGGCTCAGACCGTATAGGCTTTGTTGTTACTTCATAGGCCGTGCAAATGAAACATCTACTGGTATCTGTGATCACTTGGTAGATAGAAGACCATGCTACATACCCAATGCAGACCCATCCGCGCAAGCAAATAGTGCAGAACCTTCCTTACCTCCTCACTTGAGGAGACATCGACACTTGTGGGATGAAATTTCAAATCGGACCACATCAAGTGGCATTCCTGCGTAGAGCGCATAAGTCTTATAAGAAGGGTTACTGCCCCGCGATGCCAAGAGGTTAGGGAGCATTCGATGGCCTATGACGCACCCGTTCTTGGCAAGCCAACAGGACTTGTTGGGCTCCCTGGCCTGTGCGTCAATGATGAAATGCTTCTCTTGTTAAAAACCAAGGCAAACAAATACCATTAAATGCAACAACTCATCTCCAACACCTCTTTCCGTGACTTCTTACAAGATCTTCTCGCAAAACTCAAGCATTATACTAGCATCAATGTCAGTGAACGCAGCTTCTTTTTCACTTATCCCCTTGCACAACTAATACCTGCGACAGCTCATCCAATCTGAGATAAAGCAGTACGCGCCAAGCAAGACCAGCACGCCATGCCTCTATTTTATTCAAAGAATTTCGGCGGCCGCCATTTCGGCACCAACGTTACAGTCAATCGTCACGGAGCTCACCGCGGGCCATGGCGCTTCAGCTTCGGTCGTTTCAACTGCTTCAAGTCCCGCCATTAGGTGCTGCAACTGGAATTCGAGTTCTTGAACGCGCCCAAGCATGCAGTGTAATCCCGGGGCGAAAACCTTCAACTTTCATAAATCTGTTTAGTCGAAATGAGGTGGATGAGTTTAGTTCTTGGTGCGTTTCGTGATAGTAATAGAGCAAGCAGGGCGACATGGCGTTCATGGCTCGGGCTCAGCGATAATCTATGATTAGTGGTACTACTTAAATACAGCAAGCGTTCACACCCTCATTCTATCAGCCAAATGAGATTGCGAAGTACCGTTCAACTTCTCCTGTCACTTCTGTTAACTTCAATCCACTCAATCAGCACTCGTCGACTAAGTGAATGATCGCGGCTTAGGTCGTTCTTGTGAAGTAACAAGTCGATGGCAACTTCATGCATCTCTACATGTGCCAATGAAAGGATCAGAAGATTGTCGGACTGTTGAAATTTTAGGTATTGACCTTATGAAATTGCAATGTCTAGTCACAGCATGACAAAACTTAAAAAGAGGGTACAATATCGTCAAGTTTTTGTCCCATATGTACACATCTTTGGACGAAATCTAGGTACATGTAAGGTTCATTTTTATTATTCCCGCCCGTCCTCCAATTTGGCTTCTGCTGCTGATTGTCTGCCAGGTCTTCAGGGGAAGCAAATTTACGTCAGCGTTGGGACAGTCCAGTCGACCCAAGAGCTCATATCGACAGTTGCCGAACTCTTTTCAACCTCACCGGGGGCAGAGCCACTCTTGAGCAGGAAATAGTTGATATAAGACGTGAGATCGGCCTGCTGAGAGCTGGGGAACTGGCAATGGCTGTGCCCACCGACGAGAGAGAAACCCATGTTCGTGGGAACGCCGTATCCCTTGTAAATGAGACGACCAGCCTTCATGCATCCGGTTGTGGCCACGGGGCCGAGCCAGTCAATATCGTTCTCAATCACGAATAGGCCACGAGGCACAACCATGGCAGCAAGCTCGTGGTGATCAGCAGGGAGGGTGTTGGTCTTGGTGTTGTATGAGTTGAAGCGGGTGGAGAACCAGACGTTTTCGCCAGTGATCTCCCCAGCAGTCTGGATGTTCTTGCCAGCGTTGTGTTGCTGATCGGAGATACGCCAGCATGCAGCACCACCGGAGCCAGACTCTTGAGGAATGGTGAGAGCAATTCTCTTCACGAATGCACCAACAATGAAGGCACCCTTTCCATTTCGAGAGCAGCCAGTAACACCGAGACGGGTAGTATCGATGCCAGAGGTGGCGTTGACCTGCTCGAGGGCATCGACGAGCCGATCGACACCCCAAGCCCAGGCAGTAAGAGCACCAGCACTGTGGCTGTTACCAAAGAGGGTGAAGAATTTGCCCTGCCCACGAGAGCTGCCACTTGCCTGCGATGCGAAGTCGTCGTTGTTGAAGGTGATGGTGGCGACGGTTCCTGGAATAGGGATGGATGCTCCACCAATACCAATAATGGCTGGGAAAGGACCCGTACCCGAGGGCTTCTTGATGGAAGCACTGAAGGATACCGACTTGCTACCCACAGTGACGGCGACGGTGAGGGTGTTTCCGCTCAAGGTACCCTTGACTGAGTCAGGGGGAGGCGGATAATCTCCCAACTCAAACTGCTGCAACTGCTTGCTGATCTCCTGCGCTCTACAGTCGAAGTCGGCCTTCGTGGTGACGGCAGTACCGCTGGCAAAGGCGAAAGGGTTCGGCAACTTGGAGTTGCTGACGGCCGCGTAGGTGGATTGCAGAGCGCATGTACCTTGTCGCTCGAAGATCTCCGACGCTGGTAGGGCGAGCGCCGCGCCGGCGAAGAGGAGGGCAGATACCAGATGAACCATGTTGGGCGATGACGAGGCTCTCTTCAACTTGACTCGTTGGGATACTTGAACGGCATGAGAGCAAGCCTGATAGCACATTCCCTTGCCGCCATCTTATATTCCTCCCCCAGGCGGGGCACGCCCATGGCAGCTGTCACTCTCTATTTTCCGGCCATATCTAGTGTGCCGGTTATAATTTAAGGAGGCGAAAACAGTATCACTCTATATCACAACGCTGCGAGCCTTGCCCCCTTGCTAGCCAAGTTGTTTTGCAGCAGAATACGATGCCTTGCTATAATTGGATGGAGATGGGCTTGGCCTTACCGTACTCGAAATCTATGAAGTAAAAGTCTTCGTATCCAATCACGAAGTTTGACTTTGTGCACTTGACATTTGAAAATGGTGGCCGTCCCCTCCGCCGAGCGCACTTGGCACTTTGGATACAGCTTCGAAGGCAATCCTGAAGCCCTCCGATGTGACAATTGCCACATGCTGAAGTAACCGGGGGTTTATTGGAGCAATATGGGTATTTGTAGCCGCATTAAGGGTCGGATGCTTAAGAGGACCGCTATTAATCTCTTGCTTTGAGAGGATATGGCCGATTCGCTAAAGGGACACTGCCGAATGCAGGCACGGCCCCTGGAGCCCCCGGTTTGCCTGGGATGCGGGGAATTGGCAGCATATGTTCCTGTAACGTGCTCTAAGATTTGTCGATCACGGCGATCAAAGAAACGCCCACGCCGGTTCTTTCTAAACACACCTGCCTTCTCTAACACCGAGTCTCGTGGCATTAGCCATGCTCTAGCGCATTGAATTCGGAGTTTACATGACGAAGACGACCTCGAGATATCATAAACCTCTACCACAAGAAACAAACATTCAAATCACGAGGTACGTGTAGATATATGTAACATCCACCCAACGGCAAAAGTCGAGATCGCAGCCGGGCCGCTACGCGCCGCATATCGAACGCGTGGCTCATTTCTGAAAGGTACATTTCTGGTTCCAGCCTGAAATTATTCACATGTGGTCAAATACCACCCAAGTTGCTGTCAAAAATGCCAAGAGCCGGGGTCCGGGGTCTGTCGCTAGTAACCGAATGTCTATCCTACCATGTCGTTGGCGCGCCTCTACTGTAAAACACCCAGCAATATTGATGCCTCTATGGTCATTGTTCATAATTGAGCCATCCTTTTCCGTTTAACATCTACAGCCCAAGCCTTCAACCGGCTGCTATCCGATGCAGTGCCGGGGCCCGACTCGGAGACGGCAGTCGATAGCATTATAATAGCCGCTAATATGCCCATGTGCCGACTTTGCCAGTCCATGTACGTTGAGATTGATATGCGGGGAATACCAGAGCAGTTTCATCACGTCTTGCTTGATTCGAATGCTCCTTCTCGGAAGCACGCTGCGAAATGGCTCCGTTGCCACGCCGCGTGATCTGTTAACCTGAGATGGCCAACCTGGGGAGCACTGCCCAGGATGCTCAGAGTAACGGATTATGTCACTGGGGCGGGATAATAACAATGACTGCATCACCTAAGGCTGCTTGACCGGAGAATATTCAGTGCGTCTCCGACTACGCCTCAGCCAAATATCGCGCTATAATCGCTGAATCAATCTCAGGAAGCGCAATTCCCTATCTTCGTCGGTACACATGCATTATGGCTGGATTTGCTTGCCAGGTCTTGGCACTCTTGGCAGCTCTGGCCAGGGCAGCATGGGCTCACGGCGGCCTAGCCAACTACACCGTTGGCGAGACCTGGTATAGGGGGTATGGGTTTTGACCTTTGGCCAGGGATCCCTTCCACGGCCTTCTCAGCTCTGCAAATCTAACAAAACACTAGGTATGATCCTGATGAACCGGCGGAGGCTCAACTTGGTCAGTCCTGGATGGTTCAAAGAGAATGGGCATCTATAGACCCCATCTTCAGCGTTGATGACAAGTTCATTGCTTGCAACAATCCCGGAACGCCACCGCCGTCATATATTCCGATCGAAGCTGGACAGAATATCACTGCCGTCTACTGGTACTGGCTGCATCCAGTCGGGCCCATGTCCGTATGGCTGGCATCATGCGGCGATGACTGCACGACGGTTGATGTTAACGAAGTAAAGTGGTTCAAGATCTGGGAAGCTGGCCTCCTCGACGGCACTGTGCAAACAGGCATGTGGTGGCAGAAGCAATTCCAAAATTGGGACGGATCTCCAGACCTATGGCCAGTGACGATTCCATCAACACTAAAGCCCGGCCTCTTCATGATTAGACACGAGATCTTGTCAATACACATAGCAGATAAGCCACAATTCTATCCTGAATGCGCTCATCTGAATGTTACTGGAGAGGGGTCAGCGATGCCGCCTCCGCCGTATTACAAGAAGTTTCCTGGCGCATATGCGTTGAATGGTGCGACGCCCCTGAATGATACGTATGAGCTTGTCTAATATTCAGCAGATCCATCCATATACATCGATATCTACTCAGACACAGTCAAAGATAGCCTTGTAAGTCTCGGAGATGATGAATTTTCGTTACTATAGGGCTAATTGTTGACCAGAATTACACGATTCCTGGAGGGCCAGTATGGGACGGGTGGGCGGCCCAATGACCAGCTAGAGAAGACATAGGACCTTGCTAACATTTACGTGAAATAGTGTCATAGACAAGTACTGTGTTGGTTGCTAAGGCGGTTGCTTAGGTTACTCTTAAGATGTCTGTCATATGTGGAATTGTTGAGTCAATGTCATGAATGACGATACTATCTATCAATTCAACTTGACGTCCTTCTATGCCATCTTATGACAGCGGATTCTGGCCGTTCCAGCGTAAGCATGGTCTCTTCTTGCGCTGTTGCAACCATATTTGCAGAAGGTTCTATGTCTTCTAGTTACTCTTCGACCGCTGTGCTGCTATTCCAGGCGAATTGGTCATCAGACGATCCAAAATATCCTCGAGCGTAGCTTACATCCATGCATTGGTCCTTTTTCGAGTCTCCGCGGCCTTCGCCTCTATCCGTCCACACTCCTCCGCAAACAAGCTCTGCAAACTTGCCCTTCCTCGCAATTAACTCACTGTAGTGTCCCTCCTCAACTACATACCCTTCGTCAATAACCGCGATGCGGTCAACCATGAGCATCGCTTCTTTGCTGTGCGTGACCATGACAACTGCCATGCGACTTTCTCCATATGGATGCAGATGACCTGTGACATTCGTAGCTGATAGGGTCATGAGATGTTTGATAGTTGTCCGAATTCCCTCGGCGCTTTCAGCATCGAGAGCACTTGTGGGCTCATCCAGCACAAGTAGCTTGGGTTTCCTTACCAAGGCTCTGGCAATACTGATACGTTGTGTTTGTCCACCAGAAAGAGAGAGACCACCATCGCCCACCAGGGTCTGGTATCCGTCCGGAAGCGATATAATGAAGCCATGAATACCAGCCGCCTTTGCAGCGGCGCTGACATTGCCCATCTCGCGAAGAGGTGACTCTTCATGGAGGCCGTAAACTATGTTATCTAAAATGCTGGTGGGAAAGAGGAATGGCTGTTGCGGAACATAAGCCATCATACTGCGAAGAACTGCGGTGTCGAGCTCCATCGAAGCAATATGAGCGAAGGCAAGCGCACCATCATTAGCATTCAGGGGCTCGTACAATCTTAGCAAGATGCTGGCGATTGTGCTCTTTCCGCAGCCAGACGCACCAACAACTGCAATGCAATCTCCGGCATCGATCCGCAGATTGACATTTCGGAGAACCAGCGTCGCCGGTCGGCTTGGATATGCAAACTTCAAATTGCGCATCTGGACAGGAAACGGCGTCATGGTGCGCCTTCGGCCTTGCTCTTCGTGACTCGCTTTATGGCTGAGATTGGCATAATACAGTAGACGTGTAGCTGCAACCTTGGCCTGCGATATTTGCGGAACACTTCCTAGCATCATCGTAGCCGTGCCCATACTAAAGAGCAGCAGGTTGATGACCTGCATGATGTCGGCCACTTCAATCCCGTTGTCATGCCGCCGCAGAAGAACTGTGCCATACCAGAAGACCAATGAAGTCAACCAAAATGACATGGATTGATAAAGCCCGTAGAAGACCCCAGTCAAGAGTCCACGCTTGACTCCCAGCCTAAAGGTGCCCGTGGCGGAATGCGCGTGCTTTGTGGTGAATAGGGATTCCAATGTGAGGGCTCTCACTACACGGATGTTTGTAAAAACCTCAGTGGAGATGGCTGAAGTTGATTCAGCTGCCGAGTTACAAAGTGTTTCCCACTTGTCGGATATCATTGACGAGGCCCATGTTGCCGCATACACGGCGGGACCAGCGGAAAGAGCCACCAGAGTTAGTTTCCAGGAGATTATCAACGCCCATATCAGTGCACTCAAGACCATTGTGACAACCATGATTATGATCGGGAGGAATCGGCCCACAAGATTTCGCATCTCTTCCGCATTTCTATCAAGGCATTCGACGATGTGGCTTGCTGCGTGTGATTTCTCGTCAAACCATACCCTGGGCTGGTCGAGAACACGCTTCAAAGATTTGATGCGTAGGTTATTAACCCAGACTTGAGCGGTGCGTTCCATAAAGTAGTGACCAAAGAAGACCGAGATTGCGTCTATTGCGGCGATAACGGTAAGGTAGACAGCCCATCTTTGACCTGCAGCAACGCGATCACCTTCGACCCAGAAAGATTGAAGTAGCTTAGCAAACACGAAAGCAAACGCTGGGTTACATGCGGCAACAACCAAGCAGAAGCCAAGCCCGACCAGAAAAAGAAGACGATTCCTGCCATCCAGTATAGGCCATACTGTCCCGACAATCTCCAACGTGTGTAGCCGATGTGGGGTGCTCACCTCCTGAAGTGGTCCCTGTTGTCGCTCGATATTCTCGTGGAAATCTGGGAACACTCGAGCAGTATTGTGGCTCAAGCCTGAGACGTCAGTCATCCTATGATCCCCAAGAGTTCGAGGTCGACGCGCTTGAGTAGTCGCACCAATCTCGTGAATAAACTCGAAACTCGATCTCGGTGTAGTCAATCCTTCTTTGGTTCTTTGGTCTCTGTGCTGGTGTGGCATTTGGGAGTGCCCTGACATCCCAGAGGTTCGCACGCTCAATCCCCTCGAAATATCTTTCCGTAATTTTGGAATCAATGTGAATTCAAGGCCGTCCGCTGTCTTCGTGGATTCTTCTATTTCTCGAGCTCGATGCTCAGCCAGATGAGCCATCGTCATTCCCAAAGATATCCTGTGGAAAGGTCCACGGCTAAGGCGAAAATTCTCGTTCATCGGAGGGAAGATAGCTAAAGAACTTGTCGTAGAAGCCATAGCAGTTGCTATAGCATCGGGTGACATCCCATTATCGACGATAGATGGTGAATAAGCCCCAGCCGATGAGTCTTTTTCTTCGTCATTTGATGATGATGCGAAAGTGGTGAACATGCCGCTGCATTGCACCAAATCTCGTTTGAAACCTTCTTGAACAAGAAGACCTTGGTCCAAGACGTATACGTATTCTTGATCTTGAATTTGTGAAACGTCATGAGTGATGATGATGGTCGTCTTTCCTCTGCGCCAGACTCGAATTGCATCCATGATCAAAGTCTTGCTGACCGGATCGAGGCCACTTGTTACTTCGTCAAGGACGAGTACTGGTGGATCTTTCAGCCTAGCCCGAGCGAGAGCCAATCTCTGCTTTTGACCACCACTGAGACTGTGACCTCCCGGACCTAACATAGTCTCGTACCCATCAGGAAGACCAGCGATCGTGGATTGAAGAATAGCAGCTTCACAAGCAGCTCTGACCTCCTCCTTGCTGGCAGTCGATGGGTTCTGATGACCAAAGGCGACATTGTTAAAGAATGTATCGTTGAACAAAACGCTCGACTGCTGCACGAGTACAATATTGCTGCGAACCCAGTCCGCATCGAGAGTTCGAAGGGGATGGTTGTCCACCAGAATCTCCCCTCCCTGAGGTTCATAGAACTTTAGAAGCAGATTGCTAATCGTGCTTTTTCCAGAGCCACTTCTACCAACGATGAAGCAAGTTTCACCAGCGGGAAAGAAGAACGAGGCGTGAGTGAGAACCTTCCTTGTTGGATTAGATGGGTATGCGAATGTGACCTCATACTTGTGAGCTTCTGTTCTGCAATTTCCAATCAAAGGGGCAACTTACATCATGCACTTCAATATCGCCAGAACACGTAGTAGGTTTGGTATGTCCGTCGAGGTTTCGAACTTGTCGGCCATGTTGCAGATGAAGGGTAATCGCTTGTAGAGACTGGCCAGCCGACATGCCTTTTGCTAAGACGAGCCATTGCGGACCGACCGATTCGACGGCCTCGAATGCCGTGAGCGCAGCATAGAATGTCGTAAGTGCGTTTCCTGGCGTTGTCTCTCCTCGATTGACCAGATATACTGCGAACCAGAACCCAACGACGAACAAGTTAATCATCCAGAACTTGACATAGCTCATCTGAAGGCAGTTACAGCGAGCTTGGATGAGGTAATGCTTCATGGCCTGTCTGATGGTCTGAAGGTACTGCCAAACCTCCTGATCGGATCCATTATACACTTTGACCAAATCGATGGCAGATATAGCGGCGTGAGCCAGCTTCGAGGCTCTTGACAGCTCGGCCTTTTGTCTCTCGATAGCTGGCTCCAAAGGCTGACTGATCAGACCGAGTGCTAGGACGGAAATCGGTATAGTACCAAGCAGCACGAGCGATAGCTTCCACGAGTAGCAGAAAGCAACCACCAGACAGGCGACCGATATGAACACGTCACAGACAAGAAATCCAAGAACCTGAGATGTTGCTGTCTGTAGCTCTCTTGTCTGACTGCGTAGTATTAGTACACATATCAAGGCAGATTCAAGTGGTTGGCTGCTTACCTCTGAATCCTCACCAACATGCTTGACAAGCCATCTCCTTGTGCGTCGAACCAGGCCATGTCCTTCCGTAATAATGCTGCGAATAAGGTGTCTCCTGCTGACTTTGCACACACTTCGCCAAATATGACCCAAAGCGCCATGAACGCGGTATTGGCAACCCAGATGCCTCCTCCGACTGCTGTAAGAACGACACACCATTTGCCGACCCCAGCGAGAGTTTCGTCGCCATTGAGCCTCCCGGCTCCAAAACCCGAGACGATGTCGAATATCTTTCCCAGTACAATAGCATAGAATGTTTTCGCGCCAGCAACAGCCATAGCCGCTGTGATCGCAGGGACGACAAGACCAGCGTGACGCCTGTTGATAAAGACAAAGAGGTGGCTCCACGATGGCTTCGGATTTGCAAGAGCTCTACTATGGTTATTGCCATGATTTGTTAAGAGGACTGCTTCGTTGCGAGGTTTATTCGGCTCAGCCGCCGAGTTCTGTATCGATGGCATCGCGCCTGTTCTTGCGCAATTCGAGATGCGTGTCGATATTAGGCTTGATGATAACGCAAGTCGCGAAATGCCCTGAACTGTGAAGTAGCACTACGTGCATGCCAATGATGAGGCGATATTAGAATGCGTAGGTGGTGGTCTTCGGCTCCGAAGTTCCCTGAGATTCGAGTCCATTGCAGTCGTCTTCGAGAGCAGGTTATGTTCGATTGGAGCTACAGCCATTGAAAAATATGAAGCGAACAATACTGTGCGAGATACTACGGAAATGAGATTTGGTGAGTGGCTTTTCTTTGTTGGTGGTGGAGTTACTATTATGCTTGGTGTAAGCCGAAGTTGGCTGCAAAGACAATACTAAGGAGGAACGACAATGGAAAACTCCACATTGAGGCTTTAGACTGCATTCTGAGGTCAAGCGGCCCGAAAATCCAATGCAAACAGGCAAATGATGTATTCAAGAGGAATATCATAGGCTTTGGGTCGTGGTATATTGAGGAAACTTCGATGGGAATGCTGACAATACCAACAAATCCAAGATGCAGGTTGGGATCCATGCTATAGCAAATGTAACGGGCCTATCACATTAGGTAAATAAATATCAAACTTGGCAAGCAAATCTCTGCTGCTTTGATCGTTCAGGAGGCTATGTAAAGGCCGTCGTTCCATCCAGCATTGCCAATGAATGCTCTACCTCCAAGATTTATGGAGTCGCCTCGACGCGGTTATCTCTTCCAGCCTCGTAATGGTGGTATCATTCTGACATTTTCGTCGCGGCCACTCCGGGTGTGTAGTTTTTGTTCTTCATCATAGCACATTCCCATTATTTTGCCTTCTCCTGTTGTGCCTTCTCATAAATCCAATCATTCAGGCCTTTTCGGTTTCGCGCGATTTCGACGGCATAAAATTGCATCCTGGGAACTACACGAGGAACATGTTAGTCATTGTTCACCTCATCTGCCGCACTCCAGCCATCTGTATCCGGAAGAAGGGGATCTGGACTTACCAAAGATGGTGGTGTGCTGGTCATACATCTCCTTGGGGCTCGACCGCAACATGGTGCCAAAGTTGTAGTCGTCGACCCTCTTCTCGTACGCCATCATGAACTCGCGCCAGCGCTTCTTGCCCTCCTTGCTCTTCATCTTGTCCTCGTCGATGGTCTCGGCGGGGTCAAACTCGGGGAAGTCGCGCATCAGGTGTTCGTAGATTTCGTCGTCAAGCTTCGTCAGGCGCAAGGCAGATCCCTTGACCTTCTCCAGGATGGCCCAATATGTCTCCATGTGCTGCACGACCTTGACTGCGAATTGCTTCTCAATCTAGAGGCGGATCACTCAGTATGAAATGATAACAATATCATGAGGCAGGGTTTGCAGCTTCTGCGACCGCCTTGCGCTAGAGCCTGGTACACTTACATCTTCCAAGTTGTCCGCCTCATCGGCGTTGAAGTTGGCTGGCACTTGAGCAGACATGTTGTTTGATCCTCAACTGTTCGATGCACAGGAGACAGATATGTTTGGCGGGTATTGTGGTGTTGATGCCCGTTGTCAGCTATCTCAAGATTCACGGTTTTTTGTGGAGGGGCAGTTGCGGGATGGATGGCGGGGCAGTGACGTCCCACCTTAAAAATGAATGCAGCCCATTTTGCCTTAGGCGGCAGGGAATGCGCTGGAAGAGACTTGCTCCAACCGGATGGCTCTCACAATGATTACCTAAGTCTCATACAGACAGTCGGTCTGAGCAATTCGCTGTCGCCGAAACATCACGCCGCGAATGGATTCGTGCTTGGTCCCCTAGAAGCAAGATGAAATCCCTCTCAAACATCAAGCTTGCTGCTTCATCCTACTTCATTCGTGCGACTTTGAAGGATACACATAATCTAGAATACTTCACGGAGGCAGGTCTGTCTGTTATCGCTCATGGGTCTGATCCCAATAGCAGATCCTTCACACCCACCCATGACATTCTGATCACTGTGGATAGAAATGGAATATATGTCTAAGTCTTGATGGATGTCAAGGAGGCTTCTTCGTAACATCTCACTCACTTAGGTAAAGAAATAAGTGTTACTCGCATTGCCAAGTTTGACATCTAGCTATAAGTGAACACACCTTCCATCGCTGATAAGCAATGTCCAACTTGTAGAGATTGGCCAGCGAGTGCTCATACAACTGCCGCAGGATGTAAATCGAGCTCTCGTGCCTTTTCCAAGGTTGCGATCTTTATTTCGTCCCAGTTCTTTGATCGCACACGCTAATCAAGATGAAGTCCAAGACTAGAACCCGAGCATCTTCTGGAGGTAGGCACTTTGCCCGAGTCGACGGCTTGCAGAATTAATTGGGTATATGCGCATCGTCGGCTTCACCGAATCTGGGACAGCAGAAACATAAATGCAGCTTGTTCAAGGGGACGGTGCCCGATGCTTGAGATGCGGAGAGCAAGCACTTGAAGCATCTCTGCCCATCTGAGTTTTACCTAGGTACTCTAGCATGCCCGGCCAGTCGTCTGACTTCGACTTTTTGGCCCTGCGGACAGCGGAGTCAGCTTGCTAGACCTGCTGGAGCATTCCGAGCAAATTTTGTCCAAAATTGTCCTCAAGAACGGGAAGCTCTTCAGATCCTTGAAGCGGGAGATCTGTGTTGAATGTGTTGAATGGCTAGCTACTGTAGTGTACCGGTACTGTACCTGAAACAGAAAGGCTTGTGATGTACCCAGCATAGCTCTTTCCTAGGAAGCTTCCATTAATTCCAGTGCTTGTTAGGGGCGGGGCTGTTAAGGTTGGGACTCCGTCATGTCGGTAGTACCTTCCTGAATGGAGTCCCTAGTGACTGTGACTTCCTTCAACCTGCAGGTGGCTTGTAGGTCGAGTTGCCTTAAGTAAGCTCGCCCGATAAATCCAGATAAATCGCTACCTAAGCAATCATCCATCTTCAATCCGGTCCTCCTCGGATGGATCTCTGCCGTCCAACTTCCACATCTGAGAAGCGGCGGCAGGTCCTGAAGCTTCAAGAAGGGCTGCTCCTTGACTAGGTATACTGCATTGTACGGTACCTAGGAAGGAAGGAAGGCGGTCAGGCGGGCGCTAACTACAGTGATGCATCCGCATGTCGGCGTCACCACCCTGTGGAGATAACCCGGCCGAAGTCTGCAGAGATCTTCTTCTGCAAGTGGCACTACGAATCTGCCGGGAATAATCACAGCAGCATTCACATCTCGTTTTAGACCCGTTTAGGTGCAGACCATGCAGTAGCCGCCCGCACACGCCCAATCATGCATGGGATTTCCGGGGTGCCACCCTCCCACCAAACATCAAATAGGAACAAACAACGAGAGTCAAGCGGCGGCACATCGCTGTCGCTCTTGAAGATCATGGCTTGCGTCGAGGCAATTGAACACGGCACTATGCCCTAGCCCTACCGACCGTGGCTTCTGACGGCAACGATATCCTTTGGCTAGAGCAATGCGTAACCCTAAGCTAGGCGGAGACAAAATAATCGCCGGAATGGGGATACGAAGGAAGCTTTACTTGAGATGGAGGGCTGGTGAACACTCGGGCGGGAATTTCGCTGAAGAGGAATAACTAGCACCCGAGATCAATGCTTCTGCTCGATCCGAACACCCTCGATCTCTGCTGCCCGGTGATGGCGTCTGACAACTCACTACAAGCATCGGCGCCTTCCTCGTTGTTTTATACCTTCTAAACTGGAGAAACACGGAGACCCGAGTATTGGCAAAGCACGAGGGATAGCGGCGATCCTCCCGACGATCCTCCCATGAGATCTTGACCGCACGAACCCTGATACTTGCACTGAGCTGCCCGTACCGAGGCTTGCCTTTACTCTAAATGCCTCCCCCACCATCCGCCATCGGCCGGAAATGCCACTCAGCATCCCCGAACCAGGCAGGCGTAGCTAAACTACCCAGTTGAGATTACAGGATAAGAAGAAACATCCAGACACTGCAGAATCGCTGTGCGTCACGTCAATGATCCAGCAGTCATTGGCCTATGTCCACTGATTCCCACCCACACCCACAAGTCACTGCTCTCTGCCGGTCAACCGTGGCCTTCTTTAGACTTTGTGGAGTCCCTCGGGTATTAGGACGATGCCATGGCGTATTCCCATTCACCACCACCCGGCTAGCCTCCTTCAAGTGTTAGTCCTGGCTTCATTGCCCCTTTGCACTGACTAGACTCCGGCATGTCGGTATATGATCCCACTACACTCTCCGCCCTGGTCCCGCTCTAACATCAGACCCTGATGACTCTTTTTTTCTCTGCTGCTTCGACGTCCGCCCTGACGGCTGCTGCTGGTGACTGAAGCTACAGCATCAACAGGGACTGCGGCTTCGGGGTTCTCAATTCCCTCACCAGAGGTTGACTGGGCCATTTAAAGAGCGTGGTTGACGATGGCTTCCGATATACAGCCACATGGTGAGCCTCCTCGTCAAGGTGGCGTGGTGAGGCAAGGCCGGAATATGAGCGACCTGGAGCAACCGAGCATGGACCAAATCGCAGAGTCAGACGTCACATACATGTACCTGACCTTCAAGACCCCAGTGCCCGCGCCGAACACAACGCCGAGAACCTCATCGACGTCCTTACAGGAGGCACCTCCTCAGCCAGATCTTGTACCCTTCATAGATCCACACCTTTGGCCAGAAAGCCGGAAACATGTACTGCTCGCTCTCTCATGTATCGCAACCTTCCTCACAGCCTACTCGGCAGGGTCTTACTCCCCTCCCTCTACCATGATGGCAGATGTGTTTGGAACCTCCCAATTAGCAGTACTGGTCGGTATCACAACTTTCTGTCTTGGCTTCGCACTTGCACCCATGGCTCTGGCTCCATTTTCGGAGATCAATGGTCGATATCCTGTCTTCGTGGTCTCCGGCTCGATCTACGTTCTATTCCAGGCAGTCTGTGGCCTTGTTCCTAACCTTGCTGGCATGTTGATCGCAAGATTCCTCGTTGGCGTCGGAGGGTCTGTCTTTAGTACCATGGTGGGCGGCGTTATTGCCGACTTGTGGCATGCCCAAGGCAGAAACACTCCGATGGCTGTCTTTAGCGGCTTCGTTTTGGTGGGCACAGGCGCTGGTCCACTCGTTTCTGCTTTGATCGTACATCGGCTGGGAATTGAGGGGAGATATGGCGGTTGGCGATGGGTGTTCTGGCACCAAGCTATTGCAGGCGGTATTCTGATGGTAGCGCTGGTGACTCTCTTCAAGGAAACTCGGGGTTCTGTCCTCCTCTCACGAAAGGCAAAAACTTTGAATAAATGGTACGAGGAGCGAGAGAGAGCAGGTTATTTTGGAGTCTGGGTCGTCGAGGAGGAAGACACAGGCGACGATGACGAGAGCGATTTGGACGCCCCGCCACAAGTAGAAGAAGACGAGGAGAAACGCATTGATGCGCCTGCCCGAGCTGGCGACTCATCCCAAGTGAGATTACAGAGGATACGATGGATCGTCAAAGAAGACGAGGAGCGGTCGTCCATTGCCGTTATGATCTCGATTTCTATCTGGAGGCCATTCCACCTACTCTTCACAGAGCCTGTTGTTTTCTTCTTCTCATTGTGGGTTGCATTTGCCTGGGCTGTTTTATACCTGACCTTCGGCTCCATCCCCTACGTTTTCAATCGCATCTACGGCTGGAACATCGAAAAATGTGGCTACATGTTTTCGGCAATGATGGTCGGATCCTTCCTTTCCACTGTCATTGGTGTCTGGCAGGACGATCTTCTTAGAAATCCGCTTTGGAGAGCTGAAAATTGGGATGAAGCTGGGCCCTTGACCCGAACGGAGCGGTTTTGGAGCTTCATGCGCCGGCGTTTCCCTGTCGAGGTGCCCGAGTCAAGATTGTACTTCACCTGCATCACAGCTACACTCCTGCCCGTTGGCCTGTTCATCTTCGGCTTCACATCCGACTCCGGTACGCCATGGATTGTTCCCGCGATCGCAATCTGTCTCGCCACGATGGGAATCTTCTCTGTCTACCTTGCCACATTTAACTACCTCGCAGATGTGTACCACGTATACGCATCATCTGCCCTTGCAGCACAGTCTTTCTGTCGGAACATACTTGGTGGCGTGTTCCCTCTGGTGACGGTGATGATGTTTAAGAATCTTGGGAACGATAGAGCTGGTGGCTTGCTCGGTGGCATCGCAATGGGACTGACACTTGTCCCGTGGGTTCTGGTCTTCTACGGTGAAAGGATACGGAGGCGGAGTAAATTCGCAATGGTCAGTCTCAAGTCAAATGATGTCTTATCAGTACATTGCTAACGATATTGCAGGTTCTTGAGAAAACATGAGACAGGCCAACAGAAGCAGACCTATGACAAACAAATTTGAATAGTCAAGACGGGGGCATTTTGTTCAAGGCAGTCCGTCAGGATCAGAAGTGGCGAGATTCAAGCTGTCGAACGACACGCCTTATTAAAAATTTTGAGTAGAGGTTCGACACCGCGTCGAGCTACTTCTGTCACCGTGACACGAAAATCCCCTGCGGTACAAAGTCCGTGTTGGCCTCCATGGGAGACCCAGACCACCACCTGATGCAGGCTACATCAATCACCGCGTCATCGGCAAGTCTATCGAGGATTTGGTATAAAATCATTGGGCTACCATGCTGGTTGGCGTCACTGTAGGACCGAGTCATTGAGCTGCGGGTTGTAAAATATCATAATTGACAGATGCCGAATGGCTTATTAAAGATACACATTCGCTATATACCCATGCTGAACCACGCTCCCACTCCTCTGTTTTATCCATTGGAACTCTTTTTGTATATATCCATTAACCATGCCAGGAAAGTCTTGAATTCTATACTCAAGGTGAAAAAATAGCCTTTAAGCCCCTATCTAATCGACATCATCTGCACTAGTCTCTTCAGTGGCGGTGACATCAACCTGGCTCAGACTCCTCCTCGCTTCATCCAATGCCTTGTCATGGTCAAAATTCTCGTCCGTCTTAGCATGATCATCCTCAGCTGACGACCCCTCTGCCGCCTTGTTCTGGAACTTCTTGCCAGAAGTATACGCCTTCAGCGCCTCGGGCTTCAGCGAGCCGTCCTCGTTCACGTCCTCTTTTAGGTATAGGGTGAACAGGACCACGAGGTAGACCTCCTCGGTAGCGCGGTTCCGCAGCACGTATCTAAGCTGGTGTGAGCGCTTCATCTCCGGCCTAAGACGTGGTAAACAATGAGACGCAGTCCTTGCTGATGAGTGTAGGTGTGGAGGTCTCAACATTGTGGCACTTGCCTAGTCCCCTAAGTACAATCACTGGGGATGAAAGCAACCCCGGAAAATCAAGACATGTAAATAGAAATGAGGATGGAGAGGTCGGGGGAACAAGCCACCAAACTCACCTTAGTCCTTGACCGTCCCAATATCTTATGATGGGAAGGTTGAAGCCAGGCAGCCGCAGTGCAAACTCGGAGAAGTCCAGATACGGGTTAAAGAAATCCACGCCGTACGTGCGGCCGTACTCCCACACCCACTTGGCCTTGTTGTCGGCGTTCAGCGCCCACTTCATGCGGCCCTTGTTGTCGACGGGCGCGCCAACCCGCTGTCTCGCCTCCAGGCCGTCGTCGTCGCCGCCCTCCTCGAACCACAGGCCGCCCTTGTCCTCGTCGAACGTCCCCTCGCCGACGTGGACGGCGTTGAAGGAGCTGAGCGCCGGCCCGTAGAGATACGGCGAGTCGGCGTATGGGTCGCCTTCTAGACCGGGATCGATCCACCATTTCACTATCTTCATGGCGGTGCCGAACCCGGGAGGGAGACGATCGCGGATGGGGTGGTCGAAGTCATTGCCCCACTGGAGATCAGTAGCCGAGATCCCTTGTGCTTCCTCGTCGTCACTGTCTTTGTCACCCGAGGCCGCCTTGGTAGGCTTCTTGGGCGTGAAGCGGAGTGCGATGCTGTACTGGTCGCCGCCCGTGGCATGTGGCTCGCTTGAGAAGTATGGCGATGTGGACGGTGACTGCCTTGGGAGACCGCGGTAGTTCTGGACGCGGACGTTTAGCTCTGCGTCAATGAGGTGAGTGTTGATCTTGACGGGTTTTGACGTGTTGACTGGGACTTCGGTATGGTCTGCCAAGTCGTAGTTGGGTCCGGCCGTGACGCGCAGGACGTAGTGATGAGCCATCTTGCTCGGTGATGGCCCTGATGGGCGTGTGGATGATGTGGTACAGTATAGTAGGGTAACTATATGTGAAGCGTTTGCACAAAGAAAATTGCCGTCCACGTAATGTATATCTCGATGCGGCTCTTTCTCAACAATTTCCTCGATTTATCTTGTATAAGTGAAGATTCTTTCAGTGGCGGGAGCGGTGTGAGTGAGAGCCAGTAGCTGCAACAATGAAAATGCGTGAGGAATGCAGCCGTTTTTGGCAAGTTGATCGTGGTAATTTGAAGAGACACTCTCACCCTGAGAATTTGCTCAGAATGTTGTCAATTGGCAGTTTGCATGTGACGGCATCGAACACCTTCATCGACTGTACTCAATGACGTCGGTTACTCGAAATGCTTAAAATCGTCCGTTTCTGGAGGGCTTTTTAGCGGCAATTTTTTCGCGGGGTTGAACACAGCACCCGATTGGTAGTTCCAGGAACAACCTACGGCACCATTTTTGGTGCTGTAAGTTTGCTATCATTGCACCATCTCATTCGCTGCATGGTAAAATACTCCGAACACAAATCGGTCAGTTCATAAAGGAAAGATTGTGTGGTTTCCGGCATGGTATAGATGGAAAGCCCCTTGTAAATACTATTCCTACCCTCATCCTGAGTCGCTTTCAACGCCGTCTCATGCATTTAATTGAAACAACCCTCCGGATACCCTTGAAATCCCTTCCTTCTGGGAGTTCATCTATCCCTATCTCATGTCTTTAGGTTCTTTTGACCTAATTGCTTAGCAACATGAAAGCCTCAGAATGTCCAGCGTGGATCTAGGGGATGAGAAAGCTATCTACGTCCACCCGCTCAAAGAAGCTTATATGCCCGAATCCTACCCAGTACTGAGCCAGCCGGTTAGGGGATATGAGCAGTAGTTGGGACTCGATATATGTGTCTACACTCACGTTAGTGACAAGCATTGAGCAAGAAATCGTGAAAGACTTACCGTTCAGGAACCCTGTCCCCGCGACGTGCCCCCTACTTCGAACAACCCTCGCCCCACGGAATGGCTCGTCCTGCACAATAGCAACGAAGCCACTCGAGCCAAGGTCGTCCGCCACGAAGGTGTACTCGCCTCGTGGCACATTAGGGTCCCCAGTCAGCTTGACGGCTTCTAAGCGTCCACGGTATATCCTGGCGTCAGCCTTCCTCTTTTCGAACTCTTCCTCCGTCTCGCTTTCTTCTCGCTCCATCGCGCCGGCATTGACATCATCATCACTGTGCTCTTGATTGATGAGTAGAAACTCGCACCCATGCCCACTATAGTCCCCGACCCAGATCCCGCGCCACGGCATATCCGCCGTCGGCGTGTACAGGACAGGGTCAAGCGTTGAGAACGTGGTGATCTCTTCCCCAATATGCGTGCCTAAGGGCTGAGTGTGCAGATAATTCGGCCTCCACGGCCGCGACGCCTGTCCATGGACATTGCTAATCCCGCTCCCTGAAGGCCCTGCAGCACGGTCGTCATTACCTTCCAGTACCTCGTCCTCGTCTCCGTTCTGGCGGTCGAGCAGAGTCGGCCCGACCCAGCCAAAGCTCACCCCACGCATACCCGCCGGCCGCATTTCCATCCAGCTCCGGATCCGGAATGTCTGGTCGCTCATCTCCGCCCGCCCTGTTGGCCTGTCGTCAGAGGCAAGAAGCTCGCCGCCCTCCCGCTGGTAGAGGCTCGCGGCGGCCACTCGGTGTCTCGCAGGTATGGCCGGTGGTGGCCAGACATTGCCATATGGGAAAGGCAGGCCCTGCCGTTCATCGACAAGGTTCTTGGCCAGGGGTCTTGCAAGCATGAAGTTGCTGAACATGGTGTCTGTGGGCCTATCATCGAGTGGCATGGGTATTTCTGCTGTGAAGCGGTTTATTTGTAGTGATGACGAGCTTGAGAATCTCGACGGTCCCGCAAAACTAAACACAGGAGTCGTTGCCTTCTTGGCACGGATCAGATTCTCGAGACTATGGGCCCGAAGCTGGAGGACGGGCTTGTCCAGATGCAGCTTGACTTCTGGTTCGAAAGCATGTATAATGACCTCGCTATCCGCGCCCCATTGCTGATGCGTCGTGCGGTTGCTGGTGGCCAGTAGTTGATATCCCTCGATGCAGCCTCGACGCTGGTCGTAACGCACAATGATGAGCTTCCCCGTCAGGTCACGATCGCAGAACCAGAGCTTGTAGCGGGGCAGGAACCAGCGGGGATCGTGGGCTGAGTAGAGCTCGCGGAAGGTTGCGCAGGGGTACGGAGTCGTGATGGCCATCCCCGGGATGTGCGATTGTACCAGGGCGTGCCACAGGTGGTCATCGGTGGCATGAGCGTGGAGGACATGGCACGTTAATGAGAGAGAGAGGAGGTCCAGCGGGGAGAGGTAGGACAAGATGTTGTCTATCAGCTCGGAGGGGAGGGCGGGGAGGTGGCACCCGTCTCGGGCATGGGCATGTGTTGAAGTCGAACCTGTGTAATTATCTCCATCAGTCTGTGCTTCTCTCTCCCAGAAGAAATATTGAAGTCTAGAAATCACCGTGGTCATGGCTGCGGAGCTGTTGGACCACAGCATCGCCGCCATGGTCTCCTTGTAGCTTCAATTCGGACATACCTGTCGCACAATCGTGATCGCAGCGGGGATAGCCATTGGCGATGGCGTCGTCTCCAGCGGAGATGTAATGCCGGTCACTGTAGCTCCTCAAACCCTCGTCTGACGCATACTTCAGCTTGGGCATGTTCCGTTTGGCCGCAATGTCACCGTCTCCCGGATGTTGAGCTGGCTGGGTGCCGGAGGAATCGAGCCCGCCAGCATGATTAGGCTGTGGTGTTTCGGCCATGCCAATCGCTGTCGATTGAAGCTGGTGAGGAGTTTCTGCCCTGCTCCTGCCGAGTTGGACGCTGATTATTCCAGAGACGTGGACAGCCGGCAGCTCGATAAGGTCTCACGAGTCCTGAGACGAGGCGGGCAACAAGCGGAGGGGCTCAAGACTGGGAGGATATCGATAACGTGTCGATGCCGCTATCGCTAGTTCGGGATATCTCAAGATCGGGTAGCTACCATAGCCTAAGGTGTCTGTCTGCTTTACATAGTACTGGACTCGCGGCTTCTGATCGCGATGTTGGGAGCCGTTCAGATCAATGTTAGTTACGGCGGCCTATAGAAGCAAGATCGTAACAGCTTGCCTTGTCGGATCATGGAGACGGAGGGGGGAGAGGAGACAGGAAAATACAACGAGGGATGCTGGGGCAAGTAGGGAACTCTCTATTTCTCGGCAGTGGTGAATGGCGAGATGCGAGATGCGAATATCGGCGGGCCGGCAGAACCTTGGAAGGCCCATCCAGCGAGCTGGTACGGTACATTCCTACATGTACCAGTGCTAATCAGGACATTCCGAAGCGGGGGATCCCAGCGCCAGCCTGCTCTATAATTAGCTGGGTATCTTCAACATCTACCTCCCGTGGTACCTTCAATTCTGGTCTTCTCGCGGCTGATGCACGAGATCTCTGTATGTACATTCATAGCCCAAACAAGATCCCTCTGGGTATGTTGCTTGACTTTTCGGCACTCCTGATTTCAACATTAGAAAAGAAGAGCAGAGGAGTTGGCTTCAGGCGAGCTTGGGTCTACTCACATTCTGGCGCAACTACTGTAGGTATTCGGGAGCCTACGAGGATCAATTAAAATACCTACTTCAATTACCCATCCACTTAACTCGACCCCGAAAGAGTCCTCGTTAACTACAGAAAATGACCATCCCTGCACAAGAGATTAGAGATTATTTCTTTATAAGAAAGATCATGAAAGCTGAATGCTTGTCAGTCATCAGAACACGATTGGAACGAATTTTGTAGATACCTAAAGTAGCTAGTTGATCCTCAACTCGGGCTAAGTCAAGCCTTGCAGAAATGCACAGCACACAGGTCCACGTGAATCCGCCCGCCCTAGGGTTTGGCATCTGAAGAGCCTCATGATGGAAGCTCGGTTGCGTTGACTCTATCATGTCGACCGCCTCCCCAAAAACGTAGTCTTTGTAGAAGGCCTTGCGACAGCTAGATCTCTACCTTCATCTTATCCCTACTTGGAGTGAACATCCCTAGTCACTCGCCTGTTGACGTGGCGCGCGCGCGCCAGAGAGCCAAATTAGTCTAGTTGCCCTTTATAAGACTTGTCCCGCAACTCAACATCGTCAACATACAGGGTTAGAGAAGACGCCAAGATCATTATCTACCAACATCGCCTTCTCACAAGCGGAGAAAGCAAGAACACAGCTTCGCTCTCGGACAGGGAATCAGGGAAGCATCAGGATGGCGTCCTTTCTACCCTTCATTCAGGACATCCTACCCATGATCATGCCCTCGTCCGTTCACATCGCAAAGGCAGCCGATCTCAAGACAATCCCTCTCCCATCACAGCAACTGCAGTCTACAGAGGAGCAACGAATACTCCTGGTAGATCATGAGGTATCTGCCGAGAAAGATTCGACACCAAATGGCAACGGGGACATCTCGACACCATCAATACCTGCGCCGTCAATAGCAGCAACCCGTCTCACGCGCAAAGATGCCATAATAGACAAGACTGACAAGATGTGCGCGTCAGGTAAGTCGACCCAGCCAGGTGATTAGCGTACATGTGCCCTGCTCTGGCCATCACGCAAAGCATATGTATCTCTTTTCTTTCAGTGTCTCGTAGGCCTAGTAACTAGTTGAACCAGTCATAACTGCCAAGCCCAAGTCGGCTTCTACTGTCCAACACCACGGCGAGCAAGGTAAGCCGCAAGCACCGATTGCCATTGCCCCGGTCACTGAAACTCTGTAGATGCAATAATATACGCCGTCTCCGGCCGTGGCGTTCTCCTCACCAGTCCCGCCGATGAGAACTCGGAACCGACCCGTCACGAGCTCGTGCCGGGAGACTTTGCGTTCGTCCCTGCCTGGACGGAGCACCAGGCGCTCAACGAGTCTGAGGGCGAGGACATGGTGTGGGTCGTCATCCGCAGCGGCCCGGTGCCGGTGGAGGTGTCGTTGACAAGTTGGGGCGGCCCTCAGATCGAGGACAGGCCCAGGGGGAAGAATGTATAATACATCGTGCAAATGTCTACAGTATAACAAAGTGGAGAGGCGCCTGCAATTGCTCATCTTGGTGTCTAAACTCTCGAAGTGGCGTGTAAATTGAATCTACAGACTCGGACAAATCATCTGTCTCTTTCTGTTACAAGGGGTATTAATGCAATGCTATGCCGCCCTTACGATCTATATCTTCTCTCTTGTCAGACGCCACAATATTTCTTGACAACGCTCAACAGACGCGTTCTATCTCTCTCCTTGTCAAATACCTGTGAATGATCCAGAGTCGGAAACCACAGGACCTCTATCCCCAACTTCGTCATGTAGCCACCAGCACCAGGATCACCCCCATCAGCAGCCTGGCTCTCCTCGCTCATCAACAGTTCAGCCAAGTCCGTTTCGTTATGCGGCTCTAGACGGCTCAGTCCCCGGTCTGCAACGAGATACTGGGCAAGGGTGAGTGTGTCCACAATCAGATCACGTCCGGAAAGGCAGACAGCCACCTTCCTCTTCCGCTGCACGTCCTGCGTGCGCCTACTCTCAACGACTCCATTGTCAGAATACGCACCAACACCGTTCGCATCCAGCGGCGCAACCAGCTCCTCCTTCCAGATCAGATTCTCCCTCCAGAAGAAGTGTCTCCCGAGCGCCAGGGCGGTGCCGGGGTCCTGGCTCGCAAAGAACCACAGCTGCCACTCGTTGGCGCGCCGCGGCCTCCTGCGCGTGAAGTTGTAGGCGATGTCTGGCAGATGCAGCAGGAGGCTGACCGGGTCCACCAGCACGACCGCCTCGACGCGTGGCCCGAGGTCGGCAGACCGCAGGATGTGCGTGGTCAGGACGCTGCCGTAGGAATGGCTGACGATCATGAAACGATCCCAGCCGTGGTGGCCCAGGATCTGCCGCACGTGGTGTAGGAATTCTGGCTGGGCAAGAGGCGCAGAGGAGAGACGCATGGAGATGGGGAGTATCTCGAGGGCGATGACTCCGGTCCCATCTGGGATCTCGGACAGAAAGTTGGTGTAGGGGTGGAGACCGATGCCGATGCCATGAATGAACAGTACGGGTAGAGTATCTGGCGACGTGTGTGGGCGATACCAGTAACTCATCTCGCTGGACGCAGAGGGCGCTTTCAACACTCTCAACTTGCCAGGGAGGGTGGGTAGTAAAGCCGGCACACGCGTCGGAAAGACAGCCAGTGCTTTCTTTGCCCGCAGGCTGTAGAAGTGGAAGCCGTGCCAGATCAGGAAAGAGTACGTCCCGAAATCGACAAGGCCAACGACGGCATACCACCAGAGACTCCTGAAGCGCGTTTCAACGAGGTCGATTGTCAGGCGCAGGGGAACCGCAGAACCCCTGCCCGGCTTCAGCGGGCGACCAAGGAGCTGCTCGGTCCGGGCGATGTAGTCGTCAAGCTCGTGCTGGAGGGTCTCGGGAGCTTCCGCATCATGGCCTGCATTGGGGTCGGCCACCGTACCACGATCGAAGAAAGCCCACAGGAACAGATCCCTCACGTTTTCCCGCTTGATGTCTGCTGGGTCTGCGTCGAGAAACCACAGGCGCAGGTAGCGCTCGGGGTCAGGAATGTTCTCGCAGCACTGACGGAAGAGGGCATCTCGCTCCGACCGCGAGTGGAGTTGGGGGTGTTTTGCCAATCCACTCAAGCGAGCTTTGAAAGGTAGGTACAGGCAGATGCAGTACAGTAGATCTAGCCCGAAGAGACAGCCAAATACCCAGAAGGCGATGCTCGGCCACTGCGTAGCCAGCAGGATGAAGGCGATGCAGCCTGCCAAGGGGATGCTGTGCTGGATCACGAAGATGCAGGCGCGTATAAAGACGAGCTCCCAAATGGAAGTGCCAATCATCTTGGCGATGTGACTAATTAGACGACAAGCTCATGGCTGAGCAGCGCATAGATGTATAGATGTCTGACGAAGCGGTGGTGTTACATAGATCCGATGAGTCGGAATCTGTGTGTGTAATGAATAGGTAGCTTGAGATGGAGTAGGCGCCATCCAGGAACACAGCAGTTCTATAAAGAATGTACCTGCGTCAAGAGTTAGTTGCCTGATCCCTCATTCCCTGCCTGTCACATGTTCACAAGTCAAACAGTGCCGAGTTTGTTGTCCCGTCGTCTTGTTAAAAGTGTTTGCTTGACTGACACCTGAGCTGACGCGTGGCAGGCATTGTTGGGCTTCGGGGGCCTGTTGGGATGCCCGTTTCGTTTCAGATATTAATGACGTAGCCAGAGCTGATCTTGGGCCGAGTTGACAGCTCAAGTCGCCGCTAACCTGCCTCTCTTACATGAAATTGATCAGCACTGTGAGGTGAGGATTTACCTAGGTAGAGCATTATGGGTGTCTCGACAGTGAAGGCTATGAATAGAACGGGAGACACGGAATTTAGGAATTTCAAGCGGGCATCACATCGCCCTCGAGTATACAGCATCTTCGATTTCGCCATCTGAAAGCTTCAATTATTGTTTAGGTGGAGATGCGTATTTAAGAACTGCTAAAGAGCAACTGCCGGCATCCGCTTTTAGCGATGCGTCTGAGCCCCACCATGCCGCCCGTTCCCACGGCTCTGGGTAGCAAAGCCAACTGCGGGATTTGCACCCTCGTACGTCAACCTTCAAGGGAGATGTACATGCAGGAATTATACCGGATCGCCTCACAGAAACCTTCTTGCGTCTACTAGGGGCCATAAACATCCATGGGCAGCATTTCAATCCGGGAGCATATCCGTTGGCTCCCCGATCCTCCGAGTGAGCCAACCTCAACCATCGTGCTCACCTCCCCAGAGAGGCGTTTCGTGGACATCCGTGTCTTGCTTCAGCCAGACGGTTCGCTGCCCCCAGTCAGTGATGAACCGCTACCCTTGGATCAATTAGACTGGGCCATTGCCGGCACATCCTCGTCCGAGCTGCGCGACGATGGTCACGGAAACAGCGTACGCCACTCTCGCTGGGCGCACTGGGTCGATTCCCGCTTTCCGGATGCCGAAAGCGCCAATGATGAGGGCGACATGTTTCCCCAGCCGGACGGCCTGACGCTTGAAAAGGGAAGAATGGTCAATCCTGCCACCGGACTGGAGACTGACTATGAGGAGCTGTGGCGAGACGATGATCCAATATCGACAGAAGATAGCGGCACCGTTCGATGTACTGCCTTACAGCTCCATGATGATACTTCAGGCACTCGTGGTGTTGTTGTCCGATTAGGAAAGTTCTGCCAGGGAGTCATGCGCACAAAAGAGGCGTTCGTAGCAGAAAGGTGGGAATGGAGTGCCGAAAGCGGTTGGAAGAGATCTCTGAAGGTCGGCCATGGTAACCTACCTTGCTCGGCAGCGATCGATGCCGAGGGCAAGTTGACTTCAGGTCAAGAAGTTGGAGAAGGGGATCATGTCTGGAAAGTGATCGAATTGTATAAAGCTTGAATCAACACAAAGACAGGCTTGAGCAAAGAGGTATCTACCCAGCAAGCAGGCCATTGGTCCCCTCATGAGAAGAGAATGCAATAAGTATTCACTAATCTAAATCATGATATTAAACCCTTTAGACGAATCGTCTTCGGTCAAACAAAAACGATATCACCCCTCCCGAAAGCTATCAAACCGCTTGCTCCTCGTACCTACCTACCTCAAACAACAGAAGATTGACACAAAAAGATACTCAGCCAGTGCTTCCTTGCCATTCTCTCGCAATTCATAAAGACGATTCTTCTTAGTATCATGTCCCACAATCTAATCTCAAAGCCGTTCAAGCTAGACGATGCGATTGACCTTTCCGCTTTTCACATCATACACCCAGCCGCTGATTACCACTTCCTTAGGGATGGCCGGGTGGTTCTTCAAGTATTTGACATCGTCCTCAACAGCCTTGTCAGCATCTGGGAACGGCAAGAAATCTAGCGTCGATATCTCTGTAGCAGCAGAATCGCCAAGCCTCTCTGCCACAAGACCGTGAGCTTGCTCGTTCTTGAAAGTCGTCATACCGCAATCAGTATGCTTGACAAGCAAAATCTCTTTGGTATTGAGGAGTTGCTGTGAAATGATGACGGACCGAAGTCCGTCTTTGGCACTCGCACCCGCATTGCGGATGACATGTGCGTCCCCCAGTTCAATGCCAAAAGCGGCAGCTGGATCAATGCGTGCGTCCATGCAAGTTACTAGTAATCCATGAGCCCCAGTAAACAAGATGGATTGATGATAAATCACTCACAGACCAGATATTGCTTCGCAGGAGGTAAGGCTAGGTCGCCTTTGGTGAAATTGCTGGCATATTCAGCATTTCTGTGCGCAAGACCATCCGTCGCAGTTCCAGAGGTAGCCATGGCGAATAGTGTAGATATAATGGCTGTCTTTAGATTTAGATTCAGGGGAGACTACGCAAAATTTGGCGCTCCCGTTGGGTTCGGATCCTCTCATGTCTTTATATGGACTCATCCATTTCCATATCAGGACTATCTTGGCTCTTAAGACATCACTTTTTCAGCTCAATTCCGCCAGTAACGCATGGATCACGCAATACCTATTGCATCATGGTTACTTCTTTTGGGATGCTCTTGGACCAGAAGTTGCTAAGATAATCTCAGCCACCCCCGCCTATCAAGCATCCAATCAAGATGCAAATCGGTGAGACAACGAGAGCGTATCATTTCCTCTCAGGAAGACAATTTCTCGGTAATTTGTATTATACGATCGTGTGTACAAGGGTCCATTTACTGGTGTCTTTGAAGCTAAGGTTGCTGGTTTGGTGGACTATCTATAGGAATTGATATCCGATTGACGATGCATTTCCAGACCTAGTTACGTCTCAAAGATGATAAGAACACTGAACATCGCTTCACACATTTGCGATAGGTATATACTAGACTCCCAGTCGTGTATATTCTATAACCTATGAATAGGATGTCCATTTATATACTGACAGTGACGGCATATATGCCCTGACCCGCGCCAACATAAGCGATGTTTTTATCCTTATCAGTTCGTCCAAATGCGCACGACGTAGATCCAGTAACTGATGCAATAGCAGTTGGCTTTCCGACAGCGGGATCGACCTCAACCAGAGAGTTCTTGCCGTTTGTCGCGACGTAAATTTTCCCATTCGGTCCGAAGCAAAGATCATCTCCCATCAGGTTCGTCCACAATGTTGTTACAGCTCCTGTGGCCTTTGCAGACGAGTCGACAGAGACCTTGTGGAAACTGTTCTTGAAGATGTTGGTATACCATACCACGCCGTCCTTATACTTGATACCGTCGATCCCAAAGGGGATGCCTCCTGACGGGGCCATTGTAGGATCCGACAGAGCAACTGAGTAGTCACCAGTTGTGACGCTGAATTTGTATACGCTCCCTTTTCCGGCATCGGCAACCAGGACAGTCGTGTTATCATACACCGCTAGCCCATTCAAGTTGTTGGCCTCCTTAATCTCCTTGATAAGACTTGACTTTGGGGTTCCTCCAGTAAAGTCAACCTTGTAGATGGCCTTCCCTCCAATGACTGCGAAAACATCCGGAGTGACCTCGCCAATGCCACTTAAACCACTTGCACCCGTCACAACTACCGCGGTAGTCGAAGTCTTAGCAACGGGGTCTACGGAATATAAGTTCGCGCTGTTCATATTTGTCGCCAAGATCTGTCCATTCGAGCGCACCGCGACATTCTCAACCGACGCAAGTCTTACGACCTGTGTTCCAGCTGTCTGTCGGGACTCGATTGGGGCCGCAATGGTAAGACTTGGTAGAGAGAAAATGAAAGGCAAAGTGCCCATGAGAGACGATAAGGTGAACATCGTGACGGCGAACAAAACAGATACGCTCCTTGTGATGATGCTACACACAACACCAAGCAGATACTAGGGCAGAGTCGGTCTTGTTTTTTTGGGGAAGTAAACTTTCTCCGATGTTAGAAGTATAGATATACCGTTGTCAAACATCCACATCCCCGCGAACAACCAGCATTGTCCGAGGTGTCGCCATCACGGGTCAATCGGAGATATTGAGAGTGAAGATGGCTAAAAGCCCAAGGCCAGGACATTGCAGCATCCAGTGCGCTTCTGTAGAGCAATTTGGCTAATCTGCGCTGGGAAACGAGAGCTTGCCGGGACAAGAGCCTTGTATTAATTGTGCTCCTCTACATAGCCGAATCAAGTAACACCCGGGTATATACCTCCGTGAGTATATCGCCCCACCGAACAACTATAGTATATGTAGTTTCGGCATCTTTAATAGATTCCTATACCATCTTGTCGATTGGAGTCTGGAGCAAAAGTCACAAACCATGTTGCGTAGTTCAATGTTACAGTAGACGACGGTAGTTTGGTTGGCTGTCACAATCTCGAAAGACTTTTCCGCAGCTCTTAATTGTTATTATAGAAGTATCACTGCAGCTGCTTTTATTCTGTGTAGGCTTAGGCTCCTTGAGTCTCACAGACTTGCCTCGTGAACGTCTTTGCCCCGCGAATTTTCTACCCGCACATAGCTGCCTATGATGTGTAATAGAAGCCTTGGTTGATCTTAGGTGCATATATAGCATTCCTCAACGGATCTTCGAAAAGGTCTCTGGTCTGGTCAAGTGTGTATCCAGCGTTAATGGCGAGCTGAAGGACAATTCTTGCCTGCTCGGCGCCCAAGTAGGATGCATAGAATCTAGAACAAATCAGTACACCAGTGTTCATGATAGAGGTATATAATACATTGATCATCAAGCCCGTTATACGACTAAGGAAGAGGATACTTACACAGGGCCCGGGTAGATATCCGGCATACCACTACCAGTAACTGGTCGTGGAACTGAAACAGTCGGGATTCCTTTGCTGAAAAGATCTGTAGCGGCTGCTTTGGCGCTAGGGCTGAGTTGAGCAGCGCCAGGTCCGAGAATGACCAAGCCCCTGAGAAATCCGAATTAATTCACGATCAAATAGAACATAGTTTTCGTAAATACGTACTTTGCCCCGTTTGCAACAGCCGCATACATCAAAGATGCGTCAAAGCCCTCTGAATACGGTCAGTGCCTGGGCCAAATTAGGCTTGGCAGTCTGTGTAAAACTTACGGTGACCATAGAGAATAATCACGGAAGGTAGTTCCGTAGTATTCCTCACGTCGAAATAGGGGCGAGCAGTGGGATACGCCGGGTCGAAGAAGTAATACGGTTGTCCTCCAAGGAAAGCTCCCAAGTTCCCCTGCTCAAGAGCCTTAAACGTATCGGGAGTGTTCGCATTGGTCTTAGTCGAGTAAAAGATCGATGTGATCCTGAAGCAATTGTATGAGCAGTCGAGCACACAGGATCCACAGAATCAGGTGCAGATATGGTCACTCTTAAAGGGAGCTTACCTATCATTGAAAACAATCAGACCTCCACGGTCGCGGGAAGCCGGTGAGACAGCAGCAGCAACGGCTTGGAAGAAGTTCGAGCGACCGTCTGGAGACACATAGGTATCGGGCCGCATCGCACCCGTAGCAATGAAAGGCTTAGAGCAATTCAGAGTCAAGTCAACACCAAACGCCTTAATTCTTGTCAGTCTTTACTAGTCCATCTCACTGACTACAGATAGTCACTTACCGTTTCCTCAAGAGTGTTTGTGCCATGAAACATGATCGCACCAGCAATGTCAGATCCCTCAGAGCAGAGTTGACGGTTCGCATATTGGCTGATATTCAAAAAGAGCGACGAGTTTAGACCAGAGCTACCACCTGATGCTGGAAACTTGACAACAGCAAGTTGAGCCACACTCAGAACCTCCGAGACGTTTCCAATCAACTCCTGTGGAGTAGGGCCGACTCCGGAACCATATTTGATGTTGTCAAGACGGCTATAGTTCGACGCCGATAGAATAGTTCCCCCGGCGCTGTAAATTCTATACCAATATCAGCTCGTGGAAAGAAATTAGACCTGACTACGATGAACTTACACTACTTTTGGCAACGTGGAATCGGTTGATATCCATTCCAAGTCGGAGCCGCACTTGGCCTGGGCAACAAGTGCACTCAGAGGCAGTGCCAGGGCGATATGGGTGAAGAATCGAGGCAGCATATTGTCAACCAATTCTTACGGAAGTTACGGAAGGTGTGGTCGTGGTAGCGACAACACGCCATGGCTAAAAAGGGACATGGCCATTATATATAGTCAGGGCCACAGTGGAGTGCATTGAGCTGCCAGCCTCGTTTCAACGCTACTCGAGTGCTATCTCCATAGTCCCAATGACCGGAACAGGAATTCCATCGTGCAGTGCGGGCCATGTCTATTCGGTGAAGAGGCGATCACCGATTCCAACCCCGCATAAACGCACGACGACTGCAAAGGTGGTACTACAAGGCGCTCCACCGTTCCAATGTCTTATCTCTGGGCAACTCAGAAGGTGATGTCGTGCTATGCAGGCTACAACTAGACAATGAGCTGGCGCCCAGAGCTTTCCCTTCTCTGGGTCTCCAGTGTCTTGGCAGGACAATAGCTATTAGTGATGTTGAAGACGGCAACATCTTGTCTTATCACAGCTTGGCAGTTGTCTTATCAGTACCCATGCCGAAATGTCGGACTTGTCGCTTAGGAAAATTACCTACTTCAGTAAGTTCCCGGTCAGTTACGGATGCACTAGTGTTGGTTCGGTGGGAACTATATGGGCCGGCTCCTAAGCTCCTCTCGAGATCTAAGACGACGGTTTTTAGTAGACTGAAGGTAGCCTTGAATTCACCTAATTGAGTGCAAGCGAGAATTACGTACGACACAGCTCTTGCCCCATCTCATAGATCCAAACATGATTAAGTTGCTTAGAAGCTTGGCAACAGCACTTACATCATTCTTGCTTCCTGCTGAGTGAACTATCTAACTAGGCCGTACGATGTTGCGGTAATAGGAGCCGATCTATAGATGTGTCAAAGTACCTGCATTCGCTAGAACGGCAGAAGCACAGATAAAGATAAGAAGAAGCTTCCTCATGCTTGGCAGTCGGCTGAACAACTGATGCAGGCAACTGAAACCAGATCGGCCTTGACTGTCTTGACCCGACACGTTGGGACGCACGCTTGGCAAGCACATTGACATTGAGACAAATGATTGCCCAAGCCGCGGTACCCACTCCTGCCGGGGTTCTCGAGTATAAGCTGCCTCAATCATTTATACAAATACATTTTCATCTGTTGGTGAAGTCTTTCACTAGAGCAACTTGCATCTCTAGGGCGCCAGCCAACTCATTACGAAACTGTTCTCGTCTATGTTTATTACCGTTGATGAGCAGATGATTTCCAGTTGATTACCAGTCGATATCACTGGAAGCAAAGGCTGCTGTCGAGATTAAGACTACTAAAAGTATACAACTAGATCAACAATTACGGGCGTCTCTCTACTCAGATATGTTTGAAATTAAAGCCTTAAGAAAAGGAAAAGCTCTTGTATTGGTCGAAATTTAATATTAATTGGAACAGGTTCGAATATTTAATATAGAGAGTGTCTATTTGCGCTGTGCCGAATGTCTATTTGCGCTGTGTGTTTATATGTGGGGCCCCTAGACTCCACAACTGGACCCCTTCACCGCCTTCCCCCATCAAAACGCAAAAACGTTTATACCATCACAGCAATTCAAAGACTAGTCGTAGCAAAGTGAGCTATATATTAAATTAATCGTCTAAGCGAGTGCTTTCGATTGGTGTTAAATTCATAGCGATTAGATTTGGTTTAAGTGAGATACAACTGATTATATAAATACTGTCATATTTATAGTGGTTGATAGCACTGAAGGCTACTGTAGTTATAGTATATCTAGGGACCAAATGTACCACTATTTAGAATAATGGATCTAGAAAAGCATTTAGACGTCATATAAAGACGAATCCGGTACCAATCGATTCGTCTTGATTAAACAAATCGATTGGTACCGGTTTCGTCTGAATCGGTCTTCTAAATGGTATGTTTTTACTATGATATAGTATAGTAGGTTGGCGGGCCTACATGGCCTCTAGCCAACGAACAGAATAGGCCTGGAAAAGCGGCAGAAAACGTTATGTGACGGGTAGAATGATTGGACCAATGAGGGTGGCTGAAAATGCTTAGTGTGGCGCTAACGGCCTTAGCGTCACGCTAAGGAAATTTTTGGACCAATCATATCATACCAATACAAACATACAGCGCAAATAGACCTTTGGCACAGCGCAAATAGACACTCTCTTAATATATATATTGATCGAGGATCGAGTGAATATTGGAGTCCAAGTATAACAGACTTCCGATGATCCCCCGGAAATAGTATATTGAAATCGGCAACTCGTAATTTGATTATATAAAGAACAAAGAATGCGAACAGCTTCACCGCATCGTTGTGAAGCATCGTTACATGCGGAGCTCGGAAAGGGGCGCCACCAGTTGAGTCTGCTTGGTAGGAGGGAGCCGAGAACGGATGTGAATAAAGCGGGTCGTCTTACACACCACAAACAGTCATCGATCTAGTCACCACCAGAAATAATTGTTGTATCAAGAAGATGTCGAGCCCCTCACTTCAAAATATCTACTGAACGGAAACTCCAAAAGATGAATGATATTGAGCTTAATCGCCCTGTCCGAAACGGTGATCGTGACGGCCACGAGCTGTTGAACGAAACGCCCCGGTTCTCTCTAGCCCGCGCCGATGGCGGCAAAGATGCATGGCTTGTTCTAGCTGGGTGCTTCATTCTGGAAGCTCTTGTCTGGGGTAAGTGACAGACAATTAATCATCATTACTTCTCGCTATCTGCCTGATGGTGACAACCTGAAGACTTTGCCGCATGTCATCACTTCGGACATGTCTAAGTCTCCGCTGTTCTCAATCCAACAGGTGTGACGCTATAGAAATGTGATTCGGCCTGTTTTAATCTTGATACATGGTGGATTTTCCGAATGGAGACTTACGTTCGACAGGATTTCCTTTTGCATTCGGTGTCTTCCAAGAATACTATTCGACTCATGAGCCCTTTTCTCGTGATGTCTCTGGCATCGCCGCCGTGGGTACTACATCTTCGGTCAGTATATGTGGATTGATGCTTTTTGCTTCCTATATATTAACATACAGTCATAAGGGTATCATGTACTTTGCCGCACCTGTCGTTTACTTTTTGCTTCGCAAGTTTCCGCAACACCGGAAGACTTGTAGTATAGTTGGATTTGTTATCGAGCTATCCGGTCTGATAGGAGCATCCTTTGCAACGACAGTGCCACAACTCCTCGGCACGCAAGGCATTCTTTACGCTATTGGTGGGTCGTTGCATTATTTTCCTGCATTTCTGTATCTGGATGAGTGGTTTGTTCAGCGCAAAGGCATAGCTTATGGGGTGGTTTGGGCCGGTACTGGCGTTGGCGGCGTTGCTATTCCACTGACAATGCAATGGGTGCTGAGCACCTGGGGATTTCGAACGGCTCTGAGAACTTGGGCAGTTATCTGTGTGATTCTGACGACACCGGCACTGATGCTCATGAAGGGTCGTTTGCCTTACCAACACGCAGACATGGGTCCGCAAAAGGTGGAGCTGAGGTTCCTAAAGAGCCCAGCATTTTGGATGTTACAGCTTGGGAATGTCATACAGGGCCTAGGTCATTTCTTGCCCAGCTTGTATATGCCATGTAAGCCACGATGGATAAGCTTCCGTCACTTCATTCAAAATTGCGGAATTGAGCTGATGATTTTAACCTGCAGCGTTCGCCACAGCTCAAGGCTGGTCGAGAATATCAGGCACAATCGCAGTGTCCCTTCTGAACGCGGCGAGTGTGATAGGAGTTACGTTCACCGGCTGGATGATAGATCGATTCCACGTAACGACTGCGATTAATGTCTGTGCAGTCGGAACCGTGTTGGCTGTTTTTCTCTTCTGGAGTTTTGCAGTCTATCGACCTATGCTCTACATTTTTGCTTTTCTCTATGGTATGACAGCCGGCGGATTCGCGGCAACATGGTCAGGCTGCACGAATCCGATAAGACGGGCTTATCCAGCTGTAGAAACAGGTATGATCATTGCGGTGTTCTCAGCGGGCAAAGGCATCGGCGCAGTCATTTCCGGACCTTTGAGTGGTATCTTGATCCGGTCTGACACTTGGAAGAGCCACGCTGGCTACGCATATGGTAGCGGATATGGTTACTTGATAGTATTCTCCGGTATTACAGCTTCTTTTGCTAGCATTGGCTGGTTTGGAAAGAAATGCGGAATCGTATAGTGCCCGTGGCATCAATGCTACGTTGTGGAGGAAGTATAATTAATCTGTTATGGAATTGGGATGGAGAACATACAGTTGAAGTTGATGGTCTGAAGGAGGGCTTTGACGAAAGTTCTGATAGCTGTGAGTTGTACAACAAGTCGGGTAATATGTCTCCCCGCACCCTCTTTACGCCACATCTGTCTCGGTATCTCGGAGGCATGGGCCGTTTCCCTCAAAGAATGAACTTAGTATTCTAGGTAGAAGAGTATTCACATGACTCATTCAAGTACAACCCCTCAGCAGTTGATTGTATCGTTGATTTGATGGAGTCTGCACCAGAGAAGGTTCTATCCGCCGAGGAGCTATTTGATGATGTCGGGCCAGCCTACGGAATCGCTTTTAAAGGCATCCCTGAGCAGGAAGCGTCCCTGCAGTGGCTGCTCTCGCGACTCGAATCCAGTAGTGTTAAGCCTGCCAAAATCGTCGATATCGGCTGCGGTACAGGAAAACCTGTCTGCTCAACATTGGCTGCCGCCGGGCATGATGTTCTCGGTATTGACGTAGCTTCGGCCATGATACAAGCAGCTCGAGAAGGAGTTCCAGACGCGGCGTTTGAGCAGAAGGACATCCGGTCTTTCGATCCACCTGGGGATTCATACGATGTTGCCACCGTCTACTTCAGCATGATTGCTAGTGTCACACAGGAGGATATCAAGGGGTTCATTTCCAAAATCTTCCGGTTTCTCAAGCCTGGCGGACTATTTGTATTTGCGACGGTGCCAATTTCGGCCGAAAGTATGCAGTTACGATGGATGGGTCGCCCGGTGGTAGTCTCTAGTTTGAGCCCGGAAGAAGCTGTCGATACGATCAAGATGGCAGGTTTCCGAGTCGAGCATGATGCGGTCACAAAGTTCACGCCAAAAGGGGCAGAAGCTGGACTGTGCGACCCTGATGATGTTTGGGAAGAGCCGCACCTGTTCGTGTATGCTAGCAAAACAGATGATGCACCTTGAATCTATAATCAAGTCCTCAAGAAGAGTGTTATGTTGACGGACTCGGACCGATGTTGATCCTTACCTAGGTAGATAATTTGCCTTTATCAGATCGGATCTCTGTGTAAATGGCGATTGATTAGATGCCTGTCTCGTGACAACGCGAGAAGGAGCTCCACTAAAATTTGGGGAAGTCGCGACTCCCCGGCTCGTCTGCCTGGCGCATCATACTCCGACTCGACCCAAACCCAGCTCTCTAAAACTCCCCGCAAGCGTCGCAAGAGCTTCCGCCCCAATTGCGTCCCGGCAATCAGCTCAAGCATGCCTCTTGAGAGCTGCTTCTCACCGGTCGGCAGTGTGTTTGTTCCTTGACGCCCAATATCCGCTCCTCGATCTGGTCATCCGATTCTGATTCCGCAAAAGGCGGGGCATCACCATGTGGCTCTTCGAGAGTGACGGCGATGTCTTTGGAGGCAAGCTTAGCTACATTGGCTGAAGAGCCATATGCTGATTGTGTGCGATCCAGGGAAGCGTCTATGGCTGCGGCCGGGCAAGAAATACCTCTTTGGAAGAACCGCTTCAGAGCGTAAGAACCCATGCTTGTTCCCTATGTTTTCACTGCTTAGCTGACTCGATATAGCTGGCCAGCATGCCATCTCTCACAAGACTATCTCCAGGAAGCATTTAGTAATCCAAGTCGACCGTGTCACCGAAGGCGATGGGGTACATCTACCCACCGAAACCGCCCTCGATAACACCCTGCTGACTGCCTGCCCAGATGAACCTTCGTAAACGAACCACAGCCACAATCGAGGATCTGGGAGCTAAGATGGGAACTCTTGTGAATGGGGTTCAGATCCGAGGGCAAAGGCACGTCCTCGTTCATGATACAAATGAGATCAAACTCGGGAGCTATAACCAGCTTTTCCGGTGAGAATGCATAGACAGACATCCGGCGTTAGAGCACACTGCTAAATGAAAGTGAAGCATCTTTTGGAGGCCCATTGTCTTCAGCTTTTCCTTCACTGCCAAAGAATTGCGCGCTGATCCATGGGCAAAGCTGCGCCAGGATCTTGAGCAGCTCGACATCAAGTACACGGCCGATTACGATATGGAACTGACGACATACGTCGTCGCGAAGAAACGAAATACCTCCAAAGGACTTCGGGCTTTGATAAATGGCAAGCATATTGTTACGGAACAGTTCATTGATGCCATCGTTGGGGCGGCTACTTCGGCCTCCGATGCAGATGGGCTGGAGACAAGCCGTCTCGAGAGAGACTTGGACGGCAGCTGGCCTGACCCTCTCCAATACCTGCCACCTCGCGGCGAGGAACCCTCCGATAAGCCGGTTGGGGCTTACGCGCCTGATGAGCGGAGGAGGGAGATCTTCGATGGCTATACTTTTGTGTTTTATGAGAAGAAGCAGTACGAGAACTTGTTCGCGGCCATTACGAACGGCAAGGGCAAGGCTCTCTTCAAGTCTGCGACTCCTAATGAGACGAACATAGATGATTTCATTCGTTATGTCAAGGGAGTAGCCGGAGAAAAGGGGCTGGGAGAGTTCGAGGACGGCAGTGAAGGAAAAGGCGTGGTTGTCGTCCGGTACATGCCTGCTAAAGAGGGTCCAGAGTCCGCGTGGTTCAAGGATTTCTATACGGCTGTTGCGCTACGCTTAGACCATCGTCCTATCGAGCAGAGTGAATTCCTTGACGCAATCCTTGCGATTGACCCAGCAAGGCTTCGCCGTCCCCTCGAGGTCGAGCAGACTCAACCGGAAAATGGTGCGTCTATTATTTCCCATAATCTAAATTGTTACTGAGCTAATGTACGGAACAGCAGCTGTTGGGAATGGCTCAAATGTCAATGAGCCACGACCTATGGATATTGATGTAGTCCCTGAGGTGGAGAATGCTATTGAGGAAACTCCTCTGCAGCCAAGAGCACGCCGAGGTCGCAAAGCTATTGCAAGCCGTTTTAAGGGATTTGATGTCGATCTGGATGTTGACTCGGGTGCTTCAGGTCCTGCTGATGACCCGCAGAGTAACGATCCGGCTGGATCGTTGGAGGAAACTCATAACACACAACGATCACAACGCAAGCGCCCGGCAGCTGCTATCAACCAAAACGGAGATGATCTCATGGAAGATCTTGCGCCGACAGCAGCCGCAGTAAAGCGACGGCGCATTGCACAAGGCGTAGAACCTGTGCCAGCTCGCGAACCTACACCTCCATCAGAGCCTGAGGACAACATTCCGGAGTCCCCCCAAAACGAGCCGAGCAAATCACAGAAGGGGAAAGGCAAGCAGAAGAAGACCACCGAAATTGACAATTTGTTTGACCTGGCGCGACAACGCCGTGAGGAAGCTGAAGCTCGTGCGAAGGAGGAGAGAGCGCGGTTAGCTGCAGTGCCCGAAGACGGCATTGATTACGAGGAGATCCGACGGCTCGCGATCGTGGAGGAGTGCGAAGTACGCCAGCCACAGACCACTCGCACTCGAGATCAGGACATTGCCGACGGCCGTTGGGATCCTCGATGGAACGGTCGTAAGAACTTTAAGAAGTTCAGAAAGCAGGGTGATCCCCAGGGACGACAGGTTGCGAAAGTGATTGTGAGTCTTGAACCAGTAAAGGCCAAGGAGTACGGTATCGGTGACGACTATTGGCTTGAGGACACGGGCAGTCAGAAGAGAAAGAACAAGGAGAAGGAGAGAGAGTCCCAGAGCAGACCTTCGACGGCTGGAGAGACGATAGCTAAAGGAAAAGAGCCAACCGGCTCCAGGCGGACGCCACAAGTCATTGGGAGTGACAGCGAGGAAGACGACGTACGAGCTGAAGATCATGAAGATCAGGTCATGGAGGTCGAGCCGGAACTACCCCGAACCCGTGTTGGGAAAGCCGCGCAAAAGGGGAAGACACGGCAGGCTCAAACCCAGAGCCAAAGCCAGGCAGCCCCAGCTCAAACCCAGACACAACGCTCCCAGCGGTTAGGTAAACGAGCAGCTGCCGAGCCAGCGACGAATGAAACAACGGCGAAGAAACCAAGAGTGACACGTGCAACTCGGGCTACCGCGGACAGTGACGACAGTGATGATGAGCTTAAGTTTCGCTTTGGGAGGCGTAGATAATGAACGGTATATATCATCAAGAGCAAGCGCACTTGCGTTGTGGAACAAGTTGGTTTGTCTATGGGGTATCTTTCTATCTTTGCTGAGGCAGCCCATTTGCTGTTTCCGAGTATATAATGTATACCAACCATGCATGAAGCGTCTTAGACAAGTACTAACTATAGCAAAAAGCATTGATGCAACCACGCCGTCCATGATCCGTAACCGTAAATATGAGTACTCTGCCCCCGTTCCCGTCTAAAGGACCAGCTGAAGCCTCAGTCCATCTCCTCCATCTTGCTCTCCTTCTCGTCCTCGTCCACCAGAATCCCCACCAAGCACGCACTGAGCATCGTCTCGTAGTTGACCCACGGGTGTATCTCGCCAAACAGGCGCGTGCCGTCCCGCCCCGCGCCGCGCAGCAGCTCGGGCTCGCCGCCCGGGTGGAAGGGCAGGTACGGCGTGATGTTGTAGACGCGGCCCCCGAGGGCGGACCACGCGTCCTTGCCGCGGCGGCCCGTCTGCCGGCGCAGCATGCTGGGCGTAACGCGCAGATACGGCGATGCCGGGGGCAGCCCGCGCAGGTCGGACGTCGGCGAAGATGACAGCCGCGCCCAGTCGAGGGGGCTGTGACCCGGCGTGAGCGTCACCTGCTTGGAAGGCTTCTTGGGCTTGGTGTTGTGTGTGGGTGGGGGCGCGAGAGACGACGCCGAAGGAGGCGGGAGGAGAGAGGATGAGCCGCCGGCTGGTCCTCTGTTTGGGATAGGCGCATTCCGTGCAGCTGGGCCGGAGTTGCGCATGGGAGCGAGGGTAGGGAGTCGTGGTGGTGGAGGACCCATCAGCCCGTTGGCGGGCGCGGATGGTGGTTTGGATGTGACGGAGGGAGTCGGCTCCAAATCGGAAAGCGAGAAGGCCGGCACCGCATCGTTGAGCCTGGTCGCTGACGCCTTGGGCGTTGTCTGATCTGCCTCGACAGGCTCTTCCACTCCTATCTGCGGTGCTGCGCTGGGGCGCTTCACGATCGGTATCGGCGGAGGTGGCATCGTCGCTCGGTCGCGATCAGCTTTCGTAGGCTCACCATTCTGCTGCTTGCGATCGCTGGCTGATGCAGGTTTCGAGTCATCGGGCGGCGTAAGGAGTGACGGTGTCTGTGGTGGCCCTATTCGTCCCTGTCGCAGGTTGGCAAAGAAGCCCGGAAGCCAGGCTGGCGGTCGGAAGCAGAAGAAGATGACGGATGCGACAAGCAACGAGACCCCGATGAGCGCCATCCTGAGAAAGCTACCGAGGCGAGGGAAGCTAGCGCACAGTGAATGCTACTGATGCATGAAAGTTGAACAATCCTCCCGGGCTACTGGAGGTCTATGATTTTCGTCACTCGGTCTCTTCCATGCCGAGAGACTCCGTTCTATAATGTCTTGGATTTCGCCGTTGATGAAGGTTCGAGATTGTGGAGGGCCAGGAATTTCGTACGTGGGGTTCAGCAGGTCTCGGGGCACTAACGACCGCCTGGGCCGGCGGTAGCGGGGAGCCTTGCATGACCCCTGGCCCGTCAGGGGTCGACAGAAATAGCACGCCTGTCATTGGGCCAAGGGGAATGCTGCGACTGACCCATGATCTCTGAATATCTACTTCACGTCCGGCCTTCTTTAGGAACTAAAGTGGAATAATCAAAGCTCACAATTATAATGCTCATTTGTGTGTATCTTGCTGTGTATATAATTTACACATCCTGGTCCTTCTACACCCTAAAAGCCGCATGCTATAAACGAGCCGCGGCCGATGTGCAGAGGAAACGATGCATAAATACATCTTTGGAGATCGATCTCCTAGGTCGAAAGACATGGCTTTGACTACAGTAGGAGGGCCTCGAAGTCTCTCAATGCTCAGGATGACGAGGAGCAGTTTCTCCGTGCTGCTGGTTCTTTCCAGCCGCCACGTTCCGCTTCCTCGGATATGCTTTGGGGTATCTGTCTGTAATCATACAATAATGGGTGTTGACAAAGGGAATGCTTGGTATAAAAGTCGGGTTGACTGCAATATGCAAATGCTGAGTTCCTGGTTCCGATTCCACGGAACATATAACGCCACCGATTCACCGCCCATTTAACCTAGGGATTGCCGACCGCGGCTGATGAGATGTTCGGTTGAATACCCAAAACTTGAAAGGAAATGTTGACTGATGTGTCGTGAGTGGTGATGTCTGCGGGCCCCGTGTGTGGCTTCCTGGCCACAGATTAAATCGCCCATTTGTCTTCTCGCCGAAATTGTCTCCTCTTTCAAACGCCATCTCGAGGTAGCTCAATACCGCTATCCCGATCCTGTGGGTCCTTGCTCCAAACAGCCAAGTTTCCTCCAGCCGAAGGCTCGTCCAGTTGTATCCGCTGAGTGTCGTCATCGTCGGTACGGCTGGCTTCATCTTCAAAAGGAGCGTCGCTATCTGCAGAAGATCCATCATCTTCGTCAGGGGGTGCCAATACTCGGCCGCCTATCTCGACCTCGCTAACTCTTACTTGATACTCAAGAGCTCGCTTGCCGTCCTTGATCAACTCTTCCGTGAGCCCAAGGCACCTCTTCAAGCTCTGGTTAATCTTCTGGCTGTCTATCAAGAGTTCTTGGTGTTTGGAGAGATCAAGCTGCAATCTCTTCTCGTCACGCTTTCTGTGACGCGCATCTCTCGCCGCAACTGCATTCGGGCTAAGCTGCGCCGACCCGGAGTCTGATCCTTCTGAATCGGTCTCGTCCAGTTCATCATCCTCTGGCTCTGATTCTTCCTCACTAAGATCTGAGAGGTCTAGACTGTCCATGACAAGGGGGACCTCCCCGATAGTAGAATCAGATGGAATGCGACTGCGAACAGAGCCTACGGAGTTGAGTGATAGGCGGCCGGATCGTGAAAGCCTGCGGTAGCGCCTCAGCTCTGCGGTCTGCTTCCTCAGTTGCCTCTCCAACGTTCTATTGATGGCTTCAAGTGATGCATTCGTAATTTCAAGATCCTGTACCTTCCTCTCTCGCCTTGCATTAGCAACCAGCTCATTCAAAGGGTCACTACCATGCGTTGACTTCGTAGGACTGGCAAGCGTATCAGGCGACCCATCATCATGCTCAGCAAAGTCTTCGGCGGCCTGAAGAATGGAAGCCATGGTCAAGGCCGGGTTGGCGAGCACTGATGGTGATGAGATGTCGGATGAGCTATTTGAGGGAATTCGCATCCCGGCCAAAGGCTCGACTGTGTTGATACTGCCAGCCCGTGAATGACCACCAACCCGGGAGGGTGTTTCCACGCTCATTCGTCTGAGCGCTGGATTTGCCGGGGCCAGCTGAGGCGCAGAGGACATGGCTGTTCTGCTGCCACCCACTAGAGAAGGAGTTGATGATTTGGTGGTGGGATATGATGGCATTTTCACTGGCGAAGCAGGCCGTTGCATCATGGAAGCTGGAGATTGCGTCCCAGGTCCTAGACGACCATTGCTCAGCCTAGACCCTGACGACGCCACGGAGCCTGGGCCTGAGGCCTTGATGGTGGGTTGTAGATCGGGCGGGCCATTCGCATAGACAAACTTGCTCGCGAAAGCGTCTGGCACGGGAGTGCCGAGGGTAGGTGTGTATACCGAGGGAGCAGGGGGTGCCCTGTTGCTGGGAAGGTTCTCTCCATTTGCGTAGAAGAAGGTGGGTGTCTTTGTCTGCGCGACCGGGTTTTTGGGCAGGGCAGCTTGCTGAGAAGACTTGGCGTCGCTCGCATAGAAGAATTTGGAGTCTGCCGAGCTCTGCTGCTCCTGTCTCCAGTCCGACGGGGGCGGGCTGAACGTAACGGCCGGGCGCCGCAGTGCATCGCCATCTCCGCCGGCACCAGATATGCCCAGGCCAGGCCGTGTGTCCCACGAGTCCGATTTGCTCAAGTTTGGCGTACCAGTTGGGGTGCTGTTGGCGCTGTCGACTCGGGTCTGTCTGGAGCCAGATCGGGGCGTCACATTGCTGTTCAGAAAGGTGGACACTGGCGTGGCGAAGTCGTCGCGCTGAGAGGTGCTGTTGTTGTTGTTGGGGGTTGTTGCTGTCGCTATCGTGGGGCCATTGCTGAGGGCGGACTCGGGGCGCGGCGCTCGTCTTGGAAGCGGTGTGGCGACGGTGACGGTCTGCCTGGATGCCACCTTGGGAGTGAGAGGAGCGCGGGCGGCGAGGCCCTTGGCCAAGGTGGGCATCTGGGGCGTCTGGCGTGAGGATGCATGATTGTTGTTGTTGTTCTTGTCGACAGGCATTCTGCCGACGGAGCTGCTGTCTTTTGTGTTCCGTGGGGCAGCTAGATTTCGCATTGTGGATGTTCGCTGGACGGTGACATTGTGGTCCCGCGTGCTGAGGGGAATGCGCTGGGCGAATGGTCGTGAATGTGGTTGTGGTGATGATGTCGTTTGGTCGTAGTCGCGAGAGGAGACGGGCGCGGTGGTCCGATTGACGGCGGCGATGGTGGTGGTGCGCGTGGTGCGTGTGAATGTCAATGACTGCTTCTTCCTGAGCAGGCTGCTACTACCAGCAGACGTGATAGAGCCCGCATTGAACGCGTTTCTGTCTGGTTTTGGCAGCCGTCCCTTGGTCAAAGCGACATCTCGCGATGTGACAAGCGAGGAGGAGGAGGAGGAAGTCGAGACGGTGCTGGAGGTTGAATCCTGCTGGTGCAGATTGCTGGAATTCAAGGTCGAGGCCGAGTTCGAGGTGGAGCGCATTTTGGCAGACTTCCGTTTCTGCCGCTAACACCACTGACACTGACACCACTGACACCACTGGAAGCCGCCGCTCATTGGAGTGCCGGGAAAACTGTCAACTTTTACTTCCTAGCGGCAGAATGGAATGTACCTTGGCACCCAAATTCTGCCGAAACGGTACCTTCGCCAAGGTCATCTAAATGACTCGAGCTTCCCCTCCCCTCAGATATGCGCACAAACAAACATCAGACAACGAGATGGTCAATGGCGAAAGAGACAGGACAGAAGAAGAGGCCAGAGGGGAAAAGAGAAGCAAATGCCCGCTCTCTTCAGAATCATGAGAGCCTCAGATGTTTTTATTTCTAGTCTGCAGCAGAGGGGCACGCCGCGCCTTTTTGTTTATTCACTAGCAGCAGCTCTATTATTCCCCATTGCTTAGCTATTGCCCGTCGACGCAGTCGAGCAGGCCCCCAAACCCGCAGCTGTCATCTCCCATCGTGTTTTTGTTTCATGCGTTGCATGCACAATTCCCCTCTTCCGCCCTCTGTTTGGAACATTTGGAGGCCCCATCCTGGTTCGCGTCACCGAGAACCACTCCCAAGAGTCCCAGGGACCCGCCATCCCGGCCCCTTAGCACCGGTGCTATAGCTACTTTATATTCGTCGGCCTTGGTGGTGGCCCGTAGGTATATAAGACGCGGGGTGGGGTTGTGGGAGGATCCAACAGGCGTGTTTCCCGTCAATCAAGTTGCTCCTCATCACGTCACTTGGAAGTGCTTCCACATGAGCCGGTCTTCTCTTACGTAGGAACTAATCTGATATCACAGTCCGGCACGGATACAGAGATACCTAGACTCGTAGAGAAATTACTGTCCTAGTCGCGGGGTTTTGGGTGTGGAGCTTACAAGGAGACACCAGCCGAGGCTCTTCACATTCACCTTACCCAGCAATGACTAGCGGCCTCGTGTGTACAACATATTCTGTTGCGTGTCTAGAAGAAGATTGGGAATAGCTGTAGATTGAAATGAGCAGGCGGATAACAAGATAAGATGTACTTGATCTTCACGATCAAGTCTAAATATCTAACATGGTAACAAACAAGGGCTGACACATATGATAGTAGCATCTTGTTTAGTCTTATCCTGTTGATTTCTATAATCTGGCACTCTTATTATCGGATTATAACCTCACAGAAGTGCTCATCTGTATTATATTTGGTAGTAAACTATCTGTCACTCCCAATGACTTGTGGCGTACGCCTGGAGCCGGCTGGCTCTTTACCTTGAGATACCGTCTCTCCAGCGTTCGAAGGTCTGGTCTGGAACTCTCATATCACCGTCCGGCACGGATACATAGCTAGACTCGTAGAGGGATTACTGTGTATGTTGCTTATTTTATCATCTGCCTGATGTGGTCATAATGGTATACCTTTTATTGTCGTAGAAAGACCGGTGTGTCACTGATATTAAGGCTGAACAAGGGACATCTGAAGCTGAAATCTTTCAGTTGTACTTGAAAATATTACGGCATTATCCTGGTAATCCCTGCGACCGCCTCTCTCGTAGTCGTGGAAATCCGAGGGAGGCGTCTCGGACTTCGCATTTGAAGGGTTTCAAACTAACATCCGGAGGCAGTCTGCATATACGTGGCTTGCAAATGCGGTCACTAGTTGATTCCTCGCCTCACCGTTGCGTATCACAACATTCTGATGTGTGTAGACCTTCTGTATGACTACTATATTTATCCACGACAGATAACAAGAGTGGAAGCCGCCGCTGTGACTTCTACCGAATCCTTTAGGAGCAGCGGGTATTGTGGTTATGGAAGTGCGAGGCAGTCCGAGTAAATTACCATGTATAAAGAGACTTGCTCGTGCTCTGAGATGTCTTGTGAGATTATTCAGATATTTCCAATCCCTATCATCAACAATATCGGCAACTGTCTACCATTCACTGCGCAGGAATACATCTCAATCTATAATTCCTAGACGCTATACTTTATCCAAAATGCGTTTCAGTGCTGGTATTATCGCTACTGCTATCTTCTCCGCGTCGAGCTGTTACGCTTGGACTTATAGTAACGGAGTATGGGTTGCAAACAATAACTGGTATGCTCTTGCTGGTGGTGAGTAACCCTACCAACTTGCTCAGCAAAGGTCAGATAAGTTCCAAGCTAATCTACGAGCTACCTAACTATGTTAGGCCACGCACATGAAGCATGTACCTACCGGAACACGAACAACATTCACAACGCGGGCGACGCCTGCGCTTATTTTATTGACGGTAGTGGCAATATCTATCACGGACGTAAGTTTGACTATTTGCACATAAAGGTTTCGAACAATACAAAACAGCTAATTTCTTACCGGTACAGATTGTGTCGTGAGTAACGGTAACTACTTGGAATGTGGATTACAACGTTGCTAGAAGGCTCTTTGAAAGTATTTGAATAATGTAGCCTCTAATGATAGTGACTTCTGAGAGAAAAGCAGGAAAGGTGTAAAGAATTAGGTGCACACAACTAATTCCATGCTATTGCTTATATCCTTATTTCTGCTACTGTTGTGAGCTCCTCGAAGCTAATCTTGTCGACGACTTGCTGTAGTTACTGATCAACAAGACACTGCTACGAGTATTCATGACCCGTGGCTCTAGCCCTGTGATTTCTTTTGCAACAAGTTGTACATTTCCTATATAGTTATTTCCGTCTTTGATATTTGGCGACTTTATCTAGGGTAGCCAAAATACGAAGTTTCTGGTCTATTCCAAAGGCGGATGCTGGCTCACTATACGCTCAGGTTAAAGCAGCACTAGCTCAGGTCAAGTCCAAGACAAAGGCAAATGCTCAGGGCAACTTTCGAGAAACGCATGTGGCTGTATATTGTCAACTCCTAACACCGTCAAAGCCAGGGTTGTCACGCTTAATCCTAATTCGAAACTTAGTCTAAGACTGCCAACTTACAACGCTCCTTTAGTATACTACTCAACATCTAAGTCTCGACAGGTCAGGTAGGCAGAGAGGAAATCTCAAAAAAGTGGACGTGATAGATAGAGGTGAAGTGTCGTTGCATGCATGTATCCTATCCAGGCAAGCCATCAAGTCAAGTGAAGTTAAGCTTCTATGCAGAAAAATTAAACAGTTCGCCAAACCCGTCCTGGTATCTATAGATATCCTCCCAGGTCAAATCAGTGGGACAGCCGCGGCCCTTAAAACAGAACGCCTTTGACTATGCCTTGGGCACGTTGGGGGCATCGGCTGCTGCTTCTGCTGCCTGGGCCGACTGACCCTTGTGCTTGTCTTTGTCTTTGCCTCGTTTCTTCTTGTCGGCCTTGTCCTGCTCCTTCTTGAGGGCCGCCTCGGCCACCAGCTGCTCAAACGCCATATAGTCGCCCTCTTCCTCCGGAGTTCTCGCAGCCTGCATCAATTTGAGTTAGCTTGATGAATGTATCATATGGTGGGGAAATGGATGTCACCTTTGCAAAGATGTCGCCAATGAGAACAAGTGCCTCTGCCCGCTCTAGCCTCTTTCCCAGTGGGACCTTCTTGTCGTTGAGGACAGCGTCGCAGACGTCCCTCAGCACGCTCTGGATCTCAAACTTGCTCCCGCGCCACGCCGCCGTCAAGATCTTGCCCGTGACCCTCCGCTCGTACTCCATCTTCTTCTCGTCGGTCCACTCCTCGCCGCCGCGCTCCTCCATGCGCGCCATCTCCTCCATGGTCTGCTGCGCGTCGATCGCCGACGATATCGTGTTCCACGTCTCCTTGACCAGCGTGCCCTTGTCGCGTATGCGGCTGAAGAAGCCGCCCATGCCGAACATCTTCTGCGAGCGCAGCAGCGCCGTCGCCTTGCTCATGTACGTCGTGCCGATCGCGTGCAGGATGTCGATGCCAAACGACTCCATCTTCAGGTCCTCCATCTCCAGCCGCGTCTTCTCCTGGAACGCCCGCGTCACGTCGCCGCCCTTGTCCGTCTCGGTCCACACGCTGATGCGGTCGAGGAGCTTCCGCGCCAGCGTGTCGACACGCTCCTGGCGGACGCGCGCGCGCTCCTTCTCGTAGGCGGCCAGCTGCTCGCGCTGCTCCTTGGTCAGACCTCCCTTCTTCTTGTCCTTCTCCTTGCGCCGTAGCGACGCCTCATCCTCGGCGGCGGCTGTGACGTCGTCCGACGGGCGGTCCATCAGAGCAGGGCGGATAGGGATGGCCGTGCGTCGTGGTGTCGATGTCCCGCTGGCAGATGGGCCAGGCGTAGATGTGCGGGATGCAGACGGTGACGGTTCTCGAGATACTTTGGATGCAGGTGCAGAGGCAGTGCCTGTAGCAAAGGTCTTCTCGCTCGCGGGCTCGTCCTCTACTACCACAACGGGGGGCTTGTTCGGTACGCCGGTCTGTCCTCCAGCGTCCGCACCCGAAGACTTCATGCTCTCCTTCATCGCCTCCTCCGTGCCCGGGAACTCCTCCTCAGCAGCAGCCGCCTCCGCCGCGGCGGCTTCTGCAGCGGCGGCCTCCTCCTCAGCCATGGTGATGTCCATGGTCGCAGTCAGGTCCTTCATCAGGCTGATCTCGCCAATCCAGTCCTGGAACGCCTCGCCGCCGAAGATGCTTGTGAAGAACTCGGCCGGGTCGACGAACCCTTCTTGCGGCTTCGCGTGGTCCTTGCCATACTTGTCGTAGGCTTTGCGTAGGTCTGTGTCGGAGAGCACTTGGTAGGCTTCGCCGATCTCCTGGAACTTGGCATGTGCGGAGGGGTCATTGGGGTTCTTGTCTGTAGTGGGATTGTCAGAATCAGGCCGGCGAGTAGTGTGGTATCAACAGCCAACAACGAGATGCAGCTATTTCACGGAGGATCGCATCAGCCAAGAGACCGGCGGGAACGCACCTGGATGATGAACGATGGCCAGTTTTCGATATGCCTTCTTGATCTCTAGCTCGGTGGCTGTCGGCTTGACGCCGAGGAGGTCATAGTATGCCGTGTCGACGACCATGGTGAGAGAGCTGCGCAGCTCGCACTGCGCTGATGGTAGGGAAGAGTGGTGACGTGAAAGTGGTTATTGTTGATGCTTTCCCTAAAGAACTGGTATACAGCACAGTAAGATTAAGTCGTCGGTGGGATCACGATCGAGTCTGCGACAGCAGTATAGCTTGAATTGTGTTGTTGGCAGTCTGTGTAAGATGCAGCCTTCTTTTCTTGGTCTTTTTAAGTCAATTCAAGTCGTGGCTCCTGGCAGCCTGGCGAAATAAAATCCCCCGACGTTGTCCAAGGCGTTAGAGAAGCATCCCGGCTTGCCGAATCCCAAGGCACACCGCCCCACGGATTACGTCGTTTTTTCAGCTACCAGCACCTGCGCCGCACTCAGCAAGAGGCCACAGATGGCGGGGCACTGCTCTGCTATTTCTTCAAGCTTCCAAGTCTTCGTCTTGTCCAGCTTTACATGTCGCATTAATAGGACAAATGCTACGATTTGACATATGTATACTTACATTGAGTATGCTATGATGGACAGCATCGCCCACTCACATGGCACTTCGTGTGTGTTTCGTCACTCATCTTACTAGACGGTTCAGTCCATCGAAATCGAACGCTTGTGACAGATTATCACAGAAAGAAATCACATGCACGGCTGGTGGTCTTCCCAATTAATCAGGGTCAAGTTTTCATTTCAAGCTCTTTCTGCAGCCAGACAGTGAATTGTGGAGAGGATATCACTATACGGAGCTCTGCCTATATTAATGATGACCCAAGCACCTTTTTCGAGTGTCTCTCGGAACCGATCATGAAGGATAAGATCCGAAGAACCCCCACGTTATCTCCAAGAAGCTAGATAAAAGGATATAACAAAGATCTGCCCATCCCCTGCAAGACTCCCCGATCGCCAATTCATGTTGCGTCTATCGAATGTCCGTTTGCTCCTTCTAACAAAAAGTGGGCAGACAAATCAGCCTCTTACTGTGTTCCGGCAGCCTTCATGCGCTCGAAGCACTGCCTGTAGGCCTCGTGGATCTCGGGGACCTCGTAGTTGTACTCCTTGAGCTTCTTGATGAGCTTGGTGGTGTCGAGCTTGCAGTTGCTGCGGCCGGCCTTGATGACCTTGGCCTGCTCCTCGAGGGAGAAGTTCTTCCAGGTGAAGCCGGGGCGCACAATGTCGCGGAAGAGGGTCAGCACCTCGTTGTGGGAGATGGCGCCGGGGTTGGTGAAGTTGAAGACGCCCGTGTCGCTGTGCTCGGCCATCAGGATGGAGGCGGGCAGCAGGTCGTGCAGGATCGTGTTGCTGTTGGGGATGTCAACCACGCGCTCGTACTTGGAGATCTTGGTGACGAAGTTGCGCGAGTGCAGGTCGTCGGAGACGGGCATGCGGAGACGGAGGATGAGGCAGTTGTTGTAGAACTTCATGACCTATGCGGCGACATCATCAGGTTAGTACAGATTCATTCTCGACCTTCTGAAGAGGAGCGTGAAGGCCAATTGCCTCTGCTTGAAGTATAACTCGGGGAAGGAAACTCACCTCTTCAACATGACCCTTGGTCTCGGAGTAGAAGCTGCCCTTGAAGTTGGCGGGGTCGGTCTCGAGGTAGCCGGGACCGTCCCAGGGATGGGCATCGTCGTACTGGTAGATGCAGCCGGTCGCAAAGACGGTGCAGTGGATGCCCTTGAGGTAGCAGCAGTCGGTCAGGTTCAGGGTGCCGATGACGTTGGATCGCATCGTCTCCTCCTTGTGGTCCTCGCACCAGTCGACATTGGGACGGCCAGTGCAGCCGGCGGCATTGAGGACATGGGTGGGCTTGACCCTGTCGAGCTCAGCGAGCACGGCCTCGCGGTCCTGCATGCGGATGGTGGTGCTGGAGACCTCCTTGCCCTGGCTCTCGAGGATGTCCTTGAGATGGCCAGCAACCCATCCCTCGCCTCCCCAGATGAGGAAGCGGTTCGCCTTTGTGCCATTGGTGCCGTTGGTAGCCATTGTGACAGTCTCTGGGTTTGACCGACGGACGGATATGATTTGTAAGTGCGGTGAGCGGGCGCTGTGACCTTCGCGGGGTGTGCCTTCAGTGGACTGTTCGAGGCAGTAGTAGGTAGACAAGACAGACACGACACAGGCTGTGAAGACTGATATGGCAGACAGGAATGGCGGAGACGGTGAAGGGGAAGATGAAAACGAATGGATCCAGCTGCCGTATTTAAGAGGACAGACAGACAAGACGGCGACTCCAGTCTAAAAAAGAAACACGAAGCCAGGGATGGGGCTGGATTCCAATCCCTAGGTGCAGTAGGCGCAGACTATCAAATGCAGTTGCTGCACTTGGGTGCGGGCCCCAGCGAGGAGAGGACAACGCCGGCGCTATTGGAGGGGCAAATCGACGAGAGGGGCCACCATCTGGGCAGCAGGACAGTCCTGACTCCTGAGGACGTATACGTGTTACACACCTGAGAGGCTACGCAAGTGGCCAGACACAAGAGACACACCCTTTTCTTCCAAGGTTGACCTGCTCAGGTACACGAGTTCAAATCAAAACGGGTACTGTGCTAAGTGCTACCTACTCAGGAACGGTGTGGCCGCCGTTCGAAACCTTCGTAATGCTTACGACTTCTCCTTCCCTTGGTTAGATTGTATCGAGGTTCCATGAAAGTCATAAAGAATATTAAACTCTACTGGGTAGCCCTCCAGTTTTGAAAGTGAAATACCTAGGTATGTCCTGGCCCATTGAGAGGCAAGCGACAGCTCAGCAGCATGCATGTTTGTGTCGCTGATATGAGAATGTCTCGGGGACCCGACAACACCCTGGACATTGATTGCGTTGCGTTAGGTCGTTGTGCTCCACTGCACATCACAATGAAGATCCTCCTAACGTTAGTTGTTCTGTAGAGGCCCAGCAATGTGAGAGAGCTGTCATCTTTTGACATTTCGGTTGCCACGACATGCCATGCCATGCCATATCCTACTGTTGGGGTTGGTAGAGTCATGCCAAATAAATGTCTTAGCTTATTAATGAAGCTCTTGATTATTTTCAGTGAGGAGTCAGTCTCTTCGTACTGGCCAGACTCGCTAGTACAGTTCACTGCTTAGTTATTAGCTCGGTGGAAAATCATAACGCCTTAGCTTCATAGTCGTGACTTTGACTGCTTAATGGACTGAAGAGATGTGGAGAGGCGGTGGCCGACTCGTGTTGACACCCAGTCCAGATCCGTCTGCTGCTTCTCAAGCAGCTAAAAGCCATCATTCAGCAGCATCGATATAATATGAGAAGAAAGAGCGTCATGCAGGTTGCTTGCTGCCGAGCGGCGTCATGCGGCAACGTTATACGAGAAATACCACCAATGCGCGGCTGCAGTCGCCCGCCCGTTGAATCAGTCGATGTATCATTTATCTATCTAGCAGTAATCCGTCTTGACGCACGACCAGGGGCTCGTATACCGACTTAAACAATATTCCATCTTGCCTTTGTAGAAACAGCGAGGCGACTTACGACAAGCCATGTACATGGACATAGACGAATATTTCTGTGGATGAAGGACCATAGGCGAGTGCAACCGGTTTTAAACCCCTAGTCAGCAGCATACTTCAGGTATCCAAGTCGTCTCCGCTCTGATGACCGTAGCAGCTGTACTTGACGAAGATACCATCGTCTGTTGCAGTAGTAGAGTACTGTGGATTGGTAGACAGTATCGAGACGTCACCAGGGGCGCTACATAGATAGCAGCTCAGGATGATCAGTGAAAGCGTGTAGTAGACCTGCCAACTGATCATTCTTTCTACCTCGACATATATCCATATATCAGTAGCGGGCTATCTTGCATCTTGCATCTTGCATCCAACATCTCATCCAATGTTTGGAGTAATGTATACTTGAGTATGATAGGGTAGTATTCGTGCCTTGCATCCTCCATCCGGGGTATTAGTCTATCTTATCTATATGAGATTCCTGCAGTCCACTTACCTAGGTACAGTAGTCATAAGTCCTTGGAGAAGTCTTCACTAAAGGCCAAGGTCACCACGGCTTTGGATTTCAATGTCCACTCTCCGAGCCGTTCCAAAACTCCGGTGCCTTGTCGGCTGCCAAACCGGACTTTACGATAAGATAAACTTGCACCCCCCGCCCGAGGATCAGCAAATGGAATTGGAAGGATCTGGCGGCCGATGGATGTCACTTGGTGGATCGCATTTTTCTGCTGTAAAGGCATACCTGAAGTATCATTGTCTGTCATGGAGAAGCTTGCAATTGAAATAGTAAAGGGGTCGAGGTAGCGACCAATTGTGTTTCGAGAGGGTCTTGTAGAGAAGCACATCTCTTCTACCATCCAGCTATTCAGTTGCTTGCTTGAATGTCTCAATCTTGCAGTGTTGTTGTTCTTCCTTTATGTCCAACGATTCACAGTCCTGATACGAGTAGTTATAGCTACTATCTACGCAGGTAGCCATACACAATGTCGTTGAACAAGCCTCCTTTCCGCCCTTCCCCAGAGCGACGACGTAATGACCCCCTAGCCCTCCTGCCCTACATACCAAGGTTTGCTTCTACCCAGCTACTTTACCTAGGTAGGCCAAGCTAACGCAGTGCCCCAGCATCAGGTTCCTCCGTAAGACTTACGAGCTAAAACGTAGCGGGCCCGCGGGGCTGGGCGCTGGTTGGCCTGGCCCTTATGTGCCACATCCCAAATCTCCGGCCTAAATTCTCTGCGCTCCGCCCGCTGCAGGTTCCTGGCCCATTAGGGGATTATCAGAGAGCTCACCGCCCGCCGCTCTCCTTATTAAATTTGTCCACGCGCGCCCCATCCAAACGTCAACGAACGACACCGTCTGCCTCCGAGATCCCTTCACTTTTTCTCCCATCACCAGCCAACACCCGCAGGAAAGCGAACTTCTCGCCGGCTGACTGTCAAGATGGGCGCCGCTAAGACCGCTCTTTACCTTCTATTCCACCCGAACCAGCTGCGTTCCATCATACAATGGTATGTTCCTGGCCTGTCTCCCTCTGCAGCCTGCCCCCTATGAGGCTATTCCCCAATGCGATTGCCTCGCCATTGGAGCGCATTCTCCCATCTAACATGCGCCTACAGGAAGCTGTGGCATGAGCCCGTTCACAGGCGAGATCCCGCCAAGGAGACACCCACCGAGTCAGCATGCTTCCGCTACCTTGACCTGACGTCGCGAAGCTTCGCTGCTGTCATCCAGGAGCTCAACCCGGAGCTCCTCATGCCTATCACCCTCTTCTACCTCGTACTTCGTGGCCTAGACACCATCGAAGATGACATGACCATCCCCATCGAGAAGAAGGAGCCTCTGCTGCGCAACTTCCACAGCAACATGGAGATTGACGGTTGGACATTCACCGAGAACGGCCCCAACGAGAAAGACCGCGAGCTGCTCGTCCATTTCGACGATGTCATTGTTGAGCTAAAGAAGACAAAGAAGCAATACTACGATGTCATCAAGGACATTTGCATCAAGATGGAGAACGGTATGGCCGACTATGCCCTCAAGGCAGAGCACGGCGAGCACGGCGTCATGACCGTCAAGGAGTACGAGCTCTACTGCCATTACGTCGCCGGCCTGGTGGGCGAGGGCCTTACGCGCCTCTTTGTCGAATCGAACCTAGCCAACCCCCAGCTCAAGAACCGTCCGGAGTTGACAGAGTCCATGGGCCAGTTCCTGCAGCAGACCAACATCATCCGCGACGTTCACGAAGACTACCTAGACAAGAGATCATGGTGGCCCAAGGAGGTGTGGAGCAAGTATGTTGATAAGTGGGACGACATTTTCAAGCCAGAGAACAGGGAAAAGGCTCTACACTGCAGCTCCGAGCTCGTGCTCAATGCGCTCAAGCGCGCGGACGAGTGCTTGTTCTATATGGCAGGCATCCGGGATCAGAGCGTGTTCAACTTCGTCGCAATCCCGCAATCGATGGCCATTGCGACACTGGAACTCGTATTCAGGAATCCCGCCATCTTCCATTCTCACATCAAGATCACCAAGGGCGATGCCTGCCAATTGATGACTGAGTCAACTCAGAACCTCAGGGTCGTCTGTGATGTCTTCAGGAGGTACGTCAGGAGGATACACCAGAAGAACGACCCGAGAGACCCTCACTATATGGCTATCAGCATCCAATGCGGCAAGGTTCGTGAATCGTAGTCCTGGCGGCGGTCGGACACTCAAGCTAATTGATTTGCAATAGATCGAACAGTTCATCGAGAGCATATTCCCTACTCAGGATATCAAGAAGCTTGAGGCCGAGAAGAACGCGACACGGACGGCAACGCCCGCAATGGAGACTTCTGAGGCAGTCATGTTAATAGCGGCTGTCCTCGGTGTACTATTGCTAATTGGTGGGCTTATGGTATGTTTGCATTACGTATTGTGGGATGCAAAATTTTGTGCTGACGTGAATTCTAGATTGGTACGGCTTGGATGATGGGTGCTCGATTTGACAAGGTGTTTGAAGGTCTCAAACCAGGCACATTCCTCTCGGATGAGACTACAGCCTCTATTGCAACGTCAATCCCCAGTGGCGTGCCACATGAGGAGCTGTAATATTATTTTCGGTCATCATCGTACATATATCCAAGCACATATGCAAGACCTCGCAGACCAAGAGCGTCTCGCCAGCCGATGTTCGAATAGATTAATCGTGTATCGGATCAGAGGCCAATCCATCATTAGGTACTGATCCTTAGCTTTTATTAATACCTCCAACATTGTTCTTTCGGTCGGCCATGCTGCAGCATCGATTGCGTGGTACGGTATCAAGTCTTTCAGCCATGATATGTGGGCTAGCACGGATGTCAAATTGCAATTCAGTCCATTTCAATGACTGTAGTTGTGCCGAAGATGTGCTGATATCGATGGAGGAGCAAGTAGCCTGGAATCCGGGCACGCGCCGAGGGTCTTCTTTCAACACCCCTTTGAGAGACGTTCGATCGTGGATTGCAGACATGTCATGCTGAATGTTCCAAGGTGCCAATCCGAGAGCCATTCAGGGCGATTCATTGCCCAGACCAGAGGAGCGCATGTCACAACGAATGCTTCATGTCCCGTTTGATGGAATGCCATGTATGCAATGTATTCACACGTGCGAAGTTTATCCTATATACAGTGTTGCTACAAATCAAGACGCTTCTTGCGGCGCCATATATTCGCTTGATCGCAACCCCATTATTCACACTAGAACGTCTAAATGATATGCAAAACCCGGTTTTCATCCGCAGCCGACACTCTCTCAATTCTCCAGACCTGGCTGTCTCACTCTCTTCACTGATTATTGGTTGCCGTTGTTGGCAATCAGGCTCGTCGTGCCTCGTCTATTGTTCCTCACGCGAGCGCCAGTCTGGCCAGCGAGCTCGGTGATCCTGTCCGCGACGGCGTCCACGTCGGTGATGCCCTCGAGCGCCATGAGGTAGGCGGCCAGGCCGGCGACGTGCGGGCTGGCCATGCTCGTGCCGGACAGCGTCTCGGTGTCGGTGTCGCTGGCGATGCCCACGGACAGGACGTCGACGCCGGGCGCGAAGATGTCGACGACGCTGCCGAAGTTGGAGAAGCTGGCCCGGGCGTCGGTGGTCTGGTCGATGGCGCCGACGGTGATGGCGCCCGTGGCCGAGGCGGGGCTGTCGTTGGCGGCGTTCTGGTTCTCGTTGCCGGCGGCCACGACGGGCACGACGCCCGCCGCGCGGATCTGGTTGATGGCGGCGTTCACGGCGTTGGAGCGCGAGCCGCCGAGGGACATGTTCATGACGGCTTTGCCTGACAGTCCACTTGATGAGGCGGTTTCGGCCACTACGAATAATGTGTTAGTCTACCCCTTTATATGAAAAACGACGAGATTTGCCTACCGAACTGCATGCCTGCGATGACACCGGAGTTGGATCCAGCCCCATCAGCATCCAACACCTTGACGCCCATCAGGTTGACATTCTTGGCCACACCAAAAGTCGCTCCTCCAATGGTACCGGCGACGTGACTCCCGTGCCCGTTCTCATCGGTGTCGACGTTGTTGACGAAGTTCGCAGCCATAGTCGCACGGCCCTCGAACTCGCTGTGAGTGGTCAAAATGCCAGTGTCCACGATGAACGCCGTGATACCCTGGCCGGCAGTGCTGTCAAAGGTATAAGTGGTGCCGCCAGCAGCAGCATTAGACAGACGAATCAGGCCAGACGGAGCACCTTGCTGGGTCTGCGCCGCCGAGAGAGACACCTTGGCATCGGCCTCGATGTAGCTGATCACGTCGCTCGTGCTGAACATGTCAATCATGTCCTTGTCGTCGGCCTCGAGCGACATGGCTCGCCAGGTGTTGATCTTGATGGCGTTGACGCTGGTGGACAGGAAGCGGTTGTCAATGGGCGACCTCTTGCCAATATTGCGCTTGGCGACGGTCGTCATGACCTTGGCCTGGTGGGCATCGATCTCATCGCTGGAGAACGTGCTGTTGTACACCACAATGAACTTGTTCGGGATGATGTCGTTTGCGTCCGGGTTGGCGATGGGCACGCCGAGGAAGCGATCACCCCGGCGTGGGGCCGGGCTGGCGGCCGGAGCCGGAGCCGCTATGGCCAACAGGGGCAGAAGCAGAGCAGCAGAGAGAAAAGTCGAGAGAGGCGCCATATTTGCGGTTTACAGCTCTGAAAGTTTCTGACGAGATGTGAAAGAAGGACTGAATTGGTAGATGATCTCAAGAGCGAACTAGCTCACGATCTTGAATCTGAAGAGAATGACTGGGTTGAAAAGGGGCGAAAATATGAGAAAGAGACGGTGTCCAGCCTGCTACACCCAGAAAGCAAGAGAAGTGAAGTGAAGGGAAGGGAACGTGAAGCAAGAACCAGCACAGCGGAAAGCCAGAATGGAATAAGAGGAGAAAAGAAGATATCCGGGGACAAGAAGAGCGGCGCGGCTCGAGAAGATAAAGCAAAGGTCTCGACATTTGTCAAGGCACCACCAAACTGGTCCTCCCTGATACTCCTGGGAGGCCATTGCCAAGAAATGAAGCCCCCAGGCTTTGTCACTAAGAAGAGTTCCAGGGCCCAGGCATAGTCCTGGAAAGTTAGCACGGCTCATCTAATCCAGATGGGCTCTTTCTGGGCGAGGGTTGAGCAATAGGAGTTGCGTGGTCTGGTCTTGGCTTGTGTTGTCTCGGCGGGGACGTCTGGAGGCGGGTAGGAGAAGTACGCGCAGCGGCGCTGCCAAGTCAAACACCAAACCAGGGACTAAGACCCTGGCCGGGGGCACGACGCCGTGTAACGTCCATACTGCATAGTAGTACCTGTACCATATACAGACTGCAATGTAGCTTTCGATTCTCAAATATAGAGATTCCTAAGCTCGCATAGCATAGCGCCTAACATCATGCTGTGAGAGACATATTGGAAGCGTCAGGGCCAGGTCCGTCGCTGGCTTCTTCTCGCGGGTTACACTGTCTTGGCCGCGAGCTCTGTGGCTCTCCGCAGATTCCGAGCTGTCTTGTTTCGGTAAGCTGGCCGCGGCCGACAAAGGAATCACAGCCGTTGGCTTTTTACCCAACGGCATTGCTTGACCTGGACAGATCACCGACCGGATCTGTCGTTCGAAGTAGATGGCTGGCGGTGGCAGCGCGGGCTGTCATTGGGAAGGCCACACCCAGCGCAGAATTACTGGTAACTGTCCAGGAGGCTCGTCTCATGCAGGAACGTCGGCAGCTCCCGCCAAGTATGCGGCGTAAATGGGTGTAATTGGTCTCTTTGGGTAGTGTTGAAGGAACAAGAGGCAACTGATTTGGATTCCCCTTGCGCAGGTTGCTGCAGCTAACAAACTAGATCACAAGAGGCTCCCCCCTGTTTCCCCACAGCCACGGGGGATTTGTGTCATTTGGTCCCTGTACTTTGGCTGCGCTGTCAAATTGCCTCGATCTTCTGTTTACGATTTGTTACTGTACACAAACAGTCTCGCAGACTGGAAAGATATCATTCATAATGAAAAACGCATTATCAAATCCGGGGTTACAGCCTCAGTGCAAAGCCTCCACTACCCGAGACTTGTCTTCTTCCCCAAAATGCATGGGAGTTGAAAGAGATAATCAACTTGGTCACAATTCAGAATCGGGACAGAAACTGAGATTTATAGCAAAGGGAATCTCGGTCAAACGCAGCGAGAGTACTGTCGGTCCCTCGTGAATGTCTGCAGCTATCGGCGTTATCAGTACCCGTAACTCACCTGTGCTACCGTGCTTGATGTACACACAGGCTCAAATGGATGATTGCCCATCAGACACGCTCTGCTGGTGAATCTGGTTCCTGATCGACCGCCAAGGCCAAGCGTCCTGCGGACCGTTCGCAGTCACACGGCAATCGCTTCTGGGCAGTGTATTTCGGAATTCATTACTTGGCTCTTGTGGTAGAGAGCTATAAGCTCGTATTCAAAATTGTAGAGGCAGGGCTTTTCAATCTCCTTCTCGGTCAGCCTGGCTATATAGGATGAAGGGGTTCAACAATGCTGTAATCGAACGAGTGACGAGAGAGGATCGGGCAATTGACGCTTCTCCTGAGCATCAAGCGAGGAATTAGGTAATGGAGTTCGCCTAGCAGAGTTACAGCACATTGAGGGCTCGAAACTCGAATGCAAAGGGTGACCAGACCACTGTGGGCCGAAACAGTGATGACGAGCAGCTTCACAGGACAAGGCAGGGATCCCCAACCGCGCGAGTGGCTGCTCGACACAGGGGTCTCGGCGCCGCAGCATCGTGGTGAAACAAGTCCACCGCCAACACCCTGGGCGAGGTACGAGATTCTGAACCGATTTCTGGAAGCACTGGGTCTGCCAAGCGCAAGGGACACCACCAAAGAGGACGAAGCTGCAGAAGCAATGGCCGAATCGGAAATTTCAGGCATGTTTCGTCAATTGGAGAGAAGGCCAACAGACGTATCTCAGAACACTGCTTACAATGTACCAAACCAAAAAAGTCAAGTACATACCAAGACAGTTGAGACTGAAGAGTCTTAGTATTCGCCCAACCCGTCCGCAAGCCAAGTGTTTTCTACATGAAGCAATGGCCAAGAGCCGAGGATCGCCAAAGACATAAGAGATGCCCAGGCATGATCGACGATGGTATCACTGACTTACGGAAGGCTTAGAGACAGGCATTCGACGCCTCGCAAGGTGAAGTACAGAAAGTATTTAGAGGCAAGTTTCCAACTCTGTGACGATATGTATAGATACTCCAGCACGATAGCGAACCGAATCGTGATGCACAATATCCCGGGATATAGCATCCAAGTTGGAGATGTTACGTGTTTGTAGTGTCATTACGCCAGCATACCAAAACTATGCAGGCTTTCCAACGTGAATACTCTGTTTCCTTGGATATCACGGACATTGTGCGACGTGTAGGCTCGCAGAATTTCGGGGTGAGGAGGGTATGCTTTCCGGATTGAACTCTACACTATCGGTTAGAGTCGTTGGACTGCCTCCAAAAGTGCAGCTGTGTTTAGCTGGGGGCTGACACAGCGGCTCCCTTGATCTGCCCCACGGTGGGTGTGTTAAAGAAACCGAGACAGTGCTGGAGCAGAGAGACGCGCGTTCTTCATTGTAGGTGTTACGTAGTGAGTGAGCAGGGATGTGGGAGTTCAGCAGCTTCACCCGCACAGCTCGTGTTATCTTACCACGATCTGCTGCTGTATAGAGAGCTGGCCGCTGTCGTCGACAGGTTTGTAGTGTCTGAGCTTAGACTCTTTCTACATTGCGCTTTCCTAAAATTATCTCAGAGTCGAACTTGGCTCGGAATATTAGACTCATGCCCCTCCTTGTCGTCTACTTGACTTCTTGACGATCACGGAGCCAACTCTCATGTGCCTACGTTCTCGGCCCAATTTCATTGTGGGCTAGATCGAAGGCGACTCTATCAATGTCTATCATAGCAAAGCCCCTTGCTCGAAATGTCTACGTTTAGTATTCACACCCAGGTTGTTGTCTTGCACAGAACAGGCATATATACAGTGGCAGGCGGGTAATTCTTCGGCCCGGTCCGATATTTTCCTCACATGGGCAATACATAGCTACTTCCTGAGTTGACTTCTTCGTCAACTTGGGTTTCTCGCCCGTTATACCGTGGTATAGTCAGCGTGATGCCCTATTGAGTCCTGTAAGTGTAGGCATTTACTCTGCACGTAGCATAATTAACGGCGCGCCTTCAACTGCATTACCGAGGTGGAGCGTGCTATTTCATGCATGCACCGTACAGCCAGAGAGAGATACATTGACAAACCTCACAGCCCTAGGACAAGTAGATGAGTAGTAAAGGCCAATGGCGAATGGACAGAGATGTGGCTGAGATCAGGTATACTACTGATTCGGCGTCTATATCTGTCATTGCGCCTCTCTGGTACAAGATTCATGTATCTAAGCTTTTCCAAGATGTGGTACAGGAGTAGGTCAAGTGTGGGAGAGAAATTTAGAGCCATGGGACGCTTTTCCATACTCCTCAGAACGCCCGACAGCGATCTCTTCCTTGCGCACTTTTTTTTGTAGGAAACCTTGGAAAGAGAGGCTTATCTAGTGTCTATCAGGCGGCGTCGATGATCACTTGCTGCATGCATGGTCAAAGCATCGGCCGTGAGGGTTCTCCCAAAGTGGACTGAACTGACTAACGCATTCAATTAAACTCGAGTGCGCGTCTGGCCGTCACGACGCGCCCCGTTCTCGTCACAGGGCACACTCTGTTTGGGAGAAGGAACAGCAAAGGCAGCGCCTGGGCATTGAGATGGGGTGCAAGATTACATGACTTGGGCGTCTTCCCTTGCTTCACCAGTGTAATTTTCGTAATATGTCAGTCATGTGCTGCTATGTTATGTTATGTTACATAAGATAAAAAATAGGTGCGCGGCTGTGCAGTCCATGCCAAATTAGATGATGAGAGTTGGGAGATTGGCCTCTACAGTAGCTCCTAGCAGAGGTAATGTCGTTAAGTGCCTGCCAATGCCATCCCGAAAAAGGGTTTCCCCTCTCCTACACGGTACATGATACACGATACACGATACGTGCACGACACAAGAGTCAAGACACCACAGACGGCAAATTGTCTGTCTGTCCGTCCTCAGCCACCCACTCAGCGTCATCAATAAACACCATTCATACATACAATACAATACAATACAATACATGCAGCGGCGACACAAGGAAAAGGACAAGAGGACTGACTCCTGATAACGACAACGACTCTGCGTCTTCCCTCAACATCCGTCCGATCTCCTCACTCCCGCCATTCTTATTCTTCTTGCCGACGAGCACCCCAAGCCGCAGTGGATAGCGCTTCGAGGCGCATTGAATCCGGCACCACTTTCCGAGAATCGCGTGCTGTACAGTGCATGCAAGAGTATTCCACCTGTTCGGCACACACCACTGGTCTGGTCTAGTCTAGAGTATAGCGCTGGACAATAGCATAGCATAGCGAGTGAGCAAGGCAGACGACTTCTTTCGCTTTGTTGAGCAATCAAATCGACACACATACAGACAGACAGACGAACAGCATTCCAGTCCATCACCCGACTGCGCACTCCTTCGCAGCCACCTCCAATCCCTGCGAGTCGTCCCAATCTTACACGACTACTACCTCTTGGTGTACTGTACCTACTGGCTGCAACTTTGCCGTCCGTCCCTTACAATCTGCGACCCTTTGCCCTCAAGTCAGCACCGCCGACTGCATCCCCCGCCTCAGAGATCTCAGGGATCCTGCAACATCCATCGAGCACGCGACGCCCCAAAAAGTCCAACGAACCTCCCATCTCTCCCGGTGCCGGCTCATCAGGGTATCTTTCGATTCTCCGCGTCCAGCATCACTCTGTTCTGTCAGTCCCGTTGGGTTTGCCTTACGTATCGTCGCCTCAGCTCGCCCGCTCGCGCGTTTCGGACATCTCGAGACTCGATTTCCATTCTGCCTGCTGTCACAGCCCAACCCGTCATTGACCATTGACGCCCGCCCTCGCCGATTTCTGCGACATCTCTTCGGCCAGTCTCTCGCACGCTATCATTTCTGCCATGCATTTCGAACCAGAGGATTGACGACATACAATCACCACCATGTCACTGCGGTCCGCAGTCATGTTCTCTGACGACCACCATGTCGGGCCTTTGTCGATCGACACCCGGCGTTCCAGCATCGAACGCACGCCGTCAATCCACGAAGATGCCGGAAAGGCAACCGTGGAGTTGGCCTCTATCATGACAACCGCCTCCAACCCCGTCTCGCCCGGTGCCTCCAGCCCGCACCTCGATCAAGTCCGCCTGCAGGACTTTGTGCCGCCCACCCGGCCGAGCAGCACTCCCTTTCCACAGCCCGAGCACGGAAATGTCGACATTCGCTGTATCAGCTGCCCAGCCGGCATGGACGTCGACTCCGACGGCTCTCCCGAGTTTCCTCCTGCCTCCCTCAATCAGCCCAAGGAGTCCCTAGGCATGAACCTAAACGACCTTCCCGCCGAGATTCACGAATGCATACTCGACCATCTGTTTGGATATAGGGTATCGGCGTCATCCAAGAGCTCGGTAGGCATGCCGAGCGTCACCAGAAGTTGGGGCACGGCGCTCAGACATTCGAGGAGAAAGGAGTTGTCGGCGTTGGCATTGGTGAGCAGCGTGTGGAGGGTGCTGATCCAAGAGCGGCTGTACCGCCATATCAAGCTGAAGGCGACAGTAGAGTCCATCAACGAAGCCTTGGTGTACTTTGCAAGACATCCATATCTACGCGAGTATGTGAAGCACATCGAAATATGGTTTGCCGTCTTCCAACCGAGAAACGGCACCATTATGCCGCCTGTCATCCCTCCTATCTCGCTTGACGGGCTGAGCAATGCTTCATATGTCATACCGACGAACAACTGCTCTCTCGAAGAAGCCTTTTATTTCATCAGCACAACGTTCCCCGAAGTTTGCGTCCTGACGTTGGAAGGAGGGGAGAGAAAGAAGGCACCAAAGGTACGGCACTATCTACGAGATGAGGGGCATCTCAAGCCAATGCCAAAGATGAGATCAGTTCGGACATTGGTTTGCAAGGGCCAGTGGAATCTCATACGCTCAGATGACGATTTCGATTCCATCGTCTCCGCCTTGCCCAACCTGGAAGAGTGGCATGGTTCTTATAGCAAGGCCAAGTCCAAGGCGTATCTTAGCATGGCTACGATTCTACCGAAACTACCCAAAAGCTTGACGAGCATCAGCGTCAACCTGGAAGGCGTCGAATATCGAAGGGAACTATCCTTCCCCCCTTACTTCCTAAAAGTGTCCAACAAGCTCCATTTCTGCACCAGGTTGGCAGAAGCTGCCTCGAGTTTGGAGCATCTCTCCTATACTGGACGAGTATGCCGGGTCTTCTTCGAGCTAACGTCGAGACTGGCGGATCCTCGCAATTCACGATTGAAGAGCATCGATCTCACGGTACGCAATTGCTGTCGTCATGTGGTGCACTGGAACGAGTCCGGGTCGGGCATTACCGACATGAACTTTATCAATGCTTTTGAAGCGCTGGTACTTGCAGGCATCCGCTCTCTGGCGAAACTGAAAGCAGTGGAGTACCTCCGTATCCGCTACGTCGACCTAGGTAAGTGAAGCTCTTGCCATCTACGATATCGAGCTCAACTAATGATCTCTAATAGACTCCCCTGTCCCGCCACTCAATCCCTACTTCCTCCTTCGCGATGGCTGGTGCTCGGGTGTATGGAGTGATGCAATCGTGGCGGAGCTGAACCGAGTCCGCCCACAGGCTCGGTTCGAAGAGCTATCCGAATCATTTGGCGAGTTCGGTTTAAACAAGGACGGTAGAATGGTCATTAGTCCCGAATTTCCTCGCAGTCGGGTCCTGTCATTGAAACTGTCCAACTACCAATACCTGACTGGCGGAGTTGCGGTGCCTTAATGAGGTCACGAGGGCGATGGGGAGTACCAGGACATCATTGGGTTTTGAATTTTGCTTTTCCAACAGCAAGGCGTTTGGGCAGTCTAGAGTGACTTTGGGTCAGTTGCTTGCCTTGCCGAGATCATCAGGAGTTTTTGGTGTTGGCCATGATACATCTGCGGCCACTAAAAGGGGGCGGGTCATGTGCGTTGCTTTTCGGGACTGCTTTGTGAATGTTGGGTGGACTAGCTGGCTATCAGGGATGGGTTTGATGGCTTCCCCCAGCAGTAGGGGTCAGTTTGCATTTTTGGTCATACCCAGGTAGATAGCCATGTCCGATGGGTAAAGTGGGTATATGTGTTTGTAATGAGTTGCCATTGCGACGATACACGACATAGCCTTGCACATGTCGACGAACTTAGATGATAATGAAGGTCTATGGCCGATCTTGCTTTTGCATTACTCGAATACCCAATGTGAACGCCGCCTTGCTTGGTCTGTGTATATGTATGACCCACGTTATTATATGCAGTGGTCTCATTGCTTGTATGCTATTTGCAAACGCTTTTGAATGCCAAACGAGTCGATGTAAATCAGATGGATCGCTATGTCTATCAGATCGCTGGAGAAACCGCCACATCGCTAATGATCAAGCCTAGAATACCGCAATTTACTATGAAGAAGGCAAGCGACGACAGCCACAAGCCAGGGACATATGTGCTCTGCCCCAAGAACTCGAGCCCGAAACCCTGCTGCAGCCAGGCCGCTTGGGTCACCACCCACAATGCAGCGGCAATGACTCCCAGTGTCTTGTTCCGCAGGAAGCTGGAGCTGGGCAGATACAATGGAAGGAATACCATATACCACAGGAAGTACTTCAGTTCCAAACTATCAGCCAATGGTCTCTGGAGGGGCATTGATGAAGCAGGAGAGCGGCAAGACGGGTATCCGCGCTATAGTACATACCTGGCTGGTGCACACCTTGTTGAACGTGACGAAGGCGAACGTCTGCGCCAGCATGGTGGTGGGCAGGTCCTTCTTCGCCATGACAAGAGGGACGAGAATGCAGGAGAGCAGAAGCTGCGGGAGAAATGCAATAGACTCGATACGGAGGGTCGAGGTGCTCGGATAGGCAGAAGTCAGATACAAGAGAATGTTGTAGGGGCTGAAGTTGTGCCGGTGGTCGACTCGAGTCACATGGTGGAAATAGGTATGTTCAAGGAATGGCTTCCCGTAGCTGATCAAATTAGTGCTGAACACTCACGATGAGATGGCTAGCTTACCTGATGAACATGATGAGATTTAGCCCCATGAATGTAGCAAGACTGACGAGAGCCAGCTTGATCCTTTCCGTGTTGAAGAAACCAAGCGCAGCTTCGAGGAAAGAAGGTGTTTCATTTCGTTTCTGTTTTGGCCCGGTAGTTATCTTTGATGTCAGGCCAAGTCTTTCGTCGTCCATCCACCATATGATAGCGGGAGCGTAGATGAATGGATAAATCTTGAAGTGCACGCTGAAGCCCAACAAGAATGCCGCAAGCGTGGTCCGTCGAGAAGCGACGGCCCAGAGAAGGGCCATCACAAGCACTCCCAGCAGACCCTCTGAGCTCCCACGCGTGCTGATAGTGGCTACCATCGGGTTCAAAAGCCATATGGCGGCAAATGTCCTAGCAGTCGGGGCGTCCATCCTTGATCCAGGGCCGCTCCCAGATCTCATCGTTAGGACCTTGACAATCAGCCATCCGGCAACGAGATCTGCCACGGCAAACAGAACCTTTCCGGACGAGAACCAGGCCACTGTCACCCATTTTGAGGATGATTGCACGGTGGTGGGTAATAGCATCCACGCGAGCAAAGGCGTGTAGCGATATGTCTCTCGGGCATATGGGCTCTGGCCCCTGGCCACGTACCGAGCGGCATCAGTGAAGACGAGATAGTCGATGTCAGTGTACTTTAGGGGGGAGTTGGCATCCTGCCACAAGCCATAGAGCAGAAGCACCACTCGGAGCAGCGTTGACGAGATGTAGAGCGGAAGAGGAGAGCTGAAGAGCCGCGAGACCAGAGAGGTGGACACCTGTGCGTCTACTTCCACCGAAGAGGCGACTTTTGCGCCAGAGCGTGGGTCTGTGGCTGCGCTCATTTCTCCAATTGCGTGTTCAACTCAAATTGCTTCCATCAAAGTCATTTGCGATTCCAAGGTGAGTGACCAGAGGTGAGTGACACGTGCAGCGCATGAATCCTCTCGTCCGACTCAGACCGTTATATTTGCCCTCGATCACGGAGCACAATTGACCTTCAGATGCTTCAGTCAACGCAACTCATCAAAAGAGATTGAAGGACACCGGTGTGATGTTGCTTCGTGGGTCGGCGATATTTGAGACCCAGGTTCACATTGACAATTCCACAAAGACAGCGTTGCTGCTCCAGCCACAGGCTTCAGCCACCGCCGTAACAAAATGCTATCACGACCGCTGTAGAATAACCACGTGACTCCTGTCAGCGAAAACTGAAGGCAACCTTGATATGCCTGCATCATTGCCCAATCATATCTCAACCACACTTCCTTAATCACTTACCTAGGTATATCATAGACTATTTACACTTGATGCTTTTCAAATATTCTTAGGTAACAAATGTGATGGCTTTGATCCTGATTATTCAGAAAAAACCACCTAGCAGTAGTCAAGCCTATAGACCTACATATCCCAGCATTGCGGGGTCCAATTAGCACCCACTACCAACCTAGTAGGTAGGTAGGGACCGCCGACTAACTTCTGTCTTCCAACGAAAAGAAATAACCAACGGGCAAACATCGCTCACAACCCTACAAACTCTGTCCAGCATCAAAAAGGGGGACTCGGAACAGCAAAAACAGGATGAGCGGAATGAAAAGAGACCATCGAGGCAATGCGAAACGCTTCGAGCACCGAGAGAAAGCCCCACCCAAGGAAATCGTGCGTAACGCCTACACGCCCATGTTTGAGCGTTTTCGAGATGAGTTAGATGAGCACCACGACCGCAAAGAGAGGATCGTCAAGGCGTCAAGAGACATTACTGCTCTCAGTAAGAAAATGCAAGGCTGCCACCCCCTATGATGAGAGATACATACGACTAACGATGATATCTCATAGTATCTTCACATTACAACGGTGAGGAACACAGCTATAAACATGACCGATCAGCCTGCTTTTCACGAGGACTAACATTATGATTCATCAGTGTGCGAAGAATCCATCAAGATCTCCCAGACGGCTTCAACGCGGATATTCAGTCTCGTTTGGCTGAAGTTCGCAAGCTACTTTCAAGCATAGCCGGCGATGTTCAGGGCATCAACCGGTGGCGCTATATGAGAAATATGAGCTGCGTCGAAGAGCTCATCGAAGCGCTCACATTCGCACATTACCTGCGCCACCAGAATCTCATGAGCTATGCCGAGGCTACAGAGGCTGTGCATCATCTCTCACTGCCCGAGAATGGCGAGGACGGGGCGGCTATGGACTTGGAGCATCCCATTGTGCATCTGATCGAGGATGATTATCTAATGGGCGTGTTTGACCTCTCAGGTGAAATGATGCGATTTGCTACTACGACCGCCGCCCTCAACGGGCGCATGGCCGGGTCATCTCTGCAATATGATGGTCAGGCCGACGAAGGCAGTCCCCAGCGCACCATCGTCACAGACATGCAAGATCTCGGCAGTTTCTACGAGATGCTTCCCCAGCAGAGTGGGAAGTCCTACCAGGTGAAGTTGCAAACACTACGGACATCTGTGCTCAAGGTCGAAAAGCTGGGATATGGACTCACTGTGCGCGGAAGCGAACGACCTGCGGGCTGGATGCCCGATACGAACGATAGTGAGCCAGGCTCTCCTGTTTGACAACGCTACTCCGAGCTCCCATGAGTTCTTGTACGAGTTGATTTTGGAGGGTCCTGTCATAAAGGGTCAGAGGCCCAAAGCACACTGGCAAGACAATGTCTCTAAAAAAAAGTTGCAAGCTACTATGTTTGCTCGTAGCAGCATGACCCCAGTCTAGGGGATTATGTACTCCTCGGATTCTTCTTTCCATTGTAGCAACTCTAGAAATAGAAAACTGCCCTTACACAGACCAACCACCCCAATCCTCATTTCAGAAGATACAATTCATCCTCACGAGTATCGGTTGTTGCTTATACAAGTGCTATGAATGGGGCCTCTAGGTGATCGATGCTGTCAAAGAACTATATACATAGCCGGTGTGACATATATGGATATATCTTATGAAATGAATTATGAGTCGCATATCAATGTGTACGGCTTACTTTGTTTGCTGCTTCGGGGTGTTGCTGTGCCGCCAAATAACGTCAACCCAGCCGAATGTGGAAGGTCTTATTGCTTCCGAGCTAAGGCGATAACGCAAGATGAGCCTTTGATGAGACGTCAGCCTTTCACACTTTCACCTCCAGGCAGAATTATGGTGTTTCTAGTTAGAAACCACACATTTTTAGAGTGTAGGATCGAGAAACTAATTCTCAGATTCTCAATACAAGGTCAAGGAGACAAGAGTCTCCGCCTTCAATTGGCTCTTCAATTATTCAGAGTCTCACACACAGTCATATTATTCCCTCTACAACTAGGTCCTCGCTGCGAAGCAAGCAACGCCTGCTGCCGGCGTGGCTCGCAACAATGGCATTGAGGATAGTGCCGTCTGACCGCTGTTCAATCACTCATGATGATACTTTTGGTCCTCGTGTAGCTATAGCGTGCCGATCTTTTGACTTCACGCTTCTGTTTGAGGATGGCTTCTTCGTTGCCCTTCCAGCTGCCGTCTTTCTTCTACTGCTTCCAATGCGTCTTCAGGTTCTACGGAAGACAACTGTCAAGACAACATCGTACAAGTTGGCGATATGGAAATTAGTATATTTTGCTCTCTTCTAGATACAGAAGCATCAAACGCTAATCATCCCATAGTCTTTCTTGAGCGTACTATTCGTCCTTCATGTCCTATTTCTGGCTTTTAGGCTGCAGGAACGTCGTCTGTATACCAGACTCTCTGTCGCCTCCAGCGTTTTGAGCATTTCTGCAACCCTGACCGCAGCTCTTCAGTCATTCATGGAGGATCAGCGATCCGTGCAGCCTTCAGACATGCTGGTCCTATACTTCTCTATCTCTTCGATCCTCTTCATACCACGCCTTCGCTCACTATGGCTCTTATCTTCTGCCAGTGTCCCCAAAGGTCTTTGGACAGCGATTTTTACCGTCACAACGATCATCGCTTTCGTCGAATCCCTCAAAAAGACTAGGTTTTTGCGTCCGAGCTACCGAGGCATATCTTTGGAGGAAATGACAGGTTTCTGGGGCAAAAGCTTCTTCATATGGGTGCTCCCTCTCTTCCAAGCCGGATATTCAAAGCTTTTACAACTCGATGACATCCCAAAAGTGGATACAGATCTTCAAGAACAATCCACGTGGACAGACTTGAACAGATCATGGAATAGTATCCAGGGTCGACACCGTCTTCTCCGCGCAGCCTTCTTCGCAAATCACTGGCCAGTTTTATCAGCTGTAATGCCGCGCCTCGCCCTAGCTGCGTTCACGTTCTGCCAACCCTTTTTAGTCAATGCTTCAGTTTTGTATCTAAATTCTGGACAGGGAAAAGACGACGATACAAAGGTATATGGCCCGGCTCTTGTCGGTGCCTTCGTTCTCGTGTACATTGGGATAGCCGTAAGTGAACAACCGACAACTGCAAATAAAGAACAACTGTGGTGACAATTAGGATTTAGGTGACTCGAGCAGTATATTGGCGGCAAACCTACCGTGTGATCGCCAGGATCCGGTCCAGTCTAACGGCTCAGATATACCGACAGACAACTGACTTACGAGGCTGTGATGTGACCGACTCAGCGGCCGTCACCTTGATGGGGACTGATGTAGAGCGCATAGTTGATGCTTTGGCTCAGTTTCATGAGCTGTGGGCTTCATGTCTTGAAGTTGGTGTTGCAACCTGGTTCTTAGCCCGTCAAATCTCATATGCAGCCTTGGTGCCGCTGGTTGTCTGTGTGGGTGAGTACTCAATACACGTGTTATCTCTTTATGTTTTGGTGCCGCTCCCTTCAAGGCTGATATTATTACATAGCGTCTGTTGTTGGCGCGTCTCATGTAGCTGCTCGGTTTGGACCTGCGCAACGGGCCTGGAACGAACGGGTACAGGAGAGAATCGCAGTAACAATCAAAATGCTAAGTGACGTGAAGGCAGTCAAAATGCTCGGACTGACAAACGTCATGGCGGAGCTAATCCTCAAGTTGAGGACAGTTGAGCTGCAGACATCTGAGAAGTTCCGAGTCTTGCGCATCTGGCGAATCATGATTTGTAAGTGTTTTCGATAACCTACACCCGCTCTTCGAAATACGTGCTCTAACGACATGCTATCAGCCAACGCCCCGGCCACTGTAGCTCCATTGGTCACATTTGCTGCATATGCAATCATAGCAGTGGTAAAGAAGGACGAGACACTGCTTTCCGGTCAGGCGTTTACATCGCTTTCTCTCATTGGCCTTCTTACACACGCGCTTCTCATTCTCTGTCAAGCATTGCCCACATTCTTTCAGGCTGTGTCATGCTTCGACAGAATTGAGGCATATTGTTCAAAGATCAGGATGCCGGACTTGCCTCAACCATCGTCAACAGTGTCCAGAAACTCCCCTCACGAATCGACAGAGCTGCAAACTTTACCAGTAGGTCATTTAAGTGAAGTTATCATCTCTTATGATCAAGCAGATATATGTTGGTCCGAAGGTGGTTCTATCTCTATTCTACATGATATCAATTTGAAAGTACAGCGTGGCTTCACTGCCATCACTGGGCCAGTCGCATCAGGAAAGTCAACTTTACTAGCAAGTATGATTGGGGAAGCTGCATTGAATGACGGACATGTTACTCCACAACGTCTATCAGGAGTTGCATTCTGCTCACAAACACCTTGGATTTTCAATGACACGATACGCAGAAACATCACAGGCGGTCTGGAATTCGACGACAAATGGTATGAATATGCGCTTTCCTGCTCTTGTCTGCAAGAGGATCTCGTTGGAATGCATCGCGGTGATCACACCCTTGCTGGAAGCAATGGTTCATCACTTAGTGGAGGACAACGACAACGTGTGGTATGCCTTCTATTCATCCGTGTTTTGATTATGGTGACTAACCAAATCTACCTATTGGACTAAAGGCTCTCGCTCGTGCTGTTTACTCTCGACTTCCGATCGTCATTCTAGATGATGTAACCAGCGGGCTTGACGCCAGGACTACAAGTATCATCATCACTCGCTTGTTCGAAGAGGAGGGCTATTTCCGAAAATTTGATGTCAATGTCATAATTGCAACACACAATAGTCAGTTAGACCTGCACAACGGTGGCTTGATCGAAATTTACTAACCACTGCCAGGGCGAATTTTGTCCCTCATGGACTCAATCATTGCTCTTGACAATGGCAGAATTAAAAGTCATGGAGCTTTTGAAAACCTTCAATCAGATATCAATGACTTAGACCCAATCTCTGAGACCAACGATACAACAACTTTCGAAGAGAGAAAAATTGTTAAATCCAGGCATTCAGTGGATTCACAACTTACCACCGAGGAAGTTACGGGACCTGGCGTGACTAATCTACAGAGGCGAGAGGGCAATTGGATCACATATCGATATTATTTCCAGAGCGCCGGATACATCTCCTTGTGCCTTTGGGCTGCTTTTACTCTTCTCGGGGCGGTTACTACTAGTTTGACAAGTAAGCAGCAATGAGTACCCGCAAGTCAGCTCGTCAGACTCCTTACAATTCTTAGCAATATGGATTGACATTTGGACGAATGCAAATGAGAAGAAACCCAACCAGCGACTTGGTCTGTACATCGGAGTATATACTGTCTTAGTGATATTAGCCAACGCAGGACCCCTTGGAGAATGCTGGTATGGTATTTTGACACTGGTCTGAGAATTTGTAAACTAATGCAGTCTCAAGGATCTTTTTCATCAACATTATCAACCAAACGGCTACTAAGATGCATTCTGACCTCCTTAAGACAGTGATAAGGAAAGTGAACTTCCGCTCCTGATAAGATGCAGTATCGTCTGACAGTATCATCATCTTTGCAGTGCACCGTTCAGCGTATTTCAAAAAGCAGACATCGGATCTATTACGAACCGGTAGGTAATCCCTTTATTCGTTCAATGTAGACATTGTCTCTAACAATCGGTATTTAGCTTCAGCCAAGACATGGATCTAATCGATATGAGACTTCCTACCAATGCAATTCAGTTTACGACAGGTAAGTCCTCACTGCATTTTCGCAGCTCGACATATAACTAAGTACTACGTATAATAGCAATTACAACATGCGTCGTCCAACTTGTTGTTTTGTGTGTGCTTGGGAAATACTTCACGGCTGCTATCCCGGTTCTCGTAGCCGCCTTGTTCATGGTTCAGAGATACTATCTTCGCACCTCACGGCAAGTGCGTCTGATCGATATCGAAGCGAAGGCACCTTTATATAAACACTTCGTCGAAACCATACAAGGAATTGCAACTATTCGTGCCTTCCGGTGGAAGTCGGCGTTCCACGACCAACATGCGGAGATACTAGATCAAGCGCAGAGACCGTTTTACATGTTGTTTTGCATTCAGCAATGGCTTCAGCTGATTCTCGATCTCATAGTGGGTGCTCTGGCAGTTATAATTGTGGCGCTTGCAACATCTCCATCAATTAATCTGAGTGATGGAGCAATTGGTGTGGCGCTTGTCCTGGTCCTGCAGCTCAACTCGATGCTTACACAGACGATTCAATCGTGGACTCATGTAGAAACTTCTATCGGTGCAGTAGCTCGGGTCAAACAGTTTGTGCAAGAGACACCAACGGAGACACCTGGTATGGTTGAACTTCCTTCGGACTGGCCTCACCAAGGAGCCATCCGGCTGCATGACGTTAGTGCACATTATACGTAAGTCATGCCCTTATTTGGAGTTTCTCCTGCTAACAATCATCAAAGACCTCGTTCTCCGCCTGCTTTAGATCATGTGACACTTAACATTGCTCCCGGAGAGAAGGTGGCTCTTTGTGGTCCTTCCGGTAGTGGGAAGACGTCCTTGATCCTGACCATTCTACAAATGGTGGAGCAAAGTGGTGGGCAAATTGCAATTGACGACGTGGATTTGTCGATGATCGGTGGGCACAACATCCGTTCACATCTAAATGTGGTCCCGCAAGACCCATTCTTCATGCCAGGAACTCTACGATTCAACCTCGATCCCCACAGCCGCTCAAGCACTCAGTCGGTAGAAGCAGCTATACGCATGGTCGGATTACGGGACAAAGTAGCGTCTAGCAACACGTCTAATAACGGTAGTTCAGCTTTGGATAGGGAACTCAACGGAGCCGAATGGTCTCAAGGAGAGAGGCAGCTACTGTGCTTAGCCAGAGCACTTTTGCACCCTAGCAAAGTGGTAATACTCGACGAGTGCACAAGCAGGTATGTTATTTCACTTTGTATCCTTTTGAGTTTCGTCACGTCTTATGCTTCGGGGGTGTATTGGCAAGCTAATCTCTCTTTTCATAGTGTTGATGAGCACACCGAAGCTATCATGCAAACCGTGATCGACACTGAATTTCATGATCGCACTATCATATCAATTTTGCATCGTTTCAAGTATATAGACCGGTTCGACAGGGTGGCTGTTCTAAGACATGGAAGGCTTGTTGAGTGCGACGCACCTCAAGCTCTACTCAGTCGCCAGTCGGCTTTCCGGGACCTCTACTCGAAACAAAATTATACCAGGGCATCGCCGGAGAAGGAAGAACACTAAATCTGAACTATGCTTCTAGATTCGGCACGCCAACGGAGCATGCTAGTCATGTCATACTATACATTAGTTGATGCCAAATTCGGCGCTTGACACCATTCAGCCTCATATTTGTCTCGGAGATGAGTTCTACTATCTACATTTGTTATGCCCACGAGTGCCTGCTCACATTAGCGGTTCTACGCATACAGACCTTGCTGCCACCACTGACACCTTGCATTGGAAGCATCGTCCGTTCCCACAGTAAGGCCCGTAGTAGCCATCATCATCGCCCGAGAAGACGTTCCGTATGTAGGAAGAGGCGTTCCATCAAAGCTGGTTGGCATTGAATCCATGACGAAACTGACTATGTATTGCTGCAGAGCATCTGCTACCATCGTGTTCACTCCAGATGTTACCCCGTTTTGGAAGACATATGATGTTTCCTGGCCGTGAATTCCTGGCGAGACCTTGAAGTTCACTGGATGTAAAAGTTAGCCAATCATACATATCGACACATTTCTCGCAGGATCACGGCTTACATGAGTATGCTTGATCGCTCAAGGCTTTTGCTAGGTAATTTGTGTTGCACACAATCGTGCTGTCTTGGATGGTGACCAAAGCTCTCTGAAACTCGCTCGTGTATCCGTAAGTGCCATTAAATCTTCCAGGATAGAGAGTTCCGTTGATGTACTCTAGTTGGTCTTGAGGAATGTCAGGCATGGAAGCTTCTAGCATATTGGTATAGTCTGTCGTTGTTGAGATAGTGGGATTGGTAAATAGAAGCCCCTCAAGCATGTTGTGTGACACCATAATTCTGACGTTATGATGGAAGGACCCGTTCATGAGGGACTGACCGAGCAAGGCAGGGACCAAGGCTCCGTCAACGGCGGGTCCGAAGAGATTGCTTCCGTACGGCGATTGGCTGTATATGTAAATAGCATTGGCCGCGATCAGAGCCTCGCTATCTAGTTGCCTGGCTTCCGCGAGAGACGAAACACCCAGCATGTCCAGGAATCCACGGAAGGAAGCCTCAGGAGTGGTGAGGGTAGGCGATGGCAGGAACGCGGGCGACAACATGATAGCCTGGTTGAAGAATGGTCCTGCATCTGCACCGCCAGATGAGGCTATGTGATGCATAATCGATCCCGCTCCGGCCGAGCCACCCATGACAGTGACTCGAGTCTTGTCGCCGCCGAACAAGTGGATGTTATCCTGCACCCATTGAAACGCAAGACGCTGATCGTAAAGGCCTGCATTGGGCGTCCCCTCTGCTTCGACTTCTTCCCCTCCAAGGAAACCAAACGCGCCTACCCGATAATTCATTGCCACATAGACAAAGCTAGCGTTGCTGATGTGAAGAAGACCAGCGGGGTTGAATTTTCCATTGCCCGTCTTCTCGCCAGAGGAATAGCCTCCACCATACACCTGTATCCGCACGTTAGCATCCACTATTGAAAGGGGGCACTGTGAAATCTGAAATGTATACGTAGACTAATACCGGAAGGCCCGTGATGTTCTGCTTGAACACCTTTTGAGGAGCAAGGACATCGAGAAACAGGCAATCCTCGGTGGTGCGCGGGTCTGAACTAACAGCCATGGGAGATGATGGCAGAGCCGCCATAGCTGTATCGTAGTCGAATGATTGGCCGCTCAGATACTTTGGGTAGAATTGCTGTGCAATTAGGGACCAGTTGCCGGTAGACTGTGGGCATACGCGACCAACGGAGCCATTGTTAACAACAGCAGAGCTGATGTCGGTCGGCGCAACAGGCGCGCGGAATCGAAGATCATCCACAGGTGCAACACCATATCGAATATTAGAGAAGTTGTAGTAACCCCCGGTGGCCTATTATGACGATTAGAACATCGAGATGTGGCCGGAGTAGCAAGAGTATATGACGACTTACATTCAGGCTGATAGCTCGGTGGCGTTCCTGTTGATAGATATGATCAATTTCAGTTGCCTTCATAACCTTTGACTCATAGACTTACATATCCAAGGTCTACGACTGGCAGACACATGACCCCCGAGACTAAAGGAGCGACAGCAAGAAATCGAAGCAGAGTAAAAAGAGTAGAAGACCCCATTTCCGCCCTGTGAGCTTCTAGATGGTCAATTAAAGAAAAGGCTGCGGACAAAACGCCGCGAATCAAGATAGCAAAGGAATGTCTATGGTTGGATGCTGCCTCGAATGCAGTTCACCTTCATCACCGGAGCGGCGAGCGAACAAGATATACATCTCGAAGAAGCTGAGCGTGGAGTCTGAGGAGACTTTGAAACCTCCTTGAGGATCCTTGAAATTAGAGATTGCGAAAGCTATCGTGGAGCTGTCACTTAGTGTTTTATATTGCGGCTACGCCGTCGTGGCAAGCCTCTAGTAATTCATGCCCCCGTTCCAGAAGCGGTTAAGTTTTCGAGTTGACTCCACAACTTTATCCGCTCTCAACCTTGTTCCAAGACTATGGGGGCATGACTTGGAAGGAAGAACCTGCTGAACATCGAACTATACAATGTCCGCTAGAAAGCGCCTTATCTGAGGCTGTATGCTATGGATTCAGGGAGGTGAGGTTAAAGCCTCAGCACCTCGGCACGTACCGTATACTTACAACAAAGTGCAATTTCATCCGCGCGCTAGCTTGCCGATGAGCCTCTCTTCCTTGGCACCTGTTTTGGAAAGGGGTATCCCGACGTCTTTTTGGGAATTACCTCGCTGCTGCTTGTCAGGGGCCAGCTGCCCAGTCACTCTCCACAACTAGTGGCAATTGCTAACTGGATAGCAATCGCTGGTGAATGACGAGTCTATGCCTTCGGAATGAATGGATTCGGCGTCCATCGCTGGAGCCTCTTCCGGTCGAAACTGAGCGCAAGCCCACCAAATGTGCAATGGCGAAGTAATGGCCCAGAAGAGGAACTTCATCCTATAGACACAGCCCTGTGGGTGTTCTCTCCGGAGATTCCCACTGCGGCGCGCGGCCACTCCATCAATGAGCCATGCTCACCCTGGCCAATCTCTTCGCAAATCGTTGCAACGGTCCATTCTGCCCAACCTCTCGTCCACCAGACATGCGGTGTCTCTCTCAAACAGATCACCCAATGGCCAAGCAGGACCAAAGCCAAAGGATCTCTCGCTTGTAATCGCTCCACGAACGCAGGTGCCACCATGCCGAGCCAGCCAATGGCAACACGGTAGACTCCCCGAGCGGCGGCGACACGGCGCATGGCATAGCGAAGCTTCAAAGCAATATCCATGAGAATCTCCTTGCGATCGATGGTGGGAAACCGCTGCTCCAAAGTCGGCTGATCTCCGTCAGGAATACCCTCCCTCCCGACATGCGACTGCGATGATCTATCCTCAAGCCTCGAAATCGCAGACATCACCTCTCGCAAGGAGTCCTCAGCCTCTGGCCAGGGAGCCTCTTTCCCTGCTTCGCGAATCACGTCCCGTCGGATCGCCATGGACGACTTCTCATCTAAAGGAGGACGAACGCCGCCGCCCCAGCCCATACGGAATATGACGACGGTTCCATGGAACAGCGAGATGATCTGAGCCAAAAGATCGACGGGATCTTGCTCGTCACGGATAGCATGCTTCCTCGACACCATAGGCATGGCGAATGCGCACGAGACGAGTAGCCCCGACGCTGTCAGCACCGGCTCGCAATTTTCCGATGATATAGACTCCAGCACGGGTCGGAAATGGGCCAGGGCGGACGCCTTATGTGATAATGCAGCCACGAGGTGGGGATTCGCATGATGGGAAGCCTCGGACGGCAAATCGATAGAAGGTGGCAAGGACATTGATGACGGCAATACAGATGCGAGGTGCAATGCGGAATATGTGAGGACGGCGTGGTGGACATAAGGATGAGCGTACAAATGGCGATCGATAGCAGCATGAAAGGTTGAGAAGACATCTCCGCTCTGAAACGGTTCACTGAGGAATGCTCCCGAGCTTGTTGTATAATGGTGCAATATTTGGTGCGTCAGAGGATCAAGGCCTGGCACAGATAGTGGTCGAAGGGAAAGCGGTGTAAGGGTTTGCACCGAATGCTGATCGAAGGGTCTATGGTCCTCTCGTGAAGATAATGCCGATGGGGCCAGAGATGTAGTTGTAGCCGCGGGTGACGTTCGGTGGTTCACTCGTGAGCGAGTCGACTGAGATGGTGCCGCATACCGCTGAAATGGGTCATAGGAGGACATCAAATGCCTATACGTGCAGTCCTGCCCCTTTTTGGCACATCTCCCACATGCTGGCTGGCCTTGGTCACACTTAAGAGATGTTAATTCACTTCAGCTGTATCGGATATAATTGAATCACATACCTTGACACGTCGGGCTTTGCACTGTAGGCAGCCATGATGAGAGTTTGTGTGAGATCGTCTTGAGGGCATGTCTACGACCCAACCTCAGGAGACAAAGGTAGGCAAAGTGATTCCTAAAAGACTCCACAGGTCGTCTTCATCGTAGCGATCAACGCAAAATCATGTGTCCACAATACATGTGGGCCAGTCTAGACGAATATGTATGTTAGCAACTAAGTCGTGAGTGCTCAGATCTTGAATCTGGAGTTCTGGGACGTGGAACGGGGAAGAGAGCTCGGGCTCCAGGCACCACTTCGGCATAGTCGCCAACATCCTAGAAATTCCACGGACGTTTTCGATAATGCAGAACCGCAGGAAACAGGATGGAATGATACATTGTGAAGAGCAGACAAAAGGAACGTAAGATTTAGAGACAAGCATCTGTATCATGGATGGCGTAGGGCCTGAGATACTGAGAGCACTCGGTCCAGCAAGTACGTAGAGCACTGAGATAAGGCAGCCCGGAGAAGGGAGGGGGTATAATCGATGCTATCATGAGGAGCAAGCAGGTACTCAGAAGGAAAGCCATGACGAAAGTAAACAGAGTACGTACCTTGGGGCTGTAAGTCATGCAGGATAAGGCAGAGCACCGGGCTCCTTAACCTAACCCAGCGGAACGGGATGGGTGAGATAATCAGATGCTAGATGCAGCCATCTTACACGAAGAACACGTGGAATCTCAGGGGTAAAGCAAATCGGGTGATGGAATTGCCTGCGGAAGAGCCACCATAGACGTCGTAGGTGTGCGCAGTGTGGTGGCATGAGTCTGAACAATCAAAAGAGCTGGCGTTAGCCTAATGTTAGTTGGTAGGCACATTTGGAGGAGACAATACGGTGGTCCAGCGTTATCGTCAAGTGGGTGTGCCTGCTAATTTCGATAAACGCTGACAGTCTACCGTTTCTCCCACTATACTATGTTTGCCGTACAGTGCATACACACTCGCCCTGTTCTTGACACATTATATTCGTTCCTTGAAGATATCTTGAATTGAGCAGATACATTTGCAAATATAACAGCCTGATTGGTAGCATATCTGGAAAGATTCAGCTGGACTGATCAATAGTCAACACTTGATGTCATGTTCAAACGACCAAAATCATGGTTACGGCGCCACCAGCATTCAAAGACGAGCATTTGAGGAAGACGAAGCGAATGATATTACACATTATACACAATAAAGGCGATACACAACACAGGGTATTATCTGTATCAGAAGGTATCAATTAAAGTCCTGATAGGCGTTTTTGAGCTTGCAGGCCGAGGGCACCACCATAATCGGGCCTCGAAGACACTGCCATCTAAAGAACCTCCCATCGAAAACAGCTCAAAAGATAGCGCGACAGGCGACACCCGCCGCCGTTGCGACTTGTCTTTTTCATCGCGACTTTCCAGATCGTGCTTTTTCTTTGATATTTTTTTCAAATCGTGAATGACGACGGCTCAATTGTCGTTATTTCCCAATTTTTCTTCTCGGCCCAGGCAATGCCGCAAAAAAGAGTTCCCTGCCAAAGCTAAAAACGTCCATTCCAGGTATCATCTTCAATTCAGTGAGTCGCGCGCGCGCAGTGGGGCGAGAGTAAAAGGACCCAAGAAGGGCCGCTCATGGGCCGATTCTTGTGTCACGCCATCCGTACCATATGTAAGATTACAACGCGAAAATCAACGCAAGACAAATCCAGGCCCGCGATCGGCTGCTGGAGTGTGGGCAGACAGGTCGCTTAGACCGTCTCGCGCTCCGTCTTGGCCATGCGGGCCTCCCGACCCTTCTCGCTCCATGGGAAGTGGAAGACGGGGATGAGGAAGAAGGAGTTACTGTTAGGTGAACAAGTTAGCGACATTGGCTGTGCGCTCGCTAGAACGGCGTGCGGGAAAAAAGTTGAGGGGTCCCGTTGACAAGCAACAGGATTCTTTTTGTATTTCATTTTGTGGTGGGAATGGGCGGATAGAAAAAGCTGGGGGGAGAGGTAGGTGCTCACCTGGTATCAGCAATACCGGCAAAGGCATTGTACCACGCCAAGAACGCGGCCAGCATACCGAAGCCACCACCGGCCTTGGCGAGCTGGACACCGGCATGCTTGGCGCCGTTGTTGTTGGCATACTCGCCGCAGGCCAGCATCAGGAAGGCCAGATCCAGCGTGAAGAAGAGCATGAAGAACATGACGGTCGAGCGCAGAGTGCAGAGCAGCAGAATCGTCGTGAAGATGAACCAGCCGGTCAGGAAGAAGCCGAGCGCAGAGTTGACCGAGCCGGGCACCTCGGCGTAGGCATCGACAACACCCAGGCTGGGAGTCAGGACCAGGGCGTAGGCAATCCAGAAGCCACCATAGGATGACAGCGCCGTGGCACCGAATGTGTTTCCAACAGCCATCTCCCTGTTCCAATTGGTTAATATCACATCGTAACCTCTCAATTGACCCTCCCAGCGCAGGGTTTCCTGCTGCTCTAAGAAGCCGGGAATACGGGCTAAACCTACCACATGCCAGCAAGCAGCTGGACAACACCGCCATAGCCAAAGGCCAGGGGGACGGCAATGTTGGGGACAGTAATGCCACGGGTCTGCAGGTTGACGGCGGACAGGACGAAGGTGGTCAGGGCGAAGGCGCTCAGGCCGAGAGGAGCAGGATTGGCGAACTTGCGGCCCTCAATGGCTCTGTAGAGACCGGGCTGGAACTCACCACCGAAGGCGGGAAGGCGAGCATCCTGGCCGGCGTGTGCGTGGACGTTGGGGTTGCCGCCATAGTCATAGGCACGGGGGACCGGCTGGTTGCCACCGTTGACGCCCTGTGAGCCAGTCGTGTGGGCGGTGTCCTTCTCGAAGTTTGTGGGAGCTGTCTCTGTGGTCGCCATTGTGACTGACTGACTAGCTAGAAAGCAGCTTTGATGTCGGGGTGTGTCGACGAGTGGGAAGGTGAGATTCTACAGGTGACAAGAGGATGAAGGCAAGGAGAGAGCTAGCTATCCTTGTCTGTTGCGAACCCAAAGGAAGCTGTGGAATCGACGTAGAAAACCGCAGACGCTGGAGCTGAGAGAAAGCTGAGACGAGGAGGAGGAGAGGTAGAGACACCTGGTGCGGGGAGGGGGGAGAGCAGTTGATATAGGCGGAAACAACGGAGATCCCAATGCCAAGGGATGGGATGGGATGGATGGGTTTATGGATATGGGGAAGGGGAAGGGGAAGGGGAAGGGGAAGGAAGAAGTGGAGGCAGCAAGCACAAACCAACGACTACTGGGTGGATGATGAATGGGACGGGCGGACGGAGGGGGGAGGGAGGGCGAGGGCGAGGAGGAGGAGGAGGAGAATTAAAAAGGATATATAGATTGGACATCCATTGTTAAGCCATCTCACTTACATGCTGGTGCAGGAGGAGGGTGGTGGTGACATGAGCTCAGCCTATGACACGCATCGTATTGCAAGTACCTCTTCTCCTACGAAGCTACTTACCTCATGGTATAATGGCATGGCATGGCATGGTAAGGTAAGGTATGCAAGGTATGGTACGGTACGGTATGGCATGGTTCGTTCGGTCGTAGTGGAGGGTGACAAGGGGGGCCGCGATGATGGAACATTTTCACCTCGTCACCCGCACAGAGGGCAAAGTCTGCCCGGGCCCCATCATCTCCCAGAGAGCCAGACCAAGATTGGACTGGACTAGATTGCCCTCAGTGGACTCGGGGGTGGATGATGAACACGGGAGGTGGAGACGGCGCAACACAACATTGACACACAATCACTGATCACTGCCTTGACTGACTGGCTGGCTGGCAGGCTGGCTGCTTTGCTGAGAAAGAGACAGAGCAGCGACCTACTCGAGCTACTTACTGCATAGTACACTAGGAGGTAGGGTCGTATTGGTTTGAATCGTGCAGCGGCCGGGGATGCGAGTCTCTTCGTCGAATCAATGGGGACTTTGAGAAAAAGATACTTTTGGTCATGGATGTGCAGAAATTGAGGGCGGTACATCGGGTACACGGGCAATACATCATCTCGGCGGTATTGGCTCCACGTAGCGCAAAAGCATGCTTTTCTTCTCCGCATGTCTCTCTGTCATCAGGCCAACAAGAAAAGAAACAAAAACCCACCAGCTTGCTATCTAACTGCATAACGCTCGCTCCAGTAGTTGCATCTCTCTCCAACCCCATACATTCATTTCATTCACTCACTCACTCACTCACGCACGCACTCAATTCAATCCACCTTACTAAGAGAGGCGCGGGTCAGAAGACACCGAGCGAAGCATCCATTAGGCCGTTCGCACCGCGTCCTCGCAAGACTCCGCTCATTAGGGCTTCCTCCTCTGATGACAAATATCAGAAAGAAAGGGGAATTGCTGGTGGAACAACGACACTGATGAGTGAGTGCATGAGAGCTCTGCGTGATGGATATGTTCATGTGTGCCTGTGTGATGTGCTGTGTTGTGTTGTGTATGTGCCTGGTCAGATGGGATGTGTGTTTACCACATGCCTGGAGTACCAGGAATGAACCACCCAAAGAGAGATGCACACATCTCGCCTTGTCTCGGATACAGGCCAGCAGGCCAGTTGCACACGCTAACACACAGGGCTTATTGTTTCTATTTCCCCCCCTTCTCAGCGCAGCGGGCGGGCTTGCTGGAATGGGCAGATACCGGATGACTGGGAGCAAGCGCCTTGACCTGAGGGTGAATGGCCTGATGTGCCTCGCAACCACTCACGGATGTAGCAGACCTGTACTGCGCAATGCGCCCTGGGCCGCCCAAAAAAACCTGGGGTCTAGTCTGCTCCATTCCCATGTCTCTCTCGGACGAACGGTAGCATTTAAACAGTTCGAAGCATCGAATCAGACAATGTGGCTGCAGTACTACGCCGTACTCTCCAGGCCCTCGCCGGGAGTGAAGAGCGGCTCATCAACCATTCAGATGCCACCGCCTACCAAAGAAGCCCCCAGGCCGGTGCTGAACGCTGCTTCACCGTCCCGCGTCTTCCACATCTTTAGATCATTGGATTTGGGGGATTTGAACCTTGTCCCCGTACCTAATATCAGAAATCAGCCAGCAGAACTACTACCCTGAGTGATGGATCACTCGGAGGCGCAAGGTAGGCAATTGATCAAGCAGAGATGCTGTAGGATCGCCTATAGAAAAATGCCTGTGGCTTTCGCCTCTTTCCAATCCCATCAACCTGACTACTCTCCTCTAATTGCGGCGCCGGTTGACGCCTTCTTCATCACGGCGCTGCGGAAGAGAGGTGGTCTGATGCCGAGCCGCAAGAAAAGCAGCTAAGAGCAGCCTCATGTCAGCCAAGACTCGGACGCTGCGCGGTCAGGGCCTTGGTAATAAGAACCCCTACCACAGTGAGCATAGGTAAGCATTTTGAAGGGTTCCTGGGCTTGGACGACAGCGGCATCCAGCGGCACATGAAGCCACTGGCAAGCCAGGCGTGCTTAGGCTCATAGGCTCCAGGCGCGTCTCTCAAATACTGACTTGACTTGGCTATTGTCTCGTGGCAAGGCATCAAAAAGTATCGCCCATGTACAGTACACCTTTCTCTCTCTCTCTCTCCAAATTGGCTTCGAGGAAGACCCTGGCTTGGCGAGGCGCTCCCCTGTCCTGCCGGTGTGCGAGTCGTGCATGTAATTAACAGGCTCGCTCTACGAATTGTCTTCACAGGAGCTCATCTAGATATGCAAGTAGGGATATTTCGTGCAACAGTCAATCAACTCGTCGCACATCTCGGCGCTCATTCCTCAATCGGCAGCAGGATAACCATGTGCTTTTATTTCGATAATTTTTATTTTTTTATTTTTCTTCAATTCGTTCCTGTCTTGTTTTCGTAGCTTGTCGACGGTACAATCAGACTCATTGAACCTACCCGGATGAGGTAGCAAGCCATTATTAATTTTGACTGCTCGCATTCCCATGTGCCTTAAGGGTGACTGCGATGAAGTCGAGTCTCAAAAGCTAAACTAGTGCCTGCTCGGAAATATCAATAAGATTGTCGCTTGTGATGTGAAGAGCTCCATCTTTCTCGATGCCGAGGGTGTCGATCGCATGCTAGTCTTGGATCTTGGGGTCCATCGCCGTGTTGAGTAAGTAGTGACTATTAGACTCCACAGGAGCTGTCACGATGAGGGGGAAGGTGATGCCCAATCCCCAGTGGTGGATTTTCCCCCCTTCCTCGGCAGTGCTTCAAGGCAGTGTGTCCGGATGGCGTGGAAGTAGGCCAAAACCCCCCCAAGACCTTACAGCTGCCGGCTTGCCGTTCGACTGCACCTGGCTCAAAGTAAGTTGCTGGCTTGCGCTGTCTGGAAACGGTAGGCTACTGGATTATCATGGCCAAGGAAGAATCATCGATGGTCGTCCCAGCGTCATGATGAACGGTCATGAGTCTTACTCGATAGTTCACTATTGGATATTGAACCCAAAAGAGCACCCCAGAATTCCGTTCCGGGGCTTCCAGCAACGAATACTGCATAGTAGCTCCTCACACCCGCCCATCTTCTTCTCCGCTCCCCGCTCCCCGCAGGCGGATGATGGATCAGGCCAGTCAGCCTCCTTCGTCTCTGACCGCCAAGTCCACTGTAGAGTTGCTACTCACAGGTGCTTGCTTCCTCGGCCCTCAGTGAGTCTCCGGCCTGCCGATGTCGAGGCACCGTCTCCCCTTTCCGCGACGCCGCAGCCTTACTAGTTGGCGGCAGGAGGAAGGGCAGCCAAGCCTTCCAAGACTTCCATTGCCTCGGATGAGCCCTCGCACAGGGGAAGAAGCCTAGCAGTAGGGCTGTGACATCGTATCATGTTCAACATGTTTCCATTCAAGAGAGAGTGAGCACTACCTAGTTCCGGGTACGTGTGTGGCTTCAGTCAGATGGGCACATTAAGCCAAGCTCCGCCTTACATACGCCGAGCCCGGCAATAATGACAATTGTCTTCGCGATCTCCAGAGTGCACTCAGCGCCGAGAGCTCTGGCTGCTGCAGGCTGGGGACACCCTCCGTCGACTTGACATCATTGCCAATACTTGCACACGTGGGAAACCGCAGGGCGTCTTGCCTGAAGACGGTGCGATCGTCAGACCACACATACCTGCGCGGACAGTAGGCTACAGTACAGCACACACATCACTTCCCACGGACAGAAGAGTGCATGACATTTTGGTTCGAGGGAGTGGCTTGCACTAGCTTTCTCCATCTTCGCCCTCTTAAAACCCCTCCCCCTCCCCTCCTTTCACAGGTCTGCTATGCAGTACAGACGCTAAAGAAACCCGATTTGGGGTTTGGAGGGTATCTAGCGTCGTCGGGGGAAGGGAACGAGAAGCTACTGCTTAAGGTTGCCAGCCAGCTGTAGGCGAGTACCGTCTTGCATGAGCAAGTAGCTTCGAACCATGATGAGAGGTCCCCGGAGATCGAGACCTTGAAGCCCGCATCATCATTCGCTGTGTCTCACAGGTCACTATCATCATCGTCGTTCAAGCCCCCAAAACCTAGCCGTGACTAGTCAAATGTGGCCGTCCTTCGCCTGTCAGTGGAGCGCCCCCCGAGGCAACGCTCGTTTCTTACCCCATACAATGTGACTGGTCTCGTTCATTCCCCCGCAAATGTTTAAGATCTCGTTTCCGCGTACGGACTTCAGTGTTAGAACCTGTCTAATTGTATGGTTTATTGCCTCACACTGGGAATCGATCGTTGATACCATCGTATACCGCTGTCGCTCACAGCAGATGGTCATTCAGAGAAACGTATGTTCATGTGACCGATCATCGCAGTGCTAACACACACCTCAATCAAAAGGTGATGGTTGTATTGTAGAAAGCACCTGGACTTACACTTAGCTGCATTACGTTAATCGTGTTCAGCCTCGGCCGCCGTCCATATGCCCCCCCTTGTTTAGAAGAATGCAGAGGAACAATTTCCGTAGCACAGACACGCACTACCGTTGGCTGGGGTTCTCGAGGTGAGATTAGTAGATTACGGCCCGGAGCTTGAAACTCGTATCGCTCTAAACCCCGGCGTCCATCTGTTCGGATAAGATGTCTTCCCCCTTCCAGTGCTTACAGCACAGGCTGACCTGCTAGTTCCTCAAGTCTATTTACCTACTATGACAGGGAGGACACTGAGGCGGCCCGAGGAGGATCCTGGCTTGATGGTCTGGAGCAGCTTCAATGAAACTGGCGATTCGACATGTCGCTCAAAGCAGGTAATTGCATGTACAACAACACACAAAGGTACAACTTCTTCGAAGAAGATGCTTTGCATTCTATGCGGTACAGCACATCGAATGCGCCCTAGATTTTCTATGTGCCCCAGAAAAGGAGCCACGAGTGCAGTATTCGACGGCTTCTAGCGCAGGCTTCTCTTCACTTACTGCGTAGGGCTAGCTCTACTACTAGATGATCCATGCCCCTCGCTCTCACTTACTATCGTCCTTAAGTTTTCAGGGAGTCTAGATTCCTCAGAGATAGACTGAAGCCGCGTTCTTAGCCGTATGGTCGCCAAGCCAGCCACTGCGAGATCAAGCTTCCAGGGATTCTGCGCGTTCCTCAGGCGCGTTAGCGATCACTCTGTTGGACTTGACTAGCTTCCTCAAGGATCATCCGGATGTTTAAGGTTCGAGCATCAGCATTCCTCCTCGCATACAGACTTCCAAGTGAATTCGTATCGTGGAACTGAAGCAGGCCAGAGCCAGCAGAGTCGATCATCACTACGCACATTTACCAACCCAGCAGGGTCTTCCTTATCTCGCAGAGGAACTACTTTGCAGGTGCATATCTTGCTGCGGTTCAACCTCCAATTGCGAGGCTCTAATCCGTGTCACACAACACGGACAATAGCCCCCCTTGGCTGCCACGCGACGCCAAGCGAATAGGGGACGCGCAGCTCTTGTTGGCGGGCCATCGTAAGCCATTACGCCGGCACACACCCACACTACCTTACAGGAGGCCGGGGGGCCGACCCTCAACGCCAAGGGACCCCCGCAAGGCTCGGGGTCCACGCCGAATTCATCCCCCACAAAACACATCTCGTTTCATTTAGGCAACTCCCATTTATCCGGTCAATCATATGGCTGGAATAGAAGATTCGAAGCCTGCCGTGCCTGAGGAGTACAGCCTGGAGCAGGCGAGATGAAGCTGTATTGTTTCTGACAGTTGGGGAGGATTCATCGTCCCGTCCGAGACTATAGGAGACGGCAACCAGGTTCTAAGGGACAGGCGTACTGTAACCTATGGGCCCTGTTCCCTGTTGAGCCAGCCAACAATATCCCATGCCACCACACACGGTTTCTTCGGAGAAGGCCCATGTCTTTCTGGCAATATTTCGTAAGAAGTCAATTCCCAAACAGACACCGCTAGGCTCGAGTTGAGTAATGATCCAACAGACTCTAATTCATGCCCCTTGGCGAGACCACGCATTAGGACCCCAATCAGGGAGTTGCTCAGTCCAGGATTCGGAGATGCATCCGTCGATCAGTTTTAATTGTCTGCTACTGCACAGTCTCACAACTGGAGCGAATGAAATTCTTCCGGGAGTTTGGCCGGCGCTCACGGGCCGTCATCGCCTATTTGGCAACGTCGGTGGGCATTTCCCATTGCGAGTCCAGCGCCCTTTACTGCATCGCTCCAGACAATCTACGCGTGCGTGCTGATGGGGGATTTGACGCCGAGTTGCCTTCCCTGTCCCGCGCTGCTGTCCGTTGGAAAAGGAATCCTTCAAGCATTCTGCCGAGCTACGAACCGGACGCCACGATGCTCAACATGTTTGCCCAGAAAGCTTGTTGACATGCCAAGCGGCTTTGACGTGTAGAATATAACGTCCTGGTTGTTCTGCCTTCATGGCATAAACGAGGCGGCCAGGCAGTGCCTTCTTCCAATGAGTTGAGGTTCCATTGAGGCCCAGCGGCCCCTTTTTCGAAACCTTCCCAGCTACGTTAGTGTGTTGGTGATCTGGCACCTCGTCATTTGTATCCCTGGCGAGGATTGGGTTCTCAGTTGCACCTCTCTACCACAGTTGGCGATGAGCTAGCGGCGGCGGCGCGGGTACCGAGAAGAGCCAGGTGCAACGGTGCAGCGGTGCAACATCATCAAATGGCCCTGGCGTAACGATGCCTGGTCGAAAATCCACCCTGAAAATCTCACCGCATGCATGAAATTGTCTCGCGCATTGGTCGGTGCTGGCGTTACAGCTATGATTGGTACCTTCGCAACTACGAGCTTTTAAGCTCTCGGTCTTTGGTAATAGAGGTGCTCATGTCCACTGAAGCGTGAGATGTTGTCGATCTTGAGATCTAAATAAGAGAGTTTCAAAAGGAGCAAAGGTGAGTCCTACATGGAAAGCACGAGGTGCCAAGGTCTCGTTGGCTAGAAAATCGGAATCAGACTCAGTCCTTCGATCGTCGTACAATCGGGCTTATTTTACATCATCTTGTGCTCGTACGTGAGACTGTCAAATTTGAAGGAGAAGCCGCATTGTGAAGAGTCGTTCCAGATGGCGGGACAGTGCGAATGAATGACACAAACGGCGAGTCCCGTTTCTTTATCCGCCCCATCTCATCCGTATCAACCCTACCGTTTTCTCTAAACCTTGAATATGGCCATGGAGTGAGCGGTCAATTTCATCACTGGCCAGATTGATGCATTGTGTCTTGCGAACAAGCTACGTCGGCTGGCTTCTCATTGCCATCTCGGCTGAATCTAACCTAACAATCCGTCGCACAATTTGCTAGAGATCCAGGTTTTAATATATCCCTCTTACAGCCTCGAAATGTCATCACCGCCCATGTGCATAGCTCTGTACGAAAGGGCGTCTTGCCTTGTCGTAATCGCGATTATGCTTGCAGCGAGAGGTACAAGACGCAGCAAGTGCCTCCGAGGTACCAGCGCAGCTCCCCAGGTAGGCCCGCGCATCACCAGTTCTGAGGTGAGGCATCACCGGCGCGACACGAGACTGCGGCGGCCGTCTACCGACTCGACTCGACTGGCTCGACTCGTAGGGCCGGTCTGGCCTGGCCTCCCTGGGTACCTACGTTACGTGGTCACTGGCAATTAAGTCAGTTGTCAGTCCCAGTAATGCGGGTGCGGTGCGGCTAACACCGCGCGCGCGCGGCTGTGTAAGATCGAGTAGTAGTTGCTGTGCCTTACATTAGCCACCGTCGCCGAGTCGTGCCACCTCGACCTCACCATCACCTGATGCTGACCCCCCCAAGCCTCAAGCATCGGCATCAGACAACGGCCCAGGCCTGCTCCCTGAATCTGCGTGGGATCATGCTGAAGAAGCTTCTGCATTTTCCCGGATCTCCTTTTCCCTTATCTCCCTTTGTCTCTCTCTGAAGCACCGTCGGGAACAAAGTTGCTCTCGGCCGCTTCGAAAATAAACACGAAATCTCTTTCTCACCTTTCCCACTTGTTCCTGTATCGCGCTGCCGCCGTCGCCGAGACCCCCTTTTCTCGCGGCATTCACCGTCCGTCACCTCACGTAACGTAACGTAACGTGTCCATGACCAGACGGCGCATCCTGCTCTCCTTATTCCTCACCATTCTGATTCCATTGACTGCAGTGCTGTATAATCGTGTTTCAATGAGAACCGGTGGGTTCCTGAGAGCCCCGCCCGTACCAATGTCACAGTCTGCCCCTTCGCCGGTCGTCATCGTGGTGGGCGCGGGACTGGCCGGCCTATCCGCCGCCTACGAGGCCCTCCGCGTGGGTGCCTCGGTCCGGCTACTCGAGAGGGCCGCCAAGCCCGGTGGCAACAGCATCAAGGCCTCCTCCGGTATCAATGGCGCCCCGACCCGCTTCCAGAAGGGCCAGGACACCTCCTTCTACAGCGACACCGTTCGCTCTGCTGGCGTGCGGCTGTCCTCGGGGGACGTCGGCGCCCGCAAGGACCGCGAGTCTCTCATCGCTCTCTTGACGAACAAGTCGGCCTCCGCCGTCGACTTTCTCGTTGACGACATTGGTGTTGACCTCAGCGTTGTGGCGCAATTGGGCGGCCACAGCTTTGCTCGCACCCACCGAGGCGCCGGCAAGACGCCCCCTGGCGCCGCCATCATCTTTGCCCTGCTGGACAAGCTAAAGGCCTTTCCAAATTTTGAGCTCAAGACCGGCTGCGAGGTGACAAGGCTCTTGAGTGCAGAGCCGAGCAAAGTCACTGGTGTGGAGTTCGTCTCAGATGGCCAGACCCAAAACCTTGATGGGCCCGTCGTCTTCACCACGGGCGGATTTGCCGGCGATGCCAAGGGTCTCCTGGCCAAATACCGGCCCGATCTTTCAAGAATTCCCTCGACCAACGATCCTCGGCCGGGCATGCACAACTTACTGACATCCGTTGGGGCGAGTCTTGTCGATATGGACAGTGTGCAGATCCACCCCACCGGCTTTGTCGACCCAGCAAATCCCGATGCTCCTGTCAAGTTCCTCGCAGCTGAGATGCTCCGGGGCGAAGGCGGCATCTTACTTCACAAAGGAAAGCGTTTCGTCAACGAAATGGAGACTCGCGAGTACATAAGCAACGTCATTATGAAACTCCCTGGGTCTGACACCCAGGGTGGAGACTCGCGGCAATGGGATGTCCAGATCTTGCTCGATCCAGGGGCCTGCGAGGTTGCCGGTCCTCATGTTGGCTTCTACACCTGGAAAGGCTTGGTGACAAAGCAAAAAGTCAAGGAACTAGACGCGACTACTCGTGACACCATACGAGCATATTCTGCCATCGTTGCAGGTGATAGTGTAGATGAGTATGGTCGCAAAGTATTTGGTCACTGGAAACTGACCGGTGCACCTACCGATGATGACCAGGAAGTCTGCGTCGGCAGAGTTACACCCATCATTCACTTCACGATGGGCGGCGTCGCCATCAACGAACAGGCAGAGGTACTTGCCTCTGATCTTGGGTCGCAACAGAAGCCCGTCCAAGGCTTGTGGGCAGCAGGTGAGATAACAGGCGGCATTCATGGAGACAACAGACTTGGTGGTTCATCTCTCCTTGAGTGCGTGGTTGTGGGCAGGATTGCTGGTGGCAATGCAGGGCTTTTCACGCAGTGACGATCTTATTTACGAGATAATTCAGGTTCCTGGTGATGTACCATTACCTAGCACGAATAACGAGACTATGACACTGTCCTAATGCGATGCCTAATCGTAACATATTGATATATCATTTGAGAACAGCAGACACGACCAAAAAGAAAAGGAGAGCTCCCTCTCCGTGATAAGACCAATATAATTCCCAGCCAAGACATGGTTGTGCCATGCCATAGTGTGGAAGGATATCAAACCATTACTCCCAAACACAAGACCTATCTCCACCTTGTTCCTACCATATGTCAATCGGTTCAAACATTCTCTCATGCCTAGTGAGCTCGGCGTCGATGCCACCTGTGTCCGAAGCCAACTGCTACGGAAGATGTGTTGGCTTCATTGACAGTGACCACAAGGGTGGAAGAGTTTATTGCAGCAGCGTGTGTATCTGCTGTTACCACACTGGTGCCCGTCGAAAAGATTCCCTGACCTAGGGTCGCTGAAACTGTTGGAAGAAGCGAAGTAGAGGACGGCTGAACAGGCAAGGTTGAAGTGAGTATGGACGCAGCAAGAGATGTGCTTGGCACAACAGGGCCAGGTCCAAATGGCACATTGGTCAGCGACGGCATACTAATGGCAGTAGGTGAACCACCGATAGCCGTCCCTGCTCCAGACGCGATAGAATTGAGATTGCTTGCAATGCTGGACATCCCTTGGCTAACGATAGATTCTGCGTCTCCCAAGACACTACTGGCTTTGGCAAGCTCCGAGCCCACGACCTGGCTGGCATCTGAGATAGCCTCTGATATGATGGACGACATGGTTGATTGCAGTCCAGCTATGTCGGGACTGATCATTGCACTGGAGGCTGCTGTCGGGGACGGTGCTGGTGGAGGTGGTGCGGGCCACGCAAATATTTGCGTCACAACAGGTATGATTGTTTGTCTAACACCACCCGGATGCTGTCCGCCCGGTGTATTGGCTAATGTGAACATTCCTGAAGGACCCTGAGCTTGAGGGACATCTCGATTTGGACTGTAAAGGCTCAGTGCCCATGCTCCACCGCATGTATCGCTTGGTTCACCAGTGCAGGTCATGTTACATGCTGCGTCGTCGAGGAGATAGGAATCCACCAGGTCATTGCCGCAAAAGCATTGTGTACCATTTTCTGTTCCAGCAAGAGTGAAGCTGTTTCCTTCACAGTAACTGATACACATGCTATTGGTCATGTTGTAGCTCACTGGACCAGGCATCTGAATACCAGTGAGAGCTCGCGCCGGAAAGTCGATAAAACAGCCCGCATATTGATACCCATTTACAGCGGGATACGAGATCTCTTTTGGAACCAACGGCGCAAAGGTCGGTATCTGTGCAGAGGGTGTAGCACTTGGGAGGGTGGCAGGCAGAGGTGCGGTCGGCAGCCCTAGAGGTATGGATGCTTTGGATACATCACAGACACTGATGATCGGGGGGGCAGATGCTAGAGCCCGTGTTGGTACGCAAAACCACCCGCTGCTGCAATGATAGCAAGGCCATCCGAGCCCGCAAGGAGCGGGCAATGCAGGGGTCTCTTGGGGAGGACAGAACCAGCCATCGATACAAGAATCACACGAATATCCCTGGCCCGGACAAGGTCCAGCAAGAGGGTTGGCTGTCGTGGGCGATACTGCGCCGGTTTCGGAGGAACATGGAGATTCAGCAACAGGAATCCTTCAGAGAACAATATCAGAAAGGAGAAAACCACATTATTCATAAGATACGTGAAGACTTACAAAGCAGTGCTGGTACATTGAGTGACCACCTGGATGGCTGTCGAAGTAATTAGCTCTGTGATCGTCCGCACGTAGTAAACCGTCGTTGCTGCCCCCGTCGGTGATGAGGACAAGGGAGGTGGGAGAGGCGGAGCAGACAACGTGGAGTCTGACGCTGCCGGAGTAGTGGAAGCAATCGAATTGGAAGTTAGCGCGCTGGGAATTGAAGAAGGTAGTGGCGTTGGTCCAACAGGATTAGATGGGCTGGTAGGTGCTGCCGCTTGAGTGATCATGCTGCTGATCTGGCTCGCAAGCGAAGACAAGATAGGGCCAGCTGTTGCTAGCGGACTGCTGGGGTTCGTACCAGCCATAGCAGCCGTTTGAGAGAGTGCAGAAATTTGGCTGAGAAGAGATGACAAGGGTGGCAAGAGATTGCTGGCCGGGCCCGCAGTTGTCGTTGAAGACTGGCTCAGCAAACTGCTTAGAGCATTCGCAAGTGAGGACTGAAGCAGTGGCGATATGACGCCGGGAGATGTGCTAGCCGCCTCTGTGGTGGTTAGAATGTTAATTGCAGAAGGAGAAGTCAAGCTTGCTAGCGATGAGCTTAGGCGTGAGAGGATAGAGCTAAGAATCGCTGGAGTTGACGTTGCAATAGCTGGCTCTGGCTCGCCGGAAGCTGAAGCAATTGGAGCGCCAGTGATCGAAGGAATCTCCATAGTTGATCCAGAGACTTCAGTAAGTGAGGCTAAGACCGTGGCTGGTCCAGTTAAACTTGGTATCTCGGAGAACACAGGTGACGGTGATGAGGTTGCCAGTTCACTGCAAGGAACATTGAAGATGATGGCTGTGCCTTCCACAACAGAAGACACTTGACAAAGCACACCACTGACTTCGCTCTGAACGACGGAAGCAAGTCCACCGACGATGCTTCCAACTTCTGGCGGCATGAGAGAAGTGATATGGTCAACAAGGTCGCCGACTAACGAGGTAGCCTCAGGTAAGATATAGACAACCTGTGACGACAGCTGATCTGTCAGGTCTTCAAGAGCTACGCCAAGGTCAGGTCCAACACCTGGCACGGCAGACACGACAGAGGCAACTTGGTCAATTATAGACATTGCAGCTTCAGGTAGGGCCGCGGCGATGCTTGGCACAATGTTGACTAAGGAGCCCACCTCGCCTCCGATACCGTCACCAACGGCGGGGACTGCTGTCAGAAGGGCGGGCACATCAGACACTGCTGAAGCTAGCTGGCTGCCGAGGTCGTCGACAACCTGTGCTCCAGCTACGACAGCGTTTGGCAAGGTGTCAAGGACGGTGGTCACTTGCGACTGAAGATTGGCAAGTACTGAGGTAGGATCTGCCAAAATGGCCACTGGGTTGCTAAGGATCGCATCCAGAGGAGCCAAGACTCCAGAAGTCAGTTGATCAAGTAGTCCATCACTGCTCTGACCAATAACGCCATCTATAGCCGAGACGACATTGCCAAGTCCCAGAAGTCCTCCAAGAAGGCCTCCGCCTGCTGCAGAGTTGACGGGACTCGCTGGGAGTTCTGTGAGAGATGTAATCGGAAGTGGCAGTACGTCTGTCAAGCTCGGGATGGGGACAATTGTGGGAACAGGGAGTATATCGGTCAGGCTTGGAACTGGAAGAACAGTTGGGACCGGAAGTATTCCACCCGCATTAGATGTGGGCACAGGTAAGGGGAGCGGTACAACTGAGGTAGGTTGAGGTGCAGCGCTCAATATACTGCCAACGACACTCAGGAGACCACCGAGACCCCCTCCAGCCGGTTGTGTGACCTGCGTGGCTTGCGTGGCTTGTGTTGGAACGACAGTTGGATAAGTCAAGACCGAAGGGATGACGGGCACAACCGGCACGCTCAAGACAGATGAGGCGACAGGCAATCCAGGAATGCTGGGAACGCTCAGGATCTTGGGAATGCCGAGTTTATTTGCATTGTCAAACGGGAAGGTTGGTGAGGTGTTGTCCCCTTCGTTAACATTGCGCTTGTGCAGCTGGTTCTGTGTGTCCTTCAAAGGAGAGTTGGGAGCAGCAGGCACTTGGACACCATCGCCGAATGAGAGAAGGCAAAGAATGGCGAGACAAGCGAAGCCAATAATGGCCACACTTCCCGATCGGAGCGGGCGAGGTAGCGTTGGCATCCTCAGGACGCCCTCCAACAGATTGACAGAAGGCAGCATGTGATGTGTTGTTGCTCCTCTCTTCGTAGCTTATCGTAGACGCAAAGCAGTCTATAAATGGAAGATGCAATAGGCTTCAAAATTGGGAGGGCCAAAAGCGGTTCCAAAATTTGAAGTCCAAAAAGAGAGCGTGATGCAAAACGAGCGACGAAGCAAAGCGATGGACAGTAGAACAGAGTGAAGATGAAGATGAAGAGAAAGAGGAGAAGTCGGGACAAGGCATGTGGTATGCTCGACCTCTCTCTAAAAGACCCTCATACTCATCTGGAAGGAGCTATGCTGCGTCCCGCCTTGCACACTTGGGCGGAAGGAGCTGTGTCTCCTTTCCTCAAAGCACAAAAGCCCTCCTTCTTCCCAAAATCCCGTAGAGGTCCCAGTGTGAGCAACTACATCCCGACATTGTCAAATGCCCTTCTAGTGGGAAGGAAAGGCAGACTTGGAAAGGCAGGAATTGACGCTACTCGCATTGTACTTGCTTGCGAGATCGTTATTTTCTTGGCTTAGATCGTATGTCTATTTGGAGCCATGCGTTGCCAGATGGAGGAGACTTACCAAGCTAATCGAAAGCAAGCGAATCCCAATGGGCGTTTGCGACATGTGCAACACGAACGCCGACGCTCATGTCAATGACTGCGTCTGCGAAGCTACAGTTCAAGCTCAGCAAGAAATTCAATATCACAAGTCAGCAAGTAAAACGGGCAGAATATGTGTCCGTGCCTTGATTCAGGCCACAATTGCTGTATTTTACTAGGGTAAAAGCAGCCTCATCTGAATGCGATTTTCTCAAACCATGCAATTACCAAATTTCCGCAGACGCCGTTAGGACTGTTCCAGCCTCTAGTATCTCTTGCCCTCCCTCAGCGTGTCGGCAAACTCCTCCAATGGGCTTCTGATCAGCTTGGTCTCCTTCCACAGGTTGGGTGTCAAGAAGCCGTAGGTGTTGGAGACGGCAGCGAAGGTCGCCTTCAGGGTGTTCTCCAGGGTCTTGGTAGAGCCGGAAGATGAAGTGTAGGCATCGTCAATACCAGCAAGCTGAAGGAGACGCTTGACAGCAGGCGAAGCAACGAGAGAGGTACCACGAGGGGCGGGGATAAGCTAGAAAATCTCGAATTAGTATTCGAACAGAAATAGAATTACACTCCCCAGTATTGCACTTACTCTGACGGTGACAGAGCCACACTTTCCGCTCTCCTTAATAGGGATGGAGTGGGGTTGACCAAGATTGGCACCCCAGTATCCTCGTCGCACAGGAATGACGCTCAACTTGGCGATGATGATGGCCGCACGGATAGCAGTGGCGACTTCCTTGGAGGTCTTGATACCCAGACCAACGTGTCCCTCAGAGTCTCCGATGATGACAATGGCCTTGAATCGTGTTCGCTGACCGGCACGGGTCTGCTTCTGGACGGGCTTGATCTGTACGTGGGAGAAAAGAACCGAGTTAGCACACTATCCAGACAAAGAGAGAATTTATCCCTCAAAAGGCTCAATATTGGTCCCAGGTGGGATCTAGTATGATGTGTGTCGCACCTTCATAACCTCATCCTTGAGCTTGGGCAGGAAGAAGTCGACAATCTGGTACTCCTTGATGGGCAGAGAGTGCAGGTAGATCTCCTCCATGCTCTTGATCTTTCCGGCCTTTACGAGACGACCGAGCTTGGTGACGGGCTGCCACTCCTTCTCGTCGCTCTTGCCGCCACCTCGTCGACCACCTCGTCGTCCACCACGGCCCCGGCCACGATCGCCGCCGCGATCACCTCGAGAGCCAAAACCGCCGCCTCTAGCGCCGCCTCGGTCAGCCATTGTTGCGCTGTTTGTGTTTAGATATGTGAGGGAGGTGGGCGTAAAGGTGTTGTCGAATTGTTGAATTCGAAGGCGTTGACCTTTTGCTGCTGCTGGAGCAACTTTTCGCGGGGCGGCAGTACCAAAATTTTTGGTGTGCTAGCAAATTCTATGCCCTAAATTCAGAGCTGCCTCAAATCTAAGGTTACAGAGCATGCGGGTCGAGACTACAAGCCTAACCTCATGTCCACATGCCTAATCACGTGATTAGTTCTCGGTAGGATCCACTCCTGTGCCCGGGTCGGGCGCTATCAATCCGGCATGCGGAGCCCGAGATTCAGGTTGCTGGAGAGTAAAGGGTTCTTCTCCGTCTTCCCCTGAATCCATCAAGTGACAGTATATTGGATTGTCTTCTCATGAAAGTTTCATAGCACACTTTCGGTTTAGTGTCTTATTCTTATATCACCTTCAATCAGTAACGAGAGTTCCGCTAAACACTGCAAATATTTTCGGGGCTTAGATGTAAACTAAAAATTCCGATGAAAAAGTATCAAGATTATCATAAGACGCATGATAAGACTATAAGGAGGTCTGTTAGGATTCATAAATTACGTGCTAAATTTACGGTACCTTCTCGTCACGAGCTGATGTCGTTTACCTTTATTAACTGTGCATAGTAGGGTTCCCATTAAACTTCCGACCGATTATGCAGTCAAATAATCTGCGGACAGATTCGTCTAACTACAACTACTACCGATGGGCTTAGCGAAGCCACCCCCTGATAGCGCAATGGTCTTTGCCCCCAACCAGCCATTGGATGTAGCACTCGCATTGTAGTAAAGAGTGTTTCCATTGCCTTTGATGTTGGAAAGGCTAGAATCTGCATCCGTCAGGTTTTGCACGATGGTGGTTTGTGTCAGAGTCCAGTTGCTGGTCTTATCCAATGCAATATCGAAGAACGCCTCTCCATACCCTGAGTAGGCGGCGCCGGTCCATGAGCTGTACTCAGTAAGTGTCCATGATATGTAACTGGAATTGTAGGCGACCAGGTCTCCTTCTAGGTCAGACTCCTTGACTGTGGCAAACACCTCCGCCGGCAAGAGATTGTTATTGTCGGTGTATGATGCGTAGTAATCAAAATCTTGGGTGATTTGCGAATAATTCGCCACGAGAAGAATTCCAGAAGCCGTGTTGAGTTCACTGCTTTCAATGACGACATTGATAATGGTGTTGCCAAACCATAGGCCAGGCATGGTGGAACCAAGGGTGGTGATCTTGCTATCCTGGAGCTTGAGACTTGCGCCCGAAGTCCTAACCATGGAACTGAAAATGGCAACTCCTCCAAGGAGACCTGCAGTCGCATCACAATTGACTAGAGTTGCATTCTGATTACCATCCATGAAGATAACAGGTCCATTGTCAGATCGTGACAGGACGTTCTCCGCGTAAATCTCCCCAAGAGCGTAATAAGTCGCTGAGCCCACACCAGCACTGTGGGCAATGGAGTCGTAAACTCTAACTGTTCCTTTGGGCGAGTCTCCTGAGAAGGAAGAAGAGCGAATGCCACCAGAAAAGTGCTGAAGATTCTTGCCGATAATAGTTCCATTTCCAGATGCATAAAGTCCGTGCGAGACTGGGCCACTGCTATACAACCAGCTGTTATCGACATAGACCACGGTGTCAGTGCCATATGCATAGACATTGGCAGCTCCGTTGTGAACGGTAATATTAACATGATCGAGGTGAGCACCCGATGCATTGGCCTTTAAAGCGTTGTGAGTCCTTTACTTCTTGGGGTTCAAAACACATATGACTTACAACATTGATCGCAGCGTTGAAGCCGTAAAAACTTGCCTCCAACAGATTAGAAGCATAGCCGTACTTCAGTACGTCGACGTAGGACAAATTGAGTGAAGAACTGTCAGCTACTACAATGACACTTGTATCGTTCTCATCCACGTAGAAGGACGTGTGATCGAGGGTCGTAGTTCCATTGGAGTAATAGAAAGGAGCAACGACTTCAAGTTGCATGTCAGCTGAGGTCTCCTTCTAGCTGGTATTTTTTGCAATCCATTACTTACGGTCCGAAGGCTGCTGACTGATAAACGGCACGTTGTAATCCGGGACAATTGCATTATCGGCAGCCCATGCATCTGGAGTAATGACATCCGATGGGTCACTGACTGTCAGACTAGCCAACACCATCACAGGAGTGGTCAAGAACCCAACATAAAGGGTGGTGGTAAGCATGATGCGGGCTTTCGAATTGGCCAATAGTCTAGCGAGGTGCCCTTAAGGAACTTGACCCTTTCACTGTGTGTTTCAACACTCCATTACATTGTTTTTATTCCAGATATGGGTTGTATTTGTATGACTACCATTGGTCACCATTTGCTGTGTTGATGACACCTTGGCACGGGATGTGGAGGTGACATGGTGAGCGGGACTGAGCTTGTCACTTACACCCCACTCGGAACTGCCCTCTACGAGATATCGATCTGAACATTTCGTCTGAAATCTTGACTTCACCGGCTCGAGGATGGCCCATTAAGCGGTCCTCTATACATGTTCCAGTTCGGTTTGTGGGGTTAATCCTGGAGATGCGCGACCACAACCCGGGGTATATGTGTGGGGTATTGAACTCGCGACGATTATTGGCTAGATGACATTTCATGCGAATAATGTACGGAGCGAGGCCAGCTAACGCCTATTCAAGCCCGTTGCTTTAAGGCTTCAGTGGGGAGCTGCTCTGGATAGCAATGGACTTTAGGGCGCCACTTGGTGCGTGTCACGTAATAGATCTGGGAACGTAGGGGTTTACTGTCTATTATGTATAGTGTGAACAGCAATTTGATACGCATGAATTGGCAGTCTCTTTAGTAGATAGGAATTGAAACCCTCAAGATCAAATCAAATACCTATGACAACAAAATGTCTAGAGAACGTCGCTTTATCGCAGGCGGTGCTAAATATTGCATCCGATTTCGCTGTTGTGGCTGTACCCATCCCAACAATTCACAGGCTCCATTTCACTGCGAAGCAGAAAATATCGGTCGGTTGTATCTTGGCCTTAGGATCCGGGTGCGCATCCTCATTGAAACTCCTCCCCTCCGGTGTACTTCACATCTGTTAACCATGTCATAGTGTTGTCATCTGCTCGATAGCTCGTCTACCTTATGTCCTTCTTTTAGATCACACACCCGATGTCACTTATACGGAAGCCATCCTCGGGGTTTGGACGATCGTGGAAGTCAATCTTGGCATAATATGCGGCTCTGCGATGCGCTTGAAGCCGCTGATCATGAGATACTTGCCACAGCTGGGATTATTCTCGTCCCGCCCGCATGGTAGCGAGCCATATGGGGCAAGGGACTCGACGCCACCGGGGGTAAATCCCAGCACAAGTACCAGCTTCACAGTATCCAGAAGGGAAGTGCCCAGCTCAATTCTGGCAGTAGACACAACAACGATTACGACCCTTACAAGATCAATGGAGAGAGTAGTGGCCGTGATGACGGTAGCACCGACAAGATTTTGGAGTGAAAGAGCGCCATCCAAGTTTCGTTGAGGGACTGGCTTCTCAAACTAGACACAGCATTCAAGAGTCTAATTATCGACTGCGATGTATTTGAAAACAAGCCTGAAGCTAGTCGGACGATTGTAAAATGGACACGTGGGTAGGCTCAGAAGCCAGCCGAACCTCCATTTGTGTTTTAAGGTTGAGCATAGCTGGGAATCGAATTCGGGTCACATTGTTGTTAGTGAACCAGACAAAGACCTCAATTACAAACGAAGTCAATACGGTCAACTGTCTGTAAGAAAATATATCAATCCCTAGAATCAAAGACGCTCCCCGTGAAATTGCCACTTGTGGTTCGGGGGTTTCAAGTGAGCCAACCCCAGCTTCCAAATGTGTCTACGAACGAGCCCGAGTTGCGCGCAGAATTTCGCGAGATAGTCGCTATTTGCGAAAATAGAATGAAAGTACACTGCCAAGTCCCATAGTACTCCATCTGGGGGCCCTCTTTCGCCTTCATACTTACCATTTATGGCCTACAAGGCTTACTCAACGAGTTAAGCCTTCGCTGGAACACTCTCATACGCTTATGACAGCCAAAATTTGCAGTTGCTGCGTCAGATTTCTTATTGCCCATGCATTTGTAATATCTGCGTGCTGCCGGTTCAACTTTCTGTATCGGTTCGGTGGTGAGTTCGGCGTTCGGTGGGACCGCCGAAAGCACGGCGACACCAGCCAAGACGGCCGCCGAACTGTTGATCGATGGATTTTTGGGGGAGGACAAATATAAGATAACACCACACTGATTTGATTTGAAATGCAATCTATCTTTCAAAGCCGAATGAATATGCGATGACTTCTACACCATCTTCGATGCGCTCTTTGGTTGCACCGCATGCCTGCGGACCAGCCGAATACGAAGTGATTGAGCTTCCTGTACCAAACATCGAGAATCCCGATGATGTTTTGGTCAGAATACATGCTGCAGCAATCAATAACGCCGATTTAGACTTTGCAAATAAGGTAACAAAGCTTTTCACATCGGTATCGTATGTCACCGCCACGCCCCCTTGATGCAGAATAAGTCTAACTATAACGTGATAATACAGATATCCAGCAAAGATTGGTTGTGAGGGATCTGGTGTTGTTGTCGCCGTAGGGAAAGGTGTAAAATCCCTGAAAGCCGGTGATGAGGTGTACGGATTGTAAGTGTGATGTTTCACTTTAGCAATGACCTCAGCGTTATATATTTCGACAGCGAGACTGGTTTCGATCAGTTTGAAATTAGAAGTGACACTAACTGCTGGCTATTAGATATTCTAAGCGACCCATGCTCCCTCTTGTCCTGCCGGGTTTTTGTTCCCAATACACTGTAACACAAGAGCGATGGCTTCTACCCAAGCCCAATCACCTTTCTTTTGAAGAAGCCGCTGCTTCTGCCGGAACTGCCATTACTGCATTGCAGTGCATCGAGAGAGGGCTGCAACTGATGAACCAGCCAGGTGGTACGCTGGAGGGCAAGACTGCGTTTGTTACTGCGGGCCTGGGAGCGACGGGGCCAGTTGCTTGTCAGGTGTTGAAGAACGTGTACGGCGCAGAGAGAGTCATAACTACGGTGTCTACCGCAAAGGTGCCGCTGGTACAGCAATACATGCCGGGGATTGTCGACAAAGTCATCGACTACAAGACTCAAGATGCAGTCAAGGAGATTGGTAAGGGTGAGGTGGACCTGTTTTTCAATACCGTTATGGATGTCACAGCGAGTATCCCTCTGACCAACCCTCAAACGGGAGTCGTGATTTCGATATTGAGCATTCCGCCATCGTCTACGCTCAAGAACATGCTGGGGGCAGTCAACGTTCCATTTTGGCTCTCTTGGGGATTGGACCTTTTCCAGCTCTGGTATAAATGGAAGTTGATGGGCACAAACATTAAGATGGAGTTTCTGTCCGGCGACCCGTCCAAGCGAGAAGATCTCGAAAAGGCGGGAGAGATGGTTGCTAGGGGGAAAGCGAAACCCATTGTGACAGTTGTATCCTTGGAGAACTTGGACAGAGTGCGCCAAGAGTGTGTAAAGGTTGGGTCTCGGCATGGAGGGACTGGGAAGCTTGTCATCAAGATCATCTAAGTTATGACTTAGTTATGAGTCAATCCTAGATGAAACTGCAAGTGGGGTACATGAAGCCTTACTCGACTTCATCATGATCCGCATCAATGTCAATGTCAGTTAGGATAAGCATTGTAGGGTAAGCACTTAAATCGAAAATACCTGAGTAGGTAATGAGCGGGAACCTCAACAACTCTGAGATCTATCTCAATCTGAGCAACAATTACTTGTGTCATCGGCTAGAAAGCCAAAACCTGTTATCGACATGGTTCACCAGTCGTCTTTCTCCATGCATTTGTATCAGAATGAAAGATCTAGTCATCCACGGATACACACCTAGGTCTTGTTTTTAAGACTTTGGTGAAGCAATTCGCCTTGAGTGAGTGGCACGGATGCGGAAAGGGCGCTAACTGCATGCGGACCTGCAGGCACTATACGATCTTGCCTATTCGCGCGCGTTTGGGCGTGGCACGGTCGCGTCTTAGCCAACCTTCCACTAACAAGTTAGCCTGGTTAGCAGCGAGGAGGAGGCTGGGAGACGCGATTCCCATCATTTACTCAAATAGGCGCCATTCACACCACACACGCACACACACACACATATCATTAAGTTCCGTAACTTGTCGTCTATCCTCCTCGCATCTTGCCAATTGTCGACATCACGGCCAAGTCTACTTGTTGTTCGTGGAGACCCCAGTCAATCTCTTGATTCAACCACGTCAATCGATTGATTAAGCGATCATCCATCCCGTCCCCGTTCCCCTCCGGTACAAGATGCTCCTCAAACGCAAGCGGTCCGACTCGGAGCTGTCCTTCTCCAGCAACACAACCTTCTCGTCGCCTCCGCGGCCCAATGCCTACAACTTCTCTGCCATGGCCATGATGGACATTGACAGCCCCGTCTCGCCTCGGACCTCGCTGTCCAGCCGCCCCTGCACACCTTCCCACCTGCCCAGCCGCACCATGAAGCGGTTCCGTGACTCCCGCCCGTCGGACGAAGAGGTGCATCGTAAGTTCTACGAGTGGCGACCCCACCACCAAAGCCAAAATCAACACCAACACCAATCCCACTGCCTGCCCTCATTGTCCTTGTCGTCGTCGTCGTCGGCGGTGTCACCCAGTTTCTCATCATCTGTTGCCTCTACAGAGCACACCCTCAAGATCCTCTACGAAGCCCAGCATCATCATCAGCAACAGCAATGCCACCCTCAGCAGTTGCCGCTGGAGCAACAGCAACAACTCCCTTCCGTCTACTCGCCGCCTGTCGCCGCCGTACCGCAGCCCCAAGCCCCTGCGCAGGGCCAGCGATCCTTGCACAGCTTCTGGAACCTGCCGGCGTCGACTCCCAGCTCGGCATCGACTCCCAGCTCGGCATCGACAACCCCTGCGCCATCAATGCCGTTGACACCGGCCTTCGAGTCCAACCAACCGAGCCACTGCGAAGACTGCGGCGTTGGCCTAGGCGGCGAGGATGTGATGATGGAGAACGAGTACGGCCTCGTCGGCGCGAGCAGTCACTGTGGCGCGTGCGGCAAGGCCGTCTGCTTCTCGTGTTCGGTTAGCAACCTCGGCGAGCAAAGGCGGTGTCTTATGTGTGCTGGCCGCAAGAAATGGGTTGGGGGCATTGGATGGGCTGTCTCCGGGGCTGGCATATGCTGATATTGTCACACTGGACAGGGTACTGCAAAGATAGTCCAGATGTTATTGGGGTTCACGGCGTTTATATTGGCTTCGACATTAGCATCGGACGGCGTTCTGGTTGGGAATTGGATCTGAGATGAGCGTGCCCATTTGGACGGTCGAGACAGATCGAGTCCGCAGACTGGGCTAACGAATTATGAGGTGAATAGCCATTTGATGTATAATACCTCAGTTAGCCACTTTGAAGGAGCTTCAGTGTTTATTGCCAATGCTCATCTATTGCGTATTTGTTGTTGCGGAAGTATGTCATCACTTTGTGAAGTCAATCCTAGGAGGAGAATATGGCCCCTTGCCTAGGTACCTGGTCATGTATACCTACCTAGGTAGCATGCATATTGAGCAAGAGCAAGAGCAAGAATAGATTTGCTGGTAGTGCCTAGGTTAAGTAGTCGCATGGTTGCAAGTGCGAGCTGGGTACAGGTGTCAAAGCCCCGCGTCATCCCGCGATAGTGGGGTCAGCTACAGCGTGCGCTTCCCAAGCTCCCGTCTCCCCACCTTCGGCGAGCTCTCTACGACTCTCCTTTCCGTGTCTTCTTCTTCTTCCCCTTCACAAGACTCAGGCTTCGTGCGGGCTACCTTACTTCTTCCCAACCTGCACCTTGCAGTCCACATACAGGCAGTCGTCATGAAGCAGAAGGGCACTCGTGAGGCCAGCCACGCCGACAGCTGGTACGAGGGTGACCCCACCGTCCTGTCCAGCCAGCTCGACAGCTTCCTGGGCAAGGTCCCCACGGCCATAGACGGCAGCACCCTGCCGGTGTCTGGAGCAAGAGTCATCATTGCACCGTGAGTACTTCGTGATGGACGGGGTTTGCACCAGAGAAGTCTGTTTCTGTATCTGCACCTGTACCTGATCTAGGCGTTTGATTGTGACTGAACATCCTGGCTACTACTACTACTACTACTACTACTGTCCTTGCTGTTGAGCTGACAAGTTGTGCGAGCTTCAAAGACACGCCGGATACTCCTATTCCGGGCCATGTGCGGCCTGGGCCTACAAGTCATGGGATGTCTCCAAGGCGAAGCGCGTGTTCGTCCTCGGCCCCTCGCATACCTACTACCTGCGCGGGTGTGCGCTGACCAAGTTCGCGGCCTACGAGACCCCTTTCGGCGACCTGACGGTTGATGAAGAGGTCATCCAGGCTCTTCGTGATACGGGCAAATTCTCCGACATACCTACTTCTCACGATGTTTCCGAGCATTCCTTGGAGATGCACTTCCCTTACATCTACAAGAGACTAGAGCAAACCTTCGGACAAGAGTCAGACGAGGCCAAGTGGCCAACGGTTGTGCCGATTCTGGTTGGCGACAACAACGGGTCAGAGGAGAAGGCCTTTGGCGAGCTGCTGTTACCATATTTCAAGGACCCCGAGAACGTGTTTGTTGTGTCGTCCGACTTCTGCCACTGGGGCACCAGGTTCAGCTACACCAGCTACGTCCCGAGCGCCGGGCGGATCTCCGAGTTGACAACACTGTCCAGGCGAAGTGCTGCTACGGAGACCCCCATCCATGAGGGCATCAAGGTGCTTGACGAGCTGGCCATCGAGGCCATCAAGACGGGAGTTCACAACAACTTCGTGGACAATCTGCGGGTGACTAAGAACACCGTCTGTGGACGGCATCCGATCGGCGTCACCATGGCGGCGTTGGAGATACTAGCCAAAGACGCAGGGGACGGCAGGGGCAAGGGCAAGTTCAAGTTTGTACAGTATCAGCGGAGCAGCTTGGTGGAGCATGTGGGCGATTCAAGTGTGAGCTACGCCGCTGCCTATGCGGTCATCTGAACGAGACTTGGTTACGTGCTCAGTGGTTAGGGCACCGAGTCTTGCTGGGAAGAAGCATGGCATATGCGGAAAGACTTGGGCATGATATCGGAATAGATGTCAAGGTGCGGCGCATTTAGAAAGCGTGGGTAAATAGTCATTCAAGGGGTGGCCATCTCACCCCCATTAGACACATTATCATTCAGAGTGAGAAGACAATCAACTAGCGGTGTGCATCTTCGCCCGGTCTTAGTATCATATCAATCGAGTATTGCACTTGGAAAGCCACGCTCATATACGGCAGCCCGCGATAACGTTACCGGCATCGATACCGGGCTCTAAGACCCCTATTAAGGTCTGGAGAGCGTTACAGGAGGCAGAGACGGGCTAGATCTCGGCGGATGAGTAGCGGCTTTTGCTTTAACTTGTCATGATACAGCAAGCAAGGCAAAAACGATCATCACCCAAGCCCAAGCCCAGTGGCCGTTCGCAGACAAAAGTGTGTCAGCCTTGTCAGCTTATTGTCCAAGCCCAAACACCTCTGCGTGGCTGATGCGCCTCGCCTGAGACTTGGCTTCTGCATCGTCCCTCGATAGATCCTCCCAGCAAACCCCCCATAAGGCTAGCGTCCTGGGAGCTGAAGCTTAAGGTGCTCCATGATTTATGGACCGCGTTTAACAATTTGCGAAAGACACTCATATTGAAGAACGAAGATCTCTCGCTGTACAGGCCAGGGCATTTCCACGTCAAACACAGATACGTGCGGCGGAGGAAGATCAATGATAGCTTTGAGCTCATCAATGGCGGCGGCCGCCAGTGCAGGAAGAAGACCAGCTGGAAGGCGCAGGCCATGCAAATGCTGACGGGTAAGCGGGAGAAGGCCGAGCCAGAGAGAGGCCGGCGCGGGAAGGCCGCTGCGGCGCGATGCAGCGATGGCGTCCGTCCGAAAAGGCCCAAGACAAGACAAGCTATTGGCGGGACGAGTCTGGCCTGGCGAGGGCGTGGAGCCATCTCCGCTGAAGTTGAGCATAAGTCGACTTACCGTGCCTTAGCGCTGAACGGCTTGCAAGGAGGCTGCATAAGTAGAATGTAGAATGCGTAGTTGTCTACTAGATAGATGGAGATCGTATGGTGGCAGCGAAGGGAAGAAGAACAAAAAGAAGACGAAGAAGAAGGGATGGATCAGCTGCTGGTTGTGGCTACTCAGCACTTATTGAAGAGGCCAGGGCTCCCATCCATTCCTTCATCTCAAGCTCTTGTCTCTCTCTCTCACTCTCTCTCTTTCTTGTCTGTTCTCTGTGTTGTTTTGTGTCATCCCATTTCGGTTGACTTGACTGAAGTTCACTGAACTCACTCGACCATTGTGAATCACAGACAAACGGTAACGTTATATGACCCGGGCCTGACTGACTGCAAAGACCAAAGAGAAGAGCTGCCGACGGGGGGTAACGTTATCGTCACTCTCGTCCTTTGCCAACCGCCGTCCCTGTCGATCGACGTCTTGAAACCAAATTTGCTGCTGGCCGTGTGCCTGACCCCTGTCTCCCTGTCTGGACTGAGAACTCTCGTGCAGGCTCGGTGCAGAGAGAGCAGCGAGAGCAGCCATCGGCCATCCATCCACCACCCGTCTTGGCCAAATCTGGTTTGATATTACCCAACCAAGCCGCCATTTTAGCGGGCGTGTCGCAGGAACGAATCGATTGTCTGCATCTGCACTGCTTCTCTACATACTGCATAACGTTAGTAGTTCTCTACACGTATCGTATTGACTCTTTTGGTGCATCTGTCAAAGAAGAGCGTTTCAGCGACAAAGACATCGGCGCCACCGCTTCAACACCGCTCCCTCCCTCTCTTCGCATTCGGCTAGAGCATATTTGATTCTTCGTCTTTGATTGCCTCGAATTCTCGAATTAGGCCCCGCCAAACCCAGAAACCTCTGAGGATCGGATTTATTTGTTGGTTCGGAGAGACTTTGGAGATTGTGGTGTTGCAGCAAGTAAGAAAAGACGAGACCTTGAGGGCCCAGGTGCCAGGTACCTTGCAGCACCAAAACCCAGAAACAAGCGGAGCGACAGGGGCCATCTGTGCAGCAGAGCCGACTACCTACCTAAGTATCTCAGGTACTGAGGTACCCAAGCTAAAGCTGCTAAACCGACAACCGACCGACCTGCCCCATCTTACAACCCAAAAAAAGTGCGCAGGAAGAGCCACAGCCCCCCGGCTCGGAAACCCCCTTAACGCTTCAGACCTTCCTCCCCCAGATCTGTAACAAGCGGCCAACATCCTCGATTCCTCCTCTACAAACTTCTAGCAGCACAGCATACATCCTCAACAGCTTCATCGATCGCGTTGCATCATCAGAGCCGGCGACCAGCGAGCGGAACGGGCAATCAGAACGACCTCGGACAGCTTAGCCCCTATTCTTCATTACTAGGCGAGAGCCACGCCCTCGCGCGTTCAACTCGATCACCATGAGCGTCAGTGTTTCACTCCTACCCCGACCTGTGTTTCAATCCTGGGCTCCAGTGGACCCGTTGTCGCTGAGACAGTCTCTCAATTGACTTGGGCCCCATTCCCAGCTCCCAGTGCACTTTGCCTCCTTCTCCCTTCTCTTCCATCAACCAATTTACAACTCTTGCATGCATCACGGATTGCGCTAACAATGGCTCAGTACGGGTTAGTAAACAAACGCTCCTCTCGGCCAACTCGACGAACCCTCTGCCCGCTGCACGCGGTGCCGATGGGCGAGGACAAATCTTTTGGGGATTTTACTGACGAGCGATGGTGTGCAGATACGGAGGAAGACCAAACCCCTTTGACCAACGAGATGGTGGAGGCAATGGCGGTGGCTACGGCGCACCACCACCAAGAGCACCACCACAGGGTGCTTTCGGCCAGGGCCCGCGTCCTGGAGGCGGCGGCGGGGGAGCAGCAGGCAGATATAACCAGGGCCCTGCTATGGGCAGAGACGACTACGGTGGTAAGATTACCTCTGCAAGAATCGCAAGCTTTGAGAGCAAGAACAACAGCTCTGACAGTGGTGCTGTAACAGGAAGCAATGTCGAGATGGCCTCGCTCGCCCAGAACGCCTCGTCCTTCGGCCAGGGCGACCCGAATGCTATTCTGAACGAGTGCCGCAGCATCGACCAAGGAATTGACCAGATCGAACAGAACCTGAACCAGCTACGCATGCTGCAGGACCGATCTCTCAACGATGCAGACACATCCGGCGGCTCGTCGACCTCTCGACAGCTTGACGCCCTCTCCAGCGACACCATGTCCCTGTACCGAGAACTCACCGAGCGCGTCCGCCAGGTCAAGTCTTCTCCAGACGCCAGACAGCCCAAGAACTCTCCCCAGGTGGGACGCATCGACCGTCGCCTGAAGCAGGCCATCCAGCAGTTCCAGCAGGTCGAGTCGGCGTTCCGTAAGAGGACGCAGGACCAGATGGCTCGCCAGTACAAAATTGTGCGTCCAGACGCCCCCGAGTCCGAGGTTCGTGCGGCCGTCGAGGACGTTTCTGGGCAGGGCAACCAGGTCTTCCAACAGGCCATGATGCAGAGCAGCCGGCAGGGCCAGGCAAGAGCAGTCCTGAATGCCGTTCAAGACCGCCATGCCGCCCTCCAGCGTATCGAGCAGCAGATGATCGAGCTTGCTCAGCTCTTCCAGGACATGGACACTCTCATTGTGCAGCAGGAGGTGGCAGTCACTCAGATTGAACAGAAGGGCGAGGAGGTTGTCGAGAACCTCGATAAGGGTAACGAGGAGATTGCCGTAGCTGTGACTACCGCGAGGAAGACACGAAAGAAGAAGTGGATCTGCCTGGGTATTGTTGGTAAGTTGACTTCCCTTGCCCCTGAAAGCCAGATGCTAACTCGATGCATAGTCGCCATTATTGTGATCGTGGTCGTGGTCGTTGTGGCTTATGTCATGATCAACAAGCCCAAGGACAACAATAACAACAACTCCAAGCGAGCGATCCAGTTTGCCGGCGAAATCCCCGTCTCCAACATCTACGCTCAATTGAAGATTCCCAAAGCACCTTCAAATGGCGAAACAGCGGGACCATTAACTCGATTCGCCGGGGCAGGCAAGAGCCTAGCGGGCAGATTTGTTATTCCCAATGCAGACTTCGACCCTTCAGAGACGGCCACACTTCCAGTGATCCCAGCCAAAGGCTGGACTGGACCCAGTCGTCACTAGGCGGCCCGCCTCACGAGATGGTTCTACGTTGTACAAATACCGACTTTTAGGTCTTCGTTTTCGGTTCACGATCAGCATCAGCACTGGCCTCCCCATCCAAGTCAACTCTATTATTGATCATTTTAACTCATACCATCTTCAGTGTCGTCCCAGAATGAGGAGACACCGACGACGTGGTTGACCCCCCGCTGCGATCTGGACTTGATGTCGATCCACAGCGACGAACTTGGAAACTCTCCCGTATTCTCATATGTTGTAGAAACATCGACGGACAGATACCGTCGACATATCCCCTAGCTACCTACTTAGTTGCGCTGACTTGACCTGGATGGGGGAGGCTTGTGTGGAGTTAGTGCATTACCGGCGTTTTAATCGAGAACTCTTTAGTTACGAGCAGGCTATTACAAATGGATTATTTGCTTCTGTCTAGAAGAAGTTTGGAGAGACCACATGTGAATGAGATGCGTCTATTTTGCTTCCAAGAGCCCATGCTCAACCTGGGAACCCGATGAAATCCAAAAATGCGGAGAATAGTTCGCTCATCGTTGTAAACTATTAGATACAACACCTAAAGGGGGAACGAGCCCCATGGCTTGAGGCAGGAGCCCTTCTTCCATCCTGATGCTGCTCAGAATACATCTGAGGTCGTAAGGTTTGGTGATATGAGACACCAGCCTATTGGTATGGATTGTCATTTACTCCCAATTACTCTTTGGGACGACATCCTATGCTTCCCTGCTCCACTACGCGGCCCTAAGCCCTTGTGACGTTGAATGCTTTGAACGTCGAACTGTGCCGCGAAGACATACCCTGGAGCTATTCCAGTCGATTGAGGGCTTTTCGCTCTGTCGAGTAAACATATGATTAGATCTGCACCATGCTGGGGTTGTCTCCTCAATCACCCTCAGCGACATGTCCCGCTTCGTCGTCTACCTCAAGGCGAGGCGGCGCCTGCTCCTGGGCTGTCTGGTCCATATCTGTAGCTACCTTGCGCTGTCGGTCCTCCCCAGCGCTAACCACCTTGCGGAGGACGCCCATACGCTTCTCAAACTCGTCTATGAGAAGCCCGTAATCCTCCTCAACGGCAGCTTGCCTGCTACGCGTGCCGCTCGCCGTGGATAGCTGCAGTTCTCCGCCGTCGCCCGTCGCCAAGGGCGAGGCGCCTTTGCCGCCTCGTTGTCGGCTTGCGGAGCTGGCGCCGCTACCTCCCTCGATGCCCACTCCTTCAATACGGAGCATCAGGTTCGCGCTGCCTGCTCCGTCGTCCTGAGCGCCTGGGGCGGCTGGGGTGTCGTCTTCCATGCGGCTCACCTGGGCCGAAGTGACGGCCCAGTCTGCGCTCAGGCTCGACGCCCAGGCCACCTCGTAGCCGGCAGAGCCGTCTTCTTTCGGGACGAGGTCTAGGACAATGGCGCGCTCCTGGGCGGGGTCGGGCGGCGCTCCACTGCCGGAGCTTCCATGCATGGGAGATGGTTCATGCTCGGCTGAGGTAAGGCTGCTGTGGCGCTGAGCCAGAGCTTCGGTGAGGATGTCGGGGTCGTCGTCGGAGAAGACATAGTGGACGCGAGGGTGGTGGGTTGCACGGGTGGTTGAGTCGGTGACGAGGGTGAAGAGGGGTTGGAATTGGGGCGGCAATGGACCCTGTTGGTGTTGCTGTTCTATCGCATCAGGCGAGTGTGATGCTGATGGCCCTCTCTCTGTGGCAGCTGGAGGCTGCGGCGATGGCGAGCTCGGCTTCAGAGACGCTTCACCAGCCTGCCTGGAAGCTGAAGAGCCTGGCCGGTCAGGTTCGGTCATGACGAAAAAGCAACAGTGGACCGGCGACTTGACGATGCGGGAACTGAGATGCTAGCTAAGCGGCGGCGGTCGGCGGGAAGCTCTGGCATGTTGGGTTGGTGCGATGCTTTAGTAGGTCAGGCAAGTTGTAGAGTGACAGCGGTCGCGCGCAGACTGCCATAGATTGTTGCGAAAGGCTGCAGCTTGCCGCCTGGCAATTCCTTAGGCAAAAAGCTAAGGTTCGCGGATGTCAGGATGCCTCGCACCTCAGATTAACGTAGAGTGGACGGACACAAGGCAGATCACGTTCCATTCCACCTGCAACCTGGAACCTTGAATGCATGACACTGACTGATGGATGCAAGTGGATGTCGGCCGCTCACGGCAAGTAATCGTTATCTTATCGGCACGTGCCCCGCATTGGTGCGCTGAACCTTAACGCGTCCCGCCTGGAGGTCGCGATTGAAGCATGTGATGGTGTTTTGAAGTGAAGGCAGGCCGAAAGAGTGAACTGCTGTTTCTCAGATAAATTGAGAAAAATGGAGATGGAATCATTCATGACACAAGCGAGCGCCGTTTAATTTTTCTTCTCTTTTCTGTAGAGTAATTTCATTGCAAAAAGGGTATCAATCATTGCAGCCCTCAACCAACTCCAACAACGCCTACTTTTCCACATGTGATCCCTTGCTATGTCCACCCATGCCTCTCTGTAAGCGGGAGTTACACAAGGACACCTGAACGCGCAAATACTGTGCTTTCCGTCTCTGCAATAGAGACTGCCTAGGCTTGAGGGCTCTCGGCAGCTGGAGCCGGCCCCTCGTTCCATTCAAATCCTGTAGACTCATCAGCATGCAAAAGGTCAGGAGCGAAGGGAGGGAGGAGAGCCTTACTCTGGCGACACATGGGACACTGGCCCTTGGATGAATCTTGCTTGATCCACTCCAGAATACAGTGCTGTGCCAATGCAACAGCAGTCAGCACTCATGATACGTTTGGACAGGACTGAGGCAATGAGACTAACCATATGGAAGTTGTGGCCACACTTGCCGGATACTATGGGAGGTTAGGAGGCTCTTGGAGAGAGTTAAAGCTTTTCAGACATACGCAGGCTGCACTCGTCTCCGGGATATCTGCATGTTGGGCAGGTTCCGTCGAAATGGACCTGGCAGATGCCGCAGACATCGTCTTCAGGGATATCCCATCTCCAGGTCGCCACGGCGTTCCACTTCTTGATCGTGACCTTCATGGCTGCGACTGCAACTGCCACCGATCCAGCGGAGGAGAAAGTTTCAAGTTCATCAACGACTCAAAGGCGCGCTCCAGTCAAGTGGGTGAGAATAGCAAGAATCTGTGGATCGGCTGAGTATAGTCGGCGCTCAGGGGTGCGACAAAGTCGGCCGGTGTTGAAGATTCGGATCCGTAATAAACAAATGTCAAACGGGCAAGAGTGGGTGAGGAACAGTAGGTACCGTTACCCGCACCGTCATGTACCGTACCATGCCTAAGGTACCTACCTAGGTACCTAGGTAGGTAGAGGAGGTGGCCCAAGCTCCCTGCTCGCGTCAAGGTTCCAAGGTTGGGGTGAGCTTCCGCCCTGAACCACTAACACAATGCTGCTGGGCTGGTATACCTACCGTACCGTACCGTACCGTACCGTATTGCAGGTCCCTCGACTCTCCAATCCTAGCAATGACTTGGCGCCGTTCTCGCCCGTCTGCCTCACTAGAGGAAGCGACGGAGCCCCGATGACCTTTAGCTCTTAGCTCCTCCACCTCTTGTCGAGCAGAAACCTGGAAGACCACCGCCAACGCCGCCCGGCCGATCAGAGTTCGTCCCCAACCCCGCATCCACCAAACTCTTCTGCTTCTCTTGCTTGTCATTCACTCTCAGAGCAATTCTCACAGTCTGTCTGTCTGACGATCTATTCAAAACGGCGAGCGGAGGCTGGGACCCGGCTCTCCACGGCAGCAGCTTGCCTCTTTGTCTACCTTATCTAGGTACCTCCTGCATGATAGTGCCCGTGCCCGTGCCCGTGCCCGTGCCCGTGCCCACAAGCTACTTCTACTAGGGATAAGGTACGCCAGGGAAAGCTCCAATTTGTAGAGTTTGACTCTGAGGATTGGGGTTGTCAGCGGACAATTCCCCGGCGCCGCAGGTGAGGAGACTAGGTACGCAACTAGGTGGACTTGCACAATCGCAATCTGGATCCAGCACCTCCACTCTCGCGAAAGCACGCAAACTTACGACTTTTCCTTCTTCCTCTCTTTCTTCCTGCTACCCTACTCGTGCATCCCACTCGAGCAGCGCAGCGCCGAGTGCAGTGAGAAAGCGAGCCGGGGCCAGCCAGCCCGCCCCGACCGAAGTGGGGACGGACTCTCGTTGTCTTCCGAGCCATCCTGGGAATCTTATCTTGACTTCCTAACCTCGCAATAACTCAGACTCAACCCATTTCTCGTTGTGCCACGGCCCCCGTGGTGAAGGATACCGATCAATTACTGTCGGATCACTCCCGATCGAGGTCATCCCACAGCTCTAGAGAGCTTCTTCCACAATGGCGACCCTCATCATGTTCGGCTCCTCGAGAGTCGGAGTCGCACTGCCAAGAGCGACCCTCTCCAAGCTCTTCTCGCCCAAGTCCTCCTCTGCCGCGCCCACATCGCCAATGTCCCGTCGCAACCTCTCCTCCTACCTCGTCACCCCGAAAGAGCTGCACGAGGCACTCAAGAAAAACCCGCCCTCCTCCATCAGCACCGACCCGCGTATCATACCACTGTGCGCCGCATGGTTCCTCCCCAACGACCCCGAGAAACGCACCGGCATCCAGGTCTACCGTGAGAAGCGCATTCCCAAGGCCCGCTTCTTCGACCTCGACAAGGTCATCGACAAGCGCAGCCCCTACCCGCACATGCTGCCCGGCCCCAAGGACTTCGCCGCCGCCATGAGCGAGCTGGGTATCCGCCGCGAGGATACCGTGGTTGTCTACGACACAAAGGAGCTCGGCATCTTCAGCGCTCCCAGAGTGGGCTGGACTCTCCAGGTGTTTGGTCACCCCAAGGTGCACGTCCTGAACAACTTCCGCCTATGGGTCGAGGAGGGTCTACCCACGGAGAGCGGCGAGCTATACAATGTCGAGTGCAATACCTATCCCATCCCGGAACTGGACGCGAGTAAAGTCGCTTCCTTCGAGGATGTCAAAGAAGTTGCAATGGACTTCAACAAGGAGGGCGCGGAGGGCGTTCAGATCCTAGATGCGAGGTCGAATGGCCGCTGGACCGGCAAAGCTCCCGAGCCCAGGCCGGGCCTCTCCTCCGGTCACATGCCTGGCTCCATCAACATTCCCTTCGACGCCGTTCTCGACCCGACAACTAAGGCATTCTTGCCCGCCGACCAGCTGAAGAAGATTTTCCAGGACAAGGGGGTTGACCCGCAGAAACCCATCATCTCAAGCTGCGGAACTGGCGTGACGGCGGTAGTACTGGAGACGGCATTGACGGAGGCGGGTTACGGCTCGGCTGACTTGAGGAGGGTTTATGATGGCAGCTGGACGTAAGGAACACAGTCCCCCTCAAGCCTGGAATAGGTACTAATGTTCTCTAACAGCGAATGGGCACAGCGTGTTCGCCCATCGGATTCTTTGATCCGCTCAGTCGAGGCGTGAGTAATGTTCGTAAGATTAGCAGCGGCAAATGGCGTTGATTGGGATACCCTCATTACTGCGACTTCTGTTGTACATGTACGAACGAATGTCTTTCGTCGTCTCTCCGGCCCCTGGGTTCTCCCTGCGTTTCTGGCATCCTTATACACACACCTCCCCTCGCTGTTCAAATGAGTCCATAGTAGCATATGCGAGGCATGGAATTATCAAGTGCATCTGTCAAGTGGTTGTAAATAGTTCCTCGGAAACCATTTCTCCGATCGGTTGAGATATGAAAATATTCTAAATCGGCTCTGGCTTAAATGCATCTTCCACGTCTCAACGCTGCACGAAACAGGATCCTGTCTATCCATCTCTAACAAAATTGAAGACTCCTTAATCTTCTTGTAGGTTCCAAAGTGTCTTGAAAAGGCTGTCTCGTTCTAACAGCCTGCGAGGCTGATCAAGCTCACTGACCCGGCCCTCGTCTAAAACAACGACCTTGTCGAAGTCGATGATTGTTCGCAATCTGTGGGCAACCATGACTGTTGTCCAACCGCTGAACTCATGCTGGATGAAACCTATGACCATTTTCTCAGTCTCGTAATCAAGACTGTTTAGCAGATGTCAAGATTAGTCCTCTGCTCACAACGCGACTTTGAGGCGCCCATAACTCACCTGCTAGTTGCCTCATCCAACAGAAGCACTTTACTTTTCCTCAACCACGCTCGGGCCAGACAGAACAGCTGCTTCTGCCCGGCGCTCAGCCAGTCCACATTGAGGTCTGCGTCTAACCCTCCCTTGTCCTCGATCAGACCCGCAATGCCAACCTTCTTCAGCACTTCTAGAAGACCTTGGTTGTCCGCTTCGCCGAAAGGGTCCAAGTTCTGCCGCACATTCCCCGCCAGGAATAGCGGTTCTTGAGGGAGTGTAACAAGAGAACTCCGAAGCGAATTCAGTGGCATGCTGCCAGTATCAATACCGTCGATCAAGATTTTGCCAGCCGTTGGAGGCTGCAGGCGAAGTAAGAGGGCTAAGAGGGTCGATTTCCCGCTTCCAGTGCGGCCAACGACTGCCACTTTCTCTCCCGGTCTGATGTCGAGCGTGATGTCTTTCAGCACTGTCCGCTCACCATAGGCAGCAGACACACCCTCCATTGAGATTGCCCCACGCCCGAGCCAGTTGTCAGGAGGAGTATCTGGTCCGTCGGATTCCTGGGGCGTGTCCCGCTCAAACTCCCGTATACGCGCAACAGCACCCAAACTGGTCTCAAGCTGTGTCCATTGCGTGATCAGTAGGCTCAGGGTCTGGCCGAAGCCAATCACACCCGTCAAAGCCACACCCAGGAGACCAGCATCAATCGTATCCCTGAGGGCAACAGCAAGGCCAACCAGCAGAACAGCAAGTCCGGCGATTATCAGGTCCAGCACGAGAGTAAGCCATCGTTGGAGGCAATAGAGCAGATAGTATGGTTTCTGGGCTATGGTGAGTCTCCTCAGATTCTCCTTGTGGAATTCTCGTGCCCAGTCAAAAGCTCTGATAGTCGTCAATCCTGTGAAGGAGGAGATGAAGTGACTAAATACAGGAGATTTGGCTTCAAGCTCCAGAAGACGCATCTGCCTGCTGGTCCGAAGATATATCCGCTGCAGAAAGAATAGGACTACTGCCAAAAGTGGTATGGAGATAGCAAGATAACCTGATGCAATGGACGTAAGGACAAGCTGAGATATGGTAGAGGTGAGGTCTTTGCACAGGTTAGTCAATGTCTCTCTATAGGAGTTTATAACGCGTACATTCGAGAGCCAGCATAAAAGCAATGGGCAGAGGAAGGTCTACCAGTGTAAGATCCTGACTGAATCTGAAAAATATCAGCGGATGCTCGATCAAAACCACCACGGTTTCTTACCTATTGACTATCTCACCGGTGTCCGTCTTGACAAAGAACGATAATGGCGCTCTGGAAAGGTTAGTAGGCGTTCTACTCGGCTACATTGAGACTGATTACTTCATAGCAGCCTTGAGAAGACCAAAGTGCAACGCTTTAGCCGAATACGGCACCACGATCACAAGGTAAAACCTGAACTGTTAGTCAAGCATGGGCTAGGATGTGAGTGTAGATCATACCAGACTTCGAATCCCAAGAATATCAGAGTTAAAGCACCAAATAATATGTAAACACCAATCCACATCCCTATGCTTTCATTGGGGTTTTTGGTATTGGCGGAAACCCAGAACTTCAACCAAAGCGCTGGGTTCAAAGTTGTCAGTCGTCGCAAGTCCAAAACGTGAAATGCACATGGTCAGCTTACGCTGGAGGGTTCGGAATCCCATTTGCAGTACGACCAGTGACAAGAATATCAGAAATGAGATGTTGCCCATAGACTTGAGATAGAACAGAATAGTGTTCTTGTTAGCATGACCTCGATTGTTAGTCAAGGCAGCGGCTGTTGTTGGTAGACCCCCTCCAGACTTTAGATTTGATTGTGAGTTTTGCTTGTTTTCTCCAGTACGATCGGTATCTGCCTTCTGGCTGATCTGACGAACACGTAGACTGCTGATATAGTCACTTGATGTCTGAAGATCATGAAAGGTGCCCTGCTCGGTGATACGGCCTCCTTGGCCAAGAACGATAATCTGGTCAGCATGTGACAGGAGTTGAACTATGGTGTTGTTAGCAGGCGGGATGAATGCTAAAAGATTGTAGACTTGCCGGCATGCGTTGCAAGTATCACAGCACGGTGGTTACCGCGTAGAAGTCCTTGCGAGCCAAGCAATGCCTGAAAACACCTCAAAGATGTCTTAGAGTCTAAGCCTTTCAAGGAGTCATCTAAAATAGTGATTTGTCTACGGGCATATGCAGCTCGCGCCAAAGCCTATAGTCAGTCGATTAGCAACTTCCCGCAATTTTGGTCGGTGATACTCACGATACGCTGCTTCTGACCACCACTTAGCGAGCCCCCTTGGCTGCCCACCTCCGTTTGATCGCCATCTTGAAGAGCATCAAAATCCTCTGTCAATTGGCAAGCCCTTACGACCTCGTCGTAGAAAGCCTGATCAAAGCTTTCAATGCAGATGATATTGTCCCTGATAGATTTATTGAGGACCCAAGGGTCCTGTCCGCAATACGCGATCCCCCCTGGTGCTTGGACATCGACTGAACCTCCTGAGATATAAGTCTCGCCGAGGAGTGCGTTCAATAAAGTTGATTTTCCTGTACCGACAAGACCAACTATCATAGTCAGGGTAGAGGGGAAAACATCAATGCTTATGTCCTGAAGTATCGAGCTATCGCTTGTCCATCCGAAATTGGCAGCACGAATATGGATCAGGGGCAACCCGTCCATTGCTGGATCGTCTTCCGATTTTTGGGTTGCGGCATCTTCAGCAACAAGTTCTGATATGCTAGATGTAGAGGTTTGTTGCCTTTGCTCGTTGAGATTTCTGAAATCATCTCGCTTTTCTTGTACAAGAAATTCTTCAATACGATCCGCACAACTGAGAGCAGAGTAGAGTTGAGTAGCAACCATGACAAGTTGGGCGACTGGATCAATGAGAATGGCCAGCAGACTCAAAGACGTGAATGCCTTTGCTACACCAAATTGCTCTCCGCCGGAGACTTGCTGGGCTATGGCAAATGCTGCGAACGTTACAGCTGGTGTCATAATTGATGGCAACTGGCCTTGACCGGTTGTCAGTAGGATCTCTCAGCGCCCCTGACATTTACCTACCTATAAGGATATTGGAAATCTGCATTTTACGGAACCTTTTCGATTCATCGAGCTCAAAGTTCCGAAGGTCTTGGATTTGATCAGAGACTTTCTCTGTTAGGCCCGTCATTTTGACCCCCTTGATGGAGCTGATGACCTCCGTAGTGATGCCAACGCGTTTTTGTATAGCCTGCATCCAAGCTCTTTGTCGTGGCGGAACGAGCTTGCCGACCTGCATTGAAATGAGACCGCAGACTGACTCATTAGCAAACGACTGTGTTGGTACTTGGAAGCCTGGCATGAAACTTACTAATAGCCAGAATAATAGGAGCAATGCATACAGCTCCAAGTTGAACCCCAAGAATCCACAACGCGATGGCTACTTGTAGGATGCAAGGGACGATGTTGACGATCCATACTGTGACAATCGTGATACGGTCTACATCATTGCTCATCAGACCTACCCCTGACGAAGCGTTCCCACTCTCAGCCCGTGTCGACAGCATGCCTTGGTAGATCAGGGAGATGAGAGCTCCACGGATCATGGTAATGAGTCTGAACATAATGTGCATATTCCAAACACTTGAGATCTTTGCACAGGTTAGAGGCTGCTATACAAGCTTGTTTCCTGGCCAGTATCCACTTACCGCAAAGCCAATATAGGTGAGCGCATATGCGCCAATCAACCCATAACCATGGCTAACTGGCATAGCCGAGTGGTTTGTGATATAGCTGATTGTTGCCTCGACGAGAAAGGGTTGCGCTATACTGAATCCTACCACAGCTAGGCGAGGTATCATAATAAGGATCAACTCGCGACGAAATGCTCTTGTCACTGCAATGGCTAGAGCGTGCTTTCGATCTTTGTTACCTGCAGACGCCTTAGTTTTAGGGTTTGTTTGTCATAGGGAATTATCTCCTTACAAGTTGACCAGGCCTTGTGCATCCTTTCGAATGTTGTCGGTCCAGACAGCGCATCATCGACTGGATAAAGATCATCCATCGACAAGTCCTTGTTGTATCCCAAAATCAAAAGTGGATTGATCCACCAGAAGAGACTTCGGCTGATGATTCCATTCAGCTCTTCAGGTGAGACCTCTTCGTCACTGCCCACGAGCACACCATATTTGTGCTTCGGGACTGATTCGAGTATGAGCCACAGAATCCGTGACCCAAAGGTGATACTAAGGATCGTGGCAATAGCCATGTTGTCTGGCAGTAGCCATTGCGTCCGTACACGGGCTAGGTCTAGTAAAGTAGTTAAGAGCAGGAACGCTTGGATGATCTTGCATGGGCCTGAAGAGCAAGCATGCTCTCTATAAGACAACACGGCGAATATTATAGTTGATACGAGCGCCAATACAGCAGATGCGATGCTAAGACGCGTTCGTTGAGAAGAATCAGCCGCCCACAATGCTACAAGACATATCTGTAGCACGTTCACGACGGCGAAAATAATCTAAGGCGTCGATTAACTTAACGCTACGGATTGATACAATCCAGTTTCTGGTTTATCAGTCTTACTAGCTTGAGCGTCACTCCGAGACGCCATTGCACATGTATTTCTGTCTTGCAAATACGGGAGAGATGGAATAGAGCGATGATTGAAAACGAGACGCAGGGCACGATAGAGAGGAATGCTTCTTCAAAGAGAAGAGTAAAGTCAAATGCTTCGCACGTTGAGCCAGGGCCTAGCACAGGACCGAAGCTATCGTCGTCAGGGCACCTTATCATAAGTGGACTCGCCGAAAGCAACACAATTGGAAAAGGGAGGTTTGTTTAGAGTGGAGAGGTGGCGCAAGGCCGATACAGATCCTCTCCCACAACATGCTCTCCTCGCAAAGCCTCCCACGATGTATTATACGAGACTCAGGCACTGCATGTTGATGAGGTCAAGAGGAGCGGCCGTTACACCATCCGGGACGGATCGGGGGCTTACGTCGCACCCAGCTTGACCGTTACCGGATGAAGAAGGACATTCAGGCGAAGCGGCCGGGGAGTGTTATCTCAGGTCCTGCGACCGTCATTTCCCGGCCGACAATGGTCACAAGACGATCAAGATTCCGTTTCAGGTCGCCCGGCTGAAGAGGCAGCAATGTCAGCCCGTACTCGTGCATCTGGCTAGATGATGCGTTTGAAGAGATATCCAGGATTCCTGCTTCAAAGGACGAATCCGAGGTGCCCAATTGTCAAGCAGTGGACAATTTTAGCGAGGGCCAGTTGCGGGAAGGCTCAAGTACTCACCCGCCGTCTTCAACCGTCTGCAGGCCTTTCCGGGAGAAGTCGGGCAAATGCTCCTTTCTACTATCGCTTCGATTGATAACAATTGAAATAAAACTGAACAAAGATCATGGGACTGGAAATGTTCTTTCCTGTTGTCTTTTGTCTTTCGGTCTGAGTCCGCTCTTGGCGTAGAGTTGCAGCATTAAAAATGGTTAAGAAAACGTTGCCTAAACAAAGGGTAGTTCAATAGTCTGCAACTAATCATGAGCTCTTAAGAAGCTATGCCAGTTCAAGTCCGTGATCTAGCCCGAGGACCAGGACTTGGATACATATATGAGGATATATGGCCACGGGGCTTGGCTATACCTGAGTTAATTCCCTAATTGTTGTGGTGAAATAGTGGTGTTAAATGGTTAAGACGGCGGTTGTAAATCCAAGCTACTGTAAGTCCTGAAGACCAGCGTGAGATACTTGCAACACTCTGTGATTAATTGCTAACACTGTCATCATATTAGAAACCAATGGTAACCACACGCGTCCCTCAGCATCCAGGTGCAGTAACTCTCTACCTTCGTTGAATGCTTACTTGGCGGCAGCTCGTATAACATGCGCGAGTCTACCGATCTACGTCCATAAAAACGGCAATCAAGACCAGGGGACCACAGCGAGACAACCCCCCACGTTTGCTTGGGTTCACTGGCTTGGACAGTTCTGGATGCACTGACAACCGATTACCGTTAGGTGGTCCACTGGCGGTGAAGGTACCGTTTCGGTCGGCAAGTGGATGTTGACCTAGCGCTTACCGCGGGCGCATTGCCCTTGTGAGTAGATAGTATAGACAAGAAAGATAGTCTACAGTTGATCAGTATGTTATACGTAGACTGGCCGTCTCCTCTTCTCTGCATTGAACAACAACAAACTCTAACCTGCACGCCGTAACTACCCCTCAATTCTGGAAATTGCAACGTTGGGTTCTTGGACCATAACAGCCCTCACGCATCCTACAGTCTTACCAGCTAAACCAGGCGACAATGGCTCTGTTTTCACCGGCGACGTGGCGGGCGCTGGGGCTGACGGTGGGCGTGGCTTACACGGGGTTCGGGATCGTGGAGACGCTGCTGCCGGCCCAGGCGGCGCGGGAGTTCTTTGGGATCCAGCCGCGGGCCAAGGCCGAGGTGGACGACGCGGTGTCGGTGATGGTGCCGCTGATGGGGGCTCGCGACTTCAGCCTGTCGGCGGCCATGCTCACGTTCTGGTACTACGGCAAGGACTGGGAGCTGGGCGTGGTGATCCTGGCCGGCTCGATCCTCTGCGTGGCCGACTCGATTGCCATCTTCAACCGGAGGGGCTTTGCAGCGTGAGTTCTGGGGCTGTCTCTGTTCTTCTCTTGGACTTGTTCTATCATCCTGTTGACGTTGTTGAACGACGTGAGCTAATGCTATAGCAGAGGAGCAATTGCCGGTGTAGGATCGATATGGTCGGCTGTCGGGCTGGGTTTGATGTCTCTGGAACAGGCTTGAATGGTCCTGACGAGGACGGGCTCTTGATACGGGGGAGTTCTGACAATGTTTCGTTGTTTGCTTGACAGCAAGTTCATCTGGGCGCATTCGAGTCCCATGTTGCATGGATGCATTTGAGCGGAAGAGGATGTACATGTACCTTGCTTGTTGACCCGTACACTGCTGCTTGAGAACTCAGCCCAAATAATCCTGATAGCACCCAACATGACTAAGGTTATCTTTACATCTTTGTTACACCTGTGTCTTTCGTCATGGTGGGAACCAATTGGGTCTGAACCTCCTAAGGATTGAGAGACAGCCAGTGCATTTTAGAGAGAAATGACGTGTACCATAGCAGCTAGTTATGGACCCAAAGGGAGCGTGAACAGCTCCAAGTGGAGCGATCTCCTTGCCGAAGAGGCCCTCGTGGGCTACGATATGATGTGGTGTGATGTGATGTGGTGGTTTGTTCCTGGGACCTTGCATAAAGTGAGTATAAGATGTAGCTATAAATGTAGATACCGCGTAGATACGGTAATTACACTACTATATATACTTACACACAGGTGAATTTCCCTGTTCTGATAAAGCAAGATCTCGATGTCTCACCATGTTTCTGTTGCTTGGGAAGCACAGGAACAGCGAATCCATTCCAGGATGAGTGCGAGAGTGCGTGTGTGTGGACGGGTAGGTAGCGGGGGCCAGCCAGGCCCCTGCCAGCCCAGCCAATATCGATGCGGGGTAACGTTAGCTGACAAGCTGGAAGCTGCACCCTGCAGGCCACCTGGCTGCGTCACTCCACCAACCAGCCGAAGCTTGCAAGCTCACCTGCAGCTACAGCTACTTTCAGTGGTGGTGGTGGTGGTGGGATGGCTGTCAGCTGTTTTTGTTACCCAAGCTACCCGATGACCCTGACCATCCATACCTTACATACATACTGCATAGTACCTTGGAACATACAAAACCGCCGCCATTCCGTCTCTCAACCGACTTGTTGATTGATTCCTTTTCGCTGACTCCTCTTTCTCACCATAACCATCAAGCAAGCAAATCACTGAAATCCCCAGGACTGTTTGTTTGTTCTTCTGAACAACCGCCAGTCTTCAAACACCACAAGCTCAATCGCTAGAGCAGTGACATCATCACCATCGCCTTCGTCACCACCACCTCCACCACCTCCACCACCTCCACCACCATGGCCGACCAGCAGAACCAGCCTCAGGCCGCCCCCGTTGACGAGACTCCCATCTCCCCCATCCGCCCGGACAACGCCCGCAGAAATTCCCTCGAGAAGCACCTCCAGCAGCGTCCAGAACGTGCTGAGCTCATCGAGCGTGAGCCCTACCATCTTTCAGGTTGGCTCGGCAGAGCTTCAGGAATGACATGCTGACCGTCATGGCTAGGGAACATCCTCCCCGCTTCCACAGCAGCTCCCGGCCTGCAGGCTCAGCAGAAGGAGGTAGGTCAAGCTTGCCGTCTCGAGACACTCCTCTTTGCATAGTCACTGACGTGGACGGGCCTCAAAACAGCTCGAGAAACACATGCGCGCCGACTCCCTCAACGAGAAGATTGCCCACCGCCCCAGCCCCGACGAGCTGATCAAGAAAGGAGTCCTGGGCGCCGACGAGGACCCCCGGTCTCCGGACGAGAAGTACCAAGAGGCCATCGAGGAGGAGTATGCCAAGCGTGAAGGCGGTGCGTAGAAGGCTTCTTCGACACAAAGATCAACTGGCACGCTTGAAAAGACATTGCAACAACAAATGCGGACAGAGTTATGTCGTCCTCTAGGTTGGGCTGGGCTGGCATGTCTCGCTCATGTTTGTGCACGCCTATGCGTATGGGAATCTACACTGTGTCTGTTTCGCTTCGAGGGGCCAAGTCCCGGCATGGCATGGAATGGCATGGTATGCCATGGCTTGCTTACTTACGACGAAAAGAAACAGCAAAACACACAAACCCTTGGGAAAGGCGTTACGTAGGGAGTTTTCTGTTTGTGCTGGTAACTGCGCCTCTGCACACCGGGGTAGTGCAATTGGGAAATGGGAGCTGAAGTGTCTGGGAAAACTCAAGAAACATGTCTTTCTCTGATGTATTCTACAAACTAGTGTAGTGTCCTTCCAACTCTCCCAAAATATCATATATGATGGGTTTGCGTAATTCGCTAAGTAACTGAGCCGACAGGATGAGATGCATTTAAAAACGGTCTCTTCGTTTCTTCCATTTACGGCTCTAAATGCAAGTCCATTCTCCAAGCAGACTGAAATCCATCATGTGCTTGTGATGCAGGTTGATGGTATCGTCTGATCACCTAGGTCAGACCAAACTCCAATCAGTCCGTGTGAACCAGTCTGCCTTGCCCTTCTCCCCGGGGGCCAGGCTTCAACCTGTTCCTGGCTGTCATCCCCGCGATAGGTAGCGCTTAAGTGATCGAGTGACTCAGATGATCGATCAGTGAGTGGCATTGCATTGCAGGAGATGGGGGTGATTGGGTGCGCAGTCGTTGCCTACTCTTTAGCAGGCTTGTTACCAGCCTGCCAAGGTAGGGATCTTATGCAGGCACGCTGCCAGAGCTGATCCACCAGGTTGGGCAGATGCGTGGCATTGGGATCGGGCAATGAATGAATGGGGTCCGCCTGCCCAACTTGCATGAACACGCTTGAGGTCAGTAGCGAATCGAGTGGCCCATCGCAGCAGGTGAGCCTGTCCATGTCGGCAAAGCCAGCGAATCGTCTCTCGTCCCAAACAACAAACGGCACATTGCCTTCGACGGCGAAGCTGATTGAACAATGACGGCGTTTCATGCAGGTCGACGACACACATGGCGAGGCGGAGGAAAAGAGCATCTTGAAACAAGCGGATACATGTCATCATTGTCTTTTTTTTAATACTTTTTTTTATATCTTATTCATCATGATATCCCTGGTCATGCGACTCATTCGTGAGTCCAACACGGCTTCCTGCGTCCATGCTGCTGCGACTGTGAGAGGCCAACAACAAACTGCCGGATTGTCCGGGATGTAAGCTGAAGCTTGCTTGGTCGCCTGCTTTGACCACGCTCGCCACCTTGAGTTGGAGGATCCCCTCTCCACCCCGATTGCCAAAATTAGTGTCCCTCCGCAAAATAACCAGGCAGTCCACTGCAGGAACACGAGACCAACCCGCCCATAAAAAAAAAAAAGAATCCCTGATACCCTGTCGCCGCCGCAATGCTATGATACAACACCCGTCCGCCCCGTCCAGGTGGACTGTGCGTGAGTATGTTGAACAAGGAAAAGTGTAACAATCGCCGTGGGGCTCTCGTAAACCAGTCTGTGTGGTGAGGTATGTGGGGTCTAAGATGCCTCCCATAATGTTTGGGTTTTGATGTCTATGCCGTCCCTTTATGTCGAGTTGTTGAACATCCGATCCTGGTCAGACCCGAGACCAATCTGCCCAAGACCATGCCGCCCAAAGTTGTGTAGGAGGAGTGTTCTGTTCGTTGTTGTACAAAGAAACAAGAAAAAGCCGACTGAAGCCTGGAAATGGTGTTCTATCGAGGTAAACAAAGCTGTGATACGACTGTCTCTGGCGGCGGCGCCATCATTTGTATTTGTTGTTGGAGTAGCCACCGGAATAGCTCGGAGAGGGGCCGGACGGCTCCTTGCTGCTCTTGCGGTGGTTGACGACGACGACTTTGCCGTTCTTTCTGCTGGAGCGTTCGGTGGTATGCTTCCTGTTGCCTTCTGTCATGGAGTGGTTAGTCAGGGAGCGTCTCGCGGGGACGACTGTGTGCTCCTTACCGGCGGCGGGATCGCGGTAAGTCTGCTCAAAGACGAGGGATGCCTCACTGGAGCAGTCCGAAGCAGGAGAATTGTAACCGTGAGATGATCTGCTGGCCCATGAGACTACGGACTCGTCTCTTTGGGAGGAGCCCTGGTGGACCACTGTGGTACCGTACTTGTTACCCATTTTGAGAGATAGGAGAGTAGAGATAGACTCGGAGGATGAGGTTCGAGGAGTAGAGCGTAGTAGGGATTGCTTATGACGATACTTGGAAATGTATCACACTCGTGTGCTATTCTTTGAAGGCTTCTTCGAAGAGAAAAGAGAAGGAGAGGGTGGGTGAGGTCGATGCTATATACTCAAGGAAAGGAGCTCACCTCATAGTACCAAGGACTAATACAAGCTTGCCAGAGGTTTAGGCAAACGGGGTTGGCCAACTTACCAAGCAAGACGAGAGCTCCCGACTGGGGACGACACGCAATGCTAGAGGTACGGTACTGTACTCGGGAGAAGAGTGAAACGGGACAGCTAAGTTAAGGCAACTGGGACTAGCCACTTAGCAAGGCACAATCCGAGGAGAGAGTGTGTGTGGAAGCTTTGATCTCCGAGAAAGCCTGAAATGTAAAAAGAGCCATGGCCACGGGTGGATGGGGGAATGAGTCAAGAGACAAAAAAGAAGGTAGAAGCTTCTCTTGTCTCTGGTCAGGGGGCATGGTTGTTGCTTCGACGAGCGTGTGCCAGCCCGCGTGCAAGCTCTGCTTGAGTCTCTTGCTGAGTCTAAGCAGTGCGTCTAAGTCAGTTTAGCCAATGGATAGGCATCCCAGGGCGAGGGCGGATGATTGGGCAGAGAGTAGTTGAGGGAGCCGTTGCAGTGCTGATGGATCAGGCACCAAACAGCAGAAGGAAAACGACGAAACGGGAATGATCGCTGGGGAGTCGAGCACTCGAGGGTTAGGCGGAACACCAAAACGGGCACAGCACAAGGGGTGGCGAAAAGCTATAATAATCCGCAGGGCAAAATGCCATTCAATTCATCCCATAACCTTCAGTATAGTAGTAGTCTACTGTACACTACTGTAACACTGACGGGCCGGGAGGGAGGAGAGGGACTGGATGGAAATGCCAAGTTGTGGGTGGGTAATGGGTGTCGTCCGCCTCACTGCACTGAGATGACTTGCCGACTCGATAACTAGTCTAGTAGGGAGGGAGTAATAAGCGCAACCAGCATCGACGGATTGCCGCCCTCCACTCTCCTCCTACCGCTTGCTGGTGTGCGACTGGGACTGGGGCTGTCCGCGCACCATCCGCCGCCGGGAGGAGCGGTGTATTGCGATGATGCTGTTTGAGAGTATTACGCCCCGGTACATTGAGAGAGAGAGAGAGAGAGAACGTTTGAATTGGTGGTCTCAAGCCACAATTGAGCGATTAAATGCGAACGTAATGCCACGGGGTGTGTTTTGTCTGACATTGGTCCCAGGGACTGACGACTACGATGCCTGGTAGTCAGTTACCGATGCTGATATATCCAATGCCAACCAATTCAGGCCTCCAACAAGAATTGGTACTGTACTATACAGTACTGTGACCCAAGGCCAGTGCAGTCTCTACGGAGTGTCTGGGCTTAGCCTCCAGCTGAAAAGTGAAGGCCTCCCAGCCTCAATGCGACAGCTATGGCTGCATTTGCCTCCGTTCTGCCTAACAGTAAGCTACAGTCTCTCCTAAAGCCAAGGCCAGGTAAGCAGCTACCTACATACCTAGGCTCGCTAGGTAGGTAGCATAGGTAGCATGCTGGAGGGCGTTCAGTGTTGCCTTGTCTGTCCATGAATCAATCCCTCAATTCAGGCACAGGCACAGGCTCCAACCATCCCGTCATCACCTTCTTCACATGCTTTTTTCTGTTGAGAGGGCTTGTGGCTCAGCATCTTCTGGTCACACCTCACCTCGCCCTCCCTTTGACCATCGTCAAGACAGCACCAAATGCCAGAGACAAGCCACCCCCTGGTTGAGTCATTGGGACCCAACGGAAACCGAGGCCAGCGGCAAATGGATGCCCAATCTTCAGTTGTAAATGTTGGCCGGACGCTGCCAGAAACGCCGAAGAGGCGCGGAAAGATTGATTGGGAATTGCAAGAAAGACAGAAACACAAAAGAGAATTACAACGGGCTTTGGTGGATAGCACTTGGGAATTGGGATTTGCAATTGCTGCAGAAGGCAGTGTGAAGATCTGAAGAGGTGTTGGCGGCATTCGGGGCCAACCACGCTACAAGCTGCATGGAACCGCACAGTCTAAACTGCTACTGCAGCAGCAGGGGGCGTAGATCTCGCCCACAAGGCATTGAATGGCTGAACGGGCAGGGGACAACGACCGCAGGCCATATCATTGCTCTCCACGCAGCCAGCGATCGGCTCTTGACATGTCCGCGAAAGCCATGTAGCGAGTGGCATTATCAACCCTCAAAGGGCTGCAGTAGTTCGCTGTCTGGTTCTGCATGAAATGGGTACGGTAGCAGTCGGGTGGTAGGGCAAGGTAGCATGAGGGCACGCCAGTAAGACTCATGCAGTCATTCCCTTGATGGGGTCGTCCCCTTGAGTGTGTAATTTGACTTTACCTGACTGACCTTCTCGAAGACTGAAGAATCGATGGATGGGTTTGGAGCCACCTACTACCTACCTACTTACAAGGTGCACACATTGCCTGAAGAGCTCCTCATCCATCAGTCATCACTTAATCACCATGTAGACAAGGCTGCCCGTGACGACGACGATGATGACGACGAGGAAATAGATGACGATGATGTAGCCCGTCCAACACGGCTTTCCCAACGCAAAATTTTTTTCTCGGTGAGTCGGTTCTCTTGCCGGACGACACTGCCACCGCCGTCCATCCCGTGGCAATTGAAGAGGGGAAGAGACAGAAAACTCGGAGAGGCATCCAGGCGACTAGACCAATTAGGCCCTGAGCCGAACAAGATCGTTCAGGCCGTGAGAGAGGAGAGGAGAGGAGAAGTCTCTTCACTGGCTGGATTTTGTCTTCGGGTACCTTGCTGGATACCTTGTGTGTGTGTGTGTGTGTGTGTGTGTGTGTGTGTTTGTGCTGGGCTGGGTCGATGGAGTTGATTTAGGTTTCGAGGGCATGCAATAGGTCGCTTACAGCCTACTATAAGAGACAGACAATAAGTGAAGTGAGATGAGGTCCAGTCGCAACCATCGAGGTCGCACTGTCTCTATTCCGTTCTACAAAGGTCACTCGAGTTAAGCGGTGCATCTTGAAGGAATGACCCCGGTATCTAAGGTAGGTATCTGTACGTAGGGATAGGTAGGTATTTGAGGCGTTGCATGGGCCTCGCCAATGAGTACGGGCAGTATTCAAAGCCCTCTTCACCACTTGTTATCAGCCACGAGTTGATAGCACACCCAAATGCACCAATAGATGTGCCGGGAGCTGTGGCTGGTGCATACCTTATTACACAAGTCACTAGGCCCGTGACATCGGTGGCTGCTTTTCTTTGGCTGCCCTGTCTTGCGCAGACGCAGGGACCATCCATCGCCAACAGGCTCATGGATCCCAAGGTGAGTAGGTAAGCGAGGAGCAGCATGAGAATCATGGTCAGAAGTACCTAGGTACTGTACAGGTTGGTTCGTTGCAAGGTGTTTAGACTAAACTGGAATAGTATCGTCAATCCGTAACTTGGTGCTAGAGCAGCAGGTATGATGGGGCTTACACCTGAAAGGGTTCTAACTCATTGCGAACAATACACAATAAGGAATTGATTAATATGTACCCTACAGCAAGGTAGGGGTAACGAGGAGGTTTACAGGTTTGGGGCTGACGAGACTTATGTAAGGTAAGGTGGTGGTGGTTAGGGCGAGCTCCTTGATTGGCCAATGGTCTTGTCAGAGAGGAACGGGAGCTCCCCTGGTCGGCTTTAGCAGTGCTGATCATCCTGGACGGGGAACCAGGAAAGCCATGGAAAAGGCCAGCAAGGCGGACGAGACATCCACATCCCCATCCACATCCACATCCACATCCACATCCACATCCACCATCCCACTCCTCCACCACTTGCTTGGACGTGGACGATACCGATACCAATACCAATCTAATCGTGGACTCACACCACAACTCTACCTACTCTACTCTACTCTACTCTACTCTACGAATACACCACCCCCCTTACCTAGGTAGAGTGTGACAACGACGACGACAACGCCAACTGCAGACGAACGAACAACCCCAGCAAAGCCGTCCCGCCTGTCCGCCCCGCCTCAGCTCTCTCTCCCACCGACCTCTCCCTCCACCACGACCAACCAAAACTCCAAAATGACCCGACTCTTCTTGACCCTCTCGCTCCTGGCCTCCGCCGCCATTGGAGCCCTCGCTGCCGATTCCGACCTGGGCATCGAAGTGACCCTCCCCGTCGAATGTGACCGCAAGACCCAGAGCGGCGACAAGATCTTCGTCCACTACCGTGGCACCCTGACGGACGGCAAGAAGTTCGATGCCAGTGCGTTACGCCCCGTTTCTGTTTGCGCCCTCCCGAGCCATCCAAGCCATACCATGTTATGACATGCTATATTGTCCTGGATGGTTTGCTGTTGCTACTTCAACATAGGGATGCTGACGATGCGGCTATCGCCTTCTAGGCTACGACCGTGGTACACCCTTCAGCTTCAAGCTAGGAGGCGGCCAGGTGATCAAAGGGTTCGTTGATCAATCGATTGCTGTGTCTCGTTCCTCGTTCCTGATCTGACTTAACACTTGTCCTGCAGATGGGATCAAGGCTTGCTTGACATGTGTATCGGAGAGAAGAGGTAAGCCCCGCCCGTCCGCCACCTCGCCTCACCTTCCAGAACACCTGCTCTCGGCGACGTGATGATTCAACCAGCTTACACCTCGCTTCAGGACTCTCACTGTGCCCCCTAATCTAGGCTATGGAAATCGTGGCATGGGTCCCATCCCTGCCGGCTCTACTCTGAGTACGTTCCTCTCACACCCTTTTACACGTCCCCCATCGACCCACAATGAACGCCAGTTGCTTACTTTTCTTGCGCACTGGACAGTATTCGAGACAGAGCTGATGGGTATCGATGGTGTGCCCAAGCCCGAGAAGATCGTGACCAAGGAGACGACAGCCGCCGACAGCCCCAGCTCCACCATCAGTGCTGCCGCTGAGGAAGCCTCGGCGAAGATTGCCGAGAAGATCGCGAGCAAGGTGGGCGAGGCGGCCGATGTGGTCAAGACCCTCATCCAGGACACTGATGACGTGCAGGAGCATAACGAGCTCTGAGCGAGCCGCAGCTCAACCTTTTCCGCCTCTGACAGCACGGGCACATCGGTACGAGCACCCCTCAACAGACCTGATGACACACCAGCCCCGTGCCCTCGCGAGAGTTGCATGGTAATGCCAGTTCTTGGTCCGAATAGAAAATAGATTCTGGCAGCAGTAGAGACTAGGGCGTTGGAGATGCTCGTTTCAAACCAGTGTCTCTGAAATTGAGTCAGTTGGCGATATTGACCATGTATCGTGCAGATGGTGTCGCACAGGTGATATGACGCCCGATATGTACAGCTCTTCACTTCATGTTCATCCGGGTCTCTCTTTATCTCTTATACAAGCCAATTCCCCATATGCCCATCCCAAAAAGCCGCGAGACGTGTTATCCTCTGATCGTCAAATGTCCAACCCGTGCTTACGGTCCTACACAGTAGTAGGACTGATCGTGTACATGCTTTGGGGCTCCTCCCTCGCCCAGCTTCCTTCGGCCCGCTGGCGTCTTTTGTTGTTCAGGCATAGTATAGTATACCATTTGGCAGGCCGCTACAGAACAATTTCGTCGTCCACTTTGCCCGGCCACTCGCTCTGTATTATTGCTCTGTGTATCTACTGTACGAGCAAATCTAGAATCTAGCCGGTGCCTACACTGTCAGATTGGACCACTGACTGTGACCGCTCAACGTTGATCGGCACCCATGATATCGCATATGCAACCAACACATGAGCTAATGTTCTAGTCGTGATAACGGTTATCTGTCTGTGCCCTGCTCCTGGGCGCTGCATTAAGGTTTAATCTGGCACTAATTGCGACTCTTCACCTGGCCCACCCGCGGGGGAGCGCAATTGCCGGTGATGATTCGTCCGGATATTAGCTGGGATCGCTCCCGCCCACGAGGCCGTCAGTAATTTATATTCTACCTGAGTCTAGGGATCCTCCTTTTTCTTTCGGTCTGGGCCCATGTCTGACAACCAACACAGGCAAGACAAGTCATTGCAATTTTCATCTCATCTCGTCCATTGGAGCGAATCAGCGGAATCTGGAGTAGCAGGGTGCGCACGGATAAGTGCAGGCCAAGCTCCTCTCCTCCGGTCTGCCAATCCCTCCCTCCTTACAATAGTCAGCCTCAACGAGGCTAACTAACGAATCCCGTGTATCATCGTCACCATCATCGTCGCCCTCGCCTCTGCGTGCCCGGCCGAAGCCCCGGTCATGCTAGTAACGCGCTTCAGAACTCCTGACCTGCGGCCTCTTGATCCTTGCCGCTCGCCTAACGCATCGGCAGTGGCCGCAGAATGTCCCGTTGGCGGCCGCGCTGGTGGAATGGCTTTGTCGGAGAGCACCCTTGGGTTGCTTCATGTCTGTCACGAGCTCGATCTGCGCTCCCCCCCGTGAACTTTATCACCATCCATTATGCCTACTTCATTGTCGTTTGTCTCGCCGCTTCTGTCGTCTTCTGGGGCTCCTCAAATCCTTCGCGGAGCATCACCTATGTCGACAGCCTGTTCGTCGTTGTCTCGGCCATGACCGAAGCCGGCCTGAACACGGTCAATCTCAGCCAGATGACGACGTGGCAGCAGATCATGCTTTGCCTGCTCATCATGTTGGGAAGCTCCATCTGGGTTTCCATATGGACTGTTGCGGCACGCCTTCACGTGTTCGAACAGCGCTTTGCCGCCATCGTGAAGGCGGAACGCGAAAAGAACAAGCGCCCCATTCCGCTTCTGCAGAGATTCTCAACCTTCCGCAAGTCCGTCACGACACCGGCCGGTGATTCAAAACTCCCCGGAACTGGGACCCGCATGCCTCAGACCATAGCCTCGGATGTGAGTGTGGACGCCAATCTAGACTGCTCGAACGCTTCGCGGGTTGGGCGCCGTCGGACAGCTTCTATGCCGGACTTGGATGGCGTTGCTCAGAGCGTGAACCCAACTTCAGCCGACAACATCTCTCCAACGGAACAGCCACCCTCATCCAGTGGCCATATCTTGTTTGCCGAAGTGGCACGTCCAGGGACAAATGCCGGCGCAACTGCCACGGTAACCTCCGCGGCTTATTTGCCGGAATCTATGCCCGTTCGTAGGCTGAACACCCAAAGAGACGACGACTTCAGTGATGGAAAAATCAGGCCCAGCAGCTGGTATCTACAGAATTTCCTCACCGGCAGGGCCGCCGGTCGCAATGGCCAATTTCACGACCTAACCACGGAGGAGCGCGAGCATCTTGGCGGATGCGAATATCGGGCGCTCAAAGTTTTGGCGGTCATCGTTCCCCTGTATTTCTTCCTGTGGCAGCTCCTGGGCTGCGTAGGACTGGGCGCTTGGATGGCCTACAACCAGCCCAACACCGCGAGAGAAAATGGCATCAACCCCTGGTGGCTAGGCATATTCAATGGAGTTTCTGCGTTCAACAATTCCGGCATGTCCCTCTTGGACGCGAACATGATCCCCTTCCAGAAAGCCTACTATGTCTTGATCACAATGGGGCTAATGATCCTCGCCGGAAACACCGCATACCCATTGTTTTTGCGTCTCATTTTTTGGAGCATGCTGAAAGTGCTGGATCGAACCACAGCCGAGGAGACCCTGGGTGACTTCAAGGAAACGATCAAATTCATTTTGAAATATCCGCGTCGAGTGTATACCAATCTTTTCCCCTCACGACAGACCTGGTGGCTGTGTTTCATGGTCGTCTTGCTGAATTCCATTGACTGGGTCGCTTTCGAACTTCTGAATCTTGGAAACCCAGTGATTGAGGCTATTCCCACCGGCTCCCGTGTTTTGGACGGCCTTTTCCAGGCTTTGGGTACGACCTGACCCTCTCCCCTTGTCATTTGTGCCGGGAGACTCACCTCTCGAGACACGCAGACATGAATGAAGCTAATTGTCTCTAGCCGTCCGTTCCGGTGGCTTCTATGTCGTTCCCATTGCCGAAGTGTATATCGGCCTGCAGGTTCTATATGTAATCATGATGTACATCTCTGTATATCCTGTCGTCATCACAATGCGCCATTCGAATGTGTACGAAGAGCGGAGTCTAGGAATCTACGCTGGCGATGCAACAGCGATGTCTGATCGTAACATTATCCCGTCAGTGCTCCAACACGGCTACAGTGATACCATGACACCTGCCACAATGTCATCTATTCCTCGTAGACTGAGCCGTTCAGACACTGCTCATGAGATTGGCCGCGCTCTACGGACGTTTGCGCCGTGGCATGGCGTCGGAGTACCAGTACCTCGGTCTCGTGAGGTGGAGAGCAGGATATCTTTCATCAGCCAGCAGGTTCACGGCCAGCTGGCTCATGATATCTGGTGGCTGGTCCTCGCGGTGCTCGTCATCACCACCATAGAAACGTCTCACTTCCTTGCCGATCCGGTTCACTATAGCGTGTTCAATGTCGTCTTTGAGGTCGTGTCGGGTTACGGCTGTGTGGGCATTTCCACCGGCGTACCTTTCAATGCCTTCAGTTTTAGCGGTGGGTGGCACTGGCCAAGCAAATTGGTCCTGTGTCTGGTCATGCTTCGGGGAAGGCATCGTGGGTTGCCTGTCGCACTGGATCGCGCTGTACGGCTGCCTGGTGAGCAGCTCCATCAAGACGAGGATGAGGACTTCCGCATTCGGCGCAGCATGACCAGGCCCCGTATCAGTGTGGATGTTTAGACGATGATGACTCCTTGGACGTGGTCATAGTCGTTTACTAACGAGTCGTCGAGTATCTATCTAAACCATATCAATGCGACGGATTGTATGCACAGGATACATCGAACATTTAGTTACAATTTATTGTTGATATTGATAAATATTTTGATAAAGCCAGAGGATTTATTCGCTTTCAGTATGCTATCTATGCCTGAATGTCGGTTCATTGGTCTCGTGAATCTTCAATCTTCTCACTCTACTCTTTTCTTTCAGAAACAGAGCCTTTTCTGTCTGGGATCCGCCGCCGCCGATGGACGGCCTTTCTTCTTCTCGGGTGCAGATTTAGTTACCCGTTTTGGTTCTGGTGTCATCGCACGGCCATGCGGTGCATTATTTGCCTCCATTTGCACAGTCTCCTTGATAGTTTGCCGAGAAAGACAGAGGTCTATATGCTCATTGAACTGCTTCTCGCTAGCTGCTTGTGGCCGAGCACATATAGGACAATCCCACCATTCTTCTGGTTCGGGACTTGAATGCTTCCTAGGGTTGGGCATAATCTCCTTGCCGTGTCTTCTGAAAGGGCTGCCGCCCTCGATCTCCGGGTCCTTATCTAGATCTTGGAGTTCAGCATAGGCGATGTTCAGGGCTTCATCGGCCTCTGGCCACCGTTCCCACTCCTCGTCTTGAAGTGGAGCGCTATCCCAGGGTTCATTCTTTTCTGATGTCCCACCTTGCTCAAGGTCGTTTGATGACGAACGATTCGGTTTCAAACCAAAGAACGCCATGGTGTCTGGCTTCTTAGTGCTAACTAGATGCGTACAGCGTAAACCCATGAGTCTGATCTTCATACCCGGCATTTCCTGCTCCAATTTTGTCAGGATCGGAAGAGCGTAATTGTAGAGATCATCCGCCAGATAGATCGCCTTAGGCGTAACAACCTGCCGGGTGTAGACTTCAAAAGAATGCATCTTGACCTTCAGGACGAGAGTGCGGCCCTTGCATTCCGCCCTGCGCATATCTTTTTCAAGCTCATCGGCCGTCCATCGCAACTTTTCTCTCAATTTCAGGGGATCAGAAATATCACCGAATGTACTCTCCGTCCCGACGCTCTTTCGTTCGTATTCTTCCGCAGGTTGCACGTTTGTCCTTCCCAGCCCCAAATAACAGCGGAGTAAAAATTCGCAGGTCTTCTCTCCAAAAAGGCGGTTGATGTATTGTCTTTCGGGGTAGATGTCACCACATGTCTTTATGCCAACCGCTGCCAACTCTCGCTCCAAGACACGTCCTACGCCGTTGACTTTGCGACACGGAAGGTCCCGCATGAAAGTCAAGATTGCCGCCCGATCATTCGGCAGCACGAACTGGCCGTTGGGTTTGTTCATGTTAGAGCAGATTTTCGCAAGCTTGGCGTTGGCCGCGATCCCCGCTGATACAGTGATATTTGTCTTCTCGTGAATCTCTCTGCGCATTTGCTCAACAGCATCAGCGGCTTCCATGTTGTGTTCGTTGCAATATTCTGTGATATTCAGGTACGCTTCGTCAATACTAGCGCTCTCAAATCGAGGGTCATACTCCGCAAGAACCTCTCTGACCTCTTGCGCCTTCGCAGTGTACTTGTCGAAGTTTAGGCGAAGCAAGACGAGCTCGGGACATAATTTTTTAGCGACAAATCCTGCCATGCCACTGCGACACCCGAACTTTCGGGCGACATAGTTGCACGTCGTCAACACACCACCACCTACAGCGACTAAATTACCAGAGTCAGCATAGAAGACAAAGTTTAGATAGATGCATGATACGCTCAACGACAACGGCATGTGAATGAAATCCTAATCAAACAGGAACGCCCAGAAGCCTCTATAGAAATTTCTTACATGGAACATCTTTCAGTTCTGGGCGGTCAAGCAACTCCACTGCAGCATAGAAAGCATCGCAGTCGATATGGACGATGTGTTGGCTCAGATCCCTGGATAGCTCGAACTGCTCAATGAGGCTGTCGGCTTGTCGAAGCTCACGAGATAGATCAGACTTCTCTAGGGCCTTCTTCTTTGCGAGGATGTTGTCAATCTTGACGGTGAGGATCTTGTCCTTCTCTTCCTCGCGATTGAAGTATTTTGAACCCTTGGAGGCATTGTAAATCACCTCGGAGACCTGGTGTTAAGTCAGAGACCAGGCGTGTGGAAAGGGGCGTTCAGAGGAATACATGCCTTCTTCTGATCGACTGAGTCTTGACCTGCTTTGGTGAGGGATGGACCGAGTAGCGAATACTTCAGCGTCGCATGGGAAGACGGCGGCGCGCGGTCTGTGGGCAGGGGCTTGGAGCTGGTTTCTTGTCCGGACGTCATCTTCGGCATGCGCTAGAACAGATTGTTGTATCTAATGTCATAATCGCGAAGTTCAAACACGTATGCATGGTCGCGCCAGCCTATCTGGCACGAGAACCGATACTCCAAAGGTGATGGATGTCTTTGCCATGGACTTGCAGTTTGCTATCGGCACATTTGAACACGCGACGTGGGGTTCAGCGACTTCGCGAAGCCACGTGATTTGGTGATTAGTCATTTAGCTACTCGTGACTCGAATGGTCGAGTGTCTAAAGATCTCACTTAACAAGGCCCTACAACCCCATTCTCAAAAACACTGTGCTATACACGTCTCATTACACGCCACTCATCGTTAGAGTCTTTCGCTATGAAACAAAATTACAAGTTATATCTGACTCATACTATCTAGGATTTGTTCCATATCTTGCAGCTCCAGCTCTCAGCAATGTCAACATCTCCGATGCCGTTGTATGTAGCCCTCTGTGGATAAGGGCACAACGGTCGCTGCCTTAACACGCCAGAACTGGGCACGGTCTGGTTGATCCATGTTGTAGCAATGAGTTGGTCAACTGGTGTTCCCTTTTCAACCCAATCCATCAGAGCCAGAAGCGCATCATGCTGCGCGTCCTCAAACCCAGGTGTCGAGTACACATCCGTTCCCAAGACGCCTTGTGAGTTGGCACCAGCGAAGTACCATGGCGCCTTCACTGGAGTGCCGGTGACATGCTGCATTCCTGGAACCAAGAAGAAGCGAAACCAGCTCTGCAATTCGTGTTGTCCCCCAAAGGCCTCTGCAACCCGGTCATAGAAGACATTGGAGCTTCTCTGCGCGATCAATGCATCTGCCATTCCATGGTACATGAGGATTTTGGAGTTTCCTTGCTTGACTGCCTTGAGGCGGTCAAAATGATCTGCTGTGCAGTTGCCCGGATCTTCTGCGTCCGCTTTCCAGACTATGTCGTCGGTGTAATCCTTCCACGTCCAGTTAGGATCGTCGAGAAGGAAATATTGAGAGTAACCGTCCCCCAAGGTGGACGGTGCGTCCCCACCCAGGAGAAACGCCCACTGTGCTTCTGAACCGACCTCGAGGCCCGGAAAGGCAAACTTGCCATCCGCATAGTAATCACCATAGATCTTCTCCACAGTCTCGAGCTGCAGACTAGACAGGCATGCAGAGGCATTCGCGCGCTCATTATCGCAATGGAGCACGCTGAGGTCGAGCTGGCAGAGGTCTGGGGCACTCACGATGCCATCAGACACGCCGTCCACAGCATCACACTGGTTGATGACTTCTGCAGCTATCACAGCAAACAGCTGTGGTGGGATGGCTTTTGGGTTAGATTTGGGAAGATTGTAGGTTGCAATCTTGGTTGTCCATGGCTGCATATGACTCGTCCACCAAGCTGGAGCACCAATGAGCAGACCATGAAAAGACTCAGGGCAATACTGTGCTTCTCTCAGCCCCTGACGACCTCCTGTCGATGCCCCAGAGTAGTACGAGTAGGCGATTTGTTTCTGGTAGAAGCTCTCTGTAAGTATCTTGCCAAGAGTCGTTGAACCATGGATAGCACGATATCCAAAGTCGGCCTTCCGACCCGGGTTGTTCAAAGCCCAGGAGACGTCGCCGGACGTCGAATTATGGCCGGTGTCAGTTGAGGCTACAGCAAACCCATACCGGATACCCGCTCCCATATCAAGCCAATTGATTCCGCCCGAGAACCCTCCGTTGCCGACTTGGAGGAATCTAGAATTCCATTCGGTAGGGAGAAATATTCCAAAACGATAGCTTGACTCTGGCGAGGTCGTCACGTTCACAACAACGGCGCACGCTTCTGGTAGATTTGTAGGGTTCCGTGGATAGGCTATGTCCGCAGCTCCTTCGCCGTACGTGCCGCCGGCAGGGACCGAAACGGCCGACAAAACGGCCGCATTCGCCGGGAGCAGATCATTGAAAGCCGTGATGGAGCAAGCCCGAGAGCATGATGCCACAGCCTGCTCAACTGTGGGGAGTAATCCACAGACGAGATTGGAGAGTCTCATGGCAGTGGGAACAGCAAACCAGTCATCGCCAACATGAGGGCAAGTTCCTATTGACATGCTACCTACCAAACCTTGCGATACGACGTTTATGTATACGGTCCACTGGTCTCCGGTTGTTATGAACTTGAATATGAGTTGGCGATCATCCTAGAAACTATAAAGTCCGCTACTATTTGTCGTAGCGGTATGTTCGGCCACAGACATCGGCAGTTCCTCACACTTTCATCAGTAGCCTGTAATGAACAAAGCTATGTTGGCGGCCTAACATCCCTCCCACTAGCACACGTATCAAACTAAGGGCAAGGAGGGCTATTCGACAATATGGTCAAGCCCCTTCATCAAGAGATCGCCACCGTTGCATTCCGTCCTCCTTAGAACGTTCATAGGCCCCAGAGGTACCTTAAGGTCCGAGAAGTCAATTGCAACCATGGGCTCCTCGGCAGCTTCATAGACGTGATGCTGTGCGGGGAGAGAGGGGTTTCAGCGCGGGGAACAGCCCTCTACTTTCTGAAGTCAAGGGGTTTGTGCTCTACTCACCAGGAGCCTACAACTAGACACCGAAGGGTAGACCGTCCAAACAAACAAATAACAACGTACACTGTTGATCTTGTGCACCGGAAATAGTCATCCCAAAATTTATAGTCGATCATGGTGATTAGGGTTCGCCAGTCATGGCTCTATCTAAGCTAGCTAAATCTCCATTGAAGGGGCAAGTAGCCAGTCGCATCGCATTATAATTAGTTACGACGCTCTCGATCAAGCAGTATTCAGACAGTAATAACAACAATGTAATTCTCCCATGTCATATGCGTTCTGAACAGCACCGACTGGAGGGAACTCTCCTTCGCGTGTTTTGCTCATACGCCCGGCCCTTTGCCTCCACGAGCCGGAGCACGTGTGCGAGTGCGTTTGGGGCCGGCACCAGCTGTGGCGTTGGTGGAATCGGCTTCGACGTCGCCTTCATCGGTCGCCTTCCGTTTACGCTTCGCCGCAGCTGGCTTCTGAGTGCCGGTCTGGCTCGCCTGAGCAGCCAATTCCGGAGCCGGAGCCTCATCGTTGACGCCTGCGACGTTTGCGCTCTGTCGCTTCGTGGTTTTGCTAGTCTTGCTAGTCTTGCTAGCCGTCGTACGGCCCAACTTTCCTCCAGGAGCAATGTTGGTTTCCAGGCCTTCGACTTCTGGGGCAGCATTCGTATTCTCAACAGCGGCTTTCTTTCCTTTCGCCCCCTTCTTGGCTGCTCCACCGCCCTTTCCGCCACGTGCCCTAGTTCCAGAAGACCTTGCCAGTTGTGCATTCGGGTCGTAATCGTCATCCTCGCCCATCTCACTAGCTGCTTTCTTTGGCTTTGTATTCGACTTCTTCGCGGTAGTACCCGCCGTTTTCGGGGCTTCCACAGGGCTGGTCTGGAGACTCGGATGAGATGCAACAGTCGTGGCTCGCGGTGCTGGAGTGGGTGTGGTCGGGCTCTGAAGATTCTATCCTGAGCCATGGATACCAACCGTTGTATTACCACTCGACTGTCCCTTCGTTTGCTTCGCTGTAGGCGTTTTCACATTCGTGCCAGTCTGATCAATGTTTTGGCCCATTTGAGAGGCAAGCTCAGAACTAGGCCTAGTAGGAATCTGCCAATCCTGGGCCAACTGTGCCGGACTGCGCGGGTTGAATTGGGACGCATGCATATTGAACATAGGACCTTGTGGGAAAGCAGGGTCCTGCTCGATCGTCGTAGCTCCGAAGCTTGGATACACCCTGGTTTGCATCTGATCTTGCACGAACTGTGCTTGATTCCGAGGGCTTGGGCGAGCTCCACGCTGACTCCAGACCGTGCCATGAACTGGGCAGGACGGAACATTGCAAGGAGATGCACCGCTGACACATGATGGTTCAAGGGTCTCTTGACGCTGACCCATATAGGCAGGACGGTGGCCCTGAGGCATCTGTACTTGAATTGCTTCGGGGATGTGGTTGGCAAAAGCTTGCAACCGAGATGGAGAAGGCATGGCAGGGTTTCTTGCAAGCACTGCTGTAAAGGGCTGCGTAGCCCCTGGCAGTCCTCGTGACGGCTGGATTCGCTGAAAGTGCTCAGATTGAATCTGTTGTTGCATCTGAGATAGTTCGTTGCCTAATTGATCAGTCACAAAACAGTTAGTCTACCAATTTGTTGCTTCTGTTAAATGGTACTAGTATACCTGCAGTAAAACCTAGCTTCTGTTTGGGGGTTCGAGAAGGAGCAGCATGCGGTGGACTAGCTTGGGCAAGCGACATCGATGCCGCTGTGACAGGATTGCCAGTTGGTATTCTGTCATCGCGGCGCACTGTCTTCTTAGCCCCTGATTGAGTCTGGCCTGGATTCAGGCGCTGGTGTCCTGTGACGGGTCCATCAGTCAACGTTCTGAGTCGAGACTGATTGGTGCTAAAACCCATGATCATCGATTGCCGACGTCCATTGTAACGAGGTAAAGTGACTGCAGGACCTAGGCGGATGGGCTGAAGGCCAGGAAATCCCTGTTTCATGCAGCTGTGCACCATGCTGGCAAGTCGGTCACTATTTCTCTCAAGGAACATCAGGTGGCCGTTGCCAAAGATCCCAGCAGACGCAAGTGTGAAGTGTCTCACTTCGACTCCCGCCTGCTCCAGAAAAAGGCAAGTTGCTCTGTCATATGTGCTATGGCAACTCGCGTGTGCTGTGAAGACCGCATGCTTCATCTTCTTGAGGTTAACGAGTTGACGAGGGAAAATTCGTATTGGCTCGTTGCCATCATCTCCTGCGCTGCTACTAGCTCCGGGGTCTTGGAGCAGGAACGATTGATGGCCTCCCTCGGCAGTCACGAGCGCTACGTTAAGAGGGTGTTCATTACTGGTGTCATCAGGATCCAGAGAAAACGACAGATCCGGGTTTGGGGGAGGATCAAATCCAAGAGGAACATCCGAGATTCCATACGGACGTGTGCCCGGGTTATATTCGACTACATCGCCGTAGATGCGTTCGCCATTCTCCTTGAGTTGACACCCAGTTCCAAATGGTGGGCCAGCCGGCTCAACAGCAACGACACCAATTACATGATCTGGCTCAAGGTCAGCGGCGAGCCAGGCGGCGGTTGCTCCGCTCCCTTCGCCTATCAATACCGACGGTCCAATCTTGAGTAGGAGCTGGACGAGAGCATCGCGAGCAAGTACTTGTCGTTCGGGTCGCGCGAAGAATAGTGGGGAGAGGCTTGCATAATAACGGTCAAATACAGGATCTCCTTTCAGACCAGTCTGTCACTGTTGTTAGTAGAAGCCGGCAAGATACTGCTGTGGAGGTCAATAAGCATGATTTCCCAGGGACACTTACACCAGGCCATTGAGAATGTTGCTCTGCAGTTGGCCAGCAACCAACAGATTTCGTGGATGGAGCTGTGAGTTCTCGCTCAACGAAATCAACGGATATACGCGAATAAGGTATGTTTCCTGCCACCTCGTGATCAAGCCATGTCGATCTACCACTCGGCGGTAGGTCAATCAGATAAACCTCATAGCCCCTATTTAGGAAATATGAGGCCCATCCTGGGTTGCCATCCGGTTTCGTTAGCCAAATCTGATAAATTTTAGCTCAGCACTTTTGCCGTCTCAAATATCTCTTCTTTTGGGAAGAGCTTACTTGACTGGTGTGAAAATCTCCATGCACTAGGACGAGCGGTGTATCGCAATGCTTGCGCAAAGGCTCAAGTTTTTCCACGTAGGTTTGGCCGAGCATGCGCATGCCCCTCTTCGTGTCATGATAAGAAAAGCCAATATACGCGCAAGTGCGCCGATAGAATGCCTCGACACCGGGTCGTTGGAGCGACACACCAGACATGAGACCTGCTTGGGAGGACGCCACGCTGCCGTTGCGCCCAGAAATTCCCTGGTGAGTAGAGGGAGCTTCGCCTCTACTAGGAGGCCGTCTGCCCAGTGAGCTTGGTGCATGCTGACTATCTTTGGACGCATTTTGTGGCACGGTATCTGCCTGTGTGGATTGAATAGCTCGAGGCTGTGCCTCGTCGTCATGGCCGTTGTCTCGCTGACGAGCTTCTGCCGTGATTGTTGCACTGTTATGCGGCGCGGCCGATGATGGAGGTATCATTTGAATACTGTTGTTGTCAATGAGTTGATTGGCATCTGAAATGCTGAACGGTTTGTGATTCGAGGCTTGGTCGTGAGATACCTCAAGGGTAGCAAGCTCTGTAGGTCGGTGAGGGTGGTCTATGGTCACATCCGTACCAGCCAAAGTTGCAGGATTGTTCAACTCTTGCCGCATGGTGTTTGAGTTGCGTGCTGCTTCGCTCTGTAAATGGTTTTCAGAGGCAGACTGATGTTCATCCACGAGGTGGTAGTCACCGATCGTCGCTCTGAGCCATTCCTGCTGTGCCTGATCGCTCTCGAACGGCTCGTTTGAGAAATCGAGACTGGCGACGGCTTGATGCGTATTGTTTAGGCTGCTATTGAAGCCACTGTTAGATGCGGTCGTCTCCTCGAAGGGACCCGTAGGTGCATTAAAAATCGGCACAGTGATTCCGGAGACATGATGCGGCCCGGGATTCTCTAGAGCTGGATCAACAGGTACGTCAGGCTCAGGGCCATGTGTTTGGATCCCACCCAGGTCGTGGCGCCCTTCGTGATCTGGTAGATCTCCGCCCGGTCCTTTTGTGTCAGACATTGTAGGCTATGTCTGTGCTCGAGCGCGACTACCTGAAATCGGCGATGATGTGGCCAGCCGGGGCGACGTTGGTAGGCAAAGGGAAGATAAAAGTGGAAGGAGCTTCCTCTCCGTTGGCGGTATGGAGGTTGGAGGCAGATGAAATCCTGGCGCCAAAGGTTTGCGAGAAGAGAAAGAGAGAGACGCGCGGTTGTTGATGAGAGAGACTGAGGCGGTGCCTTCTCAGGCAACGACAACACGGTGTCCGACGCGATGGTCCTCGTTTTGACGCGACTGTCAGCGTTGGGTTTTTCTGAGATTCTTCCCTCAGCGGCCTGTGAGCTGCCTTAAGACTCAGGAAGAAATAGATGGGATAAATATCCTTTTTCTTTTCCTCAAAAGGTGGCGCGCCCCTTAAAGCAATCTCCCGATTCACTTTACCTCCTCTAGTTTGTTTTGAGATGACGAGTCACCGTCTCAACCGGCAGTCTAGTCTACGTGTGAAGAAGGTGTTTAAACATTATCAGTATTTCCTTAATCGTGCTACTTGAATTTTCGCACGTATGAAAATCTCTGAAGCTCTAACACACATCAGACGCAGGTGACTCTTCAGCCTCCATAATGTGAATTCTCGGCAACCCCATATGTTTCCTCCCAGGGGGCAGGAGAATGTCTCCCGCCAACTTCTATCCGAAAGGGTGTCTTTATGTTGAACAACTACATCCCTACTACCACAGCTGCCTTTCCCCTGAGCCACATAACATATATAGGCTTCGAAGATGGTAATAGTATCTGAAAAGCCTTCGGCAATTTGGACTCGATTGTCGCATAACTGATGACATACTATGTTGTCGACTTCCCGAAATAATTCATTAGAGTGTTGGACTGTGTTGACAGAGGCTTGCTGGCCTTGTTCTTTGGGGTTGAGCTCTCAACTTTCTTTCCAATTTCGAGGATCTCTATGAGCTCTTCGAACTCCTTCTTTGGGACAATACCGCCACTGGCCTCTCGATGTCCCCTGGCAAAGGAATCCCCTAGTCTTTGTCGAAGGGTTGGATCCGCCGCCTTGTCAGCAACACCTTTCAAAATCTCAATTATATTGACGGGTGGTTCTCGCGCCCGCGCACTTCGCGGTATCCTACATGAAAAGTTCACCATATCAGGAAGATAGCCTTCATTCGCAACGAGAATAACCTCCAGTTTGGAAGACGATAAATGCCCTGCCCATCTTGTCGCGATCACGGGGTGAATTTGAGCCTCCGAGGCAATGCGAAAGACAGCGATCTTCCCGTCCGCCGAAAATTTCGGTGCTGTATGGGTGCATCTCTCGACTTCTGCATTTACTTCAGCCCTTGCTTCCAGCAAGCTTCGGCTCTTGAGGAGATCTGATGGTGACACCGCTGTCGTGAGCGCGTCCCAGGCTGAGCGTACGTTATATGAGGCGGTTCGCCTGGGAGCGTTGATCAGGGAAACGGCATCGTTCAAAGCTTTCTTGGTATACTTCTTGAAGGTGACCGTCATATCTGGGAATGGCGGCTCCCATTTCAGAGTATTACCCAGATCACCGTGAGTTCCCATTACACAGAGCCAGTCGGCCTCGGCCTCAACGCCGTCATGAAGCTCCCGACAAATCAGATATGTGAGAAGGGACGATGTCGCAACTGGCGGACTGTTACAGGCTGTTACGTGCGAGGCCGCTTCCGGGAAGTCAGTACTCAGTGCATGGTGGTGGTCAATTACGAGTGCTTGGTGCGGCTTCTCAACGACCGGAGGCGACTTCCTCGAGCCTTGGTCCAGCACGAATACATATGCTGGCTCATAGGTGCCCATGGCGGCTCTTTCAACAACGTCGTGGACCGTGTTTCCTTTTTGTACGAGATGACAGGAGATGAGCTCTGCATCTAGACCTAGGAGGATGAGAGTGTTGCGCAATATGGCGCCAGAGGTCAATCCATCTGCATCTTTATCTGGAACAATCAAAGTCTTTGCCTGGGCAGCAACGCTTTATCGTGACAATCGCAGTCAGTGTTTGACACAGTGAGACTGATTTCAGACAATAACACTTACCATTCGAGGATGCGCTCCCTTGCATTCTCGATTTGATCTGCCGGGGCTGGCCAAATGATCTCTCCAGATTCTGTTTTCAACGATGGCGTGAGATGGTATTCTGGGACCACGACCCGCGGTTTCTTGGCTTTTGGTGCCTTTGACGGCGATGCTGCAGCTCGCTTCATCAGGTTGAAATGGCTATATGCCATGCGATTGATTCGTATGATGTCTAGGGTATTGGGCGATCTCCTCCACCTGCTGAGATCAGGCACACATGGCAGAAGACGGGGGATTGCGCCACCACTTGATACGTTACTTGTACGTAGTGTCGTAGTGTAGATCAACCCGCAAGAAGCGTTCATCCAGCCCAGTCTGAGTTGGTATTTGATGGATAGCGGACCTGACCAGGGAGATGACAGGCTGCATCTAGAAGAGCGCTTGGGTTTAGGTAGATGATTACCTTACATACCAAGATATATGGTGACGTCAACGGCGGTACTTTCGTCAGGTGTAGATTATATCAAGGGGCACACGAGACAGATACGATACTCTAGACGCCTTCATGGGCAACCTGGTAAAATTGGGAAATCTTGCTCTCGCATGTTCAGTTGAAGGGAATTGTCTTGTCTGGGAGGACTGGTCCTGAGGCCCGGACAGATGGGCAGGCAGACAATCAGACATACATACACCTACCTAGGTATCTATGCAAGTGGTAATATGTAGCTAATGCCTACCTTAGGTACCCCGGCGCCTTAGCTTCCCTAGGTAGGTAGGACATCTGTTTAAGTTGCCGTGATCATTTCTGAAGAGCCAGTCATGTCTGCAATGGGCTGTGAACTGTGACTAAAGTCACTCAGACCCAGACAGCGTGAGCAAAGTCTACCAAGATTAGGTAGGGAGACGGATATATTGAGGGCCAGGGTGCCTACATACCTAGTAGCATGCGTGTCTAAGCTCTCCATTCGCCACCACTGACTGGTGCTAGCTGTAAGTACATGTCCATACCTAGGTGGGTCCATAGGTACGCAATTAGGCTTTATAAGTTCTATCAGCCATCGTCTACAGCAATAGCAATAGTGCGAAGACTCTTGCTTTAGCAGGTGTTCAATTTCACAGACAGATTGGACAAATTCCTGAACCAAGATGCTTAAGGACTGTCATGTACCTAGGTAGGTAGGTTATGGAGATTGAGTAGTTTAATTGTCTACCTGATGGTACCTGCGGGTGCAAGGCACGCCCTTTCTGCCCCACCAGCGAGACGTACTATGCAGTACACTAATTCATGCCTGGGAGCCAATTTATTGGGTGCAACCATTCCTGGCGTCATACAGGGACCTCTGGTACGTACTATCCCCAGCCTGCTCACCTCGGCCACCAGCACACCCTTGAACATTCAAGCAACCACATCATCCACCACGATGGCATGTCTGGGTTGATTCTCTCCAGAGACGGCTCAGCATGGGACAAGCCCAGTCCGTCGAGCCGCTGGCTCCAAGGAGTCATGAACAGCTCACAAAGGAGTTGGTAAGCTATTGCTATTCCTGTCACCGACGTTCCGTCCGTCCTTCCTGGCCTTCCGCAGATCGCCATACCATCATACCATCTGCGGCTGCCTGCCTCCAGCTAGCAACAGCCCTTCCCACGAGATTCCCTGCGAAGCTCTTACTTTCACTTTTCACTGACACGGCCGTTTTTCCATAGGCCAATAAATTCGCCGAGAAGTGTTTCACCTCTCTCGAGCTGTATTCCCTGAAGGACAACTTCAGGAGCCTTGCCGATGTCGAGCATGATGTTCGCTACCTCAAGGAGGACACCATTGCCCGCTTCCTCGAGATCCCCGACATTCTTCATGCCTCCCCGATTCTTTTCCACATGATGTCCTTCATCGGCGCCTTCCCCTTCTTCCAGGACGCCCCAGCCGTCCTCGGCCTCGAGCAGATGGTCATGGTCATCACCATTGCCACCGAACGCTACAACCGCGTTCTCGCCAATGGCGCAACAGATCGTAGGAAGCTACTCTTCAAGAGCTTGGCCGTCTATGACCGCAAACTGTCCGAGATGCACAAGAAGGAGGAACATGCAGCCGCCGCCGAGGTAAGGGCTCAGGCAGAAGGGGCCGGAGATTCGCAAGCAGCGAGATCATATGCCCCAGGGTTTGCTGTCGACCAAGCAGGCGAGGACGATGTTGACGATGGCGAGTCTGCGGATGACGAGGATGATGACTTGGTGCTGGCCGCCTTCGAGTCGCTGGACTACATTGATGCATTCAAGCAAGCAGGCGTCCAGACCATCCACGGTGCCATGATTCCCGCGGACAATTTTCGTCGTCTCATTATGCTGCTTTTGTTGATCACGCCCCTTCACCCGCAGGAACGACTGTCCCAGTACTCTGGGCGGTGCTCTGGAGCAGAGCTGGAAGGCCTGCGATGGACGGCCGAATGCATTCTCCACGCCTTTGTAGATGCTGAGAAGTCTCCCGGCATCAAGTTTAATCACTTCAATACTATATTACCCGTCTCATTTCCTTTTCTATTCGGAGGCTTCAACGCCCTATTTGAACACTTTCTGTTCTCCAAAAATCTTGACTTTTCAAAGCACAAGGATGACAAGCCTCTTGCCTCAGTGCTGCCCCCGGAGCTTGCCATCCCTTTGCTACAGGAAACAGGCTCGATCATGAACCTCAACGTACTGTCCCAATTGTCCTTCTTTATCCCCGGCTCATCGCTCTTCCGGCGCCTCCGTCTTCTATACTCAGGCGACAATGACGGCTTTTCAATGGGCAGCTTTGAGTCGAAGGTATTCAATTGGAGAGCCCCGACCATCCTGCTCGTCCGTGGGACCAGGATGACAGACGCTGCCCATGGCAGTCAGGATCGCTTCACGGCAACCCTGCCGCCCAAACGTTTTCCTGATGGGAGCAAGTCCGAACAATTGACATTTGGGATTTACGTCAGTCAGCCCTGGCGGCATACCCACAAGGAGTGCTTTGGCGATGTTGATTCCCTTCTCTTCCAGCTGGAGCCAATTCACGATGTCCTGCCCGCCAGCACCCTCAACAGGGACTACGTCTCGTTTGTCAAGCCGTCTTCGAGCAGCACGAATTCTGGCGTTGCTTTCGGCAATCCACTTCCGAAACCGAGTGCTTCCTATCGAAAGTCTGGTCTCACCTCCCTAGGAACTGTTTCCCTTCTGCTGGATTCAAGCTTTGAGTTCGGGGTGTTCACTCACGATTACACATCCCGTGGGGGAGCATTTCAAAACAGTGTGGCGCGCAAGTTCAACTTTCAGGATCGCTTCGAGATCGAGAGCCTTGAGGTATGGGGATGTGGTGGCGACGAAGAGGCAAAAATTCAGGCCGAGCGATGGGCATGGGAGGCCCGAGAAGCCGAGGCGCGACGCAGAGTCAATCTTGGCACAGGAGACATCGAGGCTGATAGGGCATTGCTTGAAATGGCGGGCATCATTGGGGGTAGCAGAAGTGGTGGATCGATGAGCTGAAGAGAGATTACGACGCACACTTCTCGCTCCCAGGAAGACTTATAGTGGGATATTTGAGAAACCTCTGCGAGGCAGTATCAAGAAGCATCGGTTCCATAGCTCACCTGGTGCGCAGAGCTGGGTGCTTAGGCGTTGGACTTTGCATGAGACTATAACATTTGAAGGATGCATAGGATAACGGCGTAGTACACGGATCCATATCATATACATATATCTATACCAGCAAGTGGAGCTCTTCCTAATGACCGACAGACTTCCTCCGGCAGAACGGCCAGTGTGTAATATACAGTGCTATTCCCTTCTCATGTTTTTGCCCTCCTTTACTCCCGACCGTCCGTTGAAATTCGCATCAAGCTGGATTTCACTTCTTTGCGGCATCTGGGTCTGGCGTTTGCCCTTCTTCTTCCTTGGGCTTTCCCCCAAACCAGCCACTGAACATGCTTGTGCCCGTCTTCTGCTCAAAGCTCACCACCTCGTTGCCAATCTGGGAGGTGCCCAGCACCTCCGTCTTTGCGTCCTTCTGTGTCCCTTCCACCTTGTCGTCTGCCTTCCTTGCAGCATCCTTGAAGCCGTCGCGAGCTGCGTTCTCGGCGGCCTTCTTCCTCCTCTTGTCCAGCTTCTCGCGCATGGCCTTGTCCTCCTCGTCACGGGCCTCGAGCTCGCGGATCCAGCGCTGGCGCTTCTCCTCGGCGGTCTGAGCCTCCTGCAGCTTCCACAGCTCGCGCTCCTTGTGGCGCTCGGCACCGAAGTACAGGCCTCCAGCGACCATGGCAGCTACGGTAAAGCCCTGGGCCAACACACGAGCGCGAAACATGCGCTGCACCTGGTTGTGGTCGCCACGGCGCATGGCACGGTAGGCATTGGTGAAGGCGGCAACAGTAAGGAGGCATCCTGAAAAACGGTAACAGACAAGTCAGCCAAGTGGGTTTACCAGAGCGCATGGAAGAACGTCAGGCGCGACATACCAAGTGGAATGAGCGGCTCTCGCTTCACTCGCCGCATCACCTTAGAGAAGCCACTCTCGTTGTAGAAATCACTAGGGTAGCAGAATCAGCACGGGTGCTCGTAGGACTGGCAGCGTTAATTACAGCGGCGAGATTTCGAACAACATACTCATTGTCATCGAAGGATGACGGCAGTGGACGATCGGACAGCGGCCCGGACATTGTTGGTCGTGTGCTTCCGGAGCAGCCCCTCAAGTCGTCTACCGTGTGGTCAGCGTGGTTGATCGATATATGCCCGGAGACGTGTCGCCTGTTGTGTGCAGGTGCGCTATTGAGCAATTGCCGTCGAGTTAAAGCCCCTTTTTAGTGATGATTACCGTCTCCGCGATGCTGTTGCGTCGTCTTGTGTGCACTGTCTCTTACGATGACTTCAGCGCAACTTGTCCATGATGCATGCATGTAAATCGGGCCACTCAAGACAAGGTTTTCGGGCCGTCCGGCAGGCAAAAAGTCGACCGACCGGGGGTGGGTCCAGCACACCGCCCTGGAAGGTGCCTCGAGGGTGCCTTCCCAAGCCCCAAAGGAGGTACCTGGAACCCCGCAATTCAGCGCATTGGAGCAGCCCACCTGGGCTGGGTAGGGGGTCACCCACCCAGGTACGTTAGGCGGGCCACTCAATTCGACGGGTGAGTAACTGCAGGTGAGTGAGTGACTCAACCCCACCAGATTTTTTCCTTATCCGCTGTCCTCGGCCACATCAATTCCTCCCCCAAGAACAAGAAACCACAACGCACGAGGGCACCACCAGCTACAAAACAACATGGCGACGTCTGCCCCTGCAGGCCAGCAGCCGACTGAGCCCCCGATAGTCGCCAATCGCCTGCCCAACGGCGTCAATGGCTCATCATCATCCTCTTCCTCCTCCTCCGCCAACATCAACATCAACATCAACGGCCACCGCCCACACACTCCGAGCCTGAGCGGTCTGTCCTTGACCGAATACAGCGCCAATCCCTCGCCTCCGTCCGAAGACAAGCGCATCCGCATCAAGAAGACGGTTCCCGACGAGTTCCTTCTGCCCACTGGCTATCCCGATGTATGCATATGTATCCTTTGCTCGCTATGTTATGCCATGCTGAGCTTGCTGGTCTTGCCATGGGCATGCCATGTCAATGCCATTTGCTAATCTTACTTTTACAGTACCTCCGCCTCATCCTGACCTCGCGGGTCTACGAAGTCTGCAAGGAAACCTCGTTAAATCAGGCCGTCAATCTCAGCAACCGCCTCGAGTGCAATGTCCTCCTCAAGCGTGAGGATGAGCAGCCCGTCTTCAGCTTCAAGCTGCGCGGCGCCTACAACAAGATGGCCCATCTCGACCAGGCCCAGTCGTGGAAGGGCGTCGTCTGCTGCAGCGCCGGCAACCATGCCCAAGGTGTTGCCTACTCCGCCCGCAAGCTCAAAATCCCCGCCACCATCGTCATGCCCGAGGGCACCCCGAGCATCAAGCATCTGAACGTCTCGCGCATGGGCGGCCATGTCGTCCTCCACGGTCCCGATTTCGACGCTGCCAAGGAAGAGTGCGCCAGGCGAGAGCAGCACGATGGTCTCATCAACATCCCCCCCTTTGACGATCCCTATGTCATCGCTGGCCAGGGCACCATTGGTATGGAGCTGCTGCGCCAGACTAACATCCAGAAGCTCGACGCAATATTCTGCTGTGTGGGGGGCGGCGGCCTGATCGCCGGCATAGGGGTGTACGTGAAGCGCATTGCGCCGCACGTCAAGATTATCGGCGTAGAGACATATGATGCCAATGCCATGGTACAATCACTCGCCAAGGGAGAGCGAGTGGTGCTGAAGGAAGTCGGCTTGTTTGCAGATGGGGCCGCCGTAAAGACGGTCGGTGAGGAGACATTCCGCATATGTCAGGAGGTGGTTGATGAGGTCATCCAAGTGACCACCGACGAGGCCTGCGCTGCCATCAAGGATATATTCGAAGATACTCGCTCCATCGTCGAGCCTGCTGGAGCTCTGGCTGTTGCTGGGCTGAAGAAATGGGTCACCACTCACCCGTCGAGCGACCCGCGGAGGACCTTGGTGGCTATCACCAGCGGTGCAAACATGAACTTTGACCGGCTACGCTTCGTTGCAGAGCGCGCCGAGGTGGGTGCGGGCAAGGAAGTCCTCCTAGCAGCCCACATCCCAGAACGCCCCGGCTCCTTTGCTGAGCTTATCAATGCGATCATGCCGCACTCCGTCACAGAGTTCAGTTATCGCTATGCAAACAACACCGGGGCCAATGTGCTCCTAGGTCTCAGCCTCACGGCACCCGCCTCTCAGCGCTCACATGAGCTGCAGGGCTTGCTGCATCGCATCGAGTCACTCTCGAGTGAGGAAGGTGGCCGATTCTCCGTCACCGACCTTTCAGGCGACGAGCTTGCCAAGAGTCACATTCGCTACCTTGTGGGCGGTATCTCAAATGTGCCCAACGAGAGGGTGTACATGTTCAACTTCCCCGAAAGGCCCGGCGCACTAGACAAGTTCCTTGCGACTCTGCGGCCAAAATATAACATTAGTCTTTTCCAGTACCGCAATGCTGGCGGAGATATCGCCAAGATCCTAGCCGGTATCCTTTGTCCAGACAACGAAGTTGAGGATCTCGAGAAGTACCTAAAGGAGATCGGCTACCCCTGGGTTGACTGCACGCAATCAGAGGTTTTCAGAACTTTCTTGAGAAACTAGTGGATTGGCGTCCTTGTGCGGCTTGAGAAGTTACTGGCGTTTTCCATGTGGATTTATTTCTTTGAGGGCCCATTATTCTACACCCTGTTGGTGTGGTGAAGCCATGCTTGAACAAAACAAAACTAACTTAGAAGAAGATACCTTAACATTAGACTGGGGTTGGGAATCCATAAAAGCCTCTGGAAGCTGCAAAATTTCTAAATCCTTCTGGTTCCTGTTACATTCCTCTTGCCTCGTATACCCGGAACTCCACCGTCTTGCTTATTCCGCCCATATCCCTTTCACGCACATCAGATCCGTTAGACGACCGATCAGCCTCCGACACGGTTGTCTGCTGGTTTCCTTGGCCTTCGATGATGAACTCCTGTGAGCTCCTCCTCGTCTCCGTTCTCCGCTCTGCGGTGATGCGGACGTGGTTAGAGCTCGTAGGCAACGGGAACATAGGAAAGTCGCCCTCGATGTCCTGCGGCCGCACACGCGAACCAGGCGTGTTGTGGGACGATGACTTCATCCCATTGCTATGGTACGAACCGCTACGGCCATCGGTTGCAAAGGCCAGACGTGATGCCAGGATGTCGATGCTGGTTCGTCGATACATTAGCACTTGTTTTGGCTTCAGAGATCTTCGAGGACATGAGATGGATAACTTACAACATCATGACCGGAAACATACATTCTAGTGTATAAGCGAAGCGATCAAGTTGACTTGCAACCGTTGTCGCACTTTGAGCCGTGTCCTGGAAAGAGTACGTGACCGCGCGTGTGACACCAATGACCGCTAGCAATGCCAGACGAATTTCGGTGCTCCTCATGAGATAACTGAAGAGACCGACCTTCAAGGCGGCCTTCATGGAGATCTTTCGCGCCGAGTTGAACTTGTGCAGAAGGAAGAATGAACTGAGGCACTCCACGGCAGCAATGGATGCGAAGTAGCCCACATGAAGGTGGTCAATGAGGGTTTGAAAAGTTTCGGTCTCAGTCATTATGTCCCGGATACGCGTAGCAAGTATGGCCATGCGAAGGCCGAAGATGGTCACCATCAATAGCCAGAACAAAGCCATGAAAATGGTGCGGGCACGATTTCGGAGAACGCGTCTCAGTATCACGTAGCTGTAAAAAGAAAGCCCGGCTTCTTGAATCTACTCGAGGACAACTGTCAGTAAGGCTGGACTGATGAGAGCTGTTACAGCAGGGGCTGTCGGTACCATCCAGGTGATATCAGCGAACCCAGAGGCCACTGCCGTGCTGATAATCGGGTAATCTGCGTAATAAGCATAGTAGCACATGCCATTCGCAATGGCTCCAGCGGCAGACGTGATGATAGGGACGAGGGATATCGGGGAGAATCCTGAAATGCCAACCACGATCAGGCCAAACATAATATTAGACAGCCCGATCGTGCTAAGGATGGCCCAGCTCAGCTCAAAGTATTCAGGCACCGCTGCCGAGGTGGACGACGCCGACCCGTCCATGATGACTGGCTACAACGATGAAGTCTGACGAGTGGTTCCATTGTCACAACATCATGAGCAGTCTCGAGGGCAGCACTTCTTTTAAGTGTTCCCGACCACCAAGTGCCTATGCAGCCTGCCCCGGATTCCGCCTCTCCGTCTATCGGGAATTGAGTTATCGAGCAGAGTGGAGCGGTCATGGCCCCCCTTCACATCCCCATACTCTCCACGGCCCCAACTAATACTGACAACGGCACCTGCAAGCGAACTGACACGTTCTAGACATGCTCAGGCATGATACGACTCCTGGGAGACGACACTGCCGCGGTCCTGATGAGTCCTCGACTTGCTGCCGCTAACACGAATAGTGTCGCAGCTACGCAGCTAGAAGGTCAGCGCCGTTGCATGACTCAACCTGCCCCAAGCCAATTGCTGTTCTCTGAAGAGGCACCAGCGCCTCAGCACGGACTATCAGCTACTCCGTTCTTCAGCGATGGTGCGGAATTGTGGCTGGCGTGGGGCAACGTCGCTGGTTTAGCTGAATTGACGTACAGGGAACACCATGTCTGGACATGGAACCGAGCTCATGAACAAACAAGACTTGGAGATTTGACCCAGCGCCTGCCCCTGACACTAGAAGAAGCCCAACAGCTTCTCCCTTCATGCTCGACATCCATAACATTGATCGTATAGCCCAGGCGTTAAAAGTACCGGCCTTGACAGGTCTGGATCGCATGCCTTATCAGTCGCATCGAGATGAGGGCCAGCTTCTCCGCTTCGGAGCCAAACCAATCACTGCAAATGGCAATTAGAAAACCCAAACCTGCAGACTGTTTCGGCAGCCAGGAGCCGTGTTTCCAGGAATCTGTCGTCGACGAGTTGTGCCCGCCAGTCCTAGAGTGGCGCGATGGGCTTGAATACCAAACCCAAAAATGTCTTCTCCCCGATGTGGCGGCGTTGCACAGATGAGACTACGAAAGCCACAGCGGAGTTTGAGGATGTTTTCGAGTCTAGACTCGTTCTTCGTACTTCTGGCGTTCACAGTCCTCCAGGCAGCTCCGCACAATTGACATCTCTCGTGAACCACAACATCTTTGAACTCGGTGCTCGAGGCTGTCACTGCTGAGTCTCACTGCTGAGTCTTTTTGTATATCGATGGACAGTAGAGATGATGGGCCTGCAGAGTACGATGACGAGGGGTACAGGCGGCATGGAGGTACTGCTCGCCACGGAATATTACAGCAGCGGTCTTATCCTTCCTCCAGTACTCCAGAAAGTTCTCATCCCAAAATGCCTAGGCTATCCATATCGGGGGCGCCTTGTCCTAGTCGCGCATAATGCTATACATCTACGAGTCCGTGCTGGCCCCTAGTCACACGTGTCTGGCTAACCATCCCCTCGGGTGCTGGTCCGGGATTTTGAAGCCGCGCCATGCTTTGACCCCAAATTTGTCTTGGGGATCCCCACCAGTTTGTCATAGGGTCAGGATTGTGGGGGCCGATACGGAGGTGACGAGACTTCATGTTTATCATGTCAGGGATGCCATGGCCTGCCCCGATTTCAAGACACATACTTCACGCAATGTGGCTGAAAACTCATGCAGGTAATCTCCAAGGAGCGTAACTAGTGGTGCTTTGTCCTACCCACTATTGTTGTCCATCTGACGGCCACTTGCCTCGGCGTTTAGCTTGATATTTCAAGTCCCCAATACATGCCACTTACCTGCGCTGCTGGCAGGTGCTCTCCTGTCGAGGACCTAGCTAGTATCTAGGGGACATCGTCGCCTGTTCCAATCTCACAAGAAAGAATAGCACATCCTGAAATCGAGGCTTAAGTGACCACATTCATGTTCATGTCGTTGCCTGTAGTTGTTTCAAATGGGAACACTTTATACCCAGATGAACTAATGCCATTCCTCGGGTTTTCATTGTGAATACCAAATTTGTTCTGGCAGGAGGTACGACCAGCAGCCAGGGCGACCGAGAAATGCAGAAAATAGCCAATTTTAACATCCCAGGTTAACGTGTTTCTTGGCGATCTGGACCTGCCGTAGCCAACGAAGCAATCCTTGCTAGGCGCAGTTGCCACGTGTAGTGCAAGAAGATGAGGGATCCTTCGTTCTGAACGATCAAACTGAGCAAATGACTTAAACTCGCCAGTCCAGGCTTTCACCTTGTATTAGCCCGAACCGTTGATGTCGAGGAACCCCTTACAAGCTCCTATGTCATTACCTCAAACTACGCGGTGCGTAATCCTTCGGTTCTACATCTTGTTTTGCTCTCACAACTTGACCAACTTGGCGAAGCCGGTGGTGGCTGATACTAGGCATGGCTGCCATTTTACTGCCGCCACTCATCAGCCGTTGCTTTGATCATTATACAGGACCAACATTCTTGTTGCCAGATGCGTCAATAATTCAAACGGTCAGTGCAGCGATTATACAAATTGGTCTGATTATCTCACCTCAGAAAGTCTCCGACAACTATTGATCAGGTATGTATGTAACGTGTAATGATGAGTTAGCGGTCCAGGCCTTTACCCCTGACAGACTAAATGATGGTATCCGGAACCTGAGGGTCCCGTTATCCTTACGATAACATAGCTTTCATTGACATTATGCTACTCCCTGGCCAGCTAACAGGTCACAAGCCTTTAGTGGCTGCGGAAATGGTTTCAAATCTTCGGACTCCAAGTTTCAATGCAAGTTATGGGCGTAATGTGAGCCTGTAGGAAGTGAAACTAGGGAGAGGTATCTCGATCACAAAGAGAAGCCACTTATGTACAGGCAAACTATCTCTTCAGTGACCAAGCTTCTTCTCTAATAGTCAGGATTGAGCTACTGTATCTTTTAAAGGAGTCCAAAAGTCCAGGAGCTGTGCCACGAGTAGGTTTCGCCTGGACCAGTGATCTGCGCGTCGACGTGGCCCCATTCCGGGCTGTTGTTACAATAATTAGCCTTCCGCCAGTAGAGGCACAATTGATGTCAAAACAAGGCCGATATAGAGTTCCTTACTGGTTGATACCATCTACCCAATCTTGAGCCTCGATGGCCACTGCCGAGCTCTTTCCCGCTGTTTTTCGCTCGCTATTCCCCTGCGTGCTTTTAAGTGCTGCTGTGCCGTCCATCCAGTTGCAGGAATACACCTGCACCCCAGCTTGATCGGTCCGGAGGTCGACCTTGATACCGTTCCAGGGGCTGGCAAGTGTGACGACCACGGCGTCCTTGGGAGCATCTTCAATCAACCAATAGCCGTTGTAGCCTTCGCAAGCTCCTCCTGCGCCGCAGTTTCCTGCGAATTTAGGGTCGTCTCTAGCGTGCCCAAGGGGCATACTTGGCTTGCTTGCAAAGTCGTTCACGCTGTCCGGCGCGGCCGTCAGAATCTCCCCGGTGGGTACTGCACCGTCATCAATAGCCAGATATCTCTTAGAGAAAGGCATGTATAGAGTATGGTTCCAAACTTTGTCAGTTTCTGGATTTCTGTAAGCCTCCAGGTTAAAATAGGTGTGCTGGGTCAACATGAGCGCTGTGGGAGGTCAGTCATGTGATATTTTCGAATTCAGTCCTTTTAAAAACCCACGGGTCTTGGCTTCTGGAGCAATTGCTTCCATCTTGATTGACCAGGTGCTTCCAGATACGCTATATGTGACGCTGGCGTTCACCAGCCCAGGCATGCCCTTCTCTGAGTCTGCTGGATCCGAAATGGAGAAAGTGATGGAGTCATTGGAGAGGGCTGTAACGTTCCAAAATCGATATGACCAGTTGTTAGTACCACTGTGTAGCGTATTGTTGCCGTCATTCGTCTCTGTCTTGTATGTTTTGCCATCAAGTTTGTATGTGGCGTTGCCAATTCGGTTCACATATCGACCAGGAATGGCATTATACACTGGGTGTCCAGGATCCTTTGCTAATTTATCTGTTAGAATTGCCCATATCACGTAGTGTCGACAGAGTAGAGTGGCATTACGGTAATAAGTGACGTCGTCGTAGCCGAGTACAACATCCACGTCTTTGCCATCCTTGTCCTTGACGAAGAGGTTGGTCAGTGTCGCGCCGTAAGGGATAAACTGGGCGATAATTAGTGTCCCGAATGATAACCATCAACTCTCACATGTATACCTGCGCCTTAATACCAGGTGCTGATATGGTATATCGTCCATCTTCAGAGGGCGAAGGTACAGGCTGACTCATGGTGAGGGCGAGTTCCGCCAACACTACAAAAATCAAGTTAGACGACCACATTTTCAGAACAATAGGCCTTGACCTTACTACTCACATGGCTGGTTATTGCAGGCTCCAGGGGTTTTAATACTCTGGCAGCGTACCTGCAGCGTCGGAATTGACAAGAGTCAATGCTCAACTCAATCAACACGGAGATTGAGGTTCCCGCTTCGAGAGGCCAAAATTAGGAGAAATAGCCTCCATTGCAAGTGGACCACTTAGAGACTCGTTGCATGATTGGGGTAAGCCCTGCGAAACGCGGGGTACCTATTCCTACCGTAACTCTGTAAGAATGTCCTGATTGTATGTTATTAGCCTGAGTTCGCCTCGTGGCCCCGGACTATGTCAGCTCTTAATTGTGAATAAGAGCCGGAACGGTTGAAACTCAAAAGACGTGCAGCACAGAACAAGTCACCGGCGCGGCTGGGTGGAATAATGTCTCGAGTGTCTGAGCCCGGGGGCTTATATGTAATTGAACACACTCAGATATAGATATCCATCATTGGATGTGCCGTTCTTTGAGTCAATTGCTTAGCAAATGGATTACCCTGTTCATATTTGATTAATCGCAACGAAGACCCTCTTAGACGGCCACGACCCTCTTAACACCGATGTCAGTGAATTTCAAGGACTTGATTTTCGATTTTAGGAAGATTCAAGAGACTAGCATGTAAAGTGTGGTCATTGTATGACGTTCCGAGACTGAACAAATTGGAGTATTGTCTTTACCTGACTATAAGTAATACCTTCAAAGAGCGAGTTGAAAAACGAGCACAGCCTCCAATAATATCACCGCCACACTGACACCTCAAGCTTCTGGGAATACCTGTAGAATGGCTAGAGTTATCTACTGGTTCGAGATTAGCATGACAATCACCAAAATTGATGGCATAACCTTCGAAGATAACAACGAGACCTGGAATACTATACGCTGCATCAAATTTGGTCTATTTAAATACCACGCCATGCTGTGAATCGCGAACCTTCAACTACAGAAGGCCCGTCATCACGCTGATAGACTCTGCCTGATTTGATAGTCTGAAGCTGGGGGGAACCATCATATCTACATAAGGGTAAGTTGAGTGGTTTACTTAATCAGGATAGTACCCGCATTGCTGCATTTCCAACCTGTAAGCGTCAATGGGGGCAGCGAATGATTGTCATAGATTCGAAATGAGTTGAGTTGAGGCACATCGATACTATTGAAAGTTGGTTAAGCGGGAAATGGGTTTAATCAGGAGGTCGCCTTGCCTAACAAGGTCATTTGAAAGCGGAGCTAGTAGATATGGTCACATGACTAGACGCCTGATGGTCCTGAAATCTTCCGACCATCGCTATGGATCTTGTTCCTTCAGCTAAAGGATCAACGAGCAGTGTACAGCTTCAGGCAAACCCGATTTCGACTGCTTCGGCCAGGCATCGTCGTCAATCGAAAACGTAGCAATGGTGGCCGTCGCTCTGGCTGCCCGATCCGGGGCCAGCTCATCAGCGTTTCTCGCGTCCTTCCGATCACTGTCAATTGCAGCAGCCCTGCAGCCGTCGACCGCGACGTCTGGGGCGAAGATGGCACGATCCAAGCTGCCTATGCAGCAAGCACGCCAATGTGCCAGCAAAGCCTCGCAAATGTCTGCATCGAGGCTTTTCTATCCCAGTCCGTACAGTGACGCCACACGGACATTGCAGGCACGGTCAATTTGGCGGCCAACAGTCTCTGCTGTCCTGCCGCAGCAGCAAACGAGGGGCATGAAGGTTCACAGCTCGGTCAAGAAGCGATGCGAGCATTGCAAGGTAAGGAAGCGTCTTCTCAGAGCACAAGGATTTGAGCAGAGGCAGACTCGGCTCCGGTTCATATCCTCTTGCCGCACATGGTCTATGGCGGAGTATGGCTAACAATCACGTCCTGAACAGGTTGTCCGGCGGAAACGAAGTAAACGCCATAAAGGCTACCTCTACATTGTGTGTAGCTCGAATCCCAGGCACAAGCAACGGCAAGGATCATAGACGTGGAAGCCGTTTGGTGTGAAAAGGAAACGACAAAGAAAAGAGTGTACAATATATACTGTGTGGATGAAGCGTGGTTGGGCCCCATCGCAGGCCCGGAAGAATACGGTGATGTGGCTTGTACAAATATAGACCGGTGAGAAGGCGTCATAAGCATGGGATGATTGCTCGACCACATAGACTCATAAGGAGCAGCTCAGATGCTGCTCCGTACATGGGCTCCTTTCTACAGACCATCAATATACCTCTCCATACCCTCCCACTCCGTCTTCCCTGTGGATAGAAGATATCGAATGTGACCCTACAGCATCTATTGTCAGCAGGGCAGGGCGGCCCAGGCATGGAACGGCCAGTCGACGTCTCAGCTGGATGATCGCAGAACATACTATATCTGTCACGCCACGATGCCTCTCGAACTCCTGTCTCGCGAAGCGTCTTGTCTCTTCTCGAGTCGTCGGGTCGTCAATGCGCCGGGTTCCCCTCAAGATCGTCCTATAGAGGGAAAGAGCTCGAGAACGCTGGAGGAACTGCGGTGGCACCAGTCTCAGTATCCAGGCTCACAAATATCAGGAGTGGGTCGGGCACCGAACGTCCAACATCGAACGTCGAACATCGAACGTCCTTTTCTTGTCTGCATGTCCAGTAAGAAGGGGGCAAACGTACGTGATCCAGGCTCAAAACACCCCCGAGTCGCGAGTGGGAGGCACTCGATACGTAGCTTCTTAGCCAGCGCCTCAGGTGCAGCAGGCGTGGCGGCATGGACAGCAATTGCGTCACTGGATTAGGTAGATGGCTGTAGGCTATGCATTCAAGCTGGGAAGCTATCACCACAGCTTTCCCACCATTTGGTTCATGATTGTGCGTCTCCTTCGCGATCGTTGGTTGGCCAAGATGGTCGGAAGAGAGGTTTGTGAATAAATACAGCTACCCAGCTACCTAGGTATGTCAGAAAACTTTGGAGGAGCGCAATTCCCGATTTGCCGCGCCTGCCCGCCCGCCCGCCTAAGTAACGATACCACAACCCGGACTTAGCGAAGCTCAGGTACTACACAATACCTACTACAGCACTAAAGACGCGCTGAGGAGTGTGTTCGCATTAGCGGCCCACCATTCTGCCCAGATACCAGCCAACCTACGCATACCTAGCACGCCCGGATCGAACTACCTCTTCCAGATATACGGTATACCTTGGGCAACATTTTGCGCGCTTGTTGACTTTTTTCGATTGATGAACGCTGCCCAGGCATCAAGAGTAATGTGAAAAGGCTCCTCACGGTGGGCAGGACCATCAGGTGGCCATGGGGCTCAAGAAGAGGCGGCGGGCGCCAACAAACCCCCTGGAGAAAGCAAATCAGAAGTCGGATGACCAGTTCATCTCGGACCACCTCAAAAGGTACGCCCGCTCTCACGCATTTTTGGTGTTCATATCGCTCTGCGTACAATGCATATGCCTAAAAATGCAGCGAATTGGAATGATCGCTCACGCGTTTCGACAGCTCATCAGATTGGCCCTCGTGGAGCACCACCTGGATTCACCCAAAAACACAGGCAGTCTACCACCTCAGTCTCTCTCGCTCCAAAACGACAAGTGAGGATGATCTCTCCGCTTGTTTCAACCTGGTTGAGGAGACCAGCCGCAATGACTATGAGAACTCGTCCATGAAGTGGCAGCCTGACAATAAGGCCAAGGAGATGAGGTCAGAAGATCTCCGATACATCCTTGTCAAGGACGCCGCCGCGTCAGTCCGCGGCTTCATCTCACTGATGCCGACCTTCGAGGCCGGCCAGCCCGTGGTGTACTGCTACGAGATCCACCTGAAGCCCGAGCTTAGGGGGACCGGCATGGCCGCACTGTTGATGGGCTTCCTCTGCACGGTCGCCGAAAGTCTCCCGCCCATCAACAAGGTCATGTTGACATGCTTCCTATCTAACAAGAAAGCCCTGGCCTTCTACCGCAAGGCCGGCTTTGTGACGGATGAGATATCGCCAAGGGAACGGAAGTTGCGGTTTGGCAAAATCTTCGTGCCGGACTACGTGATCATGAGCAAGCTCATCACCCACCAGGCTCAGCAACAAGGGTCACTAGAGGGGCCCAACCCTTCGAGCAATTAGCAGCAAGGCGCTGCCATCACTTAAATGTGTAACAAGGTCGCTAAACTAGACAGTTTACTGTATTCTTGATGGTTCTTGTTGAGGACATTTATTATAGTGTAGGTTGTGAAGTGAGGCTTGATTCTTGAAGTACTGTTTTATATTCGAAGGTGAAGTAATATTGCTATCGTTTCTACGAGAATGTTAATTATAGAATTATTCCCAAAGATGAAGAGTGAAAATATATTTCTGCAATGCCACTTCTCATCGAGTTGTCATCAATAGCGGCAGATTGTTAGGACCAATTCAATGTCCATCCTTTTCTTTCGAGGACAATTTCCCACGAAAACAGGCCCCCATACATTTGCGTCACCACTTCGTCGGCTACCTGATCTCTGGATAAATCCCTCAACTTCCATGCACCCTCGATTACATGAGTAAGTGGCACTACTGTAGCAATCGAGTCAGGCATGTCTTCAAGTAAATCATACAAGGTCTGTAGCACCAAGGCTCGATCTTCGTCCCCGTCAACGTGGCTTGCCGCAACCAAGTACGGCCACATACATGTTGAGTGGCCGACCTGTCCTTTCGACGGGATCTTGAGCTCCGTCCCCATGATGGACAGAATCCGAGCAATGTTTGTCCTGAGGCGGTGTGTTTTCTGTGGCGAATCTTCTGCAAGATATTCAAGAAGAATTAGAGCCGCTTGGCGAAAAGCTTCTGATGTCTTCCTAATTCGTTGGACTGTAGCCTCGGACTCAAGGGGCCGTTTACTGATTGCAACCTCAGCTGGGGTAATTTGAACAAGGCCTTCGATCCTCGAACGAAAATAATTCTCCAAAGATATGGGTCTCTCGTCGAAGGACACCACCTGGTAGCAGTCTGGCCATTGGGCATTCCGAATGCACGCAACAATGTTCAAAATGAGCTCTATCAACTCGTTGGAACAACGAGTAAAGCAGTTGATTTCCCAACTAGGCCGGCAACTTTTGTCCAGCCAATACAGCGCTCCCATTCTGAGTGACTTTTCTGTGTCGAGCGAGCTTAGAGTTGTGTATGAAAGAATACTGCTGGCGGATAGGTAATGTCCCAGGAAGGATGATATTGACTTGTCATGTGCTGTAAATGTGTCGCTATTGTATTGAGGACAGCTGAGAACTCTCTGCGCTCCGGTAAGGTGTGCCACCAAAGACCGCTTTGACATATCGTTTGAGCAAAAGTCGCTACTAGACGCTTCAAACAAGCAAAGCATAAGAATTACGCTGAGTATCTCTGTTTTAGTTATGCGCATTTCGCACGGCGTATCTGTCAGGGCTCGGCCAAGGACTTCAGCAAGAGATCTCAGGCAAGCGCCACGATACTGCAGCGCGGAAGTGGTGTATGAAGGCTGATGATGTCTAAGACGATTGGCTGCCACTGCCAGCACTGATTTCAAGACTAGGGGAGAGTAAAAACTGATTGGAATAATTACTTCACGGTAACGGTTACTATGCCCGTCAACCAAGGCACATGTTTTGCACATCCTTGTCGCGTCTATTCTCTCGAGTTAGCAATCTTGTTGAAGGCCAGTCGAGGCCAAAGGCATGATGATGTTGAACGACATACAGAAGCTGAAGAGATATGTCTCTTCAGAAGTCATCTGGAGCGGCTGAAAGCGATACGAATCAAGTATAGTGACATCATCGAAGAAGCCCAATTCCTTGCATGTCCGCTTGTTGTGAACCTCGTGCGCCGCTTCTGAGCTGAGGCGGTATTCCTCCCCTGACGAAATTTCTTGTCCACGATCTCTATTGGACTTTAGAAAAGTTTCTAGATCATCCCAAGTAGTGTTCAAAAATAATGCGTTTTGGAGATATCTGAAGGGTTTCGTCGAAAAGTGGCTTCTTAAGCAGCATATCCCAGTACTGTCCACTCCAGATGTCGAGCCACTCGAAGTTTTCGAATCCGCCTGCTTGATGTGAAATTTTCTCCCACGACCACTTTGGCGTGATACCACACCAACAGGTTCAAGCCATGAGAGCTCCATGCCGTAAATACAAGTTTTCCCACCTTCTACGCATCGGCGACAGGTAGGACGCATCTCTAGAGCGGTGTCAGTGACATCTTTGAACTTTACATGTTTGCGCAAGCCTTACCGTCACATTTGACTTTGCGCTTTCTGCAACACAAACAACCAGATCGACATCTCGGGGTCTTGAGCCTCCCGTAGAACGGGATTTTGGATTTTGCTGCAGGCATACTGATGCGGAGCTCGGAGGCCATGGAAACGGATTGTTGTCACGCCTCCTGCATTTCATGAGCCCATAATCCAACTGCGAGGCTTCTTATCATGGGCTGGCGAGAGTTGCTCGTAGTAAAGCAAATATGCATACCTCAGACTAGTTGAATCATCGGAGCCGTTAGGTGTCGATGTGTCACTGGTATCTTTCTTCGTTGTGCAGAAGATTTGGAGGGGGCTTATCAGTCTTACCTAAGTGACTGGGTATCTAGGTAGATAACAGGCTTCTGTCGTCCACTATCTACCTAGACTAGTTCGCCGATGGCCAGGGGTTTAGAGCATCTCGTTGGAATTCCCGAAATCCGCAATTTTAGCATACCGGTAGCCCCTTGACCGAATATTGCTACAATAAACACAATACATATATTTGATCAGATTTGGCTCAGATCACTCTGTCCAATACATCTTAAGATACACAATGAGGATAATAACATTGTATCTCCTCACAGGAACCAATTTAACAGAGTAAAATGTTCTCGTATATATGGAGAGATAGACATTGACTGGCCCTGAGAGTAGTAGCATTAAAAGAACTCCGCTGTGACTTTTGTGGAATGACCAGTCTCCGCTACTTTTCGGTTGCGTCCATTCTGACTATTAGACATCAGAGTGAGTACGATCTGGTCATACTGGATTATGATCATAAAGTCTTTGCTGCGGGATAAGAACGAAAATTTTAAGTGTTACTCAGAAAGAACTATTGCGTTTTGTCCAGATAAAGCGAGCCACCCCAACATCAGTTTCATAAATGTATTTTTTATGTCAGCATACAGCCCATCCCCAAATTTTCGTGGCGCATATTGCGAGCCTATGGATTTCAGAGCAAGTGGTTTAAAATCGGCTTCGTGTTGGATGACCACCTCCGACAATGGGAAGAACACCGAATTTCGGGAGGGGAAACGTTTCACGGCAAAATTCAAGCTTGTACACATCATGCCATTACGGTTCAGATGATTTTTGGTATTGTTTATTATCCATTTTAATCGAATATTGATTAATCATGCAGACATCAGAATCTTTAACTCAATTAGAGGCATATATGACTTTTGGCAACAGTGACTTGAGAGCATGTTAAACGAGCTACTATTTGTAGGCTGTGTTGCTAGTTATCCTCGTAAGAAGGGAGGTATGACCTTTCATCAACGGTCTTAGGCCGCGTTTATTACCGTTTATTGGTGTTCGGAGATAAGTTGCTCATCGTGGCGTCCCGCTGCTACTCCTGCTGTCTTTTTCGGCTGATCAAGTCGCATATCTGAAGAGTGGGCTTGCATCACCTAATTCAGCCAATTCTTCTTCTGTGTACTTTGCCAGTACTTCCTCTCTCGAAGTCAAGGCACGAGCGGCGTTAATCCTTTTGAGGATGATCCAGTAAACAAGAGGCCAAAAGATTCCAAAAGCAACTAGCATTCCCAAGCAAATACCGAAGCCTACTGGGTATGTGGGAGCTTGGTTTGAGAGGAAAATGTTTGAGCCGACAATCTGTCATTGAGAAGACTGAATGAGCACTGATCATAAAAGCGGGAAGTCAAGCATTTAAAAGTGAAGTAAACTTACACCTCCAAGCTGGGAGAATGACAACATAAGCGCCATTCCTACCGCTCGTTTCATGGACCCTGCACAGTTGAGTGCAGTCCAGGCCATCACGGCTGGTGAGATACAGTAGAGACCGCCTGCCATGAGAAATATTCCGAAATAGGTAACGCCAGGAATTTGCGGGTATCTGACGCTGGCTATAATAATGATGAAACCAATGGCGGCAGTGATATTCGGCAACACAACGGACAACATCCGCTGTCGATATCTATCAGCTAGAAATCCGGAAGCAAGCGTCATCATGCATGCAAAAACATAAGGCGGTGCGGTCATCGCCTGCGCCTTGACAGCTGAATACCCTAGGTGATTGACGATGGTAGGTAACACAAACGAGATGCCGTATACAACGACTGCAACGGTAAACTCCACAGCGGCGACAGCATACACATGCATTGACCGAAATGCCTGTTTGGCGTACTTCATCGAGAAAGCGTCTTTCTCGCCTACCCCTGTCTCGCCGCCGTGGGAGAACTGGCGTCGTAGAATCAAATAACGCCTCTCGTCGTCTTCTAGCCACGTGGACACATTTTCTGGTGAGGGAGAGATATAAAGAAAGGCCAAGATGCCCATAATGACAGATAGGACTCCTTCAATCACATATATGAATCTCCAACCTCTATATCCCCACGTTTGGTCTAACTGTCCAATCGCATAGGCCAATAGTCCTGAAAAAGCAGATGCCATAGAAGCTCCTGAGTAGCTATGATAATTATAGTTAGCGGTTGCTTGATAGAGACAGTGAAGAGAATAAAGAAAGGTTTCAATAATATGTCTCGGGTGTACATGGCTATATTGGGATTTGTGTCTTAGTTTGCAGCACTCGGAACAAAGCCATGGCAGGTGGAAATAAACTCCAGAAGTTGCTTACAAAACCGTCATGCGGCCGTGCAATTCGTCCGGCGAATACCAGTGTGTCAGCACATAAGAACAGCCGGGGTAAATGCCTGCTTCGACAAGGCCGAGAATCAATCGCAGCGCTGTGAAGCCAGCCATGTTGGATTGACACCCAGTGCCAATATTGATGACTCCGCAAATAGTAAGAAGCGTCGGAAGCCAGAACTTTGGTCCATACTTTTTGAGGGCTATGTTGGATGGGCTTTCACTATTAGGATCTTTGGGTTTCCATTGGGCCGTTTTCAATGCCTTGAAC